TTGAAGTCAAACGCTTCAGGGCGGGCGGGGAAAGGGGAAAAAGGGGCAGGAGGGAGTGTAAGAGTGCAACGGGAAAATTGCTGCATGAGGGTGGGGTGGGGTTGAAGCGGGTGGGTATGGTGGTCTTCAATCTCTGCAGGGCGGGTGATGGGCATGCAGCGGAGGACAAAAGTGGGGAAGTGGAGAAGGGAGGAGATCAAAGGTGGAACTATGATGGACTGACTGAGGTGTTGAAGGCAACCACTAGGAGAGGAAGGAAAAAGAAGGTGATGGAATTCCCGGGGGGCGGGGGGGGGGGGGGGGGGGGGGGAGGAAAAGGTGAGGAGGGTAGCCGAAAGTAAGGGAGGATTCTTATGGACGGTGGCGTTGATACGAGTGCAAGAGGTGGTGCCGACATCAAACATGTACATCTAACATACTTGTTGCCAGTGGCATCCTGCCATAGAGTGCCGTCTGTCTGTGCCTGGTAGAAGTTGTTGTACAACTCGCTTTCTATCCCATGCAGCTGTGTTTCTCCCACCAACCACCCCCACCCCCAACCCCTCCATCTCCCACCCCCAACCCTTCCATCTCCCGCCACCACCCATCCCCACCTCTCCGTACCTCCGGCATACTCGTTGCTGGTGGCGTCCCCGCCATAGAGCGCCGTCTGTGCCTGGTAGAAGCCGTTGTACAGCTCGTTGTCGATCGCTGCCGTGCTTGCTCGCCACAGCGGCGACGTGGGCACACAGGACAGCTCTGCAGTGGCGGAAGGCGGGAGAGGAGACAGACCAGCATGTGAATATGGCGCCGGGAAGGCAGGGGTTGGACGGCTCGTCGTTGATCACTGCCTGTGTGTGTGTCCCGTGCTTGCTCGGCACAGTGGCAATGTGGGCACACAGGACAGCTCTGTCGAAATCACTTTTGAGAATTCTCAAAAGTGATCTCGATATAGCTGGTGGAAGGGTGAGGGAAGGTAGGATAGGGAGCAGCTGGCATCATTGCACAGGGGTCATTGCACATGACACAGGGCACATAGGACAGCCAATGCACGTAGGACACATCATAGAGAGCGATGCACAGGGCACACATCACACACAGAGCAACTCACAGCACACACAGAGAGCAACTCACGCAGGGGTTCTTTAGTGAATCCGCCGAAGGAGAAGTTGATGGGCTTCTGCAGCATGGTGGGCGCCGAGCAGTTAGGCTGCAGCAGGTAGAGCTTGCTGGGGTCGTCCTCAATGGGCGTGAAGGCTGGGTCGATGATCAACGTCAGCGTCAGAGACGCATTCGTGCCCTGCCGTGGGGGATGGGTGGGGTGGGGGATACCATGCTTGAGGCGCCCTAGAGATTGAGCAGTGGCGCTGGCGCCCTAGAGATTGAGCAGTGGCGCCCTAGAGATTGAGCAGTGGCGCCCTAGAGATTGAGCAGTGGCGCCCTAGAGATTGAGCAGTGGCGCCCTAGAGATTGAGCAGTGGCGCCCTAGAGATTGAGCAGTTGGGGGAGAAGCAGGTCGAGCGCGGCAAAGTCACAGAGGTAGGGAGCGAGGGCAGCGCCGCAATGCCATGTATATGGTCTTGTCGTCGCCACCGCACTCCACCACTACAGGCGACTTTTGAGACGTCCCAAAAGTTGAGGGCTGCAGTGCCATGCATATGGTCTCGTTGCCGCCACCGCACTCCACCACTACAGACACTCGTGCACCGAGAGGAGAGTGACAAGAGCAGCAAAGGACACAACCGCGCGCGGACGCACCAGCTCGAGCGTAGCAAAGTTGTAGAGGTAGGGAGCGAGAGCCGCAGTGCCATTGTACTTGATCGTGGTGCCGGGAGGAGCAGGGGGAGGAGGAGCGGGCGTAGCAGGTCCAGCAGGCGCAGCGGGCGGCGGAGTGGGCTTGGAGTTGGAGCTGCTGGTGGAGATGTTGACACCTGGCATGCTCTGCCATGCGGCGAGGTTGAAGGGGCTTGTTAGATACGTACCCATGGCTGCAGGGGCACAATTGGAGGGGAGGGGGGAGGGAAGGGGGAGGTGGCATTGAAGTGTGAGGCGCCTTAAGAATTGGAGCTTCCGGTGGAGAGGTTGACTCATGGCATGCTCTGCCACGCGGCGAGGTTGAAGGGGCTTGTTAGATACGCTCCCATGGCTGCAGGGGCCATGATGGGGAAGGGGGAAAGAAAGAGGGACGCGGTGTTGAGAGAAGGGCACAGCACGTACTCACCACTGGTCGGACCGTGGGCGTGAGAGTTTTCTTTGTCTTGTCCCAAAGGCGAAAGTAGGTATTTGGGAGTGACTGGTTAATATTGTTGTGGTGCCTCACTGGTTCGGGCCGTGTGGAGGAAAATGGCCGGGCATGATCGGTTGATGTTCGTGAGGCACCTCACACATGCACGCACGCTCCCACGCACTCACGCACTCATGGACGCATGCGCTCACTCACCGTTGGCAAGGGGACCCTGGCCCGTGCAGAGGAAGATGGCCGGGCATGATCGGCTGATGTTCTTGCGGCACCTCACACACGCACGCATGCTCCCATGCACTCACCGTTGGCAAGGGTCTGGTTCTGGCCCGTGTAAAGGAAAATGGCCGGGCATGATTGGTTGATGCATTTGAAGCGCCTCACTCACACATGCACTCACCGTTGGCAAGAGTCTGGTTCTGGCCCGTGCAGAGGAATATGGCCGGACATGATCGATTGATGTTCTTGGGGCACCTCACACACGCACACACGCTCGCACGCACTCACCGTTGGCAAGGGTCTGGTTCTGGCCCGTGTAGAGGAAAATGGCCGGGCATGATTGGTTGAGGTTGGATGCTGAGCGGCAGGAGGCGTCGGGCAGGCCCGGATAATTATTCTGCTGCGTTTGGACTGCCCGAAAGTACTGGGTGGGCACCTGAATGTAACGAGAGAGTGTGAGGAGGGGATGACAAGGAGAAAGCGGGGAGAGGAGCAGAGAGTGGGAGAGTAGAATGAGAGGAGGCGAGAGGAATACCGCCATGCACGGCCATGCACATTGCAGAGCACACGGGTGCGGGCTAGGCAGGGCTAGGCACGCCGCACACGGCCGTCTGCTGCTGTGGGTCGCATGTTTGCTGACTCGCTTGTCAGGGCAAGTGCGACGAGGTGACTAGCCATAACGTTAGCAGATGTGTTTTGAGTTGACTAAAAACTCACCTGGACCATGGCGGGGTACATGTACGGGTTGGGCACGGCGCAGAAGGCGGTCTGCTTGTTATTAGAATACTGCGGGCCGCACGTCTGCTGACGCGCCTTTCGAGACAAGCGCAATGACGAGCCGTTAACAGCACCCCCCAAAAGGCGTGCTCACCTGGACCATAGCCGGGTACATGTACGGGTTGGGCACGGCGCAGAAGGCGGTCTGCTTGTTATTGGAATACTGCGGGCCGCACGTCTGCTGACTAGGATCGGGACACGAGTCCGTGTTGTTCTGCCCCGTCGCCGTGCAGATGCAGCCGCAGCGGTAGTCCGGGCCGCTGAGAATCGCGTTGATGGCGATTTCGAGGACCTTGAGCAGCACGCACATGAGGATGGGCATGGAGACCAGGCAGCAGTTGGTTCCCCAGTTGCGTTTCTGGAGGAGTGGGGGGAAAGATAAGTCTCATGAAGAATTGTGATAAGGTTCAATGTCTGACTGCTGAACATTGGGGGCTAGGGTAACTGAGGATTAGCAGGTCCGAGGCAGACAAATGGTAGAGACGAAGCCACGATGAACCTTGAGGCGACGAAAAAAACGTTCAGTCAAGGAGGGGCTTTGGAGTCAAGGAATGGATATGGTCCCTGAATTATACTAATAAATCGCTGCTTTCATTGCCTAATGTATTCTACTAAAGCTTCAATTACTTTCCAATGTCAGCCCTAGCCGCACCCGCGTCTAGCAGCGTATTACCTGAAACGTGACATTTTTCCGCAAAAGCGCATTCGCTTGAGTGTTAAAAGTAGTACGAAGTCGCACTCGGCGCTGCTCTTGATCCTTCTCAGCCTGAAGCTCCTGCTCATTTACAGGAACACTAACGTCGCCGTCTCTTTTGCTCCCGCCGTTCTCCTGATCGGCCATTTTAATAGAGCTCTATTCCCGATAGTAGAACTAACGAGAGCAATAAGCGGAAACAGCAAAAATATAGTGAGTTCAGTCCTCCCTGTCGTTCGAGTTCCTGACAAGGTGTGAACGGAGGTACCGTCGAGTCGAGAGCTAACTAAACACCGAAACCTCCCTTGGAACTGAGGAACCATGAGAGGAAGAACTAGGGGATACTCAAGAGTGACATGCATAGGGGGGATGCTCTTCAGCATCTCGTGCAGTTTTGAAGAAGCGAACGTACGATCGTACGATTCCCGTTGAGGAAAAGTGTCCCGCAAAGGCCGTCCAAGTTCACGAAGCGATCTGATTCGCTGTCCTGGTTCCAAGTGTGTGGTCGTGTAGCGTGCAGGGAAGGTCTGAACCGAAAATGCCCCTTTTTTGACGGAACTTGGGTTGGGTGGTTCTGGATTGACCGTTGACAGTGCGGTTGTGTGGGTATGGAACCTTTTTGTGTGGTGACCTGGCAATGCGAGAGTGACAGATTATGGCGTCAGCAAAGAGAGTGTGACATTTTTGTGCCTGAGGTGGCATCTTGTCAGTGGTGACTGACGTATGTTCCGAAACAACGAGGAAGTCCGTTCACTTTCGGCTGTTGTTTTTGCGGATGCTGACCCGTTAACTAACGGGCAGATGATAATTACAATAAAACGCCATTTTTATGAATCGTACACGTTTTGAGAAAGTTTCGAGGAATTTACACTGTGAGCCACACGGAGAACAAACTTCTTTCTACTGCTGCTTCGAAACTACCATTTGCTCCCCTAGAACACACAGCATCCGTGGCAAGAAGATCCACTGACAGAAGATCCACTGACGGAACATCCCTCCATGCACGGGATGGACCAGAGCTGACCTGACCCCAAACGGAACCATTTTCGCGGGCGCCGTACAGTACCGCATCGCGGTAGAGTCGATGGAGAAATGTGCGGTGCAGCTTGTTTCGCATCAGACCACACCGCCCCAACAGCACGTTACGGAACAGTTTCAATTGTCACAGTCCGTTTCATCTCCCCTCGCCCTTGCACTCTGGTCTCACGAACTACCCAGTCATATGCTTTAGTAGCATCTCTCTTTCTCCCCCTCCGCTAATCTCCTCTCTTCCCTTCCATCTCTCTTCCCTCGCCTCGCCTCGCCTCGCCTCGCCTCTTCCCTTCAGCTTTAGTCTCAAATAGACTGCTCAAACAAGCCGCTTTCAGAGGCTCGGCTCGCTATCTATGCTTAACTAAGGCCCCGTTCCAGGGGAGAGCTCTGAATGCAATTGTTGCTAAGCTCGAATCGGAGTTAGGGCTCTCTGTTCTGGTAGCCCGATATGGGGCATTCAGAGAAACATGGAGAGGCTGATCATTCGACGACGCGTTTGCGTGGATACGCTCTGTGGAATCTGCAGTTCAAGGCGCTCATGATCAAGAACGCCTTGGTCGCATGGCGGAATAAAACGGCTACTTTCCTCCAACTCTTCGCGTCGTTCTTTTTCATCTTCCTTATCTTCGCGGTGAACGAGGCTCTCAAAGCCGCCATAAAAAACAAGACCGAGTTCAAAAACATCTACACTCCTGTTCCAAAAGCCGTTCCCGGTATTCGGGCTTGCGAGAACGCGTTTTACATCAAACCTCCGTGCTACGATTTTGTATGGAGCGGGAATAACAGCGCGGTCGTCACCTCGATCGTGAAAAACATCACCCTGAACAATCCGGGCCGTCCGATCAATTTCGACACCCAGGTAAATTACCGGGACCAGTTCAACAGTGGACCATTGCGTGCGTTGCATCATACCTGACGGTGCAAACCGCCGCTTCAATTCCCCATTCTCGGTGTTCCCAATGTCCCTTTCCCGTCATTCTCCATGTCTCCAATTGCCCGTTTCCAACCCATTCCCATCCGCTTATCCCGTTTTCAGGTCATGGGCTTCGCAACCCCAAGTGACGTGGACGCATGGCTGCTGGCGAACCCGTACAAAACCACCGGCGCGCTGCACTTCGCCTTCACGCCGTCCGGCGCGTTAGGCTACGGCATACAAACGAACGCCACCGTTAAGAGCCAGCGCGGGCAGTTCGAAGACGCGACGTTCGACTACCAGGTGCCGCTTCAGGCGGCGGCGGAGCGCGAGATTGCGCGTTACGTCGCGCAGGACTGGACGCTGACGTGGACGCCGTCGTACGCGGAGTTCGCGCACCCCGCCATCAGCGCGTTTTCCGCCGTCGGATCCGCCGGCGCGACGTTCCTCTTCGCCGCGGCGATGTTCAGCTTCGTCACGCAAGCGAGCAACCTTGTAACGGAGCGCGAGCTAAAACTCCGTCAAGCCATGTCCACAATGGGACTCATGGACTCAGTCTTCTGGCTCACCTGGTTCCTCTGGGAGGTTCTCCTCGCAATCGTCTCCTGTATCTTCCTCGTGTGCTTCGGCATGATGTTTCAATTCGACTTCTTCCTGCACAACGCGTTTCTCGTCCTCTTCCTCATGTTCTTCCTTTTCTGGCTCTCCATGACCTCCCTCGCCTTCTTCGTCTCCACCTTTCTCCGGAAAGCCTCCACGGCCAACACCGTCGGGTTCTTCATCTTCATTATAGGCTTCGTGCTGCAGCTGATCGTTCTGTTTGGCGTGCCGTATTCTAAGGACTACAGCAACGGCCTCCGGGTGGTCTTTAATCTCTTCCCGCCCGATCTCCTAGCCATAGGGCTGAAATACTTAGGAGACGCCACGGCCACTCCTGAGGATCCCGGGATTAAGCTGTCCGGGATTGGCCAGTGCTCGCCGCGAAATCCGGAATGTGTGATGACAATGGCAGGGATCTACGTCTGGCTGCTCGTCCTGACGATCGTCTATTTCATCCTGGCCGTCTATTTGGACAATGTTCTCCCGGACGTGAACGGCATCCGGAAGCCCTGCTTCTTCTTCCTCTACCCTTCCTTTTGGACCGGCCGAGCCTCGGCAGGCTCGGAAGAGGGGGGAATCTTCTCGTGCTTCCGCAGGAAGGTTCCTGAGCTGGACCCGAACGACCGCGCTGATGACGCTGACGTCATCGAAGAGGAGGAGAAGGTGAAAGCAGCAGCAGCGGGGGGGGAAGCTGGAGAGGAAGCTGCCAACGTGTCAGTGTCTGTTCGCGGCCTGGTGAAGACGTTCCCAGGGCGTACGGAGATGAAACGGTGCTGCGTGATTAAGAAGTCGCCGGCGTTTCATGCGGTGAAGGGGTCGTGGTTTGGCGTGGAGAAGGACAAGCTGTTCTGCCTGCTGGGGCCTAACGGCGCAGGGAAGAGCACCACCATTCACTGCCTCACTGGCATCATCCCCACCACTGCTGGCGACGGTAAGCGCTATAGCCTGTAGTGATGCAGCGCCTTTTGAGGCGCCTCAGTAATGGTCAATGCTGTCTGATGCGCCTCAGACATCCTCTGGGGCCTCCATTCACCAACCCAGCCCCCTTTCTGCCCCTCATTTCCCAACCCAACCCCCCTATCTGCATCCCCTCAGCATTCGTCCTTTGGTCGTCCATCCACGACCCAGGCAGCATGGCGGCCATGCGCGGCATCATGGGCGTGTGCCCGCAGGTTGACATCCTCTGGGACCGTCCTTCCCCTTATCAAACCCCTCCTCCCCCCCTCATTCCCCAACTCAACCCCCCTTCTTCCCAACCAACCCTTCCTTTCTCCCCCGCAGCGCTGGCCCTCAGGTCGTCCATCCGCGACCCAGGCAGCATGGCTTCCATCCGCATTCGTGTGACTTTTGAGAATTCTCAAAAGTCACACGTTCTCAAAAGTCACACGAATATAGCATGGCTTCCATCCACGGCATCATGGGCGTGTGCCCAAAGTTCGACGTCCTCTGGAACCCTCCGCCCCCTTTTTTCCCAACCCAACCCCCCTCTGCATTCCCCGCAGCTCTCGTCCTTGGTTCCTCCATCCGCGACCCAGGCAGCATGGCGGCCATCCGCGGCATCATGGGCGTGTGTCCGCAGTTTGACATCCTGTGGGACCTTCCTTCCCCAACTCAACCCCCTCTTTCCCCCCTCATTCCCCACTCCAATCCCCCCTTCTCCCCCCCGCACCCCCCTCAGCTCTCGTCCTTGGTTCCTCCATCCGCGACCCAGGCAGCATGGCGGCCATCCGCGGCATCATGGGCGTGTGTCCGCAGTTTGACATCCTGTGGGACCGCCTGTCGGGCGCGGAGCACCTCTACCTCTTCGCGCGCATCAAGGGGCTGGCCCCCGCGCACACGCACAAGGAGGTCGCGAGTCTGCTGGAGGAGGTGCGGCTGACTGAAGCGCAGAAGATGCGCACGCGTGCGTACAGCGGCGGCATGAAGAGACGATTGTCGGTGGCTGTGGCATTGATCGGGGACCCCAAGGTTGTCTACCTGGATGAGCCGGTGAGTTGTACATGGGCAAGGGGGCCGGGCCATTGTGCTGCTTACACACTACAGACATCGTGTCTGTTTTCTAGTCGACTAAAAAACAGAGTTGGAGTTGTGCATGGGCAAGGGCTCAGGGGGCCGGGCTGTTGTGCTGATTACAAACTACAGACATCGTGGCCGAACCAACACTCCCTTCCCCCTTTATGATGCAGGGTGTTTTTGAGACTTCTGAAAATCACTCTGCATGGGCAAGGGGGGCGGGCCGTTGTGCTGATTACTCATCACAGACATCGCGGCCGAACCAACATTCCCTTCCTCCTTCCCCAATCTCTTACACAGACCACGGGTATGGACCCTGTGTCCCGGCGCCACGTGTGGGACATAGTAGAACGCGCCAAGAAAAGTTGGGCCATCATCCTCACCACCCGCTCCATGGAGGAAGCAGACATTCTGGGCGACCCAACACTCCCTTTCCACATTCCCCCACATTCCCCCACATTCCCCACTCTCTCCCTACCAGACCACGGGTATGGACCCTGTGTCGCGTCGTCATGTGTGGGACATTGTAGAACGGGCGAAAAAAGGCCGGGCCATCATCCTCACGACCCACTCCATGGAAGAAGCAGACATCCTGGGCGATCGCATCGCCATCATGGCCCGTGGCCGCCTGCGCTGCATCGGCACGTCCATTCACAAGCGGCTGCCTCTTGAACCTCTGTTTCTCTCCACTCCCTTCCCCCGCTCCCGCTTCCCTGCCCTTCCCCTGCCACTCGTAGACCACGGGTATGGACCCTGTCTCCCGCCGTCACGTGTGGGACATCGTAGAACGGGCCAAGAAAGGCCGGGCCATCATCCTCACCACCCAATCCATGGAAGAAGCAGACATCCTGGGCGACCGCATCGCCATCATGGCCCGTGGCCGCCTGCGCTGCATCGCCACGTCCATCCACTGCTCACCAGACAATCCTCTTGACATTCTCTTTCTCCCCACTCCCTTCCCCCGCTCCCTCCCTTCCCTCCCCCCCCCTTCCTTCCCCTTCCTCATCAGACTACAGGCATGGACCCGGTATCCCGGCGCCATGTGTGGGACATAGTGGAGCGAGCCAAGAAAGGCCGGGCCATCATCCTCACCACGCACTCCATGGAGGAAGCAGACATCCTGGGCGACCGCATCGCCATTATGGCTCGTGGCCGCCTGCGCTGCATCGGCACGTCCATCCATCTAAAGAACCGCTTTGGCGCCGGGTTCATTGTGACTGTCGGGATTGGTGCGAAGGGAGGGACGGCTTCGGCGGTGGATTTGCAAGGGGATGGTGCTGCTAAGGCGGCTGTGGCGGAGAAGGCCGCTGCTGTGAAGGCTTACTTTAAGGAGGTGAGTGGTGAAAGAGGTTTGCATTAGGGAGGGCAAAGGCACATCCCTTCATCTCAAGAACCGCTTCGGCGCCGGGTTTATTGTGACTGTCGGGATCGGTGCGAAGGGAGGGACGGCCTCGGCGGTGGATGGCGCTGCTAAGGCGACTGTGGCAGAGAAGGCCGCTGCTGTGAAGGCGTATTTCAAGGAGGTGAGTGGTGTAAAAGGGTTTGACCAGGTGAGGGAGGGCGGGAGGGAGGGACAGCTTCAGCGGTGAATTTGCAAGGGGACGCTGCTGCTAGCGGCGGAGAAGGCTGCTGCTGTGAAGGCCTACTTCAAAGAGGTGAGTGGAGCACATCACGTAAGCACAAGGGGTGGCTGAGGCAGCTGTGACTGTGGTGTTCAGGAGGGGGGTTGTGACGATTAAAGCAGCTTCAGAAAGAAAATTGCTACGTCCATCCGCATCTAGAGCTGGTGTGAGGCAAAGTACGTTGTCATCATGCGTACTTTGCACTGGAGGCCAGCAGAGGCTGCTTCTCCTGCGCTGCTTCATTGGCCGCCCATACTTCCAAACATTCGTTTCCTTCATTGGCAGGGGATGCTTTACCTTCTCTTCTCACTGACTGGAAAGTGTTCCCATTTTTCCACCTCCCCCCCACTCCCTCTGGCAGAAGCTGGACGCGGAGGCATCAGATGAGATTAAGTCGTCTTGTGGCACCCACACCCCTTTTGCGTTTCTTTGACTATAGAGTTCTCCCCTTTCTCCACCTCCCTCTTCCCCCCCTCCCCCCCCCACACACACTCCCTCGGGCAGAAGCTGGACGTGGAGGCATCAGATGAGTCCAAGGGATATGTCAAGTTCCTCGTGCCACGAGACAGGGAGCCCCAACTCACTGTAAGACATCTGTAATTCGCACATGCCACATGCATGTGCTCATGTGTGGACCTATGTATGTGTGTGCTCATGTGTGGACCTATGTATGTGTGTGCTCATGTGTGGACCTATGTATGTGTGTGCTCATGTGTGGACCTATGTATGTGTGTGCTCATGTGTGGACCTATGTATGTGTGTGCTCATGTGTGGACCTATGTATGTGTGTGCTCATGTGTGGACCTATGTATGTGTGTGCTCATGTCCGCTCATCTGTCCTCCTGTGTCCTCATGTGACGTCATGTGTGCCATGCGTCAGATTTTTCAAATAAGTGTCTGCAGCAACCTTTGTACCCTCTGCACTGAATTCAACCTGCCTTTCTCTTTGCCGTGCACTGCCGACCCTGAATCACTGATCCCTCATCAATCAACCCAACGCCTCATTTCGCCGTGTCTCTTTTCCCCTGCAGGCCTTCTTCAAGGAGCTGAACGACTGCAGCAAGGAGCTGGGAATCACCGACACACAGCTCTCCCTCTCCACACTCGAAGAGGTCTTCCTCAACATTGCCCGCCAGGCCGAACTCGAAACCGCGCAAGCCGAAGGCCGGTTTGAAAACATTGTGCTTCCCAATGGGTCGTCGGTCCAGGTGCCTGTGGGTGCAGAGCTTGTCTCTCTGCCGCCCACAGAGGAGTTTCCCCAGGGGAGCCTGATTGACGTGAGCTGGCAGCAGGATGACACCGGGACGCTGAGGATTTCAAAGTTTTCGGAGCAGAGGGCGGCGACTGCTGAGGCGGCGGATGCGGTGCCTGCGAAATGGGGGAAGGGTGGAAAGGATAAGAGCTTTTGGGCCAGGATGTGTGGGTGCTGTGGGTAGGCAATTGCTGTTTCCTTGCTAGGAAATCTGGTTGGGTCATAAGAGTATGTAGTATTTGTGGATGTAATTGCTTCATCTTAAGCTAACTTTATTTAGCTTTTGAATGTTGTGTCCACAAGGGCAATTGACAAACCATATATGTTAACCGCTAATCCGAGTGTAGAACTAGATTGTTCTCAGGACTATTTCCTCGTTCTCGCGGTCGCTTGGTAGCAGTTTCCTGATCACGAGGAACTCATCAGGCAGCTTCTTTCGCTGCTGTCACATCCGCCAATCGCGAGTTTCCCTTTCACGTTCGCACGTCAGCATCCGCCAAGCTCCGCGCGCCAGCAGCGAGAGCGCGCGTGCGAGTCACCAGCCGCCTTCTTGGGTTGGGAATTGGCGCCAGCTGGTCGACAATTGGTTTCATCCGAAGCCCTGGAAACATCTCCCGCCAGAACTCCCCGAGTCCCAACCTTCACGAGATTTTCAGCTACCCGTGAATATTCATGCAGCAACGAAAGCCCAATCAGGGGCTCCCGTGCTGATGTTCTATTGCCCGGTTCTGATGCTTGCAGTGTTCTTCGAGGCTACTTCCGACCCATCTCCGCTTCCCCCCCCCTTCCGCTCTCTTTCTCCCTTTTCCTCTCCCTTCCATTTCCTACCCTAGCATCATCCCGATTCATCCCGCCCCCCTTTCCCCTCTCTTCTTCCCCTCTTGCACTTATTTCCCCCGTCTTGCACACGCATTTCAGACGTTCCCCTATCTATCCATTCATTGCACCTTGCCATGCCTTTTCTCCTTGCCAGATGTTTCTGCCCATCCCACCCTGATAATTGTATGGTCGTCTCGTCTGTTTTCATGGCGTTGCATTGACAGCTGAGAGCTTATTGACGCCTGCAGCCACTTGTAACGGATGTTTTTCAACCGATTTTCAGAAGTCAGGCAGGAATAGGAGTGTGGCTTCATAGGTTCTAGCTTTCTCCCAAGCCGTTTTGTAGGCAGGTATTAAAGGGGTTAAACAGGTACCTCCTGTTTATTTTCTCTGAATAGAGAGCAGAAGAGTACCCTTTTCCGCGGATTCTCTCCTTTGCATCAAAAGTATCACGAAGCTTTACTAAAAGGTATCGATTTGGCATCGTGAAGCAGCGTAACCTGTAGGCGGACCAGCCCAGACCGAAGCAATGCTGCGAAACCGCGAAACTTCGCAGACTTTCGGCGCCACTTTCGTGCAGCAGTTCGCGAACGCAGAGGACGACCTTGACCACAGCAGGGCAGCCGGGGGAGCAGGCGGCGCCGGGAGCGCCGCCGCCGCATCCGGCGGTGGCGGTGGCGGCGGAGGAAGAGTCACAGCGTCCAGCGCCATAGAGCTCAGCGTAAGAAGCGGAGAGAAGGACGAAAAGGATTCGGATAGAGAGGATTCGTCTCGTTCGCACCATGGGAAGAGCCGAGCAGCGGAGTGGACGCGAGAGGTTGGGAGAGACATGGGCCGCGATTGGAATAAAGAGCGGGAGTGGGGCCGACCGCCTGCAAGCTCCTCCGCAGGCGGAGATAGGGCAGCGGGAGGTGCGGCGGGAGGTGCGGCGAGAGATGCGGGCCGGGAGAAACCCCGAGTGGTGGACGATACACTAGAAGACGACGACGATAGCCCTGCCGACCCGGAGGTGCTATCGAGATGGAAATATGGCACGCCTACATCGGCATGGTACGCGACGCGCTTTAATAAGCGCAGACGGAACCCCTGGGCAAGCGGCGGGCACGGGCCCGGCGCTAAGAGCGGGCGGGGAGGAATTTTAAGCTTTTCACTTAGCGGCGTGGATTTGGTGCTGCTGCTGCTGTTGATGCTGCTTCTGGTGTATGTTCACGAACAGGACCATCGCGGGTGCGACGTTTTCGTTGACGACCTCGAGTTTTTGCGAAAGCAGCTGTTTCACTGTAGAGCGGAGAGTTTCGACCTAAAGAAGCAGCTCAATAACGCGTACCGCGGCCGCGCGTGGTCCGCGTGGCAGCACTGCGGCGCCAGTCCCGCGCAGATGTCCGCCTATTACAACTACACCCCCGGCAGCACGTGCCCGCCCGTAACAGTTTCGGTTACCAGCGGAGCTAGTGGCGGCTCCCGCGCGTTTGAAAGCGGTATGGCGCAGCCGCCGCAGCCGCAACTTCAGGGAGAATCTCAGGAACAGCAACAGAACCACCAGCAGCAGCAGCAACAACAACAGCAGCGCTCAGAGCAGTTCGGGCAGTCAAGGCAGTCAGAGGTAGCACGTGAGCAGTGGGAGCTGCCGCCAAGCTCTAGATTAGACGAGGCTCTGCTTTTCGACGCGCGATGCCTCGACCTCCCCCGCCGCGCCTGCTTCTCCGATTCTTCACCCCTTTCGCTCTCCACCGCCGCAACTACCGCCGCGGACACGGTTTCGGGGGGCGACGTGGGCGGCGCCGCAGCCGGTGAATCTGCCGAGCCGCCGTCGCGGGAAGCGGCGAGGTGGACGAATCCCGAGGCGCGGAGCATCGCGTGGGAGCTGTACGGCCCGTGCCGCGACTGGGAGTGCCTCATGGCGCAGGAGGACCAGGCGGAGCGCGCGTGGCGCGGGGATGGGCATGCGGGGGGTGCGGGTGCCGATGGCGCTGGCCCTGGCGGCGGCGGTGGCGGTGGCGGTGGCACTGGCAGTGGCGGGGTTGTGGGCCGAGGGGATGCAAACGGGGAGGGGAAGGTAGCCGGGGCGGAAGGCGCGGAGGAGGGTTTGGAGATCGGACGGCTGGGATTGCCTGCTGCTGTTCGCGGGTGTTTGGTGTCGTGCTTTAACCTGTCTAAGGCCAGAGAGAGAGGTGCTCGTGGAGCATACGGGGGCTACGGTGGCTTTGCAGAGGGTTCAGGGTTGTATACTCAGGCAGTGCCAACAGTACCAGAAGGCGCAGCAGGAGCAACAGCAGGAGAAGAAGCAGCAGGGGCAGCAGCAGCAGGGGCAGCAGCAGCAGGGGCGTGGGGAATGGATGCAGTGTTGGCAGTGAAACCACCCGGAGGCATCCGAGTTGGGGTGGACATTGGAGGGGGCACGGGGAATTTCGCTGCACTCATGGCGGACCGAGGCGTTACAGTGGTTACCACTGCGTCCAATCACGGCGCGCCCGTAATGGAAGTGCTAGCACACAGAGCTCTCCCGGCCCTCCATCTCCCTCCCACCGCCCGCTTACCCTTATCTGACTCATCATTAGATTTGATTCACTGTGCGTTTTGGCCGGCAATGCTCGCGCATCCGCCTGCATTGGAGTCAGTTCTGTATGATTGGGACAGAGTGCTTCGCTCTGGGGGACTGCTGTGGCTGGAACTGGTGCCCTTTTCCCGGCCGTTGATTCGGAAGATCCTGGCCGTTGCTGAGGTTGCGCAGTGGAAGAAGCTGAAGTGGGCGAAGGTGGCAGGTGGTGGGGGGGGTGGAGTGGGGAGGAGTGGAGAGGGGGGTGGTGATCGCGGGGGTTGGTTGCTGAATGTTTTGTTTGAGAAGTCTATGAAGAGAGTACAGGAGGAAAAGAGGGCAATTGCTGTCATGAGTTGAAGATGTCTAGCGCTGCATGTGATGCATAGGAAATTTCAGCGCCTTATGCATCACATGGTTGCTTGAGATACACTGCTTTGATTTTTGTGCTGTTGTAGCCAAGCTTCTATGTTAGGCAATAAATGAGTAATAAACCTGTTACATTCGGCAGTCTGTTTTTTAGTGGATGTATGGACCCACGTTCCAGTGTTTTACCGTATTTTTTTGCATTCGTTCTTACAATCTACAAAGCACATACCGTATGAATTTCAATCAGTTACAGTCGCATTGCAGAGAGCTCATGCCGCCTTGCACTTCGCTGATCCTAGACAGAGCCTTCTCACTACCTCAGAGGTTGCCCTTGCACTGCCTTCTTGACTGGGTGGGTTGGGTTGGGACCATTTTCAGCCATACTACCTCTGAGACGTCTCAACGCGCATTTTCCTCCTCCCAGCACTCTTCTTCAGCCGTGCACTCGCAATCAACTGCCTCATTTCATCATCCACCCCCCTTTCCTCCTCCTCCTCCCCTCCTCCCTCTCCCACCCCCTCTATCCGCCTCCTCCTCCTCTTCTGCTGCTCGACGTACCAAAGCTGTTGCTGCTGGAGGTCCGTCAACCCAGGCCCGTACCTGCCCCTGACCGAGCCTGGCTTGTCGAAGCTGCTGCTCAGGTTCGGCGTCCGAGCCTCAAGAAGAGCCGTGGAGAGCTGCTTGGCCGCGTTTTGGGCCTTGTCAGTCGCGAGGGAAGCATCCGGGAAGGCGCCTTTGGGGAACTGGTAGGATAGCCAGAGGTAGAGTGATGCCACCTGGTGTGGAGGAGTGGAAAGGGGTGGAATGAGATGGATTTCAACATGGATTGGAAAGGAGTGGAAGGGGGATGGCAAGATAAAGGAGCGGAGCAGAGAGGATGCATGTGATGGGAATGGTGAGGCGGGCCAAGGTGCCTCAATCTGAAGCAGCGGTCCTGCGAAACACAGACCCACAGGTATGCGTGTGTCTCCTGCAAAACACATACACATACCTGATGCTTTGTCTCCAGAGCCATCAGATCCGATGCAGCCGTTTTGCGCCACGTGCCGCGCTCCCATTGGCCCGCCGCCTCCCCCCCCTCCCATCCGCCCTGCTCCTCCCCCCCTCCACCCGCCAGCAGCGGCACGGGTTTCCCCTCGGCATACTCGTGAGCGAATCTCAGGAGGGCGGCCATCACAGTGGGGTCTCTGGCATTGGCTGGGGCCGAGCAGAAGGCAAAACGGTCTCGGAGGGTCAATCCTTTGATTTTATCCAGCATCGTTGCGACACGCTGGGGGGGGGGGGGGAGAGGAGGGGATGAAAGGGTTGGGAACGGGGAGAACAAGAGGGAGCGAATCTGAGGAGGGCGGCCATCACGGTGGGGTCTCTGGCGTTGGCTGGTGCCGAGCAGAAGGCAAAGCGGTCGCGCAGGGTCAAGCCTTTGATTTTATCCAGCATGGTAGCCACTCGCTGAGGGGAAACAGGGGGAAAGGAAGCGCAGGTGGGAATGCGTGAGGGAGGAGGGATAGCAGAGGGTCAGATCTTTGCTCTTCTCCCCCTAATAGGGAAGGCACAATTGCCACTCGCAAAGGGGGAGAGGAAGAGGAAGGGGTGGTGGGAGTAGAGGTGGGAATGAGTACAAGGAGAATGTGGGGATAGCATAGAGTCAGGCCTTGAATCTTGACAAGTCATAGTCATTCGCTAGGGGAAGGGGAGGCGAAGTCATGCCAGAAAGAATGCCACGAAAGCAATGTTTACCAGAATGATCGTCTATTTAGATGCCATGCCACAGAGGCAATGCTTACCCGGATGTTGTCCGTGCGGCAGAGAAAGTAGGTGCCGTCTAGCTTCGATGTCTCCACGAACCTGAAATGTGGAAACACACAAAAAAGGCAGCCATAAGCGCAGGGTGAGAGGCCAAGCGAGAGTGTGCAACGAGTGCGTGTGTGGTGGCAGTTGTTCATTGGTGGTGTGAATCTCTTTGCAGAGTCACACTCAATACAGTCACACACTTGCCAGCTCTCACCTGTCTAGCAGCCTGGCAAAGGACACGTCAGGCAGCTGACTGGCAAACACCTCCACCTGGCGTGGTAATCCGGGGTGATGAGGGGTAATGAGCAGTGTAGCAGGGGTGGTGAGTGATGATGAGGGGTGTCACAGGGGTCATGAGGGGTGAGACGGGGTGATGAGGGGCAATGGTATAGATTGATGGGGTAAGAGGAGAGAGAGAACAAGCAAGGGAGCAAGCGAAGCACACACGCCACCTGTTCAAAGAGAGGGAAGAGGCCAGCAGCCGTGGTGGGCTCAACGGGGTCTTGCAGAGCAGCGATGAGCAACGGCATGTCGGTGGGGTCCAGGCATGTTACCACTCCCTCCCGCGCATCACACCACAACACAGAGAGATTGACATCCACCTAGCAACCACACAACCACAGCCACCACACCTGTTCGAAGAGCGGGAAGAGGCCAGCAGCAGTGGTGGGCTCAACGGGGTCTTGCAGAGCAGCGATGAGCAACGGCATGTCGGTGGGGTCCAGGCACATCACCACTCCCCACCACTCTGCACCACAGCACACACAGGATTAACACCCACCCAACCAACAACCACACACCACACAGGCAGCCCAAACCACACCTGTTCGAAGAGAGGAAAAAGGCCAGCGGCGGTAGTGGGCTCGACGGGGTCTTGCAGAGCAGCGATGAGCAACGGCATGTCGGTGGGGTCCAGGCATGTCACCACTCCCTCCTCGTACCGACTGCCCCTCCTGCCCGCCCTCCCTGCGATCTGCTTAACCTGTTTGTTGGGGGCAAAGGCCGGGAGTGGTGGGGATAGAGATGGAGGGAGAGACGGAGGGGAGAGAGACTGAGGGGAGAGGAACTGAGGGGAGAGGAACTGAGGGGAGAGGAACTGAGGGGAGAGAAACTGAGGAGAGAGAAACTGAGGGGAGAGGAACTGAAGGGAGAGGAACTGAGGGGAGAGAAACTGAGGGGAGAGAAACTGAGGGGAGAGGAACTGAGGGGAGAGAAACTGAGGGGAGAAAAACTGAGGAGAGAGAAACTGAGGGGAGAGGAACTGAGGGGAGAGGAACTGAGGGGAGAGAAACTTAGGGGAGAGGAACTGAGGGGAAAGAAACTGATGGGAGAGAAACTGAGGGGAGAGAAACTGATGGGAGAGAAACTGATGGGAGAGAAACTGAGGGGAGAGAAACTGAGGGGAGAGGAACTGAGGAGAGAGCTGAGGGGAGAGGAACTGAGGGGAGAGGAACTGTTTCTGTCCCCTCAATTCCTCTCCACTCGAGTTCTCTCCCATCTGTTTCTCTCCCTTCAGCTTCTCTCCCCTTAGTTTCTCAATTTCTCTCCACCACTGTGCAGCAATAAAATGAACACCCGCGCTTACCATGGGCGACGGGATGCGGATCTTCTCCTCCCCGTTGAATTTATGCAATGTTGAAAAAATGACCCGGCGAATTGACAGGTTGAGCCCCATGCCGATGGCGTCCGAAGCTACCAGCACACGGAAGTCGCTCTCCTCCTCATTGAACAGCCTCGCCTGCTGCCGCCTTGTCTCTGGTGGCAGTGCCCCGTACACCACACAGCAGCGATGCTTCGTTGTCATCTCCACCGCTCGCTGGGCAGGGAGAGAGGACGTGGACCAACATGGGAAGGGGAGGAGCGCACATGTGAGGGGGAAAGGAGCACATGGGTAGGAGGGGAAGCATCTCTGGCGGCAGTGCCCCGTACACCAAGCACCGGTGCTTCGTTGTCATCTCCACTGCTCACTGCACGGGAGATATGCAGAAACAGGGGAGGAAAAGAAACTAGTGTAAGGGACATATGGGGAGGGGAGGATGCGTGTGGAGAGTTAATGTCTCCGGGGGAAGTGCCCCGTACACCACACAGCACCGGTGCTTCGTTGTCATCTCCACTGCTCACTGCACGGGAAGAATATGCAGAAACAGGAGAGGCGAAGGCTTATGTGTCAGGGACATTGAAGGAGGGGAGGATGCGCGTGGGGAAAAGTGTCTCTGGCGGCAGTGCCCCGTACACCACACAGCACCGGTGCTTTGTGGTCACCTCCACTGCTCACTGCATGGGAAGGACATGTGCGGGGGAAGAACAGGAACAGGAGGGGAGGACACGACACGCGACTTCTGAGACGTCTCAAGAAAAATAGGGATGAAGCGAAACGAAACAGAAGCCTGGCACGGCACAGCCTGGCACGGCACGGCACGGCACAGCCTGGCACGGCATTCTGATATCTCCCGCCTTGAGAATATAAACTGCAGTTGATTTTCTCAACTGCACAGCCTGGCACGGCAAATTGCATGGTACGCACCTTGATTTCGAATATCTCCCGCCGTGAGAATGCAACAATGCAGTCCCCAGGTGACACCCGCCCCAGATCACCCTGCAAGCTCGTCTGGTACGGGGATGGTGGTGGGGGCACACAGCAGCAGGCAGAAGCAATACGAAGTTGTCGAAACAGATGAACCTTCCCCAGGTGCTTCCAAATTCGTCTCACAAAGAGAGAGAGTTGTCAAGGCGCCTCACAAATCACCAGTCCCTCCACCCCCCACCAGCGCACCCCACCCCCCGCCAGTCAGTTGTCAAGGCGCCATGCTTGCTCAAAAACACACGAGTCGGTCAGCAAAAAGGCCTACCTGGTCCACGGTGAGTGGTGCAAAGCGGTGGTAATGGTGGCACTCGAAGGCGTCCCCAGTGGCATCACAGATGGCTCGCAGCAGCGGCAGCACGGAGGGGTCCCCACACACGTGCACCTCCGCTGCTTGCACTCCCAAGAGGGCCCTGGTCCATGCCCACCCTCTGTAGTCGTCACTTACCATCTGAGAACCATGGTGGGGAGGGGGGGTATGGGTGGGTGGGGTGTGCCAGTCAGGGCAGCACGGAGGGATCGCCACACACGTGCACCTCCGCTGCCTGCACTCCCAGGAGCGCTCTTGTCCATGCCCACCTTCTGTAATCGTCACTTATCATCTGACAGGATGGGAAAATGGGGGAGCGTACGATAATAAACGCGCGAGTCCTGTAATACCGAATCTCAAATCCAAAAGATCGAAGGTCCATATGCAAAGAACCTGAAAAGATCATTCAATCATCACCACCACGTAGACATGCATGGAGAGGTTGATTGGCCAGCCATCTCAATGGTGCATGTTGTGTGGTGGGTGAAGAACATCTCGTGAGCACAACAGAACACTCATAGCCTGAGGCTTCTTGAGTACCTGAATCTCGTCAATCACTGCCACGTCCACAGGCGTGCTCAGGTGGTAATGGTAATGGTAATGGTAATGGTAATGGTAATGGTAATGGTAATGGTAATGGTAATGGTAATGTTAATGGTAATGGTAATGGTAATGGTAATGGTACGGGTCATGATACTAGTAATGATATTGGTAGTAGTAATGGTAATGGTAGTGTTAATGGTAATGGTAAATGTAGTGGTAATGGTAATGGAAATGGTAGTGATAATTGTAATGGTAATGGTAATGATAATGGTAATGGTAGTGGTAATGGTAATGATAATGGTAATGGTAATGGAAGTAGTAATAGTAATGGTAATGGTAATTGTAGTGGTAATGGTAGTGGTAATGGTAATGGTAGTGGTACTAGTTTTGGTAATGGTAATGATAATGGTAATGGGTTAGTGGAAATCGTATCGTAATGGTAATGGTAATAGTAATGGTAATGGTAATGACAGTGAGAATGGTAATGGTAATGGTAATGGTGATGGTAATGGTAATGGTAATGGTAAGAGTAGTGGCAGTGGTAATTGTAATAGTAATGGTAATGGTAATAGTAATGGTAATGGTAATAGTAATGGTAATGGTAATAGTAATGGTAGTGTGGCCATCTCAACAGCGCATTTTCTCTCAGTGGTGCATGCCGTGTGGTGGGCCAACAGAGCAGCACCTAACCACACCATGCCACTCACTGCCATTACCTACAGGCTGCAACTTCTCGAGTACCTGAATCTCATCAATCACTGCCACGTCCACAGGCGTGCTCAGATTGGCCATCTCAATGGTGCACGCCGTGTGGTGTGCGGGGCCAACAGTGCACCTCATGAGCACTCCACACCACTCATTACCACTACCTAACCCAATATCACCCCTTAAGTACCTGAATCTCATCAATGACTGCCACGTCGACAGGGGTAGAAAGGTTTGCCATCTCGATGGTGCAGGCGGTGTGGTGAGCAAAGGGCATCTCCTTCCTCTCCTGCCCCGTCACCAGATTGCAATACACCCCGTCCGCGTTCACCCGGTCAAACACCTGAGGGTGAGGAATGGGGAGTGGGGAGTGGGAAGTGGGAAGGGTGGTTTGGCTGTGACACCAGATTGCAGTGCACGGGAAAGGGAGGCGGAGGGGCGGCTCAGGGCGAATACACATTGAAACTCAAGCTTCCAGATCCGCTCCCTCACCCTCCACCATACCTCCATTCATCCATCCACTCCTCCATACCTCCCTCCACCCCGCCATACCTCCCTCCACCCCGCCATACCTCCATGGCAAGCAGCCTGAGCGGGCCACAGTAGGTGCCGGAGGAAGCTTCCTTGAACCTAACCAGTGCTCGGTGCGTCTTGCCGCTGTTGGTGGGGCCCATGTGGTATACCACCTTGCGCGGCATGGCCCGTGCTTGGGGGTACCTGGGTTTAGGGTTCAAGGTTTAGGGATGTGGTTGACAGGAAGGCAGAGAATGCAGTTGTCATGGATGCACGGCAGGGTGTCTTGCCGCAATTGGTGGGGCCCGTGTGGTATACCACCTTGCGCGGCATGGCCCGCGCCTGGGGGTACCTGATGAGTGGTAAGGGGGAAGGAGCAGCAGAGAATGGTGGGGTAGGGCTTGTCTAGCCGCTGTTGGTGGGGCCCATGTGGTATACCACCTTGCGCGGCATGGCCCGTGCTTGGGGGTACCTGGAGGGGTGATATGGGGGAGAGGGATGGAGGCAGGGAGGCAGGACAGTGCTGTTGGTGGGCCCCATGTGGTATGACACACTGCGACATAGCACTCTGAACCAAACCACTCCGAACCAAACCATAGCGCACCACACCACACTGCACCACTTCACGTACCAGACGTGTGGCTTGGTCATATCCGCCGAGTTCACCAAGTCCCGGTAGCTCCGAATCTCCTCCACGAACTCCCCAAAGCAGAACTCCGCAAAGAGCGGAAACAGAACACCACTCCACACCACATTCCACCGCACTACACACGCTCACGTACCACACGTGTGGCTTGGTCATATCCGCCGAGTTCACCAAATCCCTGTAGCTCCGAATCTCCTCCGGGAACTCCCCGAAGCAGAACTCCGCAAAGAGCGGAAACAGAAACTCGTCAGCATCCCTCCCCGCACCCATGTGCGCGAGCGCAGAGGCGAGCTCAGGGCGGCAGCAGCGCAGCACAAAGCGACGGAACTTGGATGCTGCTGTGGGGAAGAAGCGTGAGGGGATGTAGATTGCCAGTGCCTGATCCGCTGCCCACCTGTGTAAAACAAGAATGTGGGAAAGGGAGGGGAATTAGAGGAAAGCATGCAATGCGGAGGTGGTGTGGAAGAAGAGCGAAGGGATGTAAGTTTGCTTGTTTCCAGTCACAAGTTTCCATACCCGCGTGTGGCAAAGTGTTTTAACGCATTGTTGACACGCTCCCTGTCGTTCTTGCTCAGAGGGGGCGGCTTGGGCGCCGTGCCTTCAACCACGGCCCTCATTACAGTCACCTCCGCTTCTGCATCCATCTCCCACGAGTCCTCCTCGTCCTCGCCTTGCCACACCTGCTTCTCCCCCGCTATACTCACATCGCCGGCCAGCACTGGCTCTTCCAGAACCAGCTTCGCCCCCTCTATAGTCACATCGCTGCTCCCGTTTGTGTCACTATCCGCGGATACCGTTACTTCGCTAACAGCCGCAGTGCTATCACCGCCACCGCCGCCATTGCTACTCTTCCCGCCAACGCGTTTCTTCCTGCCTCGCGTGATACTACTGCTGTCACCGCTGCTGCTGCCGTCGGTGCCTCCGCTGCTGTCCGCATTGTCACCCCCCCTTCCAGTGTCACTACTGATACTGTCACCACTACTGCTAGCACTGCTGCTCGCATCGCTGCTGGCGCTGCTAGTTAATCTCTTCCTCGGTCTCCCCCTCTTTGCCACTGGCACGCTATCCTCCGGGCTAGAACCCGACGAATCCGGTGAGGACACGTCAGCGGAGGGAAGATTTCCAGGTTTAGGGTTCGATCCACCGTCGACTGGTCCCGACGCATCGGATCGGTCGCTCGCTTCGCCAAACGAGCGTGACTGTAACGAGGTGGAGGTGGAGTACGCAACTACGGGTACCGCAGAATCGGTCAAGACTCTAAACGGAAAAGGCGAATTCGTAGGCGATCGGAAAAGCGAGGAACTGCCAGATCCTGTTCTCACATCCACGCTGAACGGCAGGATCCTCGCGAGCGGCTGATCAGCAAAACGGTGACCTTGAGCCTGACGAGTGTTCAGATCGTGACTGTACTCGGCGTGACTGTGTTCGGCGTGACTGTGTTCGGAGTGACTGGATGACGAAGAACGAGTGACGGATTCGAGGAAAGACGAGCATCTCCTGGAAAATCCCGGCTCCTGCTGCGGAGGTAAAGTCGACGGAAAAGCAGATGCGTTCGGGGATACGTGGATCCGATTAACGTTAACTGAGACGTCAGGATTGACGGCGACGTCAGTATGCCTCAGGGAAGGAGGACTAGTGCCTGGAGTGTACGAGCTGCTATTGGCCGATCTCTTTTTCGCTACGGCTCGACGAGCCGAGGCGCGCCGTACTCCGCTGATGACCAGCCTGACAGGATGAGGCGCCATGGCGCGGGGTTCGACAGGCACGAATTTGGACCCCAGAAACTCTTGTGCAGAAGTAATCGGTATACGCTATACAGACCTCCTCATACTAGTAAACAAATCCAGCTTAGAACGTGAGTAAGAGGATGGCTTTAATGGAAATTTAGTGCTTCTGAAAGCTGTAGACGATTGCTAATTACGGGTAAGCTTGTGAAGAACAAGATTTTCCTGGTTTCCCGCGCACCTTCCACAAACAACTCGCCTATCAGCGAACCACCGACTAAAAGCCGCTGCAGCAAGCAACCCTCGAGGAGACCACACGTCGAACATGCGCTGGTCACAGCTGGGCAGCTCGTGTGTGCAACCACCGCCACGCAAAACCAATCGCTTCTGCCACGTCCGCAGCTTTCTCCCTGGCAAGAAAATCGTAACCAAGTGCTTGATGATGTGACATGGCATCTGCCGATTAGTGATTGCACACGTAGCCTATACCGTAGGTTTGCGAGGAATCAAAGCGGCTGAGCAGCTCCGATACAGGCTCGGCATTCCGCACCTGCACGTGGTCTATGCGTGCTTCCCGTGCTGTTGACAGAGCTGTTCCCTGTCAGGCTTCGCCCTCCTGCCTCCTCTCCACCCTCCTATATCATCACCACTCGCAAACCGATTATCATTTCACTTCATTTTTCCCAGCTTTCTTCCTTGAATCCACCTCACAGCCATTCTCCTCTCGCCGCGCCCGTTGCTCCTTCGCCTCTTCCTTCCGCTTCGCGCTTGACGCTCTCCACACTACACTATCTAACCTTCTGCATCCCTGCGAAGGCTCTCCTATCCGACAACATGTCGGGCGAAAATCACTCGGCTAACGCCACAGAAGACAACAATCAACGGCCTAGTGATCAGAGCGCGAGTCCTCCAAGAGAGAACTCTCTTTTGACGAACGAGGCCATAGCTGTTCGCGTTTCGGAGGCTACCTCCGGCCATGAGTGCGGCCACGTGCATCTCTCGCACCGCGCGCCATGGCTTCGCGCCGCGCTGCTCGGCGCCAACGACGGGCTCGTGTCGGTCGCGTCGCTCATGGTCGGCGTCGGCGCCATCGACAGCAGCCAGATTGTCATCTCCGGATTGGCCGGGCTTGTCGGCGGCGCGTGCAGCATGGCGATTGGCGAGTACATCTCCGTTTATGGCCAACGCGATATAGAAGAAGCGGACGTGCAGAAGGAAAGAGAGGAATTCCTCAAAGGCCCGGAAGCAGTCGAGCGGGAACTGGAAGAACTGGCGCAGATTTACGTTTCGCGCGGGTTGTCGTACAGACTCGCACGCGAAGTCGCAGAGGAGCTTTCGCGAGTCGACCCTGTTCGCGCACACGCACGCGACGAGCTGGGAATCGATATGGACGACCTCTCGAACCCGTTACAAGCAGCTCTGGCATCCGCCGCGGCGTTCATCGTCGGAGCAATCATCCCGTTATTATCCGCCGCGTTTATACGCGACCACGTCGCGCAACTCGTGGTTCTTCTACTGGTAACAACGCTGACGTTTATCGGGTTCGGTATACTCGGCGCGTGGCTCGGCGGAGCGAATAAGCTACGAGCCGCGGCGCGAACCACAGCAGGAGGATGGCTGGCGATGGGAATTACGTACGGCATTCTGCGGCTCTTCGGCACATCTGGGATGGCTTGATCGAAGGGGACTAGAGGGGGGGAGGGTGGGGTTACGACGAGGTCATGGCGATACAAAGGAGTGCTGCGTTATAACGCGGACGGTTTTCCGCAGTTGATTTCATACAAATGTGCAAGACATTGCCTTGTACAGCTCAAATATCTAATAAAGGCATGGCCATTATGCTAAAGAAGCGCCCTGTACAAGCACACTGCGGCCACACCACACCTCAGTAGAGGGTGTCAGTGTGCCAGCGCCGTTTCTTTGGCCCTTGCTCCTCCCGCTGCTTCTTCAGTTCCATGTGCTCTATTCCATGCCCTCTGTTTGCAAATAATCTCCGCAGATTTATCACCGATAGCTCTGCGTAGCTGGACACTGCCAGGTCCGCCTGCTTCAACTCATAGCTGGTTGTAAGGTGAAAAGAAGGGAAGAGGGGGTGTGAGGAGAAAGGGTGGAATCGGGACAGCAGACATGTGAAAGGTCACAAGGGGCACCATATCTGTTCACACTAAGGGCGGGGGCAGCGCGTTCATTTTCGCCACTTGTACAAAATTTTGACACCCGTCGAATCTGGAGGTTACTGTAGCTTTTTTGTACCGCGCTTAGTTTGTGTCCCAGGTGGGACACGCGCGTCCAAAATCCGGCACAGGACCCGCCACATTTTTGCCAAACCGCCCACCCAGCGAGGTAACCCTGTGCCCCCGAATTGAAGGTGGCAAAACTTCGCGCACACCAGACACTCGAACCCTTGGATTTGCGAGGGTCGTACGCGCTTGACGAAGTCGTGGTGCGGTTTCGCTGACGTTTTCAAGGGCTTTCTCAAATGATGCGCGGGTTGTTCGCGGACGTTGTGGGAACGTGTTTTGTTCGATTGACGGCACGGAAAACAGCCACCGTTCATCCACTGTATACTCCGTCGTGTCCACAGGTTACCCTAAATCGGGGTTACAAACCCCTGAATCTGGTAACTGTTTCGGGCTAAGCCAGGAAAATGAACGCGCTGCCCCCGCCCTAAAGAGGTTATGTCAAACTGTGGGAATGAGAGGGGGATTATGAATGCAGGGTGTGTGCTAATGAGGGAAAGTGAAAAGTAAGCTTGTGGGAGGTTAGGAGCATTGCTCACGCAGGGTGTGTGCCAATGAGAGCCACTGCCTTCATGCTGCAGTTGTGTGCTGCTGTGATTCCCCTCGGGTCATCCTCAAACACCACACACTTGGCTGGCGCTCGGTCCAGCTGGTTGGAGGATGCAATCAACGTGCGAAAAGGCACAGTGCGAGGGGGAGGGGAAAGAGAGGAGAACATGGTAAAAAAAAAAAAGAGGAGAAAAATAGGAAACAGGAGGAATGGAATGCGGACTGAGAGGACAAAAAGGCATGACAAAGATGACCAAAAGAGAAACTCAAAAAGGGGAACCGGGCTTAATGGGGCATCTTACAACTGGAGTGGATGAACAAGTGCAAGTGCAAGAGGAAACGGGGGTGTAATGAACAAGGATGGCTGACCTTGACAGCAGCCGAGAGGAACCGATGAGCCATCGACTCCATGCCATCCTCTGCTGTCACAAACGCCTGGTGGTGGGAACAAGAGAGGCGAGGCACAGAGTGAGAAGTAGTGATTCATATGGCCGAGTGCACGGCGCAGAGTGAGGCGGGTCTGGGCTACTGCTTGAAATTCCAAATAGTAACTTTTTAGAAAAAATGGAGAAAAACAAAAAGAAGCGTTTGTGTACCTGGAAGTGGTGCAGCAGCTTCATGCGGTCGAGGGCAGAGAGAAGCGTGAGGCGGTCAATGGAGGTGGCCACAGCACACGGCACTCCCGCCTTCTGCAGTGCATCCAGCCACTCCTGCACGCCTTCCAGTGGCGCTCGCACCTAATATTGGAGGGGCGGGTAGAGAGGAAAATGTGGTTGAAGCAAAAAATGCCTTCTGCAACGCACTCCTGCACGCCTTCCAGTGGCGCTCACTCCTGGAAAAAGTAAAAGTATAGAAAAGAGAAGGGGTCAGGGTTAATATAGAAGACCTTCTGCAGCGCATCCAGCCACTCCTGCACGCCCTCCAGTGGCGCTCGCACCTAACATAGGAGGGGCGGGTAGGGAGGATGATAGGGTTGACGCAAGAGTTGCCTTCTGCAGCGCAATCAGCCACTCCTGCACCCCCTCCGGTTGGCGCTCGCTCCCGGTGAAAATCCAGAAAAGAGAAGGGCTGGTAAAGAGTAGGGTTCAGAGTTATTATAGAATACCTTCTGAAGCACGTCCTGCCACTCCTGCACGCCTTCTAGTAACGCTCGCAATTGTGCTTGTTGTAAACGAATGTGTGCGTGAGAGGCAGGGGGGAGAGAACCTTGGAGAGCTGGCGGCAGCAGAGCTCAGAGAGTCTGTCTTACAGCACCACAATGGTGGGCTCGTTGAGACATCTCAAACCAAATATAGTTTCATGGGGAGGGAAAAGGCAGATATACCTTGGAGAGCTGGCGGCAGTAGAGCTCAGAGAGTCTGTCTTACAGCACCACAATGGTGGGCTCGTTGAGACATCTCAAACCAAATATAGTTTCATGGGGAGGGAAAAGGCAGATATACCTTGGAGAGCTGGCGGCAGTAGAGCTCAGAGAGTCTGTCTTACAGCACCACAATGGTGGGTTCGTTGAGACATCTCAAACCAAATATAGTTTCACGGGGAGGGAAAAGGCAGATATACCTTGGAGAGCTGGCGGCAGTAGAGCTCAGAGAGTCTGTCTTTGAGTGACGCAATGGTGGGGACGTCTGATGCCCAGAAGAGCACCTGCGAGTAGAAGAGGGGGGGGGAGGATGACCCGTGCAGGCACATGAATACAGGGTTGAATCGGGAAGAGAAAGGGACGCAGAGACATGAGACTGGAGGAGAGAGGAGAGATGGGATGGGGATGACTGGGGAATAAGAAAGAAGCGGAGGTGCTGGACTCGGGAGGGCCATGAACGAATCTTGAATGGATAGGAAAAGCAGGAGGGGTTGAAGGGGTGAGAAGAGAGAGCAAGTGGGAGGGGTTCGCAGAGTTGGAAGGAAGGGCGCACTGATTTGATGCAGTGGGCGGGGGAGGCCGTTGAGAGCTGGCGGAGTGAGGAAGGAGAGCCAGGCAGAGGCTTTCCTGTGAATGAACAGGAAGAGAGAGAGGGAGTGAGAGAAGCGAGCGGAACAAGTGAACGGTCAGCACAAGAAAGAGAATGTCTGAATCAGACAACATTGACACAACAGGTCGGTGGCATTGAAATAGAGTGCATGAAAGGCACTGGAAGCGGGTCGTGGAGAAAGGTAGTTTGGAGGCAGCAGCACAGTGACGCCTCTGTGTCTTGACCTTAAACACTGACTCACCTACTTCCTCTGCCAGCTGCTTCCAAGCCTCGAATCTCAGATCACGTGTGTTGGCCTGACCACACAGGACACATGCAGACAAAAAGATGCACTGAACCAAAGAGTTCACGTACGATTGCATAAGGCATCAATGCACGAACAAATCCGCATACAAAACATATGCCTCAGACTAGAAACATACAATGACATTGTCCCAGGAGTACACTAGTCCGAATGCCTCGTCTGGTCGCATGGCAAGACGTATCCTGTCCACCCCTCTCTTCCTCATGCGATCATTGAGGAAATCCTGACAGAGGCGAGGGAAAAAGGAAGAAGAAAAGGTCAATTCAAAGTCAGGAGGTGTACTCAGCTGGATTGAGAAAATGAGAAGCACTAAGCAAACACTGGGCGGATAAGAATAAGTCATCCTACAATCACAGCTCACCACGTCAACTTGCAGAGCTCCTTTCGGCCGGAAAGTGGCAAATCCCTCCCCTCTCTCCGCTCCGATCTCCTGAGAAGCAGCGACAGGATGAGTCAAAGAGGCGAGTTAGGGACCGAGGGGTGGATTAGCACACTATAGCTAACAAAAGAAGGCCAGATGACGTTTAAAAGGAGACATCGATTGTGCCTACGAAGTTATAGAGCTTTTTACCGGGACACGGATCGCACCTCTTCACCAGGAAAGGGTCCTGGTTTGGCTCGTCTGGCCCGAATCAGTGAATCTGATAAAGGAGAAACGGCCTTTGTGTCCACTGTACTATCCCCCCCCCTGCCGTTGCTACTGCTTCCGCTGTTGTCATGACACGTGACGCTAAGGCATTTGCAGCTCGAAGATGAGTCTACTGATCTTGAAGTTTTGCGATATAAGTTGGTCGACGTAGGAGAAAGGTGTAAGGAGAAGAGATGTTGACTTTGAAAATATGGAAAGCGCCCTGTCGTTGCGTTTTTTTTTCGTACCCTCACGATCGAATCTGTTATAAGGCAACTACGGTGGTTTCGAGGGTACAAAGACGACGACGCTCTGATATGACTAGAAGTTGCATACGAAATAGAACTATATACGCAAGAGGTATGTGAAAAAGGCTGCGCAGTAGCTATAGGCGTGGAGTAGGAGGCCATAGAATCAACGCGTCCTCGTTCGTAAGGACTTCGAAGTGACGATTATGGCTGCAACCTGACAAGTTTCTAGATTCCTATCCCAGTGATTGTGAGACTCGATAACATGCCAGAGAAAATTGGAAGAAAGAACATACTGTTCCCCAATCCGCATAATAACGGGCTGATGAATTGCGGGTGTACTGCGTATATCGAGTGATTTGCGAGGGTAGGACCAGGTTTATGTGGCTGTCTGACATTTGTCGACACGTGTCTGCCTTGTTCGGATTTCGTCTAGTTGGCCGAACCGTTGCGCGTTGGCCCTCGACCTGGCCGAATTGAGTTCACGAGCCAATAAAGTCACCCACAAATTAGGTTCGGCCCGTAGGTATGTCGCCTTTCGGAGCCAAACCTTCACCCTGCCTGCGCGGGAAACCTCCCACCGCCGCGTGTAGGCACCGTGGCCTCGGCAAGCAGTTGCCATCCTCACTTCGCACGGCCCTCCAAACCACGGGCTTGCCGCTGATGGTCATCCAGCACCACACCCAACTTTCCGTTGGGAAGAAAGTGCATCCAAGGAACAATATCAATTCCCCGATTTGACTGGACGGCGTAGATTCTTTCGAACGTTGCGCGGCGAAGCGTAGCGAAAAGGTGGGTCAAGGCTGGGGTGAGCGCTGAGGGGGAGATCCCAATATCGCACAGGGCTTGGATGCTTTTCCTCCCCAGGCTCCAGCTCCTGTTGTTGGGCTTGGGAAGTATGGTCAGCAGGGGGACGGACGAGACGAGGATGATCCTTCCCCTCCTTGCTGCACAGAAATTTGTAACCGTCTAGCAGATGAAGCAGACAGGAGGTTCCCAACGTTCAGTGTGAGCGCTTTGGCCTTAGCAAGTACGATATAGTTATTGCTGTCTAAACGTTCCTTCTGGGAGGTGATATCCCCTTCAAACCGCCGCTCGTCTCTTAGGGATTGCCTATTGGTTCGCGAGATCTGAATTTCTTCGATGAATTCTGAAAACTAATGTTGTAGGAGCTTAGGTCGTATGGTTGATTAGTCCAACTTACCGGACGACTGACCGCCTCGTTTTGTTCGCGCGAATCTCTTCGTAGACTACACGACTAATTCAATCACATTCAGAAAATGGACGAGCGGGAGTTTTTTACCGAGTACGGAGAAGCTAGCAAGTATCGTCTGTTAGAAGTAATAGGCCGAGGCAGCTATGGTATCGTCTGTTCAGCGATAGATACACACACAGGGGAAAAGGTCGCGATTAAGAAGATTAATGACATATTCGAGCACGTGTCAGACGCCACGAGGATTCTTCGCGAAATCAAGCTCCTTAGGTTGCTCCGTCACCCTGATATAGTGGAGATCAAGCACATCATGCTTCCTCCATCACGGCGAGATTTCAAGGACATCTATGTCGTTTTCGAGCTGATGGAATCTGACCTTCATCAAGTAATTAAGGCAAACGATGACCTTACACCTGAGCACTTCCAGTTCTTCCTCTATCAGCTGCTGAGAGCTCTGAAGTACATTCACACAGGTACTGCGCGTTTATGCTTAACGACTCTTTCACATGTGTTGTTATAGTAAGGTCCGACTTCTGAATTAGCGTCTTCCTTCCTTTTCAGCCAACGTGTTTCACCGAGATTTGAAGCCGAAGAACATCCTGGCGAACGCTGACTGTAAACTAAAGATTTGCGACTTTGGCTTGGCTAGAGTTGCCTTCAGCGATGCGCCAACGGCCATTTTCTGGACGGTATGGTACTTGCTGTGTCCCTCATTCGTTAGTTTCCTTGTCGATGTGCTCTCTATAGGGTTCCCGTGGGGAGTTCAGCAGCTCGTTTCCAACATGAGATTTTTTTTTCAGACTGGCTAATTTGTGCATGTGTTGGTCCACCTTTCAGGATTACGTGGCCACGAGATGGTACAGAGCGCCTGAACTGTGTGGCTCTTTCTTCTCCAAGGTATCCGTCTTTCCGCTGGTTCATTCCTATTTCGTATCCTAGTTTTCATCCGCTGACGGTGTTTTCGCGTCTGATAACAGTACACTCCCGCTATCGACATCTGGAGCATAGGGTGCATCTTCGCCGAGCTTCTGACTGGAAAACCGTTGTTTCCCGGGAAGAATGTGGTCCACCAACTCGAGCTCATGACCGACCTTCTGGGAACGCCTTCACCAGAGTCGATCGCCAAGGTGACAGATGAATCTGGTTTCTGGAAACGTTTTCCTGCACATTTCGTAGCATTGTCTGAATACCTCGCGTATTCCTCTGCCAGGTTCGAAACGAGAAGGCGCGGAGATACCTTGGGAGCATGCGGAAAAAGCAACCAATGCCATTGTCGGCAAAGTGCCCGAACGCGGACCCGCTTGCCGTGAAGCTGATGGAAAAGATGCTCGCATTTGACCCTGCACACAGGCCGACGGCAGAGGAGGTACATTACTGTTGACCGTTAAAATCATTTATAGCATTTTCAATTGTGAGAATTCAATTAAACGAGAGATCACCTTGTGCAGGCTCTTGCTGACCCTTATTTCAAGGGCCTGGCGAAGGTCGAAAGAGAACCTGCGGCTCAACCCATCACCAAGGTGGAATTCGAGTTCGAGAGGCGAAGACTGAACATGGACGATGTCAGAGAGCTCATCTACCGTGAGGTACAGCTTGAAATATTATTCTTACCAATCCAGCTTTCAACAGCTTTCTAGGCTTTATTTAATAATCCCTTATAACTGATTGCAGATTCTGGAGTATCATCCTCAGATGCTGAAGGACTTCCTCAACGGGACGGACCCTGGGAACTTTTTGTATCCAAGGTATGACTGCTATGGTGTGTTGCATGGGAAGGGGCTAGTGTGGGAATTTGTCAACCAGAATGCTGAACTGAAAGAACAAAGATATGGCTTAATTTCCATGAAGAGAATATTAACGTGATGGTCGAACGACTACCTATGGCACTTATCCGGGCTAAAGTTGCCCATGGTGTGTTTCCCGGGGAGTGTGAACTCAAAATGCTGCTCTGTTATGTTGCGTGGGGCCTTGCAGTGCTGTGGACCAGTTCCGCCGTCAGTTCCACACCCTAGAAGAGCATTATGGCAAGGCGGGTGACGCACCATCACTGGAGCGCCAGCATGCCTCCCTCCCAAGGTACGCATCTTATCATGGATAGCTCACATTGCGCTAAGTTTTAAGGGTTTTCTTTCAGAGGTGACTTATGGAAGTTCTTGGTTGTGTGATCAGGGAACGTGTTGCTGGTGAGAGGAATGAACCACGGGATGAGGCTCAGTTGGAAGAGGAGAGAAGGCGAAGAGCTGCCAGGCAGCAAAGGGCATGGGCGCAATCAGGATACAAGGGTACGCATCAGCCACCCGTTTCCCAGCGATTAGTGAAAAACTTGTGCATGTGATCCTGCCCGTACCTTCCCTTCCCATGCCCCAATTTCAACCATCCAACGGACCCACCTCCACTTTCATTTTCCCAATCTCGTCCACCCTCCCCATGTCTCCATTTCCCAGAATTCTTCCATCCCTCCCATTCTCAACTTATCTATGCCCTACCTTTTTCCAAATGTCTTCAACCCTGCCAATATTCAGCACCTTTCCCCCTCCTTGCTCATCAGTGTCAATCCACCTCACTCTTCAATGCCGTCCCCCTTTCCCCTCTTCAATCCCCCTCTCCACTTTTCAACGCCATTCCACGGCATCGTTCTTCAATGCTATTCCCCTCCCCATACTTCATCGGCATCCCCACTCTGAAATGCCAGTCATGTCATCCCCCCTCCCCAGTCATGTCATTCCCCTTCCCCAGTCATGTCATTCCCCCTCCCCAGTCATGTCATTCCCCCTCCCCAGTCATGTCATTCCCCATCCCCACTTTTCAATTTTAACCACCCTCGAAATCTTCGATGTTCACCACCCTACCAACCCCACTACTACATCTTTTTCACCATTTCACCCATCAATTTCTGCCATACGCTTTCCAACGTCTACCGCCCTCTTCAACCCCTGTTCTTTCCGCATGTCCCCCTTCACACACAAACTTACAGCTGGAGCGGGGCAGCCTGCAGCACGGCCCGGCAGGGTAGTGGGGTCCAGTGGAGGAGGAATGAACGGTGCACAGAGAGACGATGTTCGGCGATACGCTCGCACAGCAGCACTAAGTGCACAGTCCCCTTTTCACATCGGCAGCCAACTAGAAGACTCCACCAGGAAACCCGCAAGGCAGGAGGCAGGAGCTAGATGACCGGTGTGTCACTTTCCCTGTCATTTAACCATTTATGCAATTCCTTGGTTTTTTACAAGCGATCCTGCAGGTGCACTCCATATGGCTCAGCTTTAGCCACGCATTTCATCAAAAGCTATACTAGCACCCCCTACCTCCTAGCTCTCAACATCCTGTAATTGCTTGCTCAACATTCAAGTGTCAATCAAGATAGGTCATTCTAATGCAGGAGCAGTACACTGTAACCAAGCACTGTACTAATGTACATGAAGTCAGTCACATGGGTTGAGTACAAATATCTTCAGCTTGATGTCAGCCAGCCCAAGAAACCAACCCATACAAAAAGTGCATGGCCATGTCAATCCTGCCTCGTGTTCATTCATTCCCTTCCTCCGCATTCTCTCCTCTTTTCCCGCCCCCTCCTCTATGAGAGCTCCCTCCTCCCTCCCCCTCAAAATACTCCCCACTCCCTGTAGCACTGTTCAGACCACCAGCAGCGGCACCACCACCACCACCACCCTTGCCTGCCTCCCCTCCTCCACCTCCTCCACCACCCCATGACCCTCCTCCTCCTCCCATTCCTCCTCCCCCTTCCCACCCACCCATGTTTCCATCTGCGCTGCCCATTCCCCCTCCGCCTCCTCCCATTTGCCCTCCTCCCCCTCCCCCTCCTCTTCCAAAGAAGGCTGGGTTGATGTGGGGAGCAACACCAGGCAAACCACCGCCCATGTTTGGAAACCCTCCCCCCATGCCTCCCCCCATACCTCCCCCCATGTTCCCTCCCATGTTTCCCCCCATGTTTCCCCCCATCCCTCCCCCTGGGCCCATTTGGTTGAACCCAGGGCCTCCCCTGGGGAAGCCTCCCCCTCCCCCTGACGGACCAGCAAAACCCCTTCCCCCTCCTCCCCCCCTCCCTGCCACAGTCCCACCTCCTGCCCCCATCCCCCCTGGGCCAATTGACGGGTCGAACCCCCCACCTCCCCCCATAGGGGGTCCTCCGGGGAAGGGCATTCCCCCTGCGCCAGCTCCCCTTCCCCCTCCCCCCCTTCCCATACCCCCTCCTCCCCCCATCCCTCCACCCCAGTCCCCGCCTGCCCCTCCTCTTCCCCCCCTTCCCCCATCGACTCCCCCTCTTCCCCCCATCCCCATGCCTCGTCCAGGCATCATTCCCCCGCGCCCAAAGCCTCTCCCTGGCCCAGAACCTCCCCCCATAGGGCCCCCTCCGCCCATGCCTCCCCCCATGTTTCCCCCCATTCCTCCCCCCATGCCTCCCGCCATGCCTCCTCCCATTCCTCCCCCCATTGGCCCTCCCCCACCCATGGGGCCCCCTCCTGCCCCCATCCCTCCTCCCATGCCCATACCACCCATAGGACCCACCATACCTCCCCCCATCCCTCCACCCATCCCTCCACCCATCCCCCCTCCCATCCCTCCTCCCATCCCTCCTCCCATTCCTCCCCCCATGCCTCCTCCCATACCTCCCCCCATACCCCCCATACCCCCCATACCTGGCCCCATTCCCCCCATTCCCATCGGGCCCCCCATAGGCCCTCCACCCCTTCCAGGAAAGTTCCCCATGCCTCCACCCCCACCTCCTCTCCCCCCACCCATAGGCCCCATTCCCCCCATCCCCCCCGGCCCGCCCATCCCCCCCATGCCTCCGCCCATGCCTCCCCCCATTCCGCCCATTCCTCCCCCCATCCCCCCCGGACCTCCCCCCATGGGGCCCATGTGGGGGCCGGGTTGGGCGGAAGCCATAGCAAGGTGCCTTAGGGTTTGGGGGGTGGCGGGTGTGACTATACAGGGGCGGCCATTGAACAGCCGGCCTGCCATGTTCTCTTTACAAGCACGCGCCGCTGCTGCATCGGCAAAATCAACCTGAGAGGGAGGAGCAACAAGCAGGGTTCGGCGTAAGAAACACGCGAAAGAAACCACAACAGAGGAGGCCAGTGAAGAGACAAGAGAGAACAAGGACAAGAACTGAATGGGAATGATATACTATGTAAAGCTACGATACACTATGTAACGCATTGCATGGCTTTAATCTCCATGGCACGCACCTGACAGTACCCTTTAGATCGCCCAGTGGCTTTTTCTTTAAACAACTTCACCCCCACAACTTTCCCAAACTCTGATGCCCCCGCCTCTATGTCCGCATCGGTCGTCCACCAGTTCAAGTCCCCCACAAACACCGCCAACCCCTCATGCCCTTTCCATGGCACGTACCTGGCAGTATCCTTTGGACCGTCCAGTGGCCTTCTCTTCAAAGAACTTCACCCCCACCACTTTGCCGAATTCCGATGCTCCCGCCTCTATGTCCGCGTCTGTTGTCCACCAGTGCAGGTCCCCCACAAACACCGACGACCCCTCAAACCCGCCTCCGCCTCCGCCTCCCCCTCCGCCTCCGCCTCCGCCCATGCCTCCCCCGCCGCCGCCTCCCCCGCCAGGACCCATTCCCATCCCCCCCTGCCCCATTCCGCCTCCGCCCTGCCCCATTCCGCCTCCCCCCATTCCGCCTGGACCCATGTTGCCTTGTCCGGCTCCCCCCCCACCCATTCCTCCGCCCATTGCCCCCATCCCCCCTCCGCCAGGCCCCATCCCGCCCTGCCCCATCCCGCCCTGCCCCATCCCGCCTTGCCCCATCCCTCCTTGCCCCATTCCCCCCATTCCCCCTTGCCCTTGAAACCCTCCACCCCCCTGCCCTTCCCCTTGCGCCATCTGCCCAGCATTCCCGCCCATTCCCCCGCCGTGCTGTTGCTGCGCGCCGGAATTTCCGCCTCCGATTGCGCCTTGCCCCGCCATGCCCTGCGCTGGTCGATGCGCCTGGGCGGAACTTCCGCCTCCTTGTGGTTGTCCGTCAGCGCCAGGATTTTCGCCTCCGCTTCCCCTTTGCCCCGCCGGATCTTGCGCGTTACCTCCCGGTTGCGCGTTGTGCGCGATCGCTCCTTCCCCTCCCCCCGGACCTCCTCGTTCTCCGCCATCGCCGCCGCCGGTTTCGGCGTCGCCGTTGCCCCCGCTGCCAGCTGAACCTCGGCCAACACTACCTTTCCGCTCGTCGTCCTCGTTATGAGCTTCTCCTTCTCCTACTTTTAACGCGTCTCCGTCATCTTCGACTTCGTATGTTAATTCCAACTCCTCGTCCTCGGGGTGATCCGCCATATCGAAGCGGCTACAAACGAGAGCAGATCAATAAAAATCGGTGGTTTCGAATAGCTCGGGACGGACGTTACGCGGATCGGCAGGGCAACAGGAGGGATGCTGAGCATAGAAAAATTGGCGGGAACTGCAGCGCTCTCGATGCTGGAATTGGAGTAATTTATAGGGGGGGGTTCTAAAATTCTGATGAACCTTCGAACAGTGAATACAGTGGTCATCTTTGCCCAGCACCACTCAACCACTCTAAATCCTAGAGAAAACGTTCATTTAACATTATCACACATCCTGAAAGCTCTCAACTTAAGTTCCTTGCATATTTCTCTCTCTGCTGAGTGACTTCGCAACTAGTTGAATGCAATTTACGGATCCATCTTGATATTGCTTGTCTTAGACGAAGTGTTGATAACGCGTATTTTCTGATCCCTCAGCAGCAGTTTCTAGTCTAACATACGTGCTCTAGGGGTGTCAACCCCTGAAAGGCTAGAGTTACCTTTAGTAGGCTTTGCTTGCAGACACTTGGGACCTAGGAAACATGGAGACCAGTTCAGAACCCGTCGTGAGCGACCCTCAAGCCTGTATCGCGAGTGAAGGTGGTTCCGTCAAGTCTAGGGAAACGTCAGGGTCGTTCGAGGCCGCGTCGTCAGACGAGCGTAGAGTCGAATCTTCCGCTTTGCCAAGCGGTGTGCCAGAATGTTACGTGATCGTCCATAACGTGGCGAAGCGACATAACATCGGCATGCTCCTTCGCAGGTACGAGATATACAATCAAGTCGTGATCGCTCCCGTACCAACTTTCGATGTCTGAGTTTGTGCGTGTAATTAGTAACTACGAGTAGTATCTTTTCACCAGTTGTGCAAATTAATCTCCGCTCCCGTCTCTCCCCTCTCTCTTAACCATATCCTCTCTTTCTCTCTCTCTTCCTCTCCTCTCCTCCTCTTCTCTTATAATCACATCCCATAGTGCCACGGCGTTCAGCGTGCATCAGATCCTGGTGGTGGGTCGGAGGGATTTCAGCGCGTTCGGAAGCCATGGGGCCGCGGATCACGTCTCGCTGAAGCATTTCAACACACTCACAGACGCCAAGACTTACCTTCAGGTTGGTTCTTAAGGCGGCTTTTGAGGCGACCGTGAGGCGCATCAATGAATTTCAGCGCGTTCGGCAGTCATGGGGCCGCGGATCAAGTCTCGCTGAAGCATTTCAATTCGCTTACAGATGCCAAGACTTACCTCCAGGTTGGTTCCGGTATATCGTTTTTGTCATTGCGCAGGCTGGATTTACTATAACTTCCTGTCATACGCATTGATTGTCATTGAGAAAGGTTCCAGTAACGCCTGCTTGCTTCGATGTTGGTATTCACTCTTGTTGTGCCATTGTTGGTGTTCATTCCACAGTTCTAGTCCGTGGCATGCCTGACATGCATGCCATTGCCATGGTGATGCCATGCCATTGTTGTTTCAGCGGCATGTCATTGTCTCTGCAATGTCGTACCGTTGGCATGCCATATCATGGAAGATTCATGCACATACCACACTGACTTTGACGTGTTGACAGTTCGTCTTTTGGCTCACCATGTTTACACGTACCATTCCATGTCATGCCTTGTATTGCTGTGCGACTACCCATCCCATCTCATGCCATGTCATACTTCAATGTCTACGCATCTCATGCCATGTCATACTTCAATGTCTACGCATCTCATGCCATGTCATACTTCAATGTCTACGCATCTCATGCCATGTCACGCCCATGTCTACCCGTCCCGTGGCATCCCATGCCATCCCATGCCATCCCATGCCATCCCATGCCATGCCATGCCATGCCATGCACATTGTATGTGGGCAGTAGGAGAGGGAGTGCAGCATATGCGGGGTGGAGATAGTGGACAATGCGCGCCCCATACAGTCACACCCCTTCACTGGCAACACTGCTTTTCTCCTTGGCAATGAGGTATCAATTCTTCCCCCCCATAGCTGCGCACATTCGCTAACTCTCTTGCATGATTCCCCCTCATGATCCAGTCCACACATTTGCTCTCATTCTGTTGTCCCAGCTCCTATTTTTGACTCCTCGTGTTCATTTATCTCCTTGGGCCTTCAACCCTCCCACCAGGGCACAGGTCTCTCCCGTCAGAGCTAGCCGTGTGTGACTCGTTTGTCTACATTCCACAGCACGGCCTCGTTCCGCTTTTGGGTCAACTCTAAAGTCCCCTCACCAACCCTCCCACCAGGGCATAGGTCTCTCCCCTCAGAGCTAGCCATGTGTGACTCGTTTGTCTACATTCCACAGCACAACTATTTTTTAGTGTGCTCAAAAGGCACTTCAAAAGTCACCCTGTTTCTCATCCCTCCCACCAGGGCACGGGGCTCTCCCCCACGGAGCTAGCGGTATGTGACTCGTTTGTCTACATCCCGCAGCACGGCCCCGGGACTGCTTATGAGTCAACTCAGGTGTCACCCCGTCCCTCACCCCCCTTCCCACCAGGGTACGGGGCTCTCCTTCACGAAGCTAGCAGTGTGTGACTTGTTTGTGTACTTTCTGCAGCACAGCCCGGGACTGCTTATGAGTCAACTCAAAAGTCACCCAGTCCCTCAACCCCCTCCCACCACCAGGGCATGGGGCTCTCCCCCACGGAGCTAGCAGTGTGTGACTCGTTTGTGTACATCCCACAGCACGGCCCCGGGACGGCGTCCCTCAACGTCATTGTCGCGGCCTCCATCGTCCTGCACCACTTTGCAGGTAAGCGGGTGTTGGCATGCCTCAGAACTTGCATGTTATACTTGCAACTTGCATCTTGCATGTTGGCATGACAAGATCGCTGTGGTTCATTACGCACCCCACCATGCACCCCCTGATTAGGCTTTTCATACTGTCACCTTCCCGTCCTGCTTTCTCCAGGTAACATTCATCGATGTCTGAAACAAATTTGCAATCAACCCGTGTGGTATGACTACCATACGTTCTCTTCTTGCATCCCCTCCCCAATTCAGTGTGGGCCCAGTACCCTGAGCGGGAGCGGGAAGGTGCGAAGTTTTCAGTGGCTGCCCGACCACTGAGAAGAGGCCCTCGCAATCGCTGCCCGGAAGATCCAGCCGAGCTGGCAGCTCGACGGCAGAGCAGGCAGGACGCAGCTGGTAATGACACGTGGCAGGATCTGGAGGATGGGTCATTGGGATTGTTGGAAGGGGAGGAAGGGGAAGGCTAGTCAGGAGGCTTCTCCCGTGAGACAGGTGTCTTGACCTTTTCGAAATGGGCAAGTATGGTGGACTGATGTTCGTGTGATCCCTCCAGCTCATCCGTGTCAACACGTCCATACCAACAGCATCTCATCATCCGTCGGCTGTCTTTCAGCTTGGAAACCGTATGTCTGGTTGAAAGAGAAAGCTCATACCGGTACGGGTATTGTGATGCTCGAGTCAAGAAGGTACTGCACCGATCAAGGCAAAGTTTTTCCGATCGGAGTGGATTTACCTCCGATTGTGTGATGGAGAATATAAGGCCCATTGAACACACTATCACTACTCGCTACAACCAGCTTCCGTGCTGAGTCACCCCCCTTTCGGTATACACACTGGCAGTTAGACATGCAAAAAATTGTACTTCCTACTCAGCTCCTAGCCATCAGGTCTGGCCCATCAAATCTACCCCATCCATCGGCACTGCTCCATCAGCCCCTCCCCATCAGTACTGCCCTGTGTTCCACATCCATCCAAGCGTAACTTCTGCTTCCTTGCACCCCAAGGCTCGCGCCATCTTGAACCTGACATACAGTGAACCCGAGCATGTGATGAAGAGAGTACAAGTGGTTCAGTCGTCAAGCTGGACCTTGTTCAGAACAGACATGCAACAGTCATGCTGTCCTCCATCACACCAGATGGTTTGCGTCCTGCAATGCTGATACGTCCATGTACGCCAAAATGAGTTGCACACATGCATGCCACTGCATCCATCCACCATCCATCATGCACACATGCCACTGCACACATGCCACTGCACGCATGCCACTGCACGCATGCCACTGCACGCATGCCACTGCACACATGCCACTGCACAAATCCACTGCACGCATGCATGCACACTCCACATCACCCATGCCACAACATCCATGCGTGCATGCACTCGCGCAACCAACACATGCCACGGCAGGCATACCATCGGACAGCCTCTTCAATGCTTGGCTTCCCCGTGCCCTCCCCATCCAGATACATGTACCCCAGCAGCAGCTGCCATGGGGAAAAAGGAGGTGAATTAATCAATTTCAGTCTAAGGTAGAGAGAGCGGATGATAGCCGCAGAACGTGGAGGAGTGCCCTCCCCGTCCAGGTACACGTACCCCAACAACAGCAGCACAGAGCAGAGCACCCCAACAACAGCAGCACAGAGCAGAGCACCCCAGCAACAGCAGCACAGAGCAGAGCACCCCAGCAACAGCAGCACAGAGCAGAGCACCCCAGCAACAGCAGCACAGAGCAGAGCATATCGACAGCACTGCACTAGCCAAGTAGATCTGGAAACTCACAGCAGCAGCAGCACCGAGTTTGGGATCCGCCTGGGTGTTCCGAGCAGCACGCAGCAGCCAAGCCAAGGCCTCCTCTTCGTCTCTCGGCCAGTCCCCATCCCCTCTATAGTACGCCTCGCCCATTCGGTACTGGCTCCCCTGGTGCCCCATTCTTGCTGCTTTTCTGTACCACTCCAGCGCCCTCTGCTGCTCGCCCCTCGCTTCCATCACCCTCGCCATAATCACACACGCGTCCAGGTTCCCTGCTTCTGCTGCCCGGACGACTAGTAACGGGGGGAGTGGACAGGGGGCGGGGGAGACTCGAATAAAGACTCCAGAGAGGTGACTGTAACGAGGGGTGACTGTAGGAGAGGCGAGTGGTGAGCGGCAAGGGGAGAGGGTGAACGGCTCTTGGTGGTGGGAGTGGCGAGTGGGCAGAGGAGGTAGGCGCACATGGGTGAGTATGGGTTGAAATTGCTGGTCATTCGGTTCCTGCTGGTCTGTCTGGCCGATGTGATTCTCCCGAGCGGTCCCATCCAGTGCAGTCATGGTTTGCATGCTCATGGCTCCGTATGAAACAGGCGGTGACAGTGATAGTGCTGCTGCTGCTGCTGCTGCTGCTGCTGCTGTTGCTGCTGCTGCTGTTGCTGCTGCTGCTGCTGCTGCTGCTGCTGCTGCTGCTGCTGCTGCTGCTGCTGCTGCTGCTGCTGCTGCTGCTGCTGCTGCTGTTGCTGCTGTTGTTGCTGCTGCTGCTGCTGTTGCTGCTGCTGCTGTTGCTGCTGCCGCTGCTGCTGCTGCTGTTGCTGGTGTTGGCGGTATTCCCGAGGGGCTGTTTGCTCTTGTCCTATTGGCGGACAAGCAGGGACTGGATAAGGTGACTCTGGGCCTCGTTATAGTCACATTCAGGAGGATGTGCTGCAACACACATGGCAGAGAACAGAGATTCGTTATTAGAAGCACGCGTATGATCACATAAGCAGGACCAGCGAGGAAGAATGGAAATAACTGAATCAGCATCATACGTGTCGCCCTTACCTTGTTGCTGCTGACGTGGCAGCGCCACGACTTGCAGACAGCGGCACATCGGATCAGATCAGCAAAGGAAAGGGCGAGGAAGATTCGCTCGGTGACGTCATAGGGGAGAAGGGAGGCTATGCATTGCGCCGGGGCGGGCGGGGAGTGCAGTGTAGTTGGCATCAGAGACGGCTCGGGGGGGGGTGCGGATATGCGGTCGAAGAGAGCGCGACGAGGGGGAATGGGCCCTGAATGCAAGACATCGCAGTGGGGATGCTGGGGAATTGCGGGCGGAGTGGGATGCGTTAGAGCGGGGAGAGATGCGGAACGACGACAGGAAGAGGCGGAGGAGAGAAGTGACTGAGGAGAATCAGGGAGAGGAAGGGAGGAGCAAGAGGCAGGAGGATATGGAGGGGGGGAATTCGCCCTAGTGGAAGCAGAGGCGGTGGCGGCGGCAATGTGCTTGCATTGAGCGGTCTCGCTATTGTCACATTCGTTAAGGGCGCTGCCATTTGAGTCACACTCTACGACTAGAGCGTCTCCGTAAATGTGGGAGATCCGCGCAAGCCTCCCCGCGCGCTCGTTGATCTCCGCGCTGCTAGGCGCAATCGCCCAGAACACGACCAGGCGCGGGCAGATCCGCGCGGAAAACACCTGCGCGGATGCGGGTGCTCCGATCGCCGAGAGCAGCTCGAGCTGCCACGTGGCGGGATCTTGTTTGTGCGCGGGGAGCAGCAGCTCGTGCGGAGGCTCGGAGTAGTTCGCGGGGAGCAACGTCGCGCGGAAATGGCGCGCTGATTTGGCGGAAGAGTGGCGCGCGGAGGGGGAACGAGAGCGGATCTCGGAAAGCGCTTCAAAGCACCTCCAGGGAGCCGTATCGGAGATCTGAGAAGCGGTGTACTCCTCTCCACGTGGAATGGAATTTAAGAAGCCCTTCGGTGCGGCGCGTCGACGAAGCGCGACTGCCATCTCGACCGTACAGTGCAACAAAAGAATACGGCAGTCAAACCACCCTCTCGATATACGAGCGACTATGCTCGTATTCTGCTATGAGGGATCAAATGCGAACGATACTAAAATTCGCCCCTAGACCTTCCAGCCTAATTCGCTCTCCCCGAGCACATTTGTAGTCTAGTTCCTCTGGCAATCTAACCGTTATGCATGGAGATACATAAAATTGATTGCCGGTAGTGCGGTATAGTTCGTTTGCGAGCGATAATGCTCGATACATTTTAGTCCTGCGCTGCAAATTCGTGGATCGACTCCCCTGATTCTTAGGAATCGCTCCACTGGATTGCTCTTGTTGACGTGGCCCCAGATTCGCGAACCATCGCAAAATCGGGGTATTGGCGGGTTTGGTGGTTACCCGCCACACGGAGCCCGCCCGTTCAGTGATTTTTGGGATACTGTCGGTTCGGATCTGCGTCTGCAGTGCTGCTCGCGATTCGCGAAGCGCTGAAAGGAATCTGTGAATCGCGGACACCTCCCGTCTTCAGCGATCCGTGTTTCGCATATTTCTTGTAACCAGGTCGATCGGTCGCTTGGTTCAATACACCTACGCGAAGAAATTCGGCTGACGTGGCCTACTCTCAGCCACATTGTAACTGAGAACCCCGTGGAACCAGCACAGCCCTTGGGAATATCGACTAGGACGTGACGCCAAGTAGCACCCACGTGGCACGTTGCCAGAGTCCTCCCCAGAGCTCCGCCCACAAACCAGACAAGGCTGCCTTAAAGAAAGAAACCAAATTCAGAAGAGGTAAGTACTGTATGTTGGCCAAGTATACTCTAGCTTCTGCAAAAATCCCTGGCGCTAGTAAGATCAGGTTGTTTCTGTAGACACATAGAAGCCTCTCCGTTCACTGATTATTGCGAATTAACTTCTTCTTGTAGAGCTCCCCGAAGGGGCTTCCCTCGGTCATTTGGATTTGTAGACGCTACAGCCATGGCCACTCGAGCTCTCCTCCATCCCCACTCTAGTCCTTCAGCTTTCCGATCGTCAGGACTTGCCACCCTCGGCTCTAGGCTTCAACAGAATGCCGTATTCTCTCATTCCGGTCAGCTAGATTCAGCCACCCCTGAGCTGTTCGCTCAACGACCTAAAACTGCCAAACCTGTCATGACTCACTCTGGTAGGAAGCATCGCCGAAGCATCAATCGCGCTGCAGGAAGTACAACAGGGACCAAAATCGCTGATGTCGATTCTGGCAAGGCTGACGTGGCAGAAGGCGCGGTGCCGCCAGCTGTGATCGCGGACCTTATCGCCTTTCTTCAACAAGAGCTGCCGAAGCTGTTCGTGGAAGGGGTGAGTGACAGTACACTACCACCATGACTACCACTGGTTGTGAAGTTGACTGCTGCTAGGGGAGTGGTTTGCCGTTTCCAAGGCTTTTCGTTCATTTCTATAATTCGCTTCCATCGTCGCAATTCTCCCCCCGTTTTTTCAGGGCATGAGCTCGGCGCGCTTTGCGGATAAAGTGGAGTTCGAGGACCCCATAACGCGCTACGACACTCTGGCGGGATACCTCTTTAATATCCAGATGCTGCGGTACCTATTCCACCCCGTCTTCATTCTCCAAGACACGTATCAGGTACGCACCGCATCTCCTTACCCCGAACAAGTTCTAATTAACTACTGGATAGTTACGATTGGGTATGGCAGCAGAACAGCAGCGGCCATGGTTTTAAAGGTGCATGAGATTACGCTGTAAGGTCACTCTAACCGAAGTACACGTGGCAAGCAATAGTCACACAACGTAACCATTTAAACGGCAGTCCATAGTATGGACCGAAGTATGGACCTCGAACGTGGTGACCACTATGCGTGGTAATGTTGGGAGCGTCCATCCCTCCCTTCCCCGCGTTTTCTAATCTATCTGGATGCTTCCAATGTGACCCCAATTTCCCCATCCATCCAGCTCCCTCCCCTCCCTGATTCATGCCTTCTCCCTTCTCACGCGTTCTCCCTCTCACCGATTCTCCCTCTCACGCATTCTCCCATGATCACGTGCCTCCCACCTATCCAGTCCGGCGCTGCAGAGATCACAACACGGTGGACCATGAAGATGTACTTCTGGCTGCTGCAGTGGCTCCTCCCCCCACCCTGTCTCCGCTCACATGTTCGTTCCCTGTCCTCCCCATGTCGCCGTTGGCAGTCCGGCCCTGCAGAGATCACAACGCGGTGGACCATGAAGATGTACTTCTGGCTGCTGCCATGGCGCCCCGAGGTGGTCTTCACAGGCCTCTCAATCTACGGCATCGACCCTCAGTCGCAGCAGTTCATCAGTCACAGGGACGTGTGGGACTCCATTCAGGACAACGGCTACTTCTCTCAGGAGGGCCTCCGGGACTTGATTAAGCAGATGATGACGCTCTACTCTCCCCCTGCTCAATTGAACTCTCCGCCGATTGATGTTCTCCTTCGTCGAGCAAGCTATGAGGTGGGTGACGACGGGTCATGGTCCATTGTTCACGGGTATCTTGGCCTACAGGTATGTGTGTGACCCTCAGTCGCAGCAGTTCGTCAGTCACAGGGACGTGTGGGACTCCATTCAGGACAACGGCTACTTCTCCCAGGAGGGGCTACGAGATTTGGTGAAGCAGATGATGACACTTTACTCGCCGCCCGCCCAGCTCAACTCCCCGTCGTTTGATGTGCTGCTGAGGAGGGCGAGCTATGAGGTGGGTGACGGATCACGGTTGTGTGTGCTAGTCCCGGTTCACTGTGGTTGATGTGGGTTCGGCGAATGCTTCTCCCAGGAGGGCCCTTCGCGACCTGTTGCTGCAGATAAGTAGACTCTACTCGCCGCCTGCTCGACTGAACACCCTGCAGCAGCAGCAGCAACACCCTGACGTGGAGTGTCCTGCTGCTGCTGCTGCTGCTGCTGCTGCTGCTGCTGCTGCTGCTGCTGCTGCTGCTGCTGCTGCTGCTGCTGCTGCTGCTGATGTTGCTGCTGCTGTGGAGGGCAAGGTGTGTGAGTGCTGATTAGGAAGTGGGGTTACACTGGGAGAGGGTGAATGCTTCTTCCAGGAGGGTTCAGGTTCGGCATGAGAACAGGGCCAGGTTTTGAACACAGATGACGTTGATGCTGAATGGCTGGCAGTATACTCGCCGCCCTATACGCCACAGCTTTCCTGAATTCGATGTGTATGGCACCAGGCTACCTACAAGGTGGGTGTGTCTCTCCGGCTCACTCTCCCCTGTTGAAATAGCTGAAAGGCGTCTCACTGTACAGTATACCCTCGCTCTCCATCATTCTCCCCCTATCTGCGTGTATCTCGATCCGCTTCCCCCCTCCCTCCCTCCCCCTAACCTCTCCCTCCCTCCCCCCTACCCGTCCCTGCCTCTCCCCTCCCCTTCCACCCTCCCCTCCAGGTGCGGGACTACCCTGCCTTCCAAGTCGTTCATTTCCGCTCGCCCATCCAATCAGCGATTGACATCTGGCCCTCTGCTCCTGGCACTCCCCCCAGCCCAGCAGTGGAGAAGCTTAGGAGGTAAGCCACGGTTCACTGTACTCGTGCCTCTAGGCATTACGGTATCCTGTTGACATACCTGTTGGTTTAGTATCTTGTGTCTCTTATGGTGCAATGACCTTCCTTATGTTGCACCCGCTCAACGATCAGACGAAACTACTTTCTGCATTGCAGGATCGAGATTCGGGGTTATATATGCCGGAATTTCTCACTTTGTCCTGCATGGTTTTCCCTTGCAGGTACTTCCAGGGAGCCAACATCCAGACAAAAACTATTCCCGAGGGCCCACTCATGCTCATCAGCCCTCCAGATTCCTCTGGGCAGGATAAAATTCTGGCAATTGCGGTGCCTCTACATGCTGATGCTCCCACGCCGACCGATCCTGACCTGACTGTTGCCACGATGCCACGTGGCACATGGGCGGCAGCATCATTTGGAGGGCTGCCATTGGTAGAAACATTCTCATCTGCAGCTGCTGCTCTGCGCGCCAACGCCACCTCTGATAGCCTGCTACTGGCCTCAAGAGGGGCTGGCTCTGATGGTGCTACAGCCGCTCCTGGCAGCACTGCCACAGATGTTGTGCAGAGTGGTTTGACGTTGGGTGCTGCTGCCTCAGCGCTGGTGTCCTACCCTAGTGGCTCCCCGATTCCGTTTCTGAAGGTAAAATGTGTAGGCACTCTGGTTGATTGCATTACCTTCTCCATTTGAACCTCACCTTCTCCCGTACTCATTTTGGATGTTGTTCGGTGTGCTTGTGCAGAGAAACGAGGTGCTCTACAGACTGGAAGATTTCACGTTGGAGTCTGTCGGAAAGACTATCAATCTTATATAAAAGATGTGTGTACCTGCATGTAACGTATTGGAATTACGTGTAAAAAAAAAATGCACATCATATGTTACACAGCCTGCAATTCAGACCTTTAGGTTTTCCATTCCCTTCGTGTCGCGGGGTACACTCGTGCCTTGTATGGTGGCAACATGCGTCTTCGTGCGAACAAAGGGCATCACTGGCTTGACTGATTGTACGAACTGGGAGACACAATGCGATTGGTTCCCAACAGACCGCCCGGGGCCGAAATCGCTGATACTCTGGCAGATGACGCAACTTATCTGACGAATTTGGTATCGACACATCAGAAACGATTCTCACCTCGTCATCAAACCAGGGTTCCCACAGCGGCGCACCCAAGCGCGGTGTGCCAGCATAGCATTCTGTCCGCCGCTCTTGAACAGTTTTTGACCATTTCAGATGCTTCTGTCCTCCACGCGTTGCGCCGCCGTCTTTCCACACGACACGACACGATTCGCACGCTCGCATCGTATCGCATTGCTTCGCATCGCATGGCCTCCTCCAGGTGAGCGAACACGAGCGCGGTGCCGCCGGAGGGCGTGGCGTGTGTCCGCCCCACCTTCCCCGTCACCCTTCCGCCGATTCCTTCCCTTTTCTCCAGCCCAGAAGTATGGGCGCAAGAGTCCCCAGTCCCCGGTTGGCGGTTTCGGGCAACGCATTTCTTTTGTTGTACAGCACCCAAAGCCACTTGTCTTCGTTACTGAGAAATTCTTTTTCTTGTATTTTGCCATCCTTTGACATGTTTTACCGTCCAGTAAGAAATTCGTGCCTGGTATTGAAATTTATTTCCCAATGATGATGAAACATGCCTCATTGAGACTAGTAATCCCCTCCCTACCACAGCCCAGCACCCACCCCCCACAACTACGGCAATTGCGCCCACCCTACACTACTATGCGCAAACCACAAACGTTTGGTGAGCTTGGGGCGATGAAACATCTAGATCCTTCTCTTTGGTGACGAGAGTGAGTCTCTGGAACGTCGATGAACATTGGAATTTAAGACGTGGCCTTGAACAACTTGAACACGAGCTGGTGTTTCATGGCCGTCTTCACGGTGCCGTCCAGACCGTAAATGAACGCGGTACCCGAGTACCCAATATAGGCGCCCGTGGCTCCCGTCACGGCAACCCTCCCAACATTCTCCGTCCACTTGAAAGCACCTGAACGACCGACGAGGAGCAGCATACGTCATTATTAAAAAATGTATTGTGCCTTGCAGCTTTGTGTGCCATACATCCGCCTTCAGCGTTAGTCGCGATCCGATGAAAGGATGCAATATGTAAGATTAACGTTAGCCCACCTGAGACGGTAACGATTCCATTGGGGAAGTTAAGGCTGCAGGAGAGCATAAGCATGTCATTCCACAGGACTATCCCAGTGAGGTAATGCTGCCCAACCTGAAAAATAAAAAAAAAAATCAAACAAAGAAACGTATGAACTGATGTCAGCGGCATGGAAAAAAAAAAAAAGCGAGTTCAGCTTAGAAATATATATAATGTCCTTTGTATAGATATACACGCGTTCCAATTTCACACTACGACATGGAGCTGGAGTGTGCCTACCTGGCAGACAGAGCGATGGATAAGTTATTACCTTGCCCGTAAAATCCTTCGACTTGTAGAGAGGGGTGCTGTACATGACCGTCGACCCCATGTCGCCGGTTCCGCTCTGCCCACATTGTGTGGTTCCAGCAAGGGAGAGAGAAAGAAAAAAGGCGAAACGAGACTGAGAAAAGGTGCAGTCGACGGGGAAATACATCTTAGGAGAATCCAAAATGTAGCGCCGGCGCCCCTGTCAACTCACCTTTGTGAGGTTGGTGTTGACGTTGAGGTTTTCGTACAGCACGACAATCAAGCGCTTGTACTTGGAGTTGCTGCTGCTTCCGTCGTCCTTGCTGCTTCCGTCCTTGCTGCCGTCCTTGCTTCCGTCCTTGCTGCTGCCGTCCTTGCTTCCGTCCTTGCTGCTGCCGTCCTTGCTGCTGTCGCTCGAAGCTGGAAGTGATGCGGAAGGAGAAATATGCGAGCGTCACAACGGTAAGTGAGGAATCCTGACCAGAAATCGGCACGATAACACTTAAGGGAAGCAAAACAAAGACATAAGAGCCATAAAATGCTGGTCAGGGCTTGAGTCGACGCAACATTCGTCCGCTGATGATGCGCGATGCGTTTACTCATCCATCTGGCAAAAGAAAAAACTGATAAGAAGCATTCACAAAATGGTAGTCGAAGGTACATTTGACGCACCCGGCTGAAGAGCAGCGACGTGCTGGCCGACGAGAATGAGCGCCAGGAGCGCGACGAGAAGCACACGAGTTCCGCGAGCCATGGCGAGGAGAGCGTGAGGGATCGAGCGGAAGAGAGATTATGGTGCTGGAGAAGGGGGCTGAGGAGAGCGATTTGTGTTGGATTGGAATGGGGAATGGACTTGACCAGGCGCCTAAAATACCTGAAGCTGGAGCGCTCAACCTGGACATCAAGGGGCCGTAGCTGACCCGCGCGGAGCAAGGGTGGGCAGCGCAGGGGAGTCAAGGTTTCCCCCAATGGCGGAAGGCATTGGCGGGAGACGGCGGAAGGGCTTGGACGAAAATGGCGGCCACAAGAAGCATGCGAAGACGACGGTAAAACAACCCGAGTAACCACCTGTATAGGGGCACAGATCCGCTTCCAATTGGTGGACGATCGCGCCGCGAACCCCTTGTGGCGGAAGTTTGCGAATGGAATCTTTTCGGGGGGGGTGGTGGTTGTGATGAAATCTCGTCGGAAGGATCGCAACCTGAAAATAGTCCCCTCCCTCGCACCCAGAACCACGTTACAGAGAATTCTGATGTACGATTGTCACGGCTCAATCCAGGGATGTAGGAAACGGAACTTATGCAATAAGCAGAGTTGGTTTGTAGTATGATATTTACTGGACCTCGCTGTACGAGGCTCTGAGATAACATCTGGCAAGTAGTTCTATAAGAAATGAATTTAATCAGGTCTAAATCAAAGACTTTACACCAGAGTTGCCTTTTATAAACCATGCAAGACTCAAGCTAACTGGTTTCAGAGGCAGCGCATATGGAACAACCGGTTCCTTCTTCCCCCGCACCACTGAGGTTGCTGCTTCTCCCCCATGCCGTCCCATCTGTCGTATCTTCCCCATATAAGCTCCATCCATCAATAAGTCCTCGCTAGAAAATATTTTGGACTTAGAATCGCTCCAATCTGCTACTGTAGCTTGCACGCCGACACCAGGGAGGAAAATGTTAGATTGTGAGCGGATGACTGTCAGCCCATAACGTCTACCTTTTCTCCCCCCAGCAGCTGCTGTAGCCACGGTTGTAGCCTCTTCTGCAGCTGTAACTGCAGTTGCATCGCCTTCTGTAGCCGTATAAGCAGCTCCTTCGGTATAGTCACTTCCCATGTACCCAGTGCTCGTGTAGGTGCTGTTATCACCTATAGTTGCCTCTTCAACCCATCCAGGAGCACGGCCCCTAACAGCCAGGCACCCGAACAACCAACCGGCAAATAAATTATTCGCCATGTGGCACATTGCCCCCGCACATAAAACATCCGGGCTGCCCGGCCCGTCAAAAAAGTTTCGGAAAATTGTGACATGAACAGGACGGCGGAGGCTAGGAGGGGGGAGGGGAGGTGGGAGGAGGGGCGTGACGGTAAGCATAGCGTCGCCGCCGTTACGGAGGTGACTATTGGAGATGGTGATATTAGTGGAGAAGCGGGAGAGGGAGATGAGGGCACGTGGCGAGGATTGGAGTGTACAGTGGTCGATCCAGATGTTGTGAGACGATCGGATGGAGATCAGATTCTGAGGTGCTGACAGCGACCGGGGAACGTCTGCAACTGTAGAGAAAATGGGGCACAAGGGGGAGGGAGGGAGACGAGGGCACGTGGCGAGGATTGGAGTGTGCAATGTTCGATCCAGATGTCGTGAGACGCTCGGATGGAGATCAGATTCTGAGGTGCGGACAGCGACCGGGGAACGTCAGCTACTGATGATTTTGGGAAACGGGGGAGTGGGGGAGGTCGGAAAAGTGGGTGGAAGGGGGGGTCGGGGGGAAAGAGGGGGAAATAGAGGCGGGGGAGTTAGGGGCGTGTGCGGAAAGGCGAAAGGTATATAGTGGGGAGCCGAGGCAGCTGGATGTATAGTGCACGTGGGGGAGTGTGCAAAGCGAGTAAATGGAAAGCAGCTTAGCACTGTTCAGCTTCAATTGACAGCAGAGGGAAAGACCGCAAAAGAGAATTTTGTAAAAAGAAAGGCGATTGGCAGATGCAGCCCAATCGGTAAGCCCAATCGGTTTTCAGTGGCACTAAAAACCCAATAATCTTCGAACGCTCAGCCTTTACGTGACGGAGGGGACGGGGGGAGAAATAGTTGAAGAAAATAGGAGCAGCAGCAACTCACATTGCAAGTTGTGGATGATAATACTCCTGGAACCTCTAATCACCACCGCGCCGCCAGCGACTCGCACTCTCGCGCCTCGCCCATCCAATGTCACGTGCGAACCGAGTCGCAGCGGACCGCTCAACCTTATCTCCATGTTCCGGCTAAACCGCACGTATACTCCAACCGCTAGGTACCGCACTAAACCCCACCGCAGCGTGCCCTGCGTCATGCTGTCGTCGTCGGACGAGACAACGTACTCCACCCGGCCGTAGCCGCCCCGGGCGGCCTGGCTGTAGCCGAGCGCGCATTGGTGGAGCGGCACGGGGAGAGAGAAGGCACACTCGTCGGGGAGGCGCGCGGAGCGGGGGACGAGGCGGGTCATCGGGCTGTCGTAGCGCGGCTTGCGCTGGTCGATGCGCGGACTGCTGCTGTTGTTCGAGTGATCGTTACTGCTGGTAACACTGCTGCTGATGCTGCTGCTGCTGTTGCCGCTATAACTACTGTTGCCACTGCCGCCATCGACAGCGCTGCTTACGTTGACGCCGCTGCTATTGCTGCTACTTTCACCGTTGCTGGCGAAGGCGATGCTATTCGAAACCGTCTGACGGTCTTTAGTCAGTGCCTGCGTCGCGACTGGCGCAGGCGGCGGAATCGGCGTACGCGATGGTCGCGCGTCCTGAGGCGGCTCTAGAGCGCCGGAAGGAGTTTCTCGAGGGATCAGAACTGGGCGCGCGCGAATGCGATCACGAACATGTGGTGGAAGAGTGGCAGAGCAGCACGCGACGAGCAGGAGCGCTAACAGTGCGAACAAATACCGCTTATAGAGCCGGAATATTTCAAGGCGAAACACGTTCCGCGTCCGCGCTCTTACCGATCTGGATGTACTACGGCACGCGCTTGGGTAGGAAGGGAGTAAAGTAAGTTCTGCCAGAGGCGCTACGAGAAGCTGACGGGGCATGGGCGAAACATTCGTGCGGCTCGGCTTCCTCTGCTATAGTCGAAAATCATCAAGCTCCTGTGGTCAGAGACAATGCTAAAATCTTTCTCGCTCCCTGAGCGAAAAATGGCTTTCCTTTTCACTTATCTTGCAGCACTCAGAGAATGCGCGGAAGACAGGCACGTGAGCGAGGCGACGGGAACACCGACAGAGATGGTGGGTGAAGTGAAACGATGTTTCCAAGGGTGGGTCGGTTGGTGCGGTTGGGAAGGCATTGGATGTTGGATGCAACTTGGTGGTTGGAAATTTCTTCAGCCCATCTCGAGGCGCGCGATTGTTCAAACGAATTCGCAAACTGCCGCAACTGGCGCCGTGCGAGGTGCTAGTCTGAGGTTTTCGTGCTTGATTTTCGCATTTGGCTTCACTAAGAAATCGAGGAAACTGGCGAAACACGTTACGAATAAAATTCAAGTGCAACACAATTACATAATTCATAGAACAAACGTTATACTTCACTACATCTTAATAAACACATTGGTTGCTAGCTTGCTAAACGGGAGAAGCTAGCTACTATCAACACTCACAACGTTATGACGTAGGTAACATAGACCCTGCAACTCGCACTTGGTGCGACGCTGATGCGCCTGGAGCCGCGTCACCCACTTGGGTCAACTGAACAGCGGCAGACGGCGGAGGGGGAATGGTGATATAAGCCAGGCGGCTAGGACCCTCAGGAGGCAGAAGGGGCATTGCCGAACCGGATGGTGTCATACCCACAGGCTCCGACAATCCACCGCCCTGGCCATTACTTACCATGCTCCCATGTAACCCCTGCTGCTCAGGTATGTCGCTGAGGTTGCCTTGGTTGTTCCCCAGCAGGCGGCTCGGAATGAGGGAGGTTCGGCAGAGAGGACAGGAGGAATTGGTCTTGAGCCATGCATCAATGCAGTCCTGGGGACAGGCGACAGAGGAAAGGAGGGGGGACGGGGAAGAGAGAGGGAGGGAGAGGAGCAGGTGAGTGGAGTTCAGGGAAAAAGTAAGGTGTTGCAAAGTGATGGAGAAGGCGAGGGGACAGCATTATAGCTGGGGATGGGGCGGGTGGAGGGCAATACCCTGACTTACTGCATCGCATGACTTACTGCATCCCTGCTATCCACAAAATCCTGAAGAAAAAAAGAGTGCAATAACTCATCCCTCTCCCACTCTTTTATTTCCTCATTTTTTCTCTTTCTCTCTCCGCTCTCCTTCTATCTCCTCTGACGCACTATCTTTCCTACTCTCTCACACACACCTGGTGGAATTGGTGATTGCATGCATGAAGCTGTCTGATGACGTCACCAGTCTTGTACTCCCCCAAACAGACAATGCACTCCCGCTCATCATCCCCCTCCTCCCGGCCCGCTCTCCCCCCCGCGCCGTTTCCATCACTCTCTCCGCCCGCCGCTTCCGCCGTAGCCGACCTTCTGCTGCTGCTTCTCCCGCTCGCCCCCAGAGCTCCGCCTTCCGCCACTCCGCCTCCGCCCACCCCGTGTTCCGCCGCTCCCCCTCCCCCGTCCCCGCCAAGGGCGCTGGTCCCGCCAGCTTCAAGGTCATCCCCTGGCTCAACGTACGTAAAAGACTTTCCGAGCGTCTTAATTATGTGGTCCGGAACGCCGGAGCGCAGATTCCGGCCGTCCATAAGTAATCCGCGGTTCCCCACTGGCTGAAGGCTCTGCGGGTCGGGATCCTGCGTGGCGGCTCTCTGGTGCTGCCACGTGGCACGCGCCTTTACAAAGGAGAGGATTAAAACGAGGATGACGAGCAGGATGAGCACGGCGACGACTGCGATGTTGAGCTGTCGCAGAGAGATGACGGATTCGTATGCGATGGTCGCGGGCGACGTCGCATTGTCGGGGGAAGGCGGGGGAGGGGAAAGAGGCGGGGGAGGCGGAAACTGCGGAGGGGGAGCGGGGCTGCTGGTGATGTTACTCGCGCTCGTGACATTCGCCGCCGCGACTACCATATTGGACGGTTGGCGTGGCGCAAGATATGCGGTTTAAAGGAAGAAACAAACGAGGGTACGTAGAGTCTTAGCGGGCTCAAGCTCAGAGTAACACTGGACCTTGAACTGCGCTACGCGAAGAACGGGAACCGTGAATACCGAAACTGGTGCTAGGTCTACTTTCGTGTCAGCTTACCGACCCGGTTACATCGTTCGCCATAAGAAGGCCATAAAAGCATGCCTGTGAGGAGCCACCAACGCATCAGCCTCCTCTAAGGTCGAACGGAATAAGAGGCTGCCACGGAGCGGAAATTGCGGGAGCAGAATCGGGGCTGAATAGATTCTTCCACAGTCCCGGCTGTGAAGAAGTGCGCGGGGGAGGGGGAAGGGTGTGTGGTTTCCGCGCCAACCAGGTGGCGGGGGAAGCTCGGGGGCAAGTGCGAGACAGATTCTTCTTTGGTTCGGTCCAGGCTTGGTATGGGCCAGGCCGTGGTCAATCGGCGGTGCGCCCCATTTCGAACCGTAGGAAATGGTCCGGCATCTGGTTGAGTTTTGGGACTCCTCCCACACCCATGGCACATCGGGGTGCTCGAGGGAGCTGTCGCCACGCCACTAGCCGTGAAAAAAGGGGAACGAAGCAACCAGACGGTGAAAAGGTCTAGCTGTGACAAATTGCAGACATTTTCACGGTTTGGCTCGGTTTTTTTAATTAAAATTTACCTTGTTCTTTGTAGCACCTGTGGGATTTCTCATCAGCGCCAATGTGACCAGTGGGAATTGGCTTGGTCGGACACCCGAACCGACCGAACCGAACCCAAACGGGCTCACACCACACCTAAAGAAACAAATTCCCAAGCACCTGATTGGCTCCCTGAAGGGCCTACAAACTCGGCAAGAAATTGACTGGCTTTCACGTCAGCCTCGGAAAAGGGGTTTGGGCTGGTGTGTCCATCTGCGAACCGGTTGTGGAGATTCGGTACTCTAGTACACTCCAATGTGGGAACTGCTTATGTACATTGGATGTTATGCTTCTTTGATGCCTTCGATGCATGCGATGCGACCACTAGCCCTCAAACAAATATTGCACATGCAGAAAACCCCCACCAGCCCCATTTTCCCTAACCAGCAACCTTCTCCCGCGCACTGCTGCCATTCCTTCATCTCCGGTCGCGAAACAGAGAATTGAGGGGAAATGGGAGGCAAGACGAAAGGAAAGGGCAAGAAGGCCGCTGAATCGCCCTCGCCAGCGCAGTCCCCTCAAACTTCCCGCAATGCCGCCAGCTCCCCTTCCGCGTCCCGCGCCGAATCCTCGTCGAGCGCCCAAATGCCCGCGTGCTTCGACGACTTGTTCGGCGGAAAGAGACTAGACGTGAAAATCTCTGCAATAGATGACGTGGCGGCTCGAGACACGTCAGCAGCCGCCCAGATATGGCTCCATCCTGCAGCGATGACGGCTGATGACGTGGCCGTGGGCGACATGGTCGCGGTAAGGCCTTTTAAGAGCATCTTGTCGCAATAGGCTCGCTGGATTCGGCCGCTTTAGTACCGGTTATCTCTAGTGCAAACGGGGTATAGAGCCTCAAGTTCAGGGTCCAGGGTTTGGGACTTATCCGTGGCTTTGGTATGTAGGTCTGAATCTTCCACCGGGATCTCTTTCCCCCGTTTTCCCCCTCAACTCTTTCCCCCTATATTCCCTCCCCCTCCCCTCCCCCTCCCCCCCCCCCCCCCCCCCCCCCCCCCCTCTTCCGCCCCTCCTTCCTTTCCCCCTCCCTCTTCTGACCCCCTTCGCCCTCCCTCAACGCCCATCTCTCGTCTTTTCCCTGTTTTCCCAACCCATCGATCAGGTGGTGTGCAGCGATCCTCAAACCGCACAGCCAGTCCCACCCCTCCAGCTGGCACAGGAGGCTCTCCAGCTGGCAACGCCTGATTGGACGCAGCATCCTGATTGGCCAGCGATTGCGGCCCGACTACCCGGGCTGTACTGTGCTTTAGGTACCGTTTGGCCGGCGCCTAAGATTCCCAAATCCTGCTGCCGCCTCTCTTGGCAGCTAGCAGACAGCCTAGGCCGCCCGGAGGAAAGCACCCGCCTTTTTGTCTTCACTCTCAAGGCCGGGTGGCAACAGAATCTGAGTCTAAGTTCGCCGCATGGTGAACAGGCGGTCGTGCAGCCAATCCCGTGCGGACAGCTGGCGCTGACGTGGCTGGAACCACTGGATTGCAGTGCTAGTGCTGATGTGGACAAGTCAGCAGCAACAGGGGAGGGAGACGGAGGGGGAGAAGCAGAGGCATTGCAAAGAACACCAGTCAGAGGAGGAGGAGCAGCAGCACCCTCTCTCGCCTCTCCAGTACCCTGTACCCCCCCTCGCACCTCCCAACGTCCCCTCTCCGCCTCTTCTTCCTCCCCCTTCACAACCTCCTCCCCTTCCCCTTCTTCCAGCACCCCCTCCACTGTTGCACGGCGCCTTGAGCCTAGAACACCCAGTAGTATGCAAAAAATGTCGACTCCAGGTAGTGCTGCTACTCCGGGCAGTGCAAAAAAGGCTCCCTTTGTCAGTGAAGAGGAGATGGAGAGGGCTCGTTGGGCAGCTGTGAAAAAACTTATCGGGCAGACGGAAGGAAATGGAGCAACCAATAGCAGTGGCAGGAGCAATAACGGCCTTCAGGGTATTCGGCTTGTGGAGGTTTTTGCTGCCCGATGGCTGCTGGGCCGCACGCTTCTGCCCGGAAACATTGTGGTGGTGCCTGTGTGCGGGCAGGACTGCTGCTTTGTGGTTTCCCATGGCACTGCAGCAACAGCAAGAACAGCATCCGCAATAGATACAGCAGCGAAAACAATTGGAGAATCAGGGAAGCAAGCAGCATGTGCAGCAGCAGCAGCAGCAGCAGCAGCAGCAGAGGCAGCAAGACCACTGCAAGTAGGTCCCCAGACTACTGTCCTCGTATCCTCTCCTCCTTTAGTGTCACCGCAGGACAGAGGCGCAGGCACAGCAGCAAGTGCAGCAGCAGATGCGGCAGCAGTAGCAGCAGCAAACATTCCTGTGCCGCCGTTCCTCCTCACTCCTGCCAGCATCCCTATTGGAGCGAGGGAAACGGAAGGAGAAAGTGTTAACTGCAGTGGAGAAGAGAGGCTGGCAAAGGAAGGGGAGGAGAGGGAAAAGGACGAGGATGGGGAGGGAAAAGGGGGAGGGGCAGCGGCGGTGGCAAGGCGGGTGGCAGGGGATTTGAGGGGGATCACGCTGGGGTCGGTGGGGGGGTTGGTGGAGCAGAAGAGGGCTCTCAAGGAAGCAGTGCTGCTGCCCCTCCGACACCCGGACCTTTTTCACAGGTACTGCATGAGCTGAATACTGAATGTCCACAGGTATAGCAGAGCTTTGTTTGCCTGCTGTTTTAGTCTATCGTGCCGAACTCCCTGCTCGTTGCTTTACTCCAAAGCTCCAAATCCCCGAACCTACGTCCATACCAAAAGACCAGGTACGGCATCAAGCCGCTGCATGGCATTCTGCTGCACGGGCCGTCTGGCACGGGCAAGATGTCGCTGACTCTTACTATCACCACCTTCCTTCCGTCTTCTTCCTTCTCTCCTTCTGCATTCCTCCCCACCCCACACCACCAGGTACGGCATCAAGCCTCCGCGGGGGATATTATTGCACGGGCCGCCCGGCACGGGCAAGACGTCGTTGGCTCGGGCGGTGGCGGCGGAGGCGGGGGTGGCGTTGTTTGTCATTAATGGGCCGGAGCTCGTGAGCGAGTTCTTTGGGGAGAGCGAGGAGGCTCTTAACGAGGTGTTCTCCGCTGCCCAGGAGGCTGCACCGTCGATTGTGAGTGGTGCAGTGCGGTGTGGTGCGGTGTGGTCCAGTGCTGTGCGGTGTGGTGTGTATGGACGATCTGGGCACCACAGTCCCTGCCGGAGCTCGTGAGCGAGTTCTTTGGGGAGAGTGAGGAGGCTCTTAACGAGGTGTTTTCTGCTGCACAGGAGGCTGCACCATCCATTGTGAGTGGTGCAGTGCGGTGTGGTGCGGTGTGGTGTGGAGTGGTGTGGTGTGGAGTGGTGTGGTGTGGTAACGTGAGGTGCGGTGCGGTTTGGTACGGTGTGGCGTGGTATGTTCATAGACGTACTTGACACCTCCGCCCCACCAGAAGCTGGCCCGGAGCTCGTGAGCGAGTTCTTTGGGGAGAGCGAGGAGGCTCTTGACGAGGTGTTCTCAGCCGCCCAGGAGGCTGCGCCATCCATTGTGAGTGATTGGGTTGATGTGGTGTGGTGCGGTGTGGTGCAACGCGGTATGTTGCGGTGTGGTTTGGTACGGTGTGGCGTCATAGACGTGCTGGACGCCACGGCCCCACCAGAAGTTGGGCCTGAGCTCGTGAGCTCGTGAGCTCGTGAGCGAGTTCTTTGGGGAGAGCGAGGAGGCTCTTAATGAGGTGTTCTCTGCTGCCCAGGAGGCTGCGCCGTCCATTGTGAGTGGCGCGGTGCGGTGCAGTGTGGTGCAGTGCGATTCGGTGTGGTGTGGTTTGGTGAGGCATGGGATGATGTGGTGTGGTATGGGGTGGCCAGGATGCAGAAAATCTGTCTCTTTGCATGGTGGCGGCCCTTCTCACTGTCCTGGATGCCACCTCCTCTCACGTACTCCCTTCTACACCCCTTCTCACCCCTCCTCACCCCTCCTCACCCCTCTTCACCGCACTGCACCCAGGTGTTTATTGACGAGCTGGACGCCATAGCCCCCGCCAGAACTCGAGACGCAGAGGACCTGTCTCACCGCATGGTGGCCGCCCTTCTCACCATCCTTGATGGCACCTGTGCTCCCGTGCTCCCCATCTAACCCCTCTTCACCGCATTCCACCCAGGTGTTCATAGATGAGCTAGATGCCATAGCCCCCGCCAGAACGCGTGATGCAGAGGACCTGTCTCACCGCATGGTGGCCGCCCTTCTCACCATCCTTGATGGCACCGCCTCAAGTGCTGGAGATGGGGGAGCAGGGCAAGGCGAAGGAAGAGGGGGCAAAAGAGGAGAAGGGGAAGGAGGGGTGGGAGGGAAGGAAAAGAGGGCGGTGGCATTGGGGAGGGGTGTGGTGGTGATTGGGGCGACCAACCGCGTGAATGCGATTGACCCGGCACTTAGGCGACCAGGGAGGTTCGATCGAGAGGTGGAGATTGGTGAGTGGTGAGAGGAAGGTGTAGAGTGCGGTCGAAAGTGGTGCATGCTCGTTGTCTCCCCAACGAAACAATTCCGTGTTTATTTGAAATAATTCCATCCGAATCATACTGTTCTTCCTTTCAGGCATCCCCACTCCTTCCGACCGCCTCGCAATCCTCGGCACCCATCTGTCCCGCATGGCGCACGCGCTGTCACCCGAGGCCATCCACGTCATCGCCAGCTCAGCAACGCACGGATTCGTCGGTGCTGACATCAGCGCGTTGTGCTCCGAAGCTGCTGTAGCAGCGCTGAGGCGAATCGTGGAGGAGAAAGAGAGGCAGGGAGGGACGACACGTGGCGAGGGCAGGGAGAGAGACCAGAACTGTTCTACCAACCGTGGTGGTGCTGGTGCTGCCAGTGCTGGCGATGTTGCCAGTACTGCAAGTAAGGAAGGTGTTGAAAGCCCCTGTGCGATGCGGCTGGCAGTGTGTGACGAGGACTTTGAAGTGGCCCGGCGTCGCATTCGACCCAGCGCTCTCAGAGAGGTGAGGGGGGCAGAAAGGGATGTGGGTACTGATTGTGCTGCCAGTGCTGCCACACCCCCCCTGTAACATGGCTGTCTCGTTCCCATGTGTGCCCTCCCCTTGTCCTCCTACCAGGTGGCAGTGGAGGTGGAAACCCCCTTCCCTTGCATGCGTGCCCTGTTTCCCCACCCACTAGGTAGCAGTGGAGGTGCCAACAGTGCGGTGGAGTGACATTGGAGGACTTGAAGGCATAAATCAGCGGTTGAAAGAAGCAGTGGAGTGGCCGTACACGCGTGCACATGAGATGAGAGCCATTGGCGCCACACCCCCCTGTAACACGGGTGATGAGTGCACCACCCCCCTCTCCCCCTCCTACCAGGTAGCAGTGGAGGTGCCAGCAGTGCGGTGGACGGACATTGGAGGGCTGGAAGGCATCAAACAAAGATTGAAAGAAGCAGAGGAGTGGCCGTACACGCGTGCACATGAGATGAGAGCCATTGGCGCCACACCCCCCTGTAACACGGGTGATGAGTGCAACATCCCCCTCTCCCCCTCCTACCAGGTAGCAGTGGAGGTGCCAGCAGTGCGGTGGACGGACATTGGAGGGCTGGAAGGCATCAAACAAAGATTGAAAGAAGCAGAGGAGTGGCCGTACACGCGTGCACATGAGATGAGAGCCATTGGCGCCACACCCCCCTGTAACACGGGTGATGAGTGCACCATCCCCCTCTCCCCCTCCTACCAGGTAGCAGTGGAGGTGCCAGCAGTGCGGTGGACGGACATTGGAGGGCTGGAAGGCATCAAACAAAGATTGAAAGAAGCAGTGGAGTGGCCGTAAACGCGTGCACATGAGATGAGAGCCATTGGCGCCACACCCCCCTGTAACACGGGTGATGAGTGCACCATCCCCCTCTCCCCCTCCTACCAGGTAGCAGTGGAGGTGCCAGCAGTGCGGTGGACGGACATTGGAGGGCTGGAAGGCATCAAACAAAGATTGAAAGAAGCAGAGGAGTGGCCGTACACGCGTGCACATGAGATGAGAGCCATTGGCGCCACACCCCCCTGTAACACGGGTGATGAGTGCACCATCCCCCTCTCCCCCTCCTACCAGGTAGCAGTGGAGGTGCCAGCAGTGCGGTGGACGGACATTGGAGGGCTGGAAGGCATCAAACAAAGATTGAAAGAAGCAGTGGAGTGGCCGTAAACGCGTGCACATGAGATGAGAGCCATTGGCGCCACACCCCCCTGTAACACGGGTGATGAGTGCACCATCCCCCTCTCCCCCTCCTACCAGGTAGCAGTGGAGGTGCCAGCAGTGCGGTGGACGGACATTGGAGGGCTGGAAGGCATCAAACAAAGATTGAAAGAAGCAGTGGAGTGGCCGTACACGCGTGCACATGAGATGAGAGCCATTGGCGCCACACCCCCCTGTAACACGGGTGATGAGTGCACCATCCCCCTCTCCCCCTCCTACCAGGTAGCAGTGGAGGTGCCAGCAGTGCGGTGGACGGACATTGGAGGGCTGGAAGGCATCAAACAAAGATTGAAAGAAGCAGTGGAGTGGCCGTACACGCGTGCACATGAGATGAGAGCCATTGGCGCCACACCCCCCTGTAACACGGGTGATGAGTGCACCATCCCCCTCTCCCCCTCCTACCAGGTAGCAGTGGAGGTGCCAGCAGTGCGGTGGACGGACATTGGAGGGCTGGAAGGCATCAAACAAAGATTGAAAGAAGCAGTGGAGTGGCCGTAAACGCGTGCACATGAGATGAGAGCCATTGGCGCCACACCCCCCTGTAACACGGGTGATGAGTGCACCATCCCCCTCTCCCCCTCCTACCAGGTAGCAGTGGAGGTGCCAGCAGTGCGGTGGACGGACATTGGAGGGCTGGAAGGCATCAAACAAAGATTGAAAGAAGCAGTGGAGTGGCGCGTGCACATGAGATGAGAGCCATTGGCGCCACACCCCCCTGTAACACGGGTGATGAGTGCACCATCCCCCTCTCCCCCTCCTACCAGGTAGCAGTGGAGGTGCCAGCAGTGCGGTGGACGGACATTGGAGGGCTGGAAGGCATCAAACAAAGATTGAAAGAAGCAGTGGAGTGGCCGTACACGCGTGCACATGAGATGAGAGCCATTGGCGCCACACCCCCTCGTGGGCTGCTGCTCTATGGACCTCCGGGGTGCAGCAAGACGCTCTTAGCTAAGTAAGATGTTTAGGTTGCACGCAGGCCCCTGTGCCGGGTGGCGGAATCTCTTGTTTTATGCTGCTGCAGGGTGTTTTTGAGAATTCCAAAAAAACACCCTTTTCTCATCCTCAAATGGAGCCCTTTTTCCATTGGCATAGGCGCTCACCCTCTCTTTGCATACCGTTGCATGTGGCATACGGCCTGAGTGCAGGGCAGTGGCAACAGAAGCTAGGCTCAACTTTCTTGCAGTCAAGGTGAGTTGAAACGAGTCAACGCTAGTCAACAGAAGTCAATGAGAGTCAACGTGGGTCTACAAATAAGCTCGTGTGAGGCTGATGAGAAACATATTCCTCCTCCAATCTCCCCAGCGTGACTTTTGAGTCGACTCACGAGCTCGTGTGAGGCTGATACGAGGCTGATAAGAAACAATCTCCTCCTCCAATCTCCCCAGGGTCCGGAGCTGCTCTCCAAGTGGGTGGGCGAGTCCGAACGAGCCGTCCGAACCTTGTTCTCCCGAGCCAAGGCGGCAGCTCCGGCAATCGTGTTCTTTGATGAGATCGATGGGCTGGCAGTGGCGCGCAGCAAGGGAAGAGGAGGAGGAGCATCGGGAGGCGTGGGGGACAGAGTGATGACCCAGCTGCTGCTAGAGATGGACGGTGAGTGCGTGTGGGCCTTGTTGACATGCTGGGATTCATTAAAAGGGTGATGAGTGGCTGTGGGGGTTCGACAGGGATACTGATGGACCTTTAGAATTATCAGCTGGAAGTGGAGGTGTGGACGACCATGGTCCTGAGGCGTGACCTCTTAAATCTAGCCCTCCTGAGGCACTTCCTTTCATCCAATCTTCCACCCTTGTTTTCCCTGTCCCTCCCTCCCAGCCCTCACCCCATCCACTCAAGTCACTGTGATCGCAGCAACCAACCGGCCAGACCTCTTAGACCGAGCCCTCCTGAGGCCCGGCCGTTTTGACCGCCTCCTTTTCGTCCCGCCGCCCGACCTCGCCGCCCGGGAGAAGATCTTCGCACTCTGCCTGCGCAGCACGCCGCTGCATGCTGACGTGGACGCCTGCCAGCTCAGCGGCCAGCTGGCGGCGAGGAGCGAGGGGTACACGGGCGCTGATATTACTGCGATTTGTCGTGAGGCCAAGCTGGCAGCGCTGGAGGTGAGCTGGCAGTGGGTGGGGATGAGCTGGCAGTGGGTGGGGATGAGCTGGCAGTGGGTGGGGATGAGCTGGCAGTGGATGGGGATGAGCTGGCAGTGGGAGCGTCGATTCGCAGAGATAGAGCGTCGGCTCACAGATAGAGTGTCGACCCGCTGAGGTAGAGCGTGCACTCACAGATAGAGCGTCGACCCGTAGGGATAGAGCATAGACTCACAGATAGAGCGTCGACCCGTAGGGATAGAGCATAGACTCACAGATAGAGCGTCGACCCGTAGGGATAGAGCATAGACTCACAGATAGAGCGTCGACCCGTAGCGATAGAGCATAGATTCACAGATAGAGCGTCGACCCGTAGGGATAGAGCATAGACTCACAGATAGAGCGTCGACCCGTAGGGATAGAGCATAGACTCACAGATAGAGCGTTGACCCGTAGGGATAGAGCATAGACTCACAGATAGAGCGTCGACCCGTAGCGGATAGAGCATAGACTCACAGATAGAGCGTCGACCCGTAGGGATAGAGCATAGACTCACAGATAGAGCGTCGACCCGTAGGGATAGAGCATAGACTCACAGATAGAGCGTCGACCCGTAGGGATAGAGCATAGACTCACAGATAGAGCGTCGACCCGTAGGGATAGAGCATAGACTCACAGATAGAGCGTCGACCCGTAGATATAGAGCATAGACTCACAGATAGAGCGTCGACCCGTAGGGATAGAGCATAGACTCACAGATAGAGCGTCGACCCGTAGGGATAGAGCATAGACTCACAGATAGAGAGTCGACCCGTAGGGATAGAGCATAGACTCACAGATAGAGCGTCGACCCGTAGGGATAGAGCATAGACTCACAGATAGAGCGTCGACCCGTAGGGATAGAGCATAGACTCACAGATAGAGCGTCGACCCGTAGATATAGAGCATAGACTCACAGATAGAGCGTCGCCCGTAGGGATAGAGCATAGACTCGCAGATAGAGCGTCGACCCGTAGGGATAGAGCATAGACTCGCAGATAGAGCGTCGACCCGCAGGGATAGAGCATAGACTCGCAGATAGAGCGTCGACCCGTAGGGATAGAGCATAGACTCACAGATAGAGCGTCGACCCGTAGGGATAGAGCATAGACTCACAGATAGAGCATCGACCCGTAGGGATAGAGCATAGACTCACAGATAGAGCGTCGACCCGTAGGGATAGAGCGTAGACCCACAGATAGAGCGTCGACCCGTAGGGATAGAGCATAGACTCACAGATAGAGCGTCGACCCGTAGGGATAGAGCATAGACTCACAGATAGAGCGTCGACCCGTAGGGATAGAGCATAGACTCACAGATAGAGCGTCGACCCGTAGCGATAGAGCATAGACTCACAGATAGAGCGTCGACCCGTAGGGATAGAGCATAGACTCACAGATAGAGCGTCGACCCGTAGGGATAGAGCATAGACTCACAGATAGAGCGTCGACCCGTAGGGATAGAGCATAGACTCACAGATAGAGCGTCGACCCGTAGGGATAGAGCATAGACTCACAGATAGAGCGTCGACCCGTAGGGATAGAGCATAGACTCACAGATAGAGCGTCGACCCGTAGGGATAGAGCATAGACCCACAAATAGAGCGTCGACCCGTAGGGATAGAGCATAGACTCACAGATAGAGCGTCGACCCGTAGGGATAGAGCATAGACTCACAGATAGAGCGTCGACCCGTAGGGATAGAGCATAGACTCACAGATAGAGCGTCGACCCGTAGGGATAGAGCATAGACTCACAGATAGAGCGTCGACCCGTAGGGATAGAGCATAGACTCACAGATAGAGCGTCGACCCGTAGCGATAGAGCATAGACTCACAGATAGAGCGTCGACCCGTAGGGATAGAGCATAGACTCACAGATAGAGCGTCGACCCGTAGGGATAGAGCATAGACTCACAGTTAGAGCGTCGACCCGTAGGGATAGAGCATAGACTCACAGATAGAGCGTCGACCCGTAGTGGATAGAGCATAGACTCACAGATAGAGCGTCGACCCGTAGGGATAGAGCATAGACTCACAGATAGAGCATCGACCCGTAGGGATAGAGCATAGACTCACAGATAGAGCGTCGACCCGTAGGGATAGAGCATAGACTCACAGATAGAGCGTCGACCCGTAGGGATAGAGCATAGACTCACAGATAGAGCGTCGACCCGTAGATATAGAGCATAGACTCACAGATAGAGCGTCGACCCGTAGGGATAGAGCATAGACTCACAGATAGAGCGTCGACCCGTAGGGATAGAGCATAGACTCGCAGATAGAGCGTCGACCCGCAGGGATAGAGCATAGACTCGCAGATAAAGCGTCGACCCGTAGGGATAGAGCATAGACTCACAGATAGAGCGTCGACCCGTAGGGATAGAGCATAGACTCACAGATAGAGCGTCGACCCGTAGATATAGAGCATAGACTCACAGATAGTGCGTCGCCCGTAGGGATAGAGCATAGACTCGCAGATAGAGCGTCGACCCGTAGGGATAGAGCATAGACTCGCAGATAGAGCGTCGACCCGCAGGGATAGAGCATAGACTCGCAGATAGAGCGTCGACCCGTAGGGATAGAGCATAGACTCACAGATAGAGCGTCGACCCGTAGGGATAGAGCATAGACTCACAGATAGAGCGTCGACCCGTAGGGATAGAGCATAGACCCACAAATAGAGCGTCGACCCGTAGGGATAGAGCATAGACTCACGGATAGAGCGTCGACCCGTAGGGATAGAGCATAGACTCACAGATAGAGCGTCGACCCGTAGGGATAGAGCATAGACTCACAGATAGAGCGTCGACCCGTAGGGATAGAGCATAGACTCGCGGATAGAGCGTCGACCAGTAGGGATAGAGCATAGACTCACGGATAGAGCGTCGACCCGTAGGGATAGAGCATAGACTCGCGGATAGAGCGTCGACCCGTAGGGATAGAGCATAGATTCACGGATAGAGCGTCGACCCGTAGGGATAGAGCATAGACTCACGGATAGAGCGTCGACCCGTAGGGATAGAGCATAGACTCACGGATAGAGCGTCGACCCGTAGGGATAGAGCATAGACTCACGGATAGAGCGTCGACCCGTAGGGATAGAGCATAGACTCACGGATAGAGCGTCGACCCGTAGGGATAGAGCATAGACTCGCGGATAGAGCGTCGACCCGTAGGGATAGAGCATAGATTCACGGATAGAGCGTCGACCCGTAGGGATAGAGCATAGACTCACGGATAGAGCGTCGACCCGTAGGGATAGAGCATAGACTCACGGATAGAGCGTCGACCTGTAGGGATAGAGCATAGACTCACGGATAGAGCGTCGACCCGTAGGGATAGAGCATAGACTCACAGATAGAGCGTCGACCCGTAGGGATAGAGCATAGACTCACAGATAGAGCGTCGACCCGTAGGGATAGAGCATAGACTCGCGGATAGAGCGTCGACCAGTAGGGATAGAGCATAGACTCGCGGATAGAGCGTCGACCCGTAGGGATAGAGCATAGACTCGCGGATAGAGCGTCGACCCGTAGGGATAGAGCATAGATTCACGGATAGAGCGTCGACCCGTAGGGATAGAGCATAGACTCACGGATAGAGCGTCGACACGTAGGGATAGAGCATAGACTCACGGATAGAGCGTCGACCCGTAGGGATAGAGCATAGACTCACGGATAGAGCGTCGACCCGTAGGGATAGAGCATAGACTCACAGATAGAGCGTCGACCCGTAGGGATAGAGCATAGACTCACAGATAGAGCGTCGACCCGTAGGAATAGAGCATAGACTCACAGATAGAGCGTCGACCCGTAGGGATAGAGCATAGACTCGCAGATAGAGCGTCGACCCGTAGGGATAGAGCATAGACTCCCAGATAGAGCGTCGACCCGTAGGGATAGAGCATAGACTCGCAGATAGAGCGTCGACCCGTAGGGATAGAGCATAGACTCCCAGATAGAGCGTCGACCCGTAGGGATAGAGCATAGACTCCCAGATAGAGCGTCGACCCGTAGGGATAGAGCATAGACTCCCAGATAGAGCGTCGACCCGTAGGGATAGAGCATAGACTCGCAGATAGAGCGTCGACCCGCAGGGATAGAGCATAGACTCGCAGATAGAGCGTCGACCCGCAGGGATCGAGCATAGACTCGCAGATAGAGCGTCGACCCGCAGGGATAGAGCATAGACTCGCAGATAGAGCGTCGACCCGCAGGGATAGAGCATAGACTCGCAGATAGAGCGTCGACCCGCAGGGATAGAGCATAGACTCGCAGATAGAGCGTCGACCCGCAGGGATAGAGCATAGACTCGCAGATAGAGCGTCGACCCGCAGGGATAGAGCATAGACTCGCAGATAGAGCGTCGACCCGCAGGGATAGAGCTAAGACTCGCAGATAGAGCGTCGACCCGCAGGGATAGAGCATAGACTCGCAGATAGAGCGTCGACCCGTAGGGATAGAGCATAGACTCGCACATAGAGCGTCGACCCGTAGGGATAGAGCATAGACTCGCAGATAGAGCGTCGACCCGTAGGGATAGAGCATAGACTCGCAGATAGAGCGTCGACCCGTAGGGATAGAGCATAGACTCGCAAATAGAGCGTCGACCCGTAGGGATAGAGCATAGACTCGCAGATAGAGCGTCGACCCGTAGGGATAGAGCATAGACTCGCGGATAGAGCATCGACCCGTAGGGATAGAGCATAGACTCGCGGATAGAGCGTCGACCCGTAGGGATAGAGCATAGACTCACGGATAGAGCGTCGACCCGTAGGGATAGAGCATAGACTCACGGATAGAGCGTCGACCCGTAGGGATAGAGCATAGACTCACGGATAGAGCGTCGACCCGTAGGGATAGAGCATAGACTCGCGGATAGAGCGTCGACCCGTAGGGATAGAGCATAGACTCGCGGATAGAGCGTCGACCCGTAGGGATAGAGCATAGACTCGCAGATAGAGCGTCGACCCGTAGGGATAGAGCATAGACTCACAGATAGAGCGTCGACCCGTAGGGATAGAGCATAGACTCACAGATAGAGCGTCGACCCGTAGGGATAGAGCGATAGAGCGTCGACCCGAAGGGATAGAGCATAGACTCACAGATAGAGCGTCGACCCGTAGGGATAGAGCATAGACTCACAGATAGAGCGTCGACCTGTAGGGATAGAGCATAGACTCCCAGATAGAGCGTCGACCCGTAGGGATAGAGCATAGACTCGCAGATAGAGCGTCGACCCGTAGGGATAGAGCATAGACTCACAGATAGAGTGTCGACCCGTAGGGATAGAGCATAGACTCCCAGATAGAGCGTCGACCCGTAGGGATAGAGCATAGACTCGCAGATAGAGCGTCGACCCGTAGGGATAGAGCATAGACTCGCGGATAGAGCGTCGACCCGTAGGGATAGAGCATAGACTCGCAGATAGAGCGTCGACCCGTAGGGATAGAGCATAGACTCGCGGATAGAGCGTCGACCAGTAGGGATAGAGCATAGACTCGCGGATAGAGCGTCGACCCGTAGGGATAGAGCATAGACTCGCGGATAGAGCGTCGACCCGTAGGGATAGAGCATAGATTCACGGATAGAGCGTCGACCCGTAGGGATAGAGCATAGACTCACGGATAGAGCGTCGACACGTAGGGATAGAGCATAGACTCACGGATAGAGCGTCGACCCGTAGGGATAGAGCATAGACTCACGGATAGAGCGTCGACCCGTAGGGATAGAGCATAGACTCACAGATAGAGCGTCGACCCGTAGGGATAGAGCATAGACTCACAGATAGAGCGTCGACCCGTAGGAATAGAGCATAGACTCACAGATAGAGCGTCGACCCGTAGGGATAGAGCATAGACTCGCCAGATAGAGCGTCGACCCGTAGGGATAGAGCATAGACTCCCAGATAGAGCGTCGACCCGTAGGGATAGAGCATAGACTCCCAGATAGAGCGTCGACCCGTAGGGATAGAGCATAGACTCCCAGATAGAGCGTCGACCCGTAGGGATAGAGCATAGACTCGCAGATAGAGCGTCGACCCGCAGGGATAGAGCATAGACTCGCAGATAGAGCGTCGACCCGCAGGGATAGAGCATAGACTCGCAGATAGAGCGTCGACCCGCAAGGATAGAGCATAGACTCGCAGATAGAGCGTCGACCCGCAGGGATAGAGCATAGACTCGCAGATAGAGCGTCGACCCGCAGGGATAGAGCATAGACTCGCAGATAGAGCGTCGACCCGCAGGGATAGAGCATAGACTCTCAGATAGAGCGTCGACCCGCAGGGATAGAGCATAGACTCGCAGATAGAGCGTCGACCCGCAGGGATAGAGCTTAGACTCGCAGATAGAGCGTCGACCCGCAGGGATAGAGCATAGACTCGCAGATAGAGCGTCGACCCGTAGGGATAGAGCATAGACTCGCACATAGAGCGTCGACCCGTAGGGATAGAGCATAGACTCGCAGATAGAGCGTTGACCCGTAGGGATAGAGCATAGACTCGCAGATAGAGCGTCGACCCGTAGGGATAGAGCATAGACTCGCAAATAGAGCGTCGACCCGTAGGGATAGAGCATAGACTCGCAGATAGAGCGTCGACCCGTAGGGATAGAGCATAGACTCGCGGATAGAGCGTCGACCCGTAGGGATAGAGCATAGACTCACGGATAGAGCGTCGACCCGTAGGGATAGAGCATAGACTCACGGATAGAGCGTCGACCCGTAGGGATAGAGCATAGACTCACGGATAGAGCGTCGACCCGTAGGGATAGAGCATAGACTCGCGGATAGAGCGTCGACCCGTAGGGATAGAGCATAGACTCGCGGATAGAGCGTCGACCCGTAGGGATAGAGCATAGACTCGCGATAGAGCGTCGACCCGTAGGGATAGAGCATAGACTCACAGATAGAGCGTCGACCCGTAGGGATAGAGCATAGACTCACAGATAGAGCGTCGACCCGAAGGGATAGAGCATAGACTCACAGATAGAGCGTCGACCCGTAGGGATAGAGCATAGACTCACAGATAGAGCGTCGACCCGTAGGGATAGAGCATAGACTCACAGATAGAGCGTCGACCCGTAGGAATAGAGCATAGACTTACAGATAGAGCGTCGACCCGTAGGGATAGAGCATAGACTCGCAGATAGAGCGTCGACCCGTAGGGATAGAGCATAGACTCCAGATAGAGCGTCGACCCGTAGGGATAGAGCATAGACTCGCAGATAGAGCGTCGACCCGTAGGGATAGAGCATAGACTCCCAGATAGAGCGTCGACCCGTAGGGATAGAGCATAGACTCCCAGATAGAGCGTCGACCCGTAGGGATAGAGCATAGACTCCCAGATAGAGCGTCGACCCGTAGGGATAGAGCATAGACTCGCAGATAGAGCGTCGACCCGTAGGGATAGAGCATAGACTCGCAGATAGAGCGTCGACCCGCAGGGATCGAGCATAGACTCGCAGATAGAGCGTCGACCCGCAGGGATAGAGCATAGACTCGCAGATAGAGCGTCGACCCGCAGGGATAGAGCATAGACTCGCAGATAGAGCGTCGACCCGTAGGGATAGAGCATAGACTCGCAGATAGAGCGTCGACCCGTAGGGATAGAGCATAGACTCGCAATAGAGCGTCGACCCGTAGGGATAGAGCATAGACTCGCAATAGAGCGTCGACCCGTAGGGATAGAGCATAGACTCGCGGATAGAGCATCGACCCATAGGGATAGAGCATAGACTCGCGGATAGAGCGTCGACCCGTAGGGATAGAGCATAGACTCGCGGATAGAGCGTCGACCCGTAGGGATAGAGCATAGACTCACGGATAGAGCGTCGACCCGTAGGGATAGAGCATAGACTCACGGATAGAGCGTCGACCCGTAGGGATAGAGCATAGACTCGCGGATAGAGCGTCGACCCGTAGGGATAGAGCATAGACTCGCGGATAGAGCGTCGACCCGTAGGGATAGAGCATAGACTCGCGATAGAGCGTCGACCCGTAGGGATAGAGCATAGACTCACAGATAGAGCGTCGACCCGTAGGGATAGAGCATAGACTCACAGATAGAGCGTCGACCCGTAGGGATAGAGCGATAGAGCGTCGACCCGAAGGGATAGATAGACTCACAGATAGAGCGTCGACCCGTAGGGATAGAGCATAGACTCACAGATAGAGCGTCGACCTGTAGGGATAGAGCATAGACTCCCAGATAGAGCGTCGACCCGTAGGGATAGAGCATAGACTCTCAGATAGAGCGTCGACCCGTAGGGATAGAGCATAGACTCACAGATAGAGTGTCGACCCGTAGGGATAGAGCATAGACTCCCAGATAGAGCGTCGACCCGTAGGGATAGAGCATAGACTCGCAGATAGAGCGTCGACCCGTAGGGATAGAGCATAGACTCGCGGATAGAGCATCGACCCGTAGGGATAGAGCATAGACTCGCGGATAGAGCATCGACCCGTAGGGATAGAGCATAGACTCACGGATAGAGAGTCGACCCGTAGGGATAGAGCATAGACTCACAGATAGAGCGTCGACCCGTAGGGATAGAGCATAGACTCACAGATAGAGCGTCGACCCGTAGGGATAGAGCATAGACTCACAGATAGAGCGTCGACCCGTAGGGATAGAGCATAGACTCACAGATAGAGCGTCGACCCGAAGGGATAGAGCATAGACTCACAGATAGAGCGTCGACCCGTAGAGATAGAGCATAGAACATACCTACCGAATGTGTTCAGTGTTTACGGTATTTACATTTTGTACCCCATTTCTACTCTTGCCCTGCGTTCAGGAGGATATAACCGCAAGCTGTGTGGGCATGCAACATTTTGATAAAGCACTCGATACAGTGAAGAAGAGTGTATCACCTCTAGAAGCTGCGTTCTATGCCAATTTCCAAAGAGGTTGATCAGATTGAGGCGCGCTGGGTGTACTGCTTTCTTATACACCAACCCGTTGTACCACCAACCATGTCTCGATGCTGTACCGAAATGTATAATATATAACATAGTATATAAAATATCATCGAAGTGTGGATATAATACTATAAAGTGGCCCATAAAACCGATGAGCAATCACATAATTGTATTTGCATTCAATGCACAAGGGCAGGGAAGGAGCATAGCAGGGCTACAGCCACCCGTGCACTGGCACTGCTTATTTGAGTCGATGAGATGATGCTTGTGCTGCCTTGCGAGTGATGTTGCTGGGAGGTGAAGCAGCAGCAGCGGCGGCGGCGGCAGCAGCAGCGGTTGCAGAACTTAGAGCACAAGGGCAAGGACAGAGCTCATCAGAGCTACAGCCGCTGCTGCACTGGCACTGCCACTATGGATTGGTGCTTGTGCTGCCTTGCCAGTGCTGTTGCTGGGGGGTGATGAAGCAGCAGCAGCGGTAGGAGGTGGGAGGGCAGCAGTGGGTGCAGGTGGTGCATGTACGGAGAGAGGTGCTGAGATTGTGTCAGAGGGAATGTCTGTCAGTGAAGCATGGTTCCTGCCAAGGTTGGGGAAAAGAGGTAGAAGGGGTGGGAGAGGCTATATTCAAGGAGCCTCAGGCTGAGATTGTGTCTGAAGGGATTTCTGCCAGTGATGCATGGTTCCTGCCAAGGGTTGAGGGAAAGGAGAAGGATTGAGTGGACAATTTGTGAGCCGTCTCAAGACTGAGCAGCAGATGTAGGTGGTGCGTTGGAAGAGAGCGGTGCCGTTGACGACTTTCTTGGGGGTGTTGGCACCGAATGTGATCTTGCAGGGCTGGTACGTGGGGATGAAGTTGGGCCCACACGCGTAGAACTTGGAGAGCGCGGGAGTGCGTGGGGCTGCTGGGGATGGTGAGGGTGTGGTGTGGTGCAGTGCGGTGCAATGTGGTCCTGTCTTGACTCACTCAGCAGGACAGCCATTCACGACTTTCTTGGGTGTGTGGCGCCGAATGTGATCTTGCAGGGCTGGTACGTGGAGATGAAGTTGGGCCCACACACGTAGAACTTGGAGAGCGTTGGGCTGTTGGGGTTCAATCCGAGTGTTTCGTTGTCGTATGATGCACAGAAGTCGTAGCACGAGTCCATCTCTGCATGGGGGATGGGAAAGGGGGAGCGGGGTAAGTGGGGGAGGGGAAAGCTGGTGGGTGCAAGCGTAATGTGGGGCTGTTGGGGTTCAATCCGAGTGTTTCGTTGTCGTATGATGCACAGAAGTCGTAGCACGAGTCCATCTCTGGTGGGAGTGAAGTGGGAGAGGGCGAAAGGGAGGGGTGTAAGTGGTGTTGTCTCCTCTAAGAGTCTCGTTGTCATACGACACACAGAAGTCATAGCACGAGTCCATCTCTGGTGTGGGGGGGTGGGTGGGTGGGGGGGGGGGGGGCGCAGGTGGGGTGTGAGCGTAATGTGCATCTGTTGGGGTTCAATGCGAGTGCTTCATTGTCGTATTTGAAGAAGTGTTTTGAGACGTCTCAAAACACTTCTTCAAACAATGTGCATCTGTTGGGGTTCAATGCGAGTGCTTCATTGTCGTACGACGCACAGAAGTCGTAGCGCGAGTCCATCTCTGGTGGGAGTAAAGTGAAAGAAGGTGAAGGAGGTGGGGGCAGGGGGCAAAGGGAGTGTAAGCACGAGAGGAAAAAAGGGAGGGGTGTAAGTGGTCTTGTCCATCTAGGAGTGTCGTTCTCATACGATGCACAGAAGTTGTAGCACGCGTCCACCTCTGGTGGGGGTGAGGTGAGGGTGGGGAAAGGAAGGGGTGTGATTGGTCTTTTCCATCTAGGAGTCTCGTTCTCATGTTGGAAAAGCCCACACAAGTCATGGCACGCGTCCACCTCTGGTTGGAGGAGCAATGGAGATGGGCGTGTGGGAGGGTGGGTCTTTAACTATAATGCATCACACAATGGGAAGAAGCATTACCCTGGCCCTGGCGTGCGGGGTAGTAGATGAGGTAGTCTATGCACATCTCCTCCTCCGTTGATGACCCTCCCAGTGAGAAGGCACGTGTCCCCCCTGTAAAGAACATGATTTATTGACAAGAAATGTTACCTTGGCCCTGGCGTGCAGGGTAGTAGATGAGATAGTCTATGCACATTTCCTCCTCCGTTGATGGCCCTCCCAGTGTCACCTGCATGCAGCACGGGCAGAGAGGGGCAGCGAAACGAGGGGTTTGTTGTAAGTCTTTTAGGCAACCCTCCACACTGGAGTCAAATGCAAAAAGGGGGCTGTCAACAATAGAGTGTAACAGACACTGTAAGAGGCGACGTAAGTAAGTTGGAGTGGGGGAGGAGGGGAAGGTGCTATTGAAATGCAGGAACGTTGGGGGCGATTTAAACGCGGAAGTGGCACGTACATGGGTAGAAGGGGAGTCGCATAAGTGGGATGGTAATCAAACGCTAAGAGGAACGTACGTTGGTGCGTTCAGTGGAGTCCCACACACAGGAGGTGCGCAGCTCATCTCCTGGCAGCAGCTCAAACTCGGGCGTGAAGGGGATAGTCTGCTGCGATGCAAAGTCGCTGTGAGGGGAAGGGGGTGGTTGGGGAAAAAGAAAGGAAGCAGGGAGGGAGGGGAGGTCAAGTGAGCTCATCTCCTGGCAGCAGCTCAAAGTCGGGCATGAAGGGGATGGTCTGCTGCGACGCAAAGTCGCTGCGATGGATTGGGGTGTGGGGGGGATGGGGTGGAGGTGAATAGGAAGGAAGGGAAAACGGGTGTAAGAAAGGGTATGGGGGGGTACAAAGGGGTAAACGAGGGGCGGTGGTTGGATGGACAAGAGCGGTGGTTGCGTGATAAAGAACACTCACTAGTAGTCCTGGCGGCTGATGTTGTTTTTGAGACGTCTCAAAATCCAATCCATCACGTGGTGTGGGAGGGAACTCACTAGTAGTCCTGGCGGCTGATGTTGTTGTTGAGACGTCTCAAAATCCAATCCATCACGTGGTGTGGGAGGGAACTCACTAGTAGTCCTGGCGGCTGATGTTGTTGTTGAGACGTCTCAAAATCCAATCCATCACGTGGTGTGGGAGGGAACTCACTAGTAGTCCTGCCGGCTGATGTTGTTGTTGAGACGTCTCAAAATCCAATCCATCACGTGGTGTGGGAGGGAACTCACTAGTAGTCCTGGCGGCTGATGTTGTTGTTGAGACGTCTCAAAATCCAATCCATCACGTGGTGTGGGAGGGAACTCACTAGTAGTCCTGGCGGCTGATGTTGTTGTTGAGACGTCTCAAAATCCAATCCATCACGTGGTGTGGGAGGGAACTCACTAGTAGTCCTGGCGGCTGATGTTGTTGTTGAGACGTCTCAAAATCCAATCTATCACGTGGTGTGGTAGGGAACTCACTAGTAGTCCTGGCGGCTGATGTTGTTGTTGAGACGTCTCAAAATCCAATCTATCACGTGGTGTGGTAGGGAACTCACTAGTAGTCCTGGCGGCTGATGTTGTTGTTGAGACGTCTCAAAATCCAATCTATCACGTGGTGTGGTAGGGAACTCACTAGTAGTCCTGGCGGCTGATGTTGTTGTTGAGACGTCTCAAAATCCAATCTATCACGTGGTGTGGTAGGGAACTCACTAGTAGTCCTGGCGGCTGATGTTGTTGTTGAGACGTCTCAAAATCCAATCTATCACGTGGTGTGGTAGGGAACTCACTAGTAGTCCTGGCGGCTGATGTTGTTGTTGAGACGTCTCAAAATCCAATCTATCACGTGGTGTGGTAGGGAACTCACTAGTAGTCCTGGCGGCTGATGTTGTTGTTGAGACGTCTCAAAATCCAATCCATCACGTGGTGTGGTAGGGAACTCACTAGTAGTCCTGGCGGCTGATGTTGTTGTTGAGACGTCTCAAAATCCAATCCATCACGTGGTGTGGGAGGGAACTCACTAGTAGTCCTGGCGGCTGATGTTGTTGTTGAGACGTCTCAAAATCCAATCTATCACGTGGTGTGGTAGGGAACTCACTAGTAGTCCTGGCGGCTGATGTTGTTGTTGAGACGTCTCAAAATCCAATCTATCACGTGGTGTGGTAGGGAACTCACTAGTAGTCCTGGCGGCTGATGTTGTTGTTGAGACGTCTCAAAATCCAATCTATCACGTGGTGTGGTAGGGAACTCACTAGTAGTCCTGGCGGCTGATGTTGTTGTTGAGACGTCTCAAAATCCAATCTATCACGTGGTGTGGTAGGGAACTCACTAGTAGTCCTGGCGGCTGATGTTGTTGTTGAGACGTCTCAAAATCCAATCTATCACGTGGTGTGGGAGGGAAGTCACTAGTAGTCCTGGCGGCTGATGTTGTTGTTGAGACGTCTCAAAATCCAATCCATCACGTGGTGTGGGAGGGAACTCACTAGTAGTCCTGGCGGCTGATGTTGTTGTTGAGACGTCTCAAAATCCAATCCATCACGTGGTGTGGGAGGGAACTCACTAGTAGTCCTGGCGGCTGATGTTGTTGTTGAGACGTCTCAAAATCCAATCCATCACGTGGTGTGGGAGGGAACTCACTAGTAGTCCTGCCGGCTGATGTTGTTGTTGAGACGTCTCAAAATCCAATCCATCACGTGGTGTGGGAGGGAACTCACTAGTAGTCCTGGCGGCTGATGTTGTTGTTGAGACGTCTCAAAATCCAATCCATCACGTGGTGTGGGAGGGAACTCACTAGTAGTCCTGGCGGCTGATGTTGTTGTTGAGACGTCTCAAAATCCAATCCATCACGTGGTGTGGGAGGGAACTCACTAGTAGTCCTGGCGGCTGATGTTGTTGTTGAGACGTCTCAAAATCCAATCTATCACGTGGTGTGGTAGGGAACTCACTAGTAGTCCTGGCGGCTGATGTTGTTGTTGAGACGTCTCAAAATCCAATCTATCACGTGGTGTGGTAGGGAACTCACTAGTAGTCCTGGCGGCTGATGTTGTTGTTGAGACGTCTCAAAATCCAATCTATCACGTGGTGTGGTAGGGAACTCACTAGTAGTCCTGGCGGCTGATGTTGTTGTTGAGACGTCTCAAAATCCAATCTATCACGTGGTGTGGTAGGGAACTCACTAGTAGTCCTGGCGGCTGATGTTGTTGTTGAGACGTCTCAAAATCCAATCTATCACGTGGTGTGGTAGGGAACTCACTAGTAGTCCTGGCGGCTGATGTTGTTGTTGAGACGTCTCAAAATCCAATCTATCACGTGGTGTGGTAGGGAACTCACTAGTAGTGCTGGTGGCGACCTTGCTGCCCTTTCTGTTTTTTTACAATTCTCAAAAACCAGATTCAGTGCTGGTTGGGTGATAAAGGGAACTCACTAGTAGTCCTGGCGGCTGATGGTGGCGACCTTGCTGCCCTTTCTGTTTTTTTACAATTCTCAAAAACCAGATTCAGTGCTGGTTGGGTGATAAAGGGAACTCACTAGTAGTCCTGGCGGCTGATGGTGGCGACCTTGCTGCCCTTTCTGTTTTTTTACAATTCTCAAAAACCAGATTCAGTGCTGGTTGGGTGATAAAGGGAACTCACTAGTAGTCCTGGCGGCTGATGGTGGCGACCTTGCTGCCCTTTCTGTTTTTTTACAATTCTCAAAAACCAGATTCAGTGCTGGTTGGGTGATAAAGGGAACTCACTAGTAGTCCTGGCGGCTGATGGTGGCGACCTTGCTGCCCTTTCTGTTTTTTTACAATTCTCAAAAACCAGATTCAGTGCTGGTTGGGTGATAAAGGGAACTCACTAGTAGTCCTGGCGGCTGATGGTGGCGACCTTGCTGCCCTTTCTGTTTTTTTACAATTCTCAAAAACCAGATTCAGTGCTGGTTGGGTGATAAAGGGAACTCACTAGTAGTCCTGGCGGCTGATGGTGGCGACCTTGCTGCCCTTTCTGAACACATCCGTGTATAACTGCTCATGGCCGCATGGGGAACATGGGGAGCATGGGGAGCATGGAATGCGCAAACGTCTCAAACGTTGCAACCTTGCCACCTCCAATTAACACATCCGTGTACAGATCATGGGGGCATGCGGCATGGGGACATGGGCAACACAGGGGCATGGCATGGCAACAGGGGGTCATGGCAACAGGGGGTCATGGCAACAGGGGGGCATGGCAACAGGGGGGCATGTCCAGTAGTCCACTAAACTCTCACCTGCCTCCCAAGAGTGTGCAGGTGCAGGAAGGACCCAATGATCTTCACGCTCTCGTTGCCAAACACCTTGGCACTGCACTCGCCCGGGCACGTGCTGACTTGAGTCCACGAGGGCATGGCGGGGGGGATCTTGATGAGGTACTCATAGGGCACGTGCTGACTTGCGTCCAGGAAGGCATGCCCTGTCCACCTCACCTTGAACTCCCTTCATTTATCCCTCACCTGTCGCCCAAGTGTGTGCAGGTGCAGGAACGATCCAATGATCTTCACGCTCTCATTCCCAAACACCTTCGACGTGCACTCGCCCGGGCACGTGCTGACTTGAGTCCACGAGGGCATGGCGGGGGGGATCTTGATGAGGTACTCGTACGGCACGGGACCCGTCAGCATGATGGACGCGTCCATGGGGCGGAGCGATGGGGCGAGCTTCAGGTACAGGCCAGAGTTGTCAATGAGGTCTGAGCGGCACTTGGGATTGGTGAAATGGACCTGAGGGGGGGGGGTGGTCGGGGTAGTGTGGAAGGGGGGAAGGAGGGGAGAGGGAGCAGGAAGAAGGGGAGTGTTTGGGATTCTGATGAGGTACTCGTAGGGCACGGGCCCCGTGAGCATGATGGACGCGTCCATGGGACGGAGGGAGGGCGCCAGCTTCAGGCAGAGCCCCGAGTTGTCGATGAGATCAGCGCGGCCCTTGGGATTGGTGAAATGCACCTGAGGGTGTGGTGGTGGGGGTAGAGGGAGGGAAAGAGAAGGACACAAGGCTTTTGTGCGCGGGGCAGGAGTGTGAGGGGAGGGGAGGAATCTTGGAAGGGAAAGGCTTCTAAGGGGCCTCGAAAACGAGGCTTGGAAGGATTAGCACTAGAAATGGTGGTGGGAAAACAGGCTCCAGGAATGGAGTAAGTTCAGCACCGCACTGCATCACATAGCACCCACCTGCAGCACGAATTTGGTGAAGTAGCCCGGGCCGATGGGGTAGCCGACATTGGGCGGGAAGGTGAATGGTCTGCCGCCCACAGCCCACACGGCAACAGTGGTGCCGCCAAGGGCCCAGCATTGAAGCGCACTGAACCGCACTGCACCTCACTGCACCCACCTGCAGGACGAACTTGGTGAAGTAGCCCGGGCCAATGGGATAGCCGACATTGGGTGGGAAGGTGAAGGGTCTGCCGCCCACAGCCCACACAGCGACAGTGGTGCCACACGGCGTGTCGTGCAGACAATCAAAGTCCGCCCCTGCACCCTTGAGATTGCCGTACTCCTTGCTGTAGGGGGGCAGTTGTGGGGGGGAGGAGAGATCACCAGGTGTATTTGAGACCACAGCCCACAGCTAACAGCCCACAGCCCACACGGCGACAGTGGTGGCGCATGGCGTGTCGTGCAGACAGTCAAAGTCGCCCCCCGCGCCCTTGAGATTGCCTATTCCTTGCTGTAGGGGGGGTGAAGGGGGTGGGGAAGGGGGGGTGTAATGGAGCATATGTTGTGTTTGATTTGAGAGCACAGCCCAGACGGCGACGGTGGTGGCGCATGGCGTGTCGTGCAGACAGTCATAGTCAGCCCCCGCGCCCTTGAGATTGCCGTACTCCTTGCTGTATGGGAGAATGAGGAAGGGAAAACAAATCTCAGTTCAGAGTACATAGAAGTGTCATGCTGGCTGTGAAAGGAGCCCTGGGCGGGTGGCAGATTGGTAGATGGGCGGGAACTGGACCGGCGGATGAGTGGCAGATTGGCATGCTCTTTGCCCGGGGAGGGGAGGGGAAGGGGAGCGTAGCGTATGTGTGGCTTACGGTTTGCAGCCGTAGATGATGGCATGGTGGACGGATGAGTTGTCGGTGGAGTTTTGTATGACACCCCACTCAACCGCATGCGTCTTGGCCTTGAGAGCAATGTCCACCACCTATGGGCGTCATAGATGGGTGCAGATAGGTGCAGATTTAGTGGAAATGGGTGAAGATCGGTGCAGATCGGTGCAAGTGGGTGCAGAGTGGGGCGCGAGCATGAACAGAGTGCGCTGATCTTAATGTGGCCCAAAAAGCCAATGGAATGAGACGAAACTGAAACGCCTGAGAACAAATGGGAGCACATGGGGTGACTTTTGAGTCGACTCAAAAGTCAGTTCAGGGGCATTTGGGGCTCCTAGGGAGTGTGTTGGGATTCCACAGGAGAATTGGGAACATATGTGCAATGCGTGATTGTAAAAGGCGCGCGCACGCACGGTGCTTCGCAGCAAAGCCGCGCACCTTGCAGCGATAGGTGGTGAAGTCCGTTGGCAGACGGTAATTAGGGCGTGTCTCCATTTTGTTTTTTGACGGTTCGAACCGTCAGCGAAACCGGTATCCTGCTTTCGGCAATCCCCGCATGACTTCTAATTTGATAACGTGTTTTAACGAGACGGGATACCCGTTTCGCCGACGGTTCGAACCGTCAAAAAGCAAAATGGAGACACGCCCTTAGTGAACGTGAAATTTAGCATGCTCTCCTGCTGCTGCTGCTGCGTGTGATGAGTCTGTTTTTGAGTGGACTGAAAAACGCACCTTGCAGCGATAGGTGGTGAAGTCCGTTGGCAGGCGGTAATTCGTGAACGTGAAATTCAGCATGCTCTCCTGCTGCTGCTGCGCCTGCTGCGCCGGCTGCTGCTTCCCTGCCTGCTGCGGCGCAGCCAGAGACGCAGCGGACGCGGAGGAGGAGGCGGAGGGGGGAGGCGCAGGCGCGACGATGGAGGGGCCGGGAGCAGGCGCGAGCACGAGGGCGGAAGAGCCGCGGTCGGCGCTGTGATAGCTGACGTCAGTATTGGCGCCCATCGCCCAGATAATGTTGTGAAGCTTCCCGGGAACAATCGGGCGGTCGTTGCAATCGCCCGTGTCCAGCTGGCGCCACACGTGCACAGTGGTCCACGTGTCGCCCGTGGATTGGTTCGTGGTCTGGCTGCCGCCCAGCACGTGCCAGTCCTGCTTGTCGTCGAGTGCGATTCCTTCGGTCGTCTTGTTGAAAATGAACCGATCCGTCGCATACGCGCGGGCTTCGGACTGTTCGACCCATGCGACGAGGGCATCTGCCAGATGGTCGCATATGAGTGCGGCGTGCAGTGCAGAGTAAGCGAAAGTAGCAACAATTTGGCAGAATGATCGAGAGTGTACAAGGATGTGAGGAGCGAAAGGGGAGCTGTTCCTTAGGCAATGCAATTCCTTAGGCATACTCACGACGAATGCGACATCTCAGTCGACTCACGAATGTGAGGTGGACTCACACCCTTTCCTCTCTCCCCCCCCCCACCCGACCCGACAGCACTATCATGGATCGTACCTGAGCCCACCATGGAGCCAACCTCGGAAATGCCTACACCGAACCATCCCTTCGTTTTGGCATTCACTGCCATGTGGATCGTCGCGTCGCTACTGTTAACGGTCCAGTAGAGCTCGAATCGCGTATCCAGCAACGCTAGATTGGAGTAGGAGGAGAGGGAGTCGAGAGGAGAAATCGCGATTCCGTCGATCGCGGAGGCAGATCGGTTACAGAAAACTGTTAACAATGCCGCTACTAAAAGGAGTATGCAACACGACGTTGGGGGCGAAACCCTGCAGCCGTGACGCCTGCGCGCCATTAACTCAAGCTCCCGCTTTGTTAGGTATTTCGGTGAAGGAGACGCAGTTCGGTCAAAGGAGAACGAGTGCGGCCGTCGGGATTTCGCACTGCATCTATGAAGGGGCTGTACGTCAAACCGACGGAGTGTACAGCCGTGTGAAACGGGAGAGTGATCACAGTTTTTCAACGAAAGCAGACTGTCCGTTGTATGTGAGGCACAAAGAGCTGAGCTTGTGTGGGTGGATGTGTGTGGTGTGGTTGTGTGGTTGCATGGTGTGCGATGGAAAGAAGGCAATTTGTAAGGCAGGGGGGAGGGTGCCTTCGAGTCGCGATGTTTCCGGTGGGTACGGATAGGTGTTGCGTCTTTACTGTTGACCCAGTGGAACTAGTCTGATATGGAACTAGCTGATTGGTAGCGTGGGTCGCGGATGATGGTGGTGGCTCGTGTCCGCTATGGGCATTGCCAACGTGGCTTCATGCTCGTCGAAATTTCTCAAGTACATGATTGGCGGAGTACGGACGGATAGCCTTTTGCAACGTGGCTATTGAACGTCATTGGTGATGTCACCCGATACATTCTTCATGATTATATTTAAAAAGGAATTGGTACATGGACCATCAGGGAGATGACCATTACAAGTGCACCATAATCTGAAAGCAAGATATATTTGGCAAAGCCTCAAAGAAGCTGATCATGTAATAAAGTGAATGAAAATATGTCAATGTATGCATGCGTCAAGCTCCTCTCGCATTGGACCATCCGTCAAAAAATTGATTTCATAAACCCCCTCCCTTATCCACGAACAGCTAAGAGCGCACCTACTGGTACAGATTACAATGCTATTTGGAGTGTCTCGCACTACAACCTCTGATGTCTCCACCACTATCAATATTATTTTATCACATAGTAAGGGTTTAAGTTATCTAGTGTAGATGCGTATGTTCGGCAGTGAATGCGCCAAGTGTGCTTCTGCTTCGTGTTGGGCAGCAACTTGCTGTGGACTTCACACGTGGAAGCAACGCCATGTGGGGAGTGGTTCACAGAACTCGCGTGAGAAACAGCACCAATCGGTGAGCTCCATTTGCAACGCTGTCTCATCATTTCCATTTTACAGGGAGCCAGCCCAGACTGGAGACACTCACGTCACGAGGTGAGGATGGATGTCAAGACGAGACGAGCACAGAAAACCAAGGACGCAAACCATGTCAAGATCGCGGTCAAGAAGGAATCTGTGGTTTTCTCTGCTCGACTGGTGCTGACACCTGCAATTTTGCCGAGTGGAGTTGGCTGCCGCCGCCGCCGCCCTCTTGGGTGGTTGCTGTGTTACACACGATGTGAATCGTGGATGTGCACGAAGCATGTCGCCACGCTCAAACTCCTCAATAGACCGTAACACGCTTGTGCGGGACCGAACAAGGGTTTTGGCGAAAGCGGGGGTGCGAGACGTGGTAACCCGTACCTAGTAGGGTGGAGCAGGCGGTGGATAGAGAGGGCTCTCGGTCGGTACAACCGTACGACCGTACGTACACTACCACAGAAAGTCGACTTTCCGCGACCAATAGAAAATCCTTGATTTTTTACTCCTGGTGACTTGACGGCAGGGTATTTTGACGGGCATCATCAGATTCTGCTGAGCAGAACTCAGTGCAACACCAGCAGCCAGCGACGTAATTACCGTACTGTACCTTACAGGTTTAGGGTGAATGGCTGAATTCAAGGTCGAGCAATATGGCTGCACTCGTGACAACGGAATCCGTCGGGCGAAAGAAAATAGAAAATGTCGGAGCGGGTGGGGGGAGAAACACGGGTGCTGGGGGGGGCGTAGAACCATGGAGCAACGGCGTACAGCTTTAGGAGCGTCTCGGAGGAACTGTAGGAGGTACGGGTAACGGGTGCGCTGATTCACGGATGTTCCGACCGAGACGTACAGTACCCGACAAGGACAGTCGGAGAATGCTCTCGCGGCACCACACGAAGAGCATCATGATCATCCCAAGGGGCGACTCGGAGTCCGAGTCGCAGGACGGCGGAATCGGGCCGCCGAAATCCAACGCCCCTTCCCGTCCACAGACACACCATGTGTTCAGAAACCCAATATGGCACGAGTCACGAGCCACGACCGCTACTTCATCGACCAATACTGCTGTCACTGCATGCGAGCATTACCGCTTATCCCATAACTCCAATCCAAGGTAGAACATCATCTGGGCCACAAGACCGCTTCTTCCCCCGCCGACACTGCTGTCACTGCATGCATTACCGCTACTTACCCCGTTGCTCCAGAAGTACCTTACCTCCGACACTGCACGTTTCGTCAGACGCCGCACGTTTCGTCCGACGCCGCACGCTTCGTACGGCCATGCACGCGTTTTTTTGTACAATCCAATCATCTACTCCAGTGTAGTAATAGTACTATTTAGCCCTGCAGACACCCCCTGGCAGTGGTCGAGTAGAGCGAAGTCGACACATAGGTTCAGCGAGCTTCGATTTCGCCATTGCAACCGCAATTCCGCGAAACGTCCAATTGAACTTCAATCTGAAATCTCCTGCCACTGACGGCTCAGAGTTGTCGTCGGGCAATTATGATGGCGATACTAGTTCACAGGATTCCACAAAGCACGCGGCGCGCAGCCGCCGCGTGCATTCTCCTCCTCTCCACGTCTCTTATTTCCGCCGTCACGCAAACTTCCGCCGCAGACGCCGCCGCCATTTCCCTTCCCGAGTCGCTCTCCTCCTTCGCCAACGTGGCGTTGCTAGACCCGCGCCTCGAGCTCCACTGGACCGTCAACGACAGCGACGCTACTATCCGATTGGCGGTTAGGGCTAACACGGCGGGATGGCTCGCTATAGCCATCTCCGAGATAGGCTCCATGGCTGGCTCAGGTAGGAAATTAATCCGCCTAGATGTGAGTCTCTTCCCGTGGGTCCGCACAGTTCTTGTGTGAGTGCTTTTTCGTAAGGAGCGTCAGGAACAATCATGTCTGCAGTTTTGTTTTGTTTGTTTGTTTGTTTGTTTGTTTGTTTTTTTTTTTTTTTTTTCCAACTTCAAACTTTTTCGGTGTGTTGATCCAAACCTTCTGTCCCAGACGCGCTAGTGGTGTAGGTGGCGGAGAACGAGGGCCGTGCGTACGCCACAGGCTGCTTCATCTTCTCTCTCCCACTCTCTTCTCTCTTTCTTACAACCTACTATATTCTCTCACTCTGGCGCAGACGCGCTGGTGGCGTGGGTGGCGGAGAACGAGGGCCGCGCGTACGCCACAGACTGTTTCATCTTCAACACCACAGCCACCAGAACCGCACTGGACGACCAACGCGTGCTGGGCGGCAGCCATACCACCAACCAATCCACAACTTACTTTATCCTCCCTCTTTCCAAACCAGACGCCCTGGTGGCATGGGTGGCGGAGAACGAGGGCCGCGCGTATGCAACAGACTGTTTCATCTTCAACACCACAGAAACCGGAACCGCACTGGACGACCAGCAGGACTGGCACGTGCTGGGCGGCAGCCAGATCACCAACCAATCCACGGGCGACACGTGGACCACCGTGCACGCGTGGCGCCTGCTCGACACGGGCGACTGCAACGACCGCCCGATTGTTCCCGGGAAGCTTCACAACATAATCTGGGCCTCTGGTCCCACGGACAAAGTCTCCTATCACGGCTCCACGCGGGGGGGGGCACGCTCGTGCTCGCTCCTTCCCCCGGCCCCGCCATTCTCGAACCCTCAGCACCGCCCTCAACCGCTTCGCCTTCTGCTGCTGGGTCTAACTCGGCTCGAGGGGTCGGGCGGCTGGGCGTGGAGCGGCGGCAAGTGGCAGGGGAGGTGGATGTTCAGGCGGGCATGCTTAATTTCACTTTCACGGATTACCCCGTCCCCACTGACCGTTCTTCCTACCGCTGCATGGTACGTTACATGACCACCTTCAGTTGTGCTTGTTGCATTGGTAGCCCTACCTGTGTGAGTCATCTCCTCACCGTTTGGGCGTGGAGCGGCGGCAAGTGGCAGGGGAGGTGGATGTGCAGGCGGGCATGCTGAATTTCACTTTCACGGATTACCCCGTCCCCACCAACCGTTCCTCCTATCGCTGCATGGTACGTCCTTGCAAGCAATGTGCTAGCTGTGATGGTAGTGGTACCCCTTTTCCCCGTCTCCTCCCTGAACCCTCTTTTTGAGATGCGTCAGTCCTAGGTTATCCCGCCCCCACCGACCGTTCGTCCTATCGCTGCATGGTACGCCCTTGCAAGCAATGTGCTAGCTGTGATGGTAGTGGTACCCCTTTTCCCCGTCTCCTCCCTAAACCCCCTTTTCGAGATGCATCAATCCTCAGTTATCCCACCCCTACTGATGTGCTAGCTGTGGCGTGACGGTAGTGCTGCTACCCCTTGTTCCTCTCTTCTCCCCATCCCCTTGAGACGCTTCAAACCTCGATTGTCCTTCCCCCCTGTTCACATGTTTGGTGTGTTACACGGCAGGTGATAGACGTGCCCCTGGAGAATAAAGAGCACGCGGTGGAGTGGGGGCCGGTAATCAACACCAATGAAGTGGCCTCCCTGCATCACTCCTTCCTCTACGGCTGCTCCTCGTGAGTCGGCCTCGCCACGCACACGCATGTACTCACACGCACACATGCTCTTATCACTACCGTTGGAGAGCAAGGAGCATGCGGTGGAGTGGGGCCCGGTCATCAACACAAATGAAGTGGCCTCCCTGCATCACTCCTTCCTCTACGGCTGCTCCTCGTGAGTCCGTTTTGAAGCGCTTCATATCGTGCAGTGGAGTGAGGTGGGATGGGGTGGGGTGGGGTGGGGTGGGGTGGGGTGGGGTGGGGTGGGGTGGGGTGGGGTGGGGTGGGGTGGAGTGGAATGGGGTGGGGTGGAGTGTAAATCAACGTAATCCTGCATTCCCTGCACACCGCCCCTTCCTCATGGCTGCTTGTCGTACGTCTGTTTCTCAGGCACCTCGAACACGTCCCTTTAGAGAGGGCCCCTTGCAGCACCTTCGTGGCCCTTCACCTCCTCATCTTTTCCCACTCCTTCCCACCTCTCCTCACCCCTTCGCACATCTCCCAGAAAAAAAAATATATATATATATAAAAAGTACCCCGATTTGCTGATGATATTCGACTGTGTGGAAAGAGCCCCCTGCAGCAAGTTCGTGGCCGTGTGGGCGTGGGGAGGACGCCCAACAGGGAGGAGTACCCCGATTTGCTCCCAGTGGGGATGATATTCGATAATTCGACTGTGTGGGAAGAGCCCCCTTGCAGCACGTTCGTGGCCTCTCCTCACACCTTCCCACCCTCCGATTCTATCCCAACATAGAAGAATACCCCAATCTGCTCCCAGTGAAGATGACCTTGACTGTGTGGGGAGGGACCCCTGCGGCACGTTCGTGGCAGTGTGGGCGTGGGGAGGAGAGGCCGCCCTTCGCATCATGTCCTCTCACCTCTTCCCACCTATCCCCACCCCTTTCCACCCTCCTTTTCTATCTCAACAGAGAAGAGTACCCGAATCTGCTCCCATCGGGAATGATATTCGACTGTGTGGGGAGGGCCCCCTGCGGCACCTTCGTTGCAGTGTGGCCGTGGGGAGGGCGACTTTTCACTTCATCTTCTCTCACCCCTTCCCACCGCTTTCTTCACCTCCCCAACAGGGAAGAGTACCCGAATCTGCTGCCATCGGGGATGATATTCGACTGTGTGGGGAGGGCGCCCTGCGGCACGTTTGTGGCAGTGTGGGCGTGGGGAGGGCGCCCCTTCACCCTGCCCCCCAACATCGGCTACCCCATTGGCCCGGGCTACTTCACCAAGTTCGTGCTAGAGGTGGGTGCAGTGCGGTGCAATGTGGTGTGGAACAATGTCACCCCACACTTTTTTTGTATCTCATCAGCCAGCATTTTACGTCAGTGTTTCTGCTTGATGCCTCCTTCCCCTCTCTCCTCCGCTCTGTGACATTCCCCTACCTTCCCTTCCCCTCCCTTCCCCTTCCCCTCCCACATACCAGATGCACTATGTCAATCCAGGGGGCCTGACAGACATAATTGACAGCTCAGGGCTGTACCTGAAACTGGCGGCATCGCGGGATCTCCAGGATGCACACACCATGAAGATCGGCCTAGTAGACGACCACACCAACCTCATCCGCGTGCCATTCCCTCCCCCACCTCCCTTCTCCCTCCCCTGTTCCCTCCCCTTTCCTCCTCCCCTCCCCCCCCCTCGCCCCCCTTCAGATGCACTATGTGAACCCTGAAGGCCGCACCGACATAGTTGACAGCTCAGGCCTGTACCTGAAGCTGGCGGCATCTCGGGATCTCCAAGACACGGCCATCATGAAGGTCGGCCTCGCGACCACACCAACCTCATCCGCGTGCCCCCTGGTCCTCCCCTTCCCTCCCTGCCAACCCTCCCCCCAACTCCTCAGATGCACTATGTGAACCCTGAAGGCCGCACCGACATCGTGGATAGCTCAGGCCTGTACCTGAAGCTGGCGCCATCTCGGGATCTCCAAGACACGGCCATCATGAAGGTCGGGCTCGCGACCACACCAACCTCATCCGCGTACCGCCCGGCATGCCCTCCGTCTCCCCATGCCCCTCCACCTCCCCTCCCCATTCCCACCTTCCGCCTCCCTGTTTGCCATCCCTCAGATGCACTACGTCAATCCCGAGGCCCGCACTGACATAGTGGATAGCTCAGGGCTGTACCTGAAACTGGCGGCATCTCGGGATCTCCAAGACGCGGCCATCATGAAGGTCGGGCTGGTCGACCACACCAACCTCATCCGCGTGCCGCCCGGCATGCCCTCCTGGACGCTCGCTAACTCCTGCCCGGGCGAGTGCACTGCTGCCGTGTTCAAGGACCAGAGTGTGAAGATCGTGGGATCGATTCTCCATGAGCACAATATTGGACGGCAGGTGCGTGGGATGTTTTATGCGCTCGTGCTCACTGTTTTCCCGAGTCGATGCAAGGGTCTGCTGCGGTGTTCAAGAACGAGAGCGTGAAGATCGTCGGGTCGATTCTCCACGAGCACAATTTTGGACGGCAGGTGGGGACGATACGATTTGAGCACTCGAGTTGATCTTTTACTTGACTTTTACGATTGGACTGAAAGTCTTTAGGCTCGACAAGGTCGACTTTCAGTGTTGTTCATACATACTTATTATATATATAGACAAACAGAGAACACTCTTGAGTGTTCTTTTCACCAACTCATCTCAGAACGCACTCCCTCTCTTTCCACCCAATTCCCCCCTTCCTTGCGGTGCTTCCCTTCCTACCTCTGAACACAAATTCCGCCCCCCAGGTGTATACGGAGGTGCTAAGGGGGGGCAGTACCGTCACAACCATAAACCGCATTGACTACTTGTGAGTTCTCCTTTCTTCTCCTGATGTTTTGCCTCCTTTTCCCCTACCACCACTTTCTCACCCAACCACCACCCTCGTTGACTGCTTTTGAGTGTTTGCTTGAGAAACCTCGTGATAACAGAGATGTTTTGAGACGTCTCACAACTTTTCCCCTACCACCACTTTCTCACCCAACCACCACCCTCGTTGACTACTTTTGAGTGTTTGCTTGCGAAACCTCGTACCCTCCAGCTTTTCTACCTTCCTGATGTTTGTTCCTACCTTGCTGCCTTCCTGAACCGTTTGCGTGGTGGCTTGGCACTGGCAGTGACTATGCATCGCAGCAGACCATGCCGGTGCAACCAGAGTTTGAGCTGCTACCAGGAGACGAGATTCGCACCACCTGTGTGTGGGACTCCACCACTCGCACCAATGTATGTAACACCTCTCAAACCTCCAAGGCCACAATGTTGAAAGTGCATCAAAAGCCGTGAAAACCTCAAGAGTTCCAAAATTCTGCCTTCCTTCTTCTTGCCTCCCGCCTTGCTGCCTCCCTTCTCCTTATTCTCTGCTCCAATATCTTATCTTCTCTGTCGTCCCTGCAGGTAACGGTGGGAGGGCCAGCGGCTGAGAATGAGATGTGTGTGAACTACCTCGTCTACTACTCCGCAACCCAGATTCAAGGTAACCCTTCCTTTCATGCTCTGGGTACCTTTTGAGTCAACATCGCACCCTCCTCCTCTAAAAAAGCATGCTCTTCCTTCACCACGCACATCCCAATCCACCTTCCTCCCCTCCCTCCCCTTTTCTTCCTCCCTCTTGTGTGTGCTCTTCCCCGGGACCAGAGGTGCATGCGTGCAACACGGTGTGTGGGGCAATAGACAATGACACACTTACCTTTAACCCCAGCCACGCCTACCCTTCTTCGCTTTCCCCACTGTTTTTCCCTCCCACGCACCTGCCCACCCCAACCCCTCTCTTTGAAACCAGAGATGCATGCTGTTTCCTTGCCCACCCCAAACCCTTCTTCCCTTGGCCCTCTGTTTCCTCCCTCCCTTCTGCTCACCCGCCTGAAACCAATGATGCATGCGTGCTACACGGTGTGTGGGGCGATGGATAACGACACACTCACCATCGACCCCAGCCACGCCAACCTGCCTTTTCATCGCCCTCTGTTTCCTCCCTCCCCACACCTGCTCGTCCCCCTGCAACCAGAGATGCATGCGTGCTACACGGTGTGTGGGGCGATCGACAACGACACAATGGTAATAGACCCCAGCCGCCTGGACCTCTCCACGCACTACGTGTGTGGCCCGGGGCACAACCCCTTCATCCCCACCGGCAAATCCTGCGTTATCAGCTACGGCTGCCTCGATAATGTTACTGTCCTCTATGGCTGCCCTGATCAGTGAGTGCAAACCACTGCACCGCACTCCACCCCTCCCCACTGCACTCCACCCCTCCCCACTGCACTTCATCACTCCCCTGCACTGCACAACCCCTTCATCCCCACCGGCAAATCCTGTGTTATCAGCTACGGCTGCCTCGACAATGTTACTGTCCTCTATGGCTGCCCCGATCAGTGAGTGCAAACCACTGCACCGCACTCCACCCCTCCCCACCGCACTCCACCCCTCCCCACTGCACTTCATCACTCCCCTGCACTGCACAACCCCTTCATCCCCACCGGCAAATCCTGTGTTATCAGCTACGGCTGCCTCGACAATGTTACTGTCCTCTATGGCTGCCCCGATCAGTGAGTGCAAACCAGTGCACCGCACTCCACCGCACTCCGCCCCACTTTGCTGCACTCCACCACACTCCACCGCACCACTCTCCAACAAATCCTGTGTTATCAGCTACGGCTGCCTTGACAATGTCACAGTGCTCTATGGCTGCCCCCCGATCAGTGAGTGCAAACCACCGCACCGCACTCCATCGTACTCCACCCCATGTTACCGCACTCCACTGCACTGCACCACACCACTCTCATTCGATCAGCTCTGGGTACAATGACCCTCTCCATGACTGCTCCCATTAGTAAGTGTCCACCAGGGTACCCCACTCCACTCCACTCCACCCCACTCCACCCCACTCCACTCCACTCTGCCTCACTCCACTCACAACCTCCCACTCCCCCTCTTCAACCTCTTCCCCTCCCTTCCTCCTATCCCTCCGCCCCACCCCACAACCCACATCAGGACCAAAATTTCTCTCTCAACCATTCCAGTTGACGACATATCAACACCACTACAACCCGGCGATTTCTCCCCATCAGCTGCTGCCATTGCTGCTGCTTCCACTGCAAATACCAATGATGTTGCTTCCCCCATCGATACCAATGCTCTTGCGTCCCGGTCCAATACCACTGGAAAGGCTGCCCCAGCAGCAGCAGCTGGTAGTTCTCTCGCATTGATGCTTCTGCTTTGCTCCTCCATTGCCCCATTTGTTTTCTAATGGTTGCCGAAGGGAGAATTTACATGTACCTGTACGTTGCTTTACGAGAGCTTTTCCGTGGTTGCACGTGTATAGAGTACCAGAACTCTAATGTGACTGTTTCTTGTAGAATGCGTACAGGGCGTGAGACGCCCCCCAGCCATTATTGGGTGCCTGCCTGATAATGTTCTTTTTCTATATGGTTGTATAAGCAGTTCACTGTAACAGCTTCATTAACATATTATAACGCGCATGCCTCATAACAAGGAATGGGGAGGGCTCTTCAATTCACATTACAACCGTGTCGCATTGCAATTTCTGTTGGGTTCGGCATTGAAAGCCTTGGCGCTTCGTAGTTTGTCGTTACACATTTCGCTCACACGTTCGTCGAACCTCGTGCTTCGACGATATGATTGGAAGCGACTTCTGCGAAGCTTTTTGCAAGACAGGGTCGGCATCATGTCCAAACTCGGGCAGCGCCCCACTCTGACACCATCCCACACCAGTCGAGCCTGGGCCGTGGATGAACCAGACGTGCAGAGGCCATTTCCGGTCGAAGTGGCGAGATCAAGGTGCGAAGAACGCATGAATCCAAAATACGCCTGTTACCACAACTCACGACGATCACCCTTGTCCTCACGATAATCTCATGGGCTGCAATTTCTGCTTGCCCCTCCCTCCCGACACTAATGCTTGCCGTCCTAACACCAAACCGCTAGCTGAAGTCTAGTGGGCTTCGACTTCGCCCACGACCGATATGGATATTTCAATGACGAACCATTCATTAGAAGCAGCGTTTGCTCAAACCCTGGGCCGATTCGAATCTTACAGCCATCTACTCCTAACTCATCTGGTGACATCGTGGAAAAGGAAACTGGTCAAAAGAAGGGGGCGAGGGATTTTTGTCTGAAATGATGGCGCTTGCCTTGCGAAGCTCGCGTCGCGTAGCCTCCACGTGCATTTTACTCTTCACCATGGCCCTCATTTCTAGCGGCCACTTCACACAACCTTCCGCCGCCGCCGCTGCCGCAGCCGCCGCCACCGCCGCCATTTCGCTCCCAGAATCGCTCTCTTCCTACTCTAATGTGGCGTTGCTAGATCCGCGCCTCGAGCTCCACTGGACCGTTAACGACAGCGACGCGACCATACGATTGGCGGTTCGAGCCAACACGGCGGGATGGCTCGCTATAGGCATCTCCGAAATAGGCTCCATGGCTGGCTCAGGTGCGACTTCGTAGTTCGAAATTCGCTTACATGTGTTTTTTTCTTGTGCGGGCCGCGGCGCGCGCCAAAAGCCTTTCTCGTGCGGGACTTCTGACTCAGAGTCGTGGGATTGGCTGGAGGGCCAGTGGGAAATCATAGCTTCATTGGCAAGCTCCATATAAAATATTACCTGTGCACAGTTCGAGAGTTACTTCGTGCGGGTCAACACGGTTCTCTGTGGTTTCTTTTCTCTTTCTCTCTCTATCTCTCTCTGCGTCAATCCACAACTTTTGTTCCAGACGTGCTCGTGGCGTGGGTGGCGGAAAAAGAGGGCCGCGTGTATGCAACGGATCGCTTTATCTTCAACACCAAAGCCACCGGAATCGCACTGGACGCCAAGCAGGATTGGCACGTGCTGGACGGCAGTCAAACCACGAACCAATCCACGGGCGACACGTGGACCACCGTGCACGCGTGGCGCCTGCTCGACACGGGCGACTGCAACGACCGCCCCATCATTTCCGGGAAGCTTCACAATATCATCTGGGCGACAGGACCCACGGATGACGTCAGCTATCATGGCTCCACGCGAGGGGGTGCCGCCCTGCTGCTCGCTCCTGCTCCCGGCCCATCCATTCTCGACCCCTCAGAACCGCCCTCAACCGCTTCTGCTGCTGCTGTGTTGAAATCGATTCGAGGGTCCGGGAGCTTGGCCCAGGCCGGGCAGCAGCAAGCAGGGAGGAAGGAGGAGGGTGAGGCGCGCGTGCTGAAGTTTACTGTGAAGGATTATCCCGTGCCCACTGACAGCTCCTCCTACCGCTGCACGGTACGCGTTTTTGGGAGTTCTCAAAGGTGATCCCAGGTTCACTCAAGTTGATTCTTTATTAATGAGGCACGCGTTCTTAAGTTCCCTGCCAAGGATTATCCTACTAGGATTATCCTACTACTGCGCGGTATGGCACGATCTCGACTTGTGCTAGTACCCCTTGGCCTTCTTGCTCCAGGCCTTCCTTTCATGATGTCGTCTAACATCATCTGGTGCTCCCCACATGTCCTCTTGAGAATCCTGCTCGTCGCATCATCACTGCTCGCCTCCGGAGAGTGAAGCGCTCTCAAAGCGCCGCCCATGCAAATGTCCGTTGCGTTGCGCGGCAGGTGATAGACGCGCCTTTGGAGAGCAAGCAACATGCGGTGAAGTAGGGGGCTGTGATCAGCACATCAATACCTCCCACTCCTTCACATGTCCCTTCCTTGCATTGTGACTCTCACGGCAGGTGATAGACGTGCCGTTGGAGAGCAAGGAGCACGCAGTGGAGTGGGGCCCGGTAATCAACACCACTCAAGTGTCCTCCCTCCACCACGCCTTCCTCTATGGTTGCTCATCGTGAGTCGCCACACACACACGCACGTCTTTCGCCTCAACTCACCTCCTCTCTCACCACTTCCCGCCTCTCCTCACCTCCTCTCACATCTTCCCACCTCCTCTCACCTCTTTTCACCCCTTCCCATCCCGCTCTTTTCAACAGAGAAGAGTACCCGAATCTGCTGCCATCAGGAATGATATTCGACTGTGTAGGGAGGGCACCTTGCGGCACATCCGTGGCCGTGTGGGCGTGGGGAGGGCGCCCCTTCACCTTCCCTCCCAATGTCGGCTACCCCATCGGCCCCGGCTACTTCACCGAGTTCGTGCTAGAGGTGGGCGCAGTGTGGTTCCAGGCGGTTTGGTGCGTTTTGGTGTGGTTTTGCTCGGTAATGTGCGATTCAGTGCGGTGCAAAAACGATGTCACTCCACTTCTGTCACCCCACAATCTACCCCAGCGTTTCTGCTTAATCCCTCTCTTCCCCCTATCTTCCCCTCCCCTCCAACCCCTCAGATGCACTATGCGAATCCCGAGGGTCGCACCGACCTAATCGACAGCTCAGGGGTGTACCTAAAACTGGCCTCATCACCGGGTTTCAAGGACGCACACATAATGAAGACAGGCCTAGTGGGCCACACCCGACTCATCCGCATTCCCCCCGCCATGCCCTCGTGGACGCATGCCAACTCGTGCCCGGGCGAGTGCACTGCCGCTGTGTTCAAGAATGAGAGTGTGAAGATCATTGGGTCGATTCTGCACGAGCATAACATTGGACGCCAGGTGGGTTTTTAAGTGTTGGCGATTTCAGGTGTAGCTTTACGCTTCGTGCTCAGTTAAGTGCTGATGAAAAGTTGGCACTTCATGCCTATCGCCATCTCATTCATTCCTCCCTCCTTGCTCTAATCCTCGTCCCTGTGCACGAGTTTCCTCCTTCGGATGTACATGCAGGGGCAGCACATGTGAACCCTCTCGTGCTTAATGTCTTGCCATCTCATTCATTCCTCCCTTGCTTGCTGCTCTTCCCATCTCTGTGCGCAAGTTTCTTCTTTCAGATGTATATGGAGGTGCTAAGAAGGGGCAGCACAGTCACAACCATCAACCGCATTGACTACTAGTGAGCTTCGAGTTCCCCTCTTAACCGTCTCATTGCCACCTTCGCCCCCACCACCGTCTCATTGCCACCATCTGTTAGTAGATTCTCCCTCTGCCATGGCTGCTCTTCACCCGAGTTCTGCCCTCCTTTACAACCGCTCACCATCGCTCCCTTCCACCCAGCCATCAACCGCCTTGAACCGCATTAAGTACAAGTGAGTTCACCTCTAGCCATGCCAACACTTCTGCCTTCCTGCTTTTACGCCTTCATCCTATATTCAACCCTTTTCCGTTTCTCAATATGTCAGTCCATTGCCACTCTCCCTCACTCTAACCGTCCCTCCTTCCGTCCTGACTCCCTCCCTCACAACTTTCCTCTCTCTCTGATTTCCCCACTTTCCTTCCTCCCCACGACCCCACCTTCCTTCTCCCCTATCTCGAAACAACTCCCATGAACCCTCCACCCTTCCCTATGTGCGTGATGGCTTGGCACTGGCAGTGACTATGCATCGCAGCAGACCATGCCGGTGCAACCGGAGTTTGAGCTGCTACCGGGAGACGAGATTCGCATCACCTGCGTGTGGGACTCCACCTCTCGCACCAATGTAATACACCTTAAAGCCCCAAAAATAACAATATATGAGGCACTCTCTTATGGTTTGAGCTGCTACCAGGAGACGAGATCCACACCACCAGTGTGTGGGACTCCACCTCTCGCTCTGAGGTACCAATTTTTGGGCTAGAAAAAACACCAAAAACCTCGGGAACAATTTTCAAGGCGCCGCAGGTGTCTTCTGCTTGCGACCAAAGTTGCCTCCTTGCTCTCTTTTTCGCCCACTCTCTCTGTCCGTTTTTCCCTCCTTCGCAGCTACCTGCCCCTGCAGGTAACGGTGGGAGGGCCAGCAGCTGAGAATGAGATGTGTGTGGCATACCTTGTTTACTACACCGCAACGCAGGGCCGAGGTAAGCCTTTCTCTCACACTTTGTGAACTGTTGAGGCGCCTCAAAATCCTCTACGCAGGGTTGAGGTCACCATTTGGCACCGAGAAAGGTAGTGGGTCATTGCACCCTCTTTTTATCAGCATTCCCAAACACCTCACTCTCCCTCATAACGCCACCCACACTCTCTCCCTCGTAACGCCACCCACACTCTCTCCCTTGTAACGCCACATGCACACTCTAACGCCACACGCACTCTCTCCCTACATCCCACCTGCCCCAGCCCTTCTCCCCTTACCCTCCTCTTTCCTTCCCCCCTCATGCCTGCTCGTTCCCATGCCCGCTGCTCCCTCCCTCCCGTCCACGCGTCTCAACCCTTCTTTCCCTGCTCCCCTGTTTTCTCACCAGAGATGCATGCATGCTACACGGTGTGTGGGGCGATGGACAACGGAACACTCTCTATCGACCCTAGTCGCCAAGACCTCTCGACCCACTACGTGTGTGGGCCGGGGCACAACCCCTTCATCCCCACCAACAAGCCGTGCACTATCAGCTTCGGGAGCAACAATCCTGTCACAGTCCTCCATGGCTGCCCTGATAAGTAAGTGCAAACCACCGCACCCCACTCCACCCCACTCCACCACACTCCACCAACACGCCTTCTGTCATCAGCTTTGGGAGCAGTAACCCTGTCACAATCCTCCATAACTGTCCTGGCCAGTGAATGCCGAAAAGATTGTTGCACTCCACCCCACTCCACTGCACTCCACCCCACTCCACTCTACTCCACAATGTACCGCCAACACACCATCCCTCCTTCCCCCTATCGCTCTGCCCCACTCCGCAATCCACTTCTGGACAAGCGGCGTTTCTCTAAGTGGAATGACAAGTGGAATGGATTTCTATCTCGACCATTCCACTTTTCGTCATCTCAACACGACCACACGCTCCCAATCTTCTCCCTCTTCCCCTCCACCAACATCCTTTACCCTATCCCCCCCACCCCATCCCACAACCCACTGCAGGACCAAGGCATCGGTCTCAGCCATTCCACTCGATGCCATCTCAACACCACTCCAACCCGCTTCACCCTCCCGCTCTCCTCATGCCGCTGCTCTCGTGCCGCCGGCCGAAACCAGTTCGCTTGCTTCCCCCGCAAGTACCACTGGAAAGGCTGCCCCAGCAGCGGCAGCTGGCAGTTCTAGTATCACATTGATGGTAGTGCTTCCCTCCTTTTTAGCCTTGCTGATGGCAGAAATTATGTATGTACATTAATTTATACGAGTTCTTCTGAAGTTGAGGTTGTACCAATCGTGTGCGCAATGTGTATGGTATACCAGGAGAGAATGGTAGAACCCGCGGGTCATGTGAGTGATATGCGGATGACACAAACTGAAAATTTACACAGTCAGGAAATGCTTCCAGCATGACCGTATATGAAGCAATCAGCTTCGGCATACCGCCTAAAAGTGGGACGCAAGTGCAACTTCGCAAACACTCGCGGCAGCATCACAATTTACCGTCGTCGCCCCAACAGCACCAACAGCAGCAACAGCAACATCAACAGGCGCCGCAGCACTAGATGCTTTTGCTTTCGTCACTCACCCCATCTCCCCTCTCTTGCCTTCTACCCTGCTCCTGCTCCTGCTCCTCCTCCTGCTGCTGCTGCTGCTGCTCCTGCTGTTGTTCCTGCCCCAATTGCTGCTGCTGCTGCTCCAGCTGCGGCTGCTTCTGCCCCTCCTCCTCCTGTTGCTGCTGCTGCTGCTGCTGCTGCTGCTCCTGCTCCTGCCGTTCCCCACCCTCAGGCGCCTCTCTGACCAACCCCTCTTCACCACGTGTCAGCATCTCAGCAGCACCTCTGTCAGCCTTTGCTGCCAGCTGGCGCTGCCTGACAGCCAATCGCGACGCTTCCCTGAGCTCCTGCTGTGTCTCGGTGCTGCCAGGCTGGCAGGGGGGATGAGGACAGGGGGAGAGATTGTGGAGGGAATGAAGAATTGGAGAACTAGGGCAGAGATACCAGGGCGGGACTGACGGGGAGGTAGAGGGAGGGAGGAAGGAAAGAGAAGGGAAGAAGCAGGGGAAACGGTTGGTGAGAAAGGAGGAGAGCGAGTGAGAGAAAGATAGAGAGAGTGAAGGGGAACGGATGAGTGGGGAGGGGGAGATGTGAGCACCTGCAACAGGAGCGCGCAGGAGAAGGAGGCTTAAGCAGGCAAGGTGGGGCTCTCCAAAGTTGATAGGCGGCGAGGGGGTCCATTGGGGAGAGGTGGGCAAGGGGGGCAAGGGGAGCGAGGGGGGAGAGGGGGAGGTCGTCACCTGCAGCACGAGTGCGCGGGAGAAGGAGGCTTGCGCGAGGTGAGGCTCTCCAAAGTTGAGCTGCGCACGTGCGAGTGTCACCCACGCGTCGTGCCAGTCAGGGGCAATTTCCGTTGCACCTGCAGTGGAAGTGACGAGCAGACTGAGTCTATTTTGAGGCGCCTAAACATTCGGGCTGCGCTCGTGCGAGTGTCACCCACGCGTCGTGCCAGTCAGGGGCAATCTCCGTGGCACCTGCAGCAGTGGAGCGGATGAGGGAGAGACTGAGTCAAATTTCGGAATCATCCTGGTTTTTGGGAACGCTTACTTGAAGCATCTCGCGACATGCACTCAGACATGCTGGTTTTCTCAAAAACCAGCTCGTAAGACATGCTGCCCATGGTCTACCAAGATTAGTTCAGTGCACACGTGCCAGGGAGGATGGCACATTGGCACCTATCGTTCTGCAGTCATTACACAACACACGTCATCTCGGACCCGAATGCAATGATTACACGTGCCAGCTCGGACCTAGGTGCAATGATTACACGTGCCAGCTCGGACCTAGGTGCAATGATTACATGTGCCAGCTAGGTCCAATGATTACATGTGCCAGCTAGGTGCAATGATTACATGTGCCAGCTAGGTGCAATGATTACATGTGCCAGCTAGGTGCAATGATTACATGTGCCAGCTAGGTGCAATGATTACATGTGCCAGCTAGGTGCAATGATTACATGTGCCAGCTAGGTGCAATGATTACATGTGCCAGCTCGGACGGCCTCCCACAGCCGCCCCATCTCCATCAACACCTGCGCCTTCTGCTCGAACAGCACCGCGCGCTGACGTGGCACGGCAGACAAACCAATGGCAGCGTCCCACGCGGCAAGAGCAGCGGAAAACTCTCCCTCCTGAGGGCATGGGATGGGGAGGGGTAAGGGGGAGCAAGGGGGGGAATGCAGTGGGAAGAACAGGAGAGGGAGGTGAAGTGAGGGATAGAAGCGGGTCTGTTGGGAGGCGGAGTGGAAAGGAGGTGGGAAAAACTCGAGAATTAAAAAAAACGTGCCTTCCACGTGGCCCACGCGTGCCCCCCGCGTGTCCCTCACGTGCCTGTGCCAAGGCGTTTCCCCTCTGCTGGAGCTGCGCTGTCTCCTCAATTCTCGTCTTTCTCCTAGGTTCCATCTCGCTTGGGGTACACGTGGCGAAATCTTCGCGCGCCTCGCCAGCCACGGCAACGTCATCCATAGTAGGTTCTGCTGCCACGTCATCAGGATCCCCGAACGCGCGGAGAACGGCATCGCCGCCCTTGGCGAGTCGCTTGCGCTTCTTTGCGCTTTTCGCGGCGGAAGACCAGGCAAGATGCATGGGAGCGACAGACGGGGGCACGGGGAACCGCGGCCGTTGATGGGAATAACGGTGGTAATTGGCTAGGGCTGTTAGGAGCTCGTTGCGTGGTCACGCTATAGGGCTTCTCGTTTTCGTAATTATATCTCAAATATCAAAATTCCACATGCTGGCTGCGCTTCAATACTCGTTTGTGGCGGAAACCCGATATTTGATGTACGACAGCATATTCTCATTTATGTGTATATTATGCACAGCCACGCGAGCGATTTCCCTGCCACGTGGCGGATGAACAATGGCTTCTGCCCAGCCATGCACCTGCGCGCCAGTGGCAGCACTCACGATGTAGGAACTCTCGCTTTCTCAGTTGGTAACCCTTCGTAACGCGAATGCGTTCAGCGAAAATGCGCTTCTCCTCGCATGGCGAGGCAGGGAAATTCACACTGCTCATCCATCCCAAACCCAACACAAATTCGCCCCTGTTTTCGTGCATGCACGTGCACTCGTGCTGTCCCCTCCGCGCATCTGATTGGGAAATCTATTTTATCTCCATGTTCAATGCAGATTCAGCTCAATGCTCTTCGGCTTACCCGCCGACAGGTGTCCTGTCCCCCTCTCTGCATGGGTTCAGTCGAACGAACGGAAGTCCTCTTTTCCGCTCGTGCCGCTTGTTGATCGAAACGACACCACCACTTGGCGCGCAATTCGCGCCGTCGGCCAATTTCTCCCGGTAACTCAGTAACCGCGATTTGCGTCCACCATCTGTGAAGTTCGTCCGCGTTACCAAGCCTCTCTCCTTGAATACCCACAAGCCACCGCGATGCAGTCAATGCCATCACCGTCGTCGCGAATCGGTCTCTCGATCTCCCGTCGTTTTTTCTTATCCAACAGCCGATCGCCCTTCAGATTATCAAGAACCGCTCCCACCGGAGTCGCAAGCCTAACAAGCGTAGCAAGCGCAACACCAAGAGTAAGCGGCGCAGCTAGCGGCGCAGCAAGCGCGAAAGGTACCAGATCGATCTCGTCCGCGTGCTCGTTCGCTCGATCTCCGCTTGTGTTTCCCCCACTGCGCTCCGCGACTTCCTCCGCGCTTTCCTCCTCGGCTTCTTCCGCTCGCCGCGGGATGGCATCGGAGCAAGCGCCTCCGCGCAACGTGCGCGTGATGGCGGAGGCGGAGCGAGAGGCGGAGCGACTGGCGGAGCGGAAGGAGGAGGCCCCAGGCGCAGCGGGGAGAGCGGAGGAGGAGAGGGGAGGCTGGGAGAGCGCGGGGAAGACGCACAAGTACACGAATTGACTGGCCAAGGAGCAGAGCCCGTATCTCCTGCAACATGCGCACAATCCTGTACGTATTCATCCCTCTTCCGCACAGTTGTAAATTCCTTGAAGCCGTTGTGCTATTCCTTCCTTTCTCCTCTGTCCCCTCTCCCATACCGCAGGGGGAAGGAGGCGTTTGGTTTGCCCTCCTTTTTCCTCTCTTATCCCTCTCTCCCTGTTGCTGCAAGCCCCAGATGTGACTCCTCACGAGGCATTCTATGGGAGGAAGCCGAATCTGGGGCTTGCACGGGTGTGGGGGAGTATGGTACAATACAGGGAGCCTGCTGGTCCGGATCATAAGTTGCTGCCAAGGACTCAATGGGGGATCAATCTTGGTACCTGCCCAGTGAGCAAGGGGTGGGTGATCAAGGATGTGGTTTCGGGGAAGGTCACAATCACCCGGGATGTTATTTTCTACGAGGAGGTGAGCTACCTGCAGTGGAAGGGAGTAGAAAAAGAGATTGCAGCAGCAGGGACAGCAACTACATCGGACAAGGTGGATGATCTCTTGGAAGAAAAGGAGAGTGAGGGAGTTGGTGATGGAGAGAGATGAGGAGGACTATCGACTACCTACTGCAACATGAAGATGAGGGGCTGTTATTCGAAGGAGGTGAAGAGACCTTGGAGTTAGTGGGGTATGCGGATGCTTCACACGCATCCGACAGGCAAACAAGGAAGGGAGCATACGGTTACGTGTTTCTGCTCGGCGGGACAGCAATCATGTGGCAAGCGAAAAAGTTGAGTGACATAGCGCTCTCTAGTGCGGAAGCGGAGTACATGGCTCTGTTTTACGCATGCCAAGAGGGGGTTTGGCTGAGACGGCTACTCAAGGAGATGGAAATCAAGGTGAAAGGGCCGACGGTGATACGCACGGATAGCAAATCTGCCATCGACTTGGCTCACAACGACAATTGGCACGGGAGGACCAAGCATATGGATGCGTTCAAAGGTGAGTAGCAAGGAGTTCAAGTTTGAATTCGTACGTACGGAGGCACAAGCAGCAGATTTTCTGACTAAGGTGTTACCAAGGGCAAATTTTGAGCGTTGCAAGAGAGAGGTTGGGATGCGTACCTTGGCTGAATTGCAGGGGAGTGTGGAGCAGGCCTAGAGATGGTTCAAGGTAAAACGTGCGTGGGAGAATGCATAGGCTGGTGGTTAGCAAACCACAGGGGAGATTGTTGAAGGTGGTTAGCTAACCACGACCTAGAACGACCTAACGCGATCTACATCGACCTAAGAAGAATCCGGCTTGACGAGATGAGACTAAGGGAAAGCGAAGACCTAAGAAGAAGAGAGACTAGCTATGTTGGGACGGTGGAAGGAGAAATACGGCGGCAGCAGGATATACGATGGGAAACAAAGAGAAGAAGAGGAAGCGCATGAAAATGGTGAAGAAAGTGGCTGAAATGTGCAGATTTGGATCGACGTGAAGAGAAGTCACGCCAGGTCAAAGGCGCGTCCAAGGAAGTCTGAAATTCGAACTCGAGGCGCGTTCGGTGCATGGTTGGATTTGGGAATTGAGCCGAGTACAACTCAGCTCGATATTAGGCGCGGCGCGAGGGCGAAATCAGAAATCCTTTTGCTTATAACTTGCTTTGTGTTTTCTGTTTTTGTATGCCTTCTTCAATGAAATTACTTGAACTTTCTGCCTTGGCGTTTTTTCCAGCAAATTCCTTCACATAGTTGAAGCCAGAGCTTCTTATGCATACTACTAAGACTCTAAATAGTCTTCATAGTCTAGACTAAAGGCTGCGCACGTACAAGACTCCCTCCCCTCTCCCATCTCCTCTCCCTCCCCTCTCCTATCAGGTCGACTGGTACCCGTGGGGGGAGGAGGCGTTTACAAAGGCGCGGGAGGAGGGGAAGCTGATATTCCTATCAGTGGGCTACTCCACGTGTCACTGGTGCCACGTCATGGAGGTGGAGTCCTTTGAGCGTGCTGACGTGGCGGACGTCATGAACGAGGGCTTCGTGAACATCAAGGTCGACAGGGAGGAACGCCCTGATGTGGACAAGGTGAGAAAGGAGTTGGTGCTGACGTGGACAAGGTGAGAAATGCGTGGGTGCTGACGTGGACAAGGGAGGGAGCGATTGGCCCCATGTCGGTGTTCCTCACATGCATTTCTGCTCCTGCTCTCCGCTCTACCTCTCTCCCCTCCTTCCCCCCCTTCCCCCCACCAGGTTTACATGACATACGAGCAATTCACGCAATGCAGGGGAGGGTGGCCCATACCAGTCTTCCTCACGCCCTCGCTCCCCCTGCTTCCCTCCCTTCACCCGCCCTGGCCCCTTTCCTTTTCCCGCCCCCCCTCCCCACCAGGTTTATGACATACGTGCAGGCCACGCAAGGCGGGGGAGGGTGGCCCATGCCGGTCCTCCTCACGCCTTGTCCCTTGCGTGCATTTCTGCCCCTGAATTCCTCTCTCCCACCTGCCGCTGCCACCCAAACACCCAGGTCTACATGACATACGTGCAGGCCACACAGGGCGGGGGAGGGGGGCCCATGCCGGTCCTCCTCACGCCCTCTGCTCTCTTTGCCTTCCCCCCTCTCTCCTTGTCCCTACCCACCACCTTGCCCCTCTTCCCCCCCCCCCCAAGGTCTACATGACATACGTGCAGGCCACACAGGGCGGGGGGGGCTGGCCCATGTCCGTCTTCCTCACGCCCTCGCTGCACCCCGTCTTTGGGGGAACTTACTTCCCTCCGGACGACAAATATGGCCGCATCGGCTTCAAGTCACTCCTCGGGTGAGAAGGGGAGGGAGGGAGGGTGATGCGTGGTTGAGAGGGATGGGTGGTGCTTGAGGGTGGGTGAAACCTACTTCCCACCGGATGACAAATACAGCCGCATCAGCTTCAAGTCCCTCCTCGGGTGGAGTGGGAGGGGTGGGGTGGGGGAGTGGGGTGGTGTTTGGGTGAGGGTGGTGGGTTGGTGGGGTGGAGCTTGGGTGAGGGGGGTGGGGTAGGGAACGGTGCAGTACGGTAGAAAGCTGAGTGGGAAAAGCTTCAAGGAGACGGTTTTAGGAGTGTTCTGCTTTTCACTTCCAGCTGTTCCGCTTTGCACATGGGAAGGGGTCTCATGTTTCGGGGGTTCTTATGAGTACCCTGTCAAAAGAGGACAGGTGGGCTGCGGAGGCCTTACTTCCATCAACTCGTGTTGGTTCGGGGGTTCTTAAAAGTACCCTGTTCGATGTCTCCCCAAACCGCTTCAAGTCACTTGACCGCTGTCCCTGTCTGCCTCCCATCTCTCCTCCGTTCGTTTGCATCGCTCGTCATCTCCTGGCCTTGCACCCTCCTCCTCCCGCATAGACTTTTGAGTCGACTCAAAAGTCAACTCGTACGTTTGCATCGCTCGTCATCTCCTGGCCTTGCACCCTCCTCCTCCCGCATACACTTTTGAGTCGACTCAAAAGTCAACTCGTTCGTTTGCATCTCTCGTCATCTCCTGGCCTTGCACCCTCCTCCTCCCGCATAGACTTTTGAGTCGACTCAAAAGTCAACTCGTACGTTTGCATCGCTCGTCATCTCCTGGCCTTGCACCCTCCTCCTCCCGCATACACTTTTGAGTCGACTCAAAAGTCAACTCGTTCGTTTGCATCTCTCGTCATCTCCTGGCCTTGCACCCTCCTCCTCCCGCATAGACTTTTGAGTCGACTCAAAAGTCAACTCGTTCGTTTGCATCGCTCGTCATCTCCTGGCCTTGCACCCTCCTCCTCCCGCATAAACTTTTGAGTCGACTCAAAAGTCAACTCGTTCGTTTGCATCTCTCGTCATCTCCTGGCCTTGCACCCTCCTCCTCCCGCATACACTTTTGAGTCGACTCAAAAGTCAACTCGTTCGTTTGCATCTCTCGTCATCTCCTGGCCTTGCACCCTCCTCCTCCCGCATAGACTTTTGAGTCGACTCAAAAGTCAACTCGTTCGTTTGCATCGCTCGTCATCTCCTGGCCTTGCACCCTCCTCCTCCCGCATACACTTTTGAGTCGACTCAAAAGTCAACTCGTTCGTTTGCATCTCTCGTCATCTCCTGGCCTTGCACCCTCCTCCTCCCGCATAGACTTTTGAGTCGACTCAAAAGTCAACTCGTTCGTTTGCATCGCTCGTCATCTCCTGGCCTTGCACCCTCCTCCTCCCGCATAGACTTTTGAGTCGACTCAAAAGTCAACTCGTTCGTTTGCATCTCTCGTCATCTCCTGGCCTTGCACCCTCCTCCTCCCGCATAGACTTTTGAGTCGACTCAAAAGTCAACTCGTTCGTTTGCATCGCTCGTCATCTCCTGGCCTTGCACCCTCCTCCTCCCGCATAGACTTTTGAGTCGACTCAAAAGTCAACTCGTTCGTTTGCATCGCTCGTCATCTCCTGGCCTTGCACCCTCCTCCTCCCGCATACACTTTTGAGTCGACTCAAAAGTCAACTCGTTCGTTTGCATCGCTCGTCATCTCCTGGCCTTGCACCCTCCTCCTCCCGCATACACTTTTGAGTCGACTCAAAAGTCAACTCGTTCGTTTGCATCGCTCGTCATCTCCTGGCCTTGCACCCTCCTCCTCCCGCATACACTTTTGAGTCAACTCAAAAGTCAACTCGTTCGTTTGCATCTCTCGTCAACTCCTGGCCTTGCACCCTCCTCCTCCCGCATAGACTTTTGAGTCGACTCAAAAGTCAACTCGTTCGTTTGCATCGCTCGTCATCTCCTGGCCTTGCACCCTCCTCCTCCCGCATACACTTTTGAGTCGACTCAAAAGTCAACTCGTTCGTTTGCATCGCTCGTCATCTCCTGGCCTTGCACCCTCCTCCTCCCGCATTCTCCAGGCGAGTCCGCTCCGTGTGGGAGCAGCGGCGCAGTGAGGTGCAGAGCGGTGCAGAGGACGCCATGTCGCAGCTACAGGAGGCCATGCAAGGGGGCGGAGGGGCGGTGGGTGTGGCGGGAAAGGGGAAGGGGAAGGCGGAGCAGCAGCAGGAGGGAAAACAGCAGGAGCAGCAGGAGGAGGAGCGGGTGTGGAAGCTTGCAGAGAAAGCAGTACAGCTGTGCTCAGAGCAACTAGCATCGCGATACGATGAGGACTTGGGGGGGTTTGGGTCTGCGCCCAAGTTCCCCCGCCCCTCTGAACTCAACCTGCTGCTGCGGGCGCACCTGCGGGGGGAGGGGGAGCGGGGGAAGGGGAAGGGGAGGGGGGAGGGGGAGGGGGGGAAGGGGAGGACGGTGGTGAGGGGGAAGGGGCCGGGGGCGCTACAGATGGTGGAGCATACCTTGGAGTGTATGGGGCGAGGGGGAATGCACGACCATGTGGGAGGGGGCTTCCACCGATACTCCGTGGATGAGTACTGGCATGGTGAGGCGTGGTGACGTGCGGTGACGTGAGGCTGGGCAGGGTGAGGTGTGGTAAGACATGGTACCAGCTCCACCTTTGTGCCCTCCACCATGGGACCAGGGGCGCTACAGATGGTGGAGCATACACTGCAGTGTTGGGTACGGTGAGGTGCGGTGAGACTGCTTTTGAGCCGACTCAAAAGTAGGGTGAGGTGCGGTGAGACACGATAACTACTCCACCATGGGACGAGGGGCGCTACAGATGGTGGAGCATACGTTGGAGTGCATGGGGAGAGGGAGGATGCATGCACGACCACGTGGGAGGGGGCTTTCTCCGATACTCCGTTGATGAGTACTGGCATGGTGAGGCGTGGTGAGGTGTGGTGACGTGCGGTTGGGTAGGGTGAGGTGTGGTAAGACATGGTACCGGCTCCACCTTTGTGCCCTCACGCAAGGGGCCGGGTGCACTACAGATGGTGAAGCATACTTTGGAGTGTATGGGAAGAGGGGGCATGCATGACCACATGGGAGGGGGCTTCTGCCGATACTCCGTGGATGAGTACTGGCATGGTGAGTCACGGTGAGGTGTGGTGAGTTATGGTAACAATGCCACCTTCCATCAACCCTCCAGCCCCTCGCATCAAGAAGTGCTGTACGACCAAGGCCAGCTCGCCAACGCCTATCTCATCGCTTTGCATATCCCATTCCCTCCATTCCCCCCTTTCTTTCCACCCCTCTCCATCCCCCCCCCCCAGTTCCTCACTTCGAGAAGATGCTGTACGATCAAGGCCTGCTCGCCCACGCCTGTCTCTTTTCCCTCCTCCCCCACTCCCCTTCCCCCCTTTCTTCCCCCCCTTCTTTCCCCCCCCTCCACCCATTGCCCCAGTCCCCCATTTTGAGGAGATGCTATACGACCAAGGCCAGCTCGCCAACGCCTATCTCGACGTCTTGCATATCTGATCAATTTCCATCCCCTTTTTCTTCCCCCACCCCCTCCCCCCAGTCCCCCATTTTGAGAAGATGCTATATGACCAAGGCCAGCTCGCCCACGCCTATCTCTTTTCCCTCCTCCCCCACTCCCCTTCCCCCCTTTCTTCCCCCCCTTCTTTCCCCCCCCTCCACCCATTGCCCCAGTCCCCCATTTCGAGAAGATGCTCTACGATCAAGGCCAGCTCGCCAACGCCTATCTCGACGCGTTCCTCGTCACGGGCCGCACGGATTTCGCGCGCATGGGGCGGGATATTTTGGACTATGTGCGGCGGGACATGACGCACGGGGAGGGCGGCATCTACAGTGCTGAGGACGCTGACAGCCTGGCAGCTGTGGGGGACGAGAGGAAGAAGGAAGGGGCTTTCTACGTGTGGAGTGAGAAAGAGGTGAGTGTGTGACTGAGTGTGTGACTGAGTGTGTGACTGAGTCCACGTTGGTGTTCTCAGCAGCACCAAGGGTGGATGGACATGACGCACGGGGAGGGCGGCATCTACGGTGCCGAGGATGCTGACAGCCTGGCGGCCGTTGGGGACGAGAGGAAGAAGGAAGGAGCGTTCTATGTGTGGAGTGAGAAAGAGGTGAGTGTGCAACTGAATGTGTGACTGAGTGTGTGACTGAGTGTGTGACTGAGTGTGTGACTGAGTGTGTGACTGAGTGTGTGACTGAGTGTGTGACTGAGTGTGTGACTGAGTGTGACGCAAGGACGGCAAACGCGATCTCTCACATATGTCCCCTCCCTCTGCTATTTCCTACCTCGTTCCACCCCGTCGTTGCAGATTGCGTCCATCCTCGGCCCATCCACCCCGCGCTGCCGTCTCTTCACCGCACTCTACACGGTACGCAAGGACGGCAACTGCGACCTCTCTCCGCGCTCTAACCCACGCAACCTCTTTTCTATTTCCCCCTTCCTGTCTTTCACCCCATCAATGCAGATTGCGTCCATCCTCGGCCCATCCACCCTGCGCTGCCGTCTCTTCACCGCACTCTACACAGTCCGCCAGGACGACAACTGCGACCTCTCACCCATCTCCCCCCTCCCGCCTTCCACCCTTTCGTTGCAGATTGCTTCTCTTCTTGGTGCTTCCACGCCTCGCTGCCGTCTCTTCACCACACTCTATACGGTCCGCAAGGATGGCAACTGCGACCTCTCTCCGCGCTCTAACCCACGCAACGAGTTTGCGGGTCTCAACTGTTTGATCCAGCGCTGCTCAGTTTCAGACGCAGCGAAGCAGGCCGGAGTGGCAGAGGAAGAAGCCGAGAAGGTGAGAGCCTGGCTTGTTCTTGTACTGAACGGCTCTACTCTCTCCCCGCGCTCCGACCCGCACAACGAGTTCGCAGGGCTCAACTGTTTGATTCAACGCTGCTCGCTTGCAGAGGCGGCTGAGAAAGTGGGTGCTGGTGTGGTCGGTGAGATGGTGGGAGCAGGCGAGAGTGGGTGAGAGGTGGTGTAAGGCTGGAGTGGAAGGGGAAGGGTGAGGAGGCGAGCGGTGCTGCTGGGTTGGGTATTCTGGAGGGTCTCTGGTTTCTGGGTCTCGTTAGAAGCATTCTCTATGCTATTTCTTGTGATTTTGCTTCCCATTCTTTATCCCTCCTTCCCTCGATCCCTCCTTCCCTCGTTCCCCCCTCCCTGCACATCACCGTTCCACACCCGCTGATCAGATGCTGGGCAAGTGCCGCCAGCTGCTGCATGAAGCCAGGAGCAAGCGACTTTTTCGACCCATCTTTCCCCTCCTCGTTTCCCCTTTCCTCCTCGTCCCCCCGCTCTCACACCCTCTGATCAGATGCTGGGTGAGTGCCGCCAACTGTTGCATGAAGTCAGGAACAGACGACCACGGCCGCACCTGGACGACAAGGTGTGTCCTGTAGTGTCACGGTTTTTGAGGCTGTTTGCGGCGTTGTTCACAAGGTGAGCAGTGCCTTCCTCTCCTCATGGGGGTCTCAATGTCTCAAGCATGGCTTCAATTCATCTGGACGAGGAGATGTGGCTTTATTCAACAAAGTATATCCAGCTGGTGTGCCCAGTTCCCTCGTTGCCCTCCGCCTCTACCGGCCCCCTCTTCCCTCTTTTCTAGTTCCTCACCTTCCGCTTTCCCCGCTTCCTCTTCCACGCCCTTTCTCTCCCCTCTTGCCTCCACTTTTCTCCCCACGCCTCAACTCTGTCCCTCCTGCTCCTCCTTCCCCTCCCCTTGCCAGGTCATAGTGGCGTGGAACGGTCTTATGATATCTGCCTTCGCACGGGCATCTCGTATCCTCCAATCAGAGCCTGCCACGTCAACCCACTACTTCCCCGACGACGGATCCCCACCGTCAGTCTACCTCGCCTGCGCCGAACGGGCGACAAGTTTCGTCCGGTCCAAGCTGTACGACCGCGAATCCAAGCGGCTCAGGAGAAGCTTCCGGGAAAGTGCGTCGGAGGTGGGGGGGTTTGCGGACGACTACGCCTTCCTGGTAGCTTCCTTGCTGGACCTGTTTGAAGCCTCGGGCGATGCTGATTGGCTGGCGTGGGCCATGGAGCTACAGGAAACACAGGTGGGTGCTGAGGGGGAGGCAAGGGTGGTTGCTACGGGGAGACTCAGGCATGTCTACATAAGCTAGCCTTCGTTTCAATGCAAAGGGATATCTCCCATTACATGTCCTTCCTCGTCTCTCTTCTCTCCTCTTTTTCCACACAGGATCGGCTCGTTTGGGACGAGCAGCAGGGGGCCTATTTCAACACAGCGTAGGGCGACCTTCGCTGCTAATCCGCATGAAGGAGGACTACGACGGGGCAGAGTTATGTGTTAGTGTTAGTCTTCAATCTCACAATTTGTACTTTGTATTTTCTATATCCTAGAGTAGTGTAGTTTGCACATTGTGTTTGGTTGGGTGTACACCTACATCCCAACCAAACCCAAATGTAATCTCCAACCAATCTCCAACCCACCAATTGGAGATTGCCTTGGGATTACCCCCAATCCCTAGAGATTGCCCCCGATTCCCTTCCCCATCCTTTTCCTACCCCTCTTGGATGTACTTAAAGAGCTTCAAGCTCATTACTAATGCATCGCTTCTAAGCCTATTTCTGACATTATGTACTTGGCTTTTTCTTTCCCTCTTGTTCCGCCTCCCTCTCACCTCATCAGGACCGCCTGTTCTGGGACGAGCAGCAGGGTGCCTATTTCAACACAGCAGAAGGCGACCCCTCACTGCTGCTGCGCATGAAGGAAGACTACGACGGGGCGGAGCCCGCTGCCAGCTTCTCTTCTTATTCTTCCTCCCCTGCCCACTCATCTTTACACCAGGACCGGCTTTTTTGGGACGAGCTTCAAGGAGCCTATTTCAACACAGCAGAGGGCGACCCTTCACTGCTGCTGCGCATGAAAGAGGATTACGACGGGGCGGAGCCCGCTGCCAGCTCAGCAGCAGCTGCCAGCCTGGCACGCCTTGGAGCCATGATTGGTGGGGAGAGGGGCGTGGAGTACCGGAGGAAAGCAGCAAGATGCGTGGTGAGGAAATGGTTTTGGGGACTTTTCCTTGGTCACTGTAGAAATTTCGCTTTCTCGCACGAGGAAAAATAATTGTAATTGTGTGTATTTGTTCCTCCCCCTCTCCTCCCCCCCCCCCTCCCCCCCCACCCTACGTCCTCTGTCTGCCCGCCCAACCCCCCATCTCAAATGGCCTTTTTGGGGACCGCCTCTCCCGCATGCTGACTTTCGAGTCGACTCAAAAGTCATTTCTCCCGCATGCTGCTCGTGCTGCCGCAGATGTGTTGCTCCTTCTTGACTCACCCCTCCCTCTCCCCCCTCCCCCCACCCTCCCATCTCAGATGGCTTTTGAGGATCATCTATAACGCATGCCGCTAGCCCTGCCGCAGATGTGCTGCTCGCTGGATCTTCTCTCTGCCACGTCATCGCCAGCTCAGCGCCAGGTCATTATCGCCGGGCCGCGGGGCGCGCCTGAAACTGAGGCGCTCCTGAATGCAGTCTTCTCCGTGTTTCAACCGAATTGCACTGTAAGGAGAATCTTTGTATGGGTAATGCTTTGGCAGTATATGGGGTATGGAAGTTGGGATTGGAATTTCAGAGAGTATACAGAGGGTACTTAATTGGATTGATGTGTGTTGTATCCCCATTGTTTGATCAATTGTATTTTCAATCGGTCAATTGACAGCCTTTCCCTGTTTTCTCTCTCTCTCTCTCCTCCCACTCCCTTCCCGGTGGCCTTCATTCTTGCTTGCTTCCCCAGATCATCCCAATTGATTTTGCCAACCAATCAGATGCTGCCTTCTGGCAGCAGCACAACCCACGTGCTCTGGCAATGGCTGCCAAGGGCATGAGTGACAGGTCGGCTGCCGCTGCCACTTCAGCAGCAGTGCCAGCTGGCGCCTTGTCAGGTGCCACGTCAGCAGCGTATGTGTGCCAGAACATGACTTGTCTGGCGCCAGTGTCTGAGACAGAGAAGCTGGTATCCCTCCTGAAAGGAGGGGCTGCAGGGGGATCCACTAGTGTGTCGTCTTTTACCTTGCCAGCTGGTTTTGGTGGAAGAGGAGCTGCTTAGTGTTGGCTGCCATGCAGGTTGGTAGTTTTCCGGTTGGGTTCAATACGGTAATTGAAGGCATCTTGAAAAGCGATGTGGAACTGGTCATGATGCAGTAAGTTGGGTGTTAGCACATTAGTGGAATAAGAACATGATATAATGGAAAGGTAAGGCAGAGCTGAGTAGAAAATAGTTGTATCATCTTAGGGAAACTCCTGCTCACCTGAGGTACAAGCTGTACATCAATTGAATCTTTGTGTGCTTTATAGTGTCACTGTCAAACCTTCTGTAACAAGAGTGAAGATTTCCAACATTTGCAGAGGTGAGCTCCCATTATAAACACAAATTCCGCAGTCGTCGTGCGTCGTTCGCAGTCCCGCAGAGCTATCGCGAGCTATAACTTGCAATCGAGTTACACCTGTTTGACATGACAATCACCTGTATTACTGCTTCCCTTTGTACCTCACTCCACCTGTGCCTGCTGGGATTGATATCCCAGCAGCTGTCGAGCAGCTGGCAGTTGTTGGCAGAAATACTATTTTCCGTGACCCTAAATTCAACAGGCATGAACCGCAAAACATTGTCGTCAGCAAGAAGTACGGAAACGGCACCCCGTCAAGCCTATTACACCTCAGAACATACCCTGCCCGTATTTGTCGCGGGCAGGCAACTGAAAGCAGGTTGGCTAGAAGGCGTGCAGCCTTCCACGGGGTGACTCGTATGGCGGTCTGGCTGTGGGGCTTAGGTAGTCCAACCTTTGGACTCTCCACCAGAAAAGCATATCGACAATTTGTCAACGCCTCACTTTCTTCGGAGTTATCCGTACCTAATTTGGGTAAACGAAAGGTTGTTGAAAGTGTACATTCTCAAAGCAGCATGTTCTGTTCTGTAATTCGTCGATTTACCGTGACGAGGCGCATGCTCCAAGGGCTGGCTGGGAACCCACAGCGGTTGAGAATTCCAACCGATTTCGGCATCCATCCAGCTCAATGGACGGCATGGATGGCATCATGGCACTGACTGCCTCTTCACTTCCCTCTCCTAACCGAACCCAACCCAACCCGTTTGCACATCAAGTTGGGCTCTCCACGCGATTCGAGAGCAATGAAATTGGCCCTCATTGCTCGGATCGCTGACTTTCCACACTCCTCACCCCACCAACCCAGTCCGTTCCAACATCACGCAGCACCCGCCTCGATCAATAAATCCGCATTACGAGCACCAAGACAGGCACATTAGCTTCCTTATTTCTAAAAAAAAAAACAGAAATTCTCTCCAACGCTCGTCCTTCCTCCTGAGTTGTCTCCCAACTACACAAATTAGCACACCATGGACGCCAGACGAAGCGTTATCGCGACGGCGCTTCTGCTCCTCACGCTCTCCGCGATCGCCGTCACGGTCACAGAGGCGAAGAGAAACCGCGGAAGCACGAAGCTCTCTTCTCTCGACCAGGCCACGCAAGATTCAAGGGCCGCGCAAAACAGCGTCGCGTACGCGCAAAAACAAGCTGACCAACTGGCGGCAAAAGCGACTGCGGCTGTGGCGGCAGCGACACAAACGGAGACGGACGAAGCAACTGCGAAGGGAGATTATGAAACCAAACTCGATGCGCTGGCGGCGGCGGCGGGCGCGCTCCCTCCGCTCGATTACGCGCAGACGAAGGCAGAAGACTGGGCGGCTCTCGCGACGAAGAAGCACAACGCGGCTGTAGCGCGGCTCGCTCTTGCAACCAAGTATCAAACGTCTGCGACAGCCCTTTCTGCGCTGGTCGACGCCGCGGCGACTGCCGCTACGACCGGATTGACCGCCGCTACGACCGACCTCACCGACGCGAGCACCGCCGCGACGGCCGCCGCCACAGCCGCCGACGCGAACCCCACGTCCGCGCTTCGCGCTGCGGCCGCCGCGAAGTACGTGGAAGTCGCAATCGCGCAGTCAATCAAATCCGCTTGGGAGGATCACACCGGAATTCTCACCGCTCTGCAGACTTCCTGCCAGGCCGTCGTTACTGCCGCGGATGCTGAAGTTACAGCGGCCACTGCGGACGAAGCATCGACCAAGACGGATAAAGACACCGCAGATTCGGACCTTACAGCGGCGAATACGGCGCTCGCGACGGCACAGCAGGCGTTTGACTCCGCCAAAACGGACTATGACAACTCGAAGCGCCTGTACGAGACGGCTAAGTCGTACACGAGCGCGGCGCGCAGCAACGAGCTGGACCTGCTCGCGAAAAAACCGCGCCGCGCAGATTAAGCTCATAGCGAACTCGATTGTCAGCGCCAAAGCGTCGCGCCGGCTCGTTTCGACTATCACGAGCGAGACTAAGAACAACCGCGCGCCGTGGCAGCAGAACGCGGCGAGCATGGCGGCGAGCAACCCAAACGCGCTGACGGAAATGAGCGAGATCGTGGCGTCGAGCAAGCTCCCTGGTAACGCGCTGTGAGCAGTTGTAAGTTGAAATTGATCCGAGCAGTTGGTGAAACGACCAGACTCTGCAGATGCACAGGGAGGTCCCGGTGGGTTCTTCGAAGCGTGCACGTGGAGCGGCATGGAGCTACTAGCTATTAGGAAACTCCGCGCTTATGTAGCCGCATGGATCTCTACTGGTAGCTGTGGTGGCAGCTCCTCTGAAGCGCACTGATGCACTCCAAAACCTGACACTCTTTTGACACTCACACTTTAACTGAGGTCCTGTCTGAGGGCGTCATTCAAGCTCATTACGGGACTATTCCCTTAGGGTTTCCTTCTGTGCTCTCTTTTCTTGTGGTGAGGCATGGAATTGTTGGGAGGAGGGTTTGTGGGGGAAGGGGGTGTTGTGGGTTCGGGAGGGTGGTTACGTTCAGCAGTCCTGGGAGTGGTTGAATAATGGCCGCACCTGTTGACCTGAACAGCTAGGCTCATCTCTCTGTTCCACCTTCAGGGCTAATCACTTGCTGTTATGGTGCATATCTCTAATGCAGAAATTGAATTTTAAATCTTACATTTCTCCTCCACCACAGTCACCCGAACCACAGCCTTCCCAACCAGAGTTATTTTCCTTATACAAGCACCACTCCAGCTTCCCTCCCCAGCCCTTGTTGTCCCTCTGCAGATTTCTGTCTCCACTCCACTCCAGACAGACCTTTCGGAAAGGTGTTGTGGAAGTGATCTCAGTTCTCACTTTTGGCTTTGTTTCAGCATCCAGTGCATTTTGACTTGCGTTTTGACTCTCCATCTCCCTGCTAGCATATCAGTCAGGATAACAAACAACCCCTTTCATAGGCAGTATAGGCATTCACATACCATCACCAGGGTTTAGGGTTACTGAAATGAGTGTGGATTGTCATAATTTATAGGATTACATTTTTCTGCAGATCTCTGTACCATATATGACAAAGCAACCAAATCAACATTGAACATCTGAGTTTAGGCAGGACCAACGACCAGGAAACGGTCCCCAAGGTCTTGACGAGGTCTCTGCAATCGGTGCATATGGGGAAGAGGGGTACACCCGTTACGAGTGAGCAGAAGCAAGTGAAAGCCGGGGAACGGACGAGGGAGATGGAAGAGAGCGACAGCAGTAGGAGCGGTAGCAGCAGCAGTAGCAACAGCGGCAACAGCGGCAGCAGCAGCAGCAGCAGCAGGGGGCTGGCGAGGAGTAACAACTCAGAGCGGACGAACAGAGGTTATGAGTTTTGAGGCGCCTCAAAAGGTTATGAGCATGTGAAGGAACGAGTCTCAAGTGCTGACTGAGGCACAGTCTCCCTCAATTTCTCACTATACTCACAACATTGAGCCTTGATGATTCACTGTGCTCCCCCCATTGTCCCATTGCGTGTCTCTACTCACCGAGTTAAGGGCGAGGGTCTGGCGGTCTCCAACGTAGCGCATGAACTCAACCACTTGGGCATCAGGGATGCGCATGGGGGAGGCTGCATAGGGGGGGGGAGGAAAGCATGGGAGGGATGCGCATAAGGTAAGGGCGAGGGTCTGGCGGTCGCCAACATAGCACATGAACTCAACCACTTGGGCATCGGGAATGCGCATGCATATGGGGGATGCTGCAGAGGAGAGGGCGGGTAACAGACAGTGGAGAGACTGAGTTGACTGGCCAGCATATTTGATGCGCATGGGGGATGGTGGGGACGAGGATGGTGGAGAGTGGAGGATGGAGAGGGTATGGTAGAGACTGCGGTGCAGGGAACAAGCAGAGGTGAGAAGAAGACACAAAGAGGGGATAGGAGGAGGGCAGGCGTCGACAGGTACGTTTGAGAGCCCATGCCTGAAGCAACGGCAGTCAATGCTGGTCAAAGCTGGTCAATGATGGTCAATGATGGTCAAGTGACTTACAGAGGACAAACCAGTCAACGCCCTCGGAGCAGGGGGGCGTGGTGAGCGAGCCCTTGTAGTGAATGTAGTTGTGGGCACCGTCCTGTGCGTCATGATTCACGCATGGTGGTGATGGGTGGTAATGGGTGGTGATGGGTGATGATGGTTAAGATGGCAAAGCATTAGGGGACAAAAGGTTTGGAGGTAAGACGGCGGAAGGAAAGCTGTATATGGCAAAGTGAAGCAGCTTGAGTCAAGGCCGCATGAACGAGAAACAAGAGAATCATCATATGATGGAATCACAGCTACTGTAGCACACTGGCGGCTAGAAATGCTGCGTCTAATACAATCCACTTTCACGCGCAGCACTTCAGCCTGACGTCAGCCAAGAAAGGAAGCACTACAGCACTACAGTCAGGAAGGAAATCAGCCACTCCTGCAACGGTGCGGGCCAGTCGCCGTAGTCAGTGAAGGAAACGTACCGCTCTGTCAGGCTTGGGGAGGAGAGGCTCGGGGCTGATCTGAATCTTGAGGCACTGCTTCAACGGCTTGCCGCCGCCCACTGCTGGCACCTCGAAGCACTCCACTGGACCCGCACTGTTGTAGGGAGAATAGAGAAGAAAGGCGAGAAGTTGTCAAGGTCAGAGGGGGGTTCCTTCACGGGCGCTTTCTGCTTTCAAAGCCCTGCCATCTCTCGCTGATGGCATCTTGGAAAAGCCATTAAGCTCGCGCTGATCGCGGGTGAAAGAGGATGTGTATATGAGAAGAGTGCGGTTGGTGCACTAGAAGGTTGGCGAACTAGAAGGTAAGAAGTGAGAGTCAACCTTCGTTTGAGAGGCACAAGAAAGGCACTTCGTTTTCATCCGCCATTGCAGTCCCCCAGCACAAACACCCTTCCCCACCACCTCACTCTTCATGGCCTCCACTCATAGCCACAGTTCTCCTGGCATACAAGCAGCATCACATCCTCACTCACAACTGTCCGCTGCGCCGCACTCACATCTGCTTGTTTTTCTCGTTGGGCGCCGCTGCGCCGCACTTACATCCGCAATCACATACGCACTCACATCTTCATTACACAACCTACCGCTGCGCCGAACTCACAACTGCCCGCTGCGCCGCACTCACATCTGCTTGTTCTTCTCGTTGGGCGAGAAGGCGAGAGCCGCCTCGAGGCAGAGGTTCCGCGGGGCCTTGGGGTCCGCCTCCAGCATCACCCTGCGCGGGGGGCGAAATCGAGGGGAGGGAGGGAGGGAGAGGGGGATTTGAGACGTCTCAAAACAGAGGTTCCGCGGGGCCTTGGGGTCCGCCTCCAGAATCACCCTGCGCGGAGGGAAATGAGGGGGGATTGCGGAAGGGGAGCGGAGGTTGAGGGGAACTTGAGGGCGGTAGCGAAGTGGCGACGAGTGGTAACCAATTCATTTAGTACTGGTAAAGAAGTTTAATATACAGAAGATGGTCGGATCTTCAGGAAGGATGTGCGGAGAGGAGAACGACAATGGTGCTAGTGCTAGAGAAGAAGGGGCTTACCCTACGACTGCGAGCTTGCCGTCAGCGTCGCCTGGAAGAGACGAGCAGACAAGGGAAGAGAAGGGGAGAACAGAAGTGAGAACAAGCTTCAGACCGTTTCGGAAGTCACAACATTCTGATGGTGCAGCAGAATTACGTTGTGAGACTGTCACTTGTAATATAATAACGTACGGCGGACAGGACATGACACGGCAGTCGTACGTACGGTGGACGAGATGAGCCTCCATGGCGGTACGGATGCCGTTGAAGGAATGCTCGCTGGGCGCGTGGAAGTGGTACTGTAGCAGCTCCAGCTTGCGCCCGCCGATCTCGCACGTGTTGCTGCCGCCCGGGAAATTCACCTGCGACGCGAAGGTAAGAGAACCAGTAAATAAACGCTTCTTATGTGTCCCGAAAATTATTTCGGCTTTCGAAACAGGAAAGTTGAGTGGAAGGAGGCGATGTCGTGAGACGTTACGGAGGCGGAGGACAAGCGAAACGAAACTGAAAGGAAGTGAAGATAGCAGCCACGAGTCCGCTATTTAACACTGCAACCCACGTCATACGCCATAGCTCGCCATCTCAGCGTTCTCCAATGCAAGCTCTGCGCGATCAGTACCATGTCTTTCTCAGCTGACTCACCTGCATGGTGCCGTGGCCAGTGTTGAGGAAAGTCGCATCGGCGCGCTTGTACCCGAAGGCGAGCTTGCCAATGCTGTTATCCGACACGATCTTAGGCGCCGTGAAGGAGATGTCAATCGGCGACTGCGCCGAGCCGGTCTTGCACACCGCACCCCACTCGTTGGGCCCTGACAAGTCGCCATAGCTCCAGTCTGCGGCGAGTGCGGCACCCATGGACGGCGAGCCCGAGTCGCAGATTGGGCAGCCAACCACAGCGGCCATGCCGGCGGCCATCCCGCCGAGAATCAACCGCCTGGACACGGTGCGCTTCGCGTGGGTGTGGGGAGCAGCCGCGTTGTTTCCATCTGAGCCGTCGGCTTTAGCAGCGCAAGGAGTGGACCGAGATTTACGCGAGGCGGAGGATGCGGAAACGGGGAACGCGAAAGTGGTGGCAGGTTGACCGAGGAACTGGCTGGCTTCCAGAACGCCCTCGGTCTTGAGAGCACTTGGGAGTTTAGCAGCAACTCCGGTAGCCATGGCAGCCATTTTCGACGAAATGCTAGTCGAAAGAAAAAAACGCAGAGAAGTCGTGCAAGAAGGCTGCACAAGGAACCTAGCTGCTAATGGGTGGACGAAGCTCACGTACGAGTGATCTGGTCAGCTTCGTTCTGTCCTGAGAGGAGGCTAAGTAGGTAATCTCAGTCACCTAGCCGCTTATGTGCAATGCAGCCTCCTTTTCCCGTTCAGGTTGCACCCACACGTTAAGTCGTACTACGGTTTCGTTCGGTGTATTGCGTTCCAGAGATGTGTTAAAACTGATCTCTCTATACCGTATGATAACACTCTAAATCGCACTAAAACGACCGTCGGACAAAAGACCCCCCTGAAGTACACTTTCACGGCCGGGTGAACTCGGGTCTGGGGATTGGATGAGAACGACTGGTCGTGGTGAAGATGGTGTTTCCCGCTCAAGACGGACTTTTGAACAAAAGCTTGGGCTTCGAACTAAATTGTGGTGTACAAACTTCGAGAAGATGCTCTGCGAAGAAATGATGCGAATTGCGAAGCGCCGGTTCCTCCAATAAAATGCACCTGCCTCGGTGGAAATCCACGTGGCCTTCGCCCTCGAGGGTGGGAGAGTCAGCGACAAACTCGCCTCTGACATGACGTGGATGGAACTGCATTTCTCCCGCTAGCAATTTCTGAATCGGGGATAAATTCAGACGACGAATTGTTCTCGTTTGTGGACTTCTCGGTAACACCGCTGTAACGAACCAAAACATATTAGTATGAATACATAACCATTATTTTGAACCGGAAAGTGACGAAACTATAGAGGGTACATCCGCGTGGCATTTGATGATTGTTTAGAAGATACTCCGCCGAATCTGCAGGCGTTCCACCAATAGACGCAGGGCTGCTGGGGTTGAACGCCATCCATCCAGCACTTCGCTGACTTCATCAGCAAGCATTGACCAATCTGGTCTGGGAGTCAAACTGACGAGGATGTCAGGGGGAACGACACGGGCTAGGCACAAACCGTGAGCCAAATGGGATGCTGCGGAAACCAGTTGTGGTTAGAAGTTGAGACCGTGATTCTTCGCGACCTAGAAGAAGTTTCACCGTGATTAGCTGCGATCAGGCTTGCCTCGAGCTTGTCGACGGCAAGGATGGCTGCCATTTTTTCGCAATTTTCTCCCACTGCCGTTCTCGAGAGGGTCCAGTTGCGCGAGACAGAAGGGCGTTCTGCTTCCGTAGCTGTTTGTATGTAACCTGCTACGCCGCCCAGTTACGAATTGAAGTTCTTTCCTTGATGGCATACGAAGCGCTCAAGGCACGGCCACTATGCCCAGTACCAGAAATATGCTAAACCATCTTAAATTTGTTATTTGTTTCCCTCCCTTATCCCTCCAGCCTTCAATGGCCTCAGACGTGAGTCCACGAAAGCACTACCATCCCGATCAAACCGGGTCGTCCGCCGCCGTTCACGGTACTCAGTCGCACGTGCAGCAGAGATCAATGATTCGTCTGAACCGTCAGCTGCTCCATTCGCTACAGTCACACAGTCCTCCTCTACTCTGGACCTGTCTTCTGCCACTGCCGCTTTGAACCGCCTCAAATCTAATATCGCTACATTCACACAGTCCACTTCAACTCCAGAAGTGTCTGCCGCTATTGCCGCTGCTAAGCCTTACGCTCCATCCGTCCTAGGCGCCGGGGCGCTCGGTGTTGCGTCTTATTTAATAGTCAGAAAGCTCACGTCCGGCTCTACTAAAGCGGAAGGAGCAGAAGCAAAATCAGCTCCTCCTAGCGGCATCGTGCCACGTGCCAAAAAGGTATTTGCATGGAAAACGGCCTTACCCTCCATTGACAACTGTTCCTACCTAACCTCTTCCAACACCTTCTCACGCTGTGACTAAATACGCTTAAGTAATAAGATCGCGTCCAATACTGTGACCATCCCATTACTGTTCCGTTGCATGTCTGCCTCCTTTGCCCCTTTCATTTGCATCGTTGCGCTTCGTGATCATGCCCCGTTCGTTCTCCAGGCCGCAAAAACTGCGCTAGCGGCGATGGCGGCGACTTTCCCGCGGGCCATGCAGGAGGAGGCGTTCATGAAGGCCGTGAGCAACGAGCTCAGCAAGCTCGGCTTCAAAAGGTGAGCTCGAGCTTTTGAGACGTGCTCTGCGGCGTACGGCTCAAGGCCTTAGAGGGCCGACGGGTGATTGGGGGCGTGTAGGCATGTGTTAGGAACATCAGGTTGCAGAAACATCAGCGAGGAGTAGATTGATGGATGGAAAAAGGAAGGAGTGGTTCCATGCTGAGGAGGAAGGGCAGGTGATAGCGGGAAGGAAAGGGAACAGCCGAAAGGCAATGGGGAAATCAGACGGGCGAATGTTACCAAAAGGGACGTCTGCAATAGCTGTACCATGAGGAAGGCGATTCGGACTTGGGTTAGCCACGGACACTCCATAACAAAAGGAGTTTTACCAGGTGAAGGTTGCACTCTAGGATTTGTTGCAACAAACGTCCTCCCTTCCCACCCCCTTCCTCCCCATCCCTTCCCCTCAACCCCCCCCATCACGTCCCCTTCCCCACGATTGGCTTCCACTCTCTTCAATATATCTCCGCCAGAGACAACTGCATTGCGCTGGTGTCGACGTGCCGGGATGAGGTGTGCCGGCCGGTGGTGAGCCTGGTGGACCGCGAGTTTGGTCTGTCGTTCAACATCGCGGGGCTGGGCGGCGTGCTCAACTGCGGCTCCACGGGCTTTAAGGCCGCCATGTCACACTCGCCAGAGTTTCCCTGCGAGACCGATGGGACTGTCAAGGAGAGATGTGAGCTTGTTGGGCTATCTGAGCATGCAAGACGCTCGTGGGGCAATATGGCTTGGGACAAGTCATGCATGATTGGCAATCGTGCGTGGCAAAGGGCTATGCCTGATGGTTGGTCATGTGTAGTGAATGGCTGTGCACGATGGGCGGCTTGAAGATGAGGGTCAGTCGAAAGGCATTCGCACGTTATCATGCTCAATATTGCTGTCTTTGCAAGCCCTAACTGTTTTTTTCCTCTGTTTTCTCTGCCTTGCATTTCTCCCACCAATCTCTCTCCCTCTTGTCAGACATCTTCTTTGCCTTCCCTCACGTGTCCATCGGAGAGTCGGGAGAGGTGGGATCGCTGCTGCGGCGCGGGCGAGGCAAGCCCTCCAGTGCTTGTGGAGCGCTGATAGCCATTCAGAACGACATCAATGCGGGCAAGGCGACGGTGTCGGATCCGTATGATGAGGAATATGTGCTGCTTAAGAAGAAAGTGAAGTCACTGGTAGGAAACCCGAAGACAAACTGAGAGCATGAAGCTGCTGCTTGCATTCCATGTTTTCATGCCTCTCTCGTACTTCTTTTGCTCGCATTCTTGGAGAAATACATCATGAGCATGTTCTTTTCTGGTGCCTGATGCCATCTTTTCCAGATTCTACGGCGGGGAGGTTCGGAGTATTCATTGGTGGAGGTGACTCGTGCTGCACTGGCGGCCGTCAACGACGACCTGGAAAAGCTCATCTCACTCACTGTTGACCCAGCCACTGCTGACTATGCTGTAATCACAGGCGTGCAGATTCACTCAGGCAACCAGGTGAGTGCTGAATGATTGTAGTCTTGATTGTTGAGAAGAACGTATTGCATGTGATTCTGAACCTTTCTATTCTTGTTTGTTGCAGATTCCTGGTGAGCCATTCCGCATCGAGCGCACTTGTGATTATATTGCTCCTGATATGATGTACGCAGTTGTAAGAGGGCAGCGTTATGACCTGCAGCTGGAAGCCGATAAGGAGGACATGGCAGTCCACTCTAGTTAGAGCTAACCCTGTTACAGCTGAATACAAATACGTATAGCGCACTAGTAAACATATGGTATTGACATCTCTTCATGTTTGTCTGATGGTTTGGTTTCTGTGGTGGTGTATCACGTTTCTCGCCGGAATGTCATTGTAACGCGTTCGCAAAACATGTATCGGTGACATTTGCGTTGCGGACTCCGCACCTCACATTTCAACTGCTGACCAGGCAACTTCCAATCCGCAACCTCCGCCCGCCGTGGGCGTGACTCACCGTCCACGTGGCACTGATTTCTATCTCAAGTTAATTTCTTCTCATCCCCCACCCTCTATCGTCTCCACCAGTCAGAGCCATTCCAGCCGTCAAGGCGGATCACAAGATTCCTGGATCTACGCGCGCCAGCGGGAAGTTCCGCCATCACCCCACTGTCACCGCCCCCATAAGCGTCCGCGCACGCCGGCAGCCTTCCACCTCTTTCCCCATTTTCCCCACTCCCTTCCCCGCCACACGCTCAATCTGGGAGTGCTGGATTATTGGATATGCTTGCCTAAAAGAGCCAGCATTTCTAGATAGTTTCTGTGCTTGTTGGTCCGCCATGATCCTAGCGACGGAGGTTTTGTAATACACAACCAAGCTAAGTTACTCCGTCCGTCTTATGTGATCTCCGACGAGCAGTAGAAAGATCAGGACATTAATATTCTGGCGCTCGCTCTTTTAGCTCGCGTTCAAAGCTTTGCTTGAGCAGCTGAAGTACTGGCTGGGGTCAGGGTTTTTTTCTCGTGAATAGCTGATCAGTCGTCCAACTGTATGGTTGACAATGCTGAGGACGGTAGCTCCACAAATTTCTGGCTCTGCAGTAAAAGCATTTGGAGCAGCTCTTTGTGAAAAAAACGAATCATGCCAACGAAGTGCTCACAATTTCACTCATTTGTCGAGATGTCAACACCCAGTTCAAATACCCCTACGGACAGCTTTTAGACCTCAGATCCCTTCTTCATTGTCATCTCAACCGCATCTATTCCAATCTCTTCACAGATCAACCAGGCACATTGCTTTGAGGGCTCGCAGTTCGGTGTCTGGTGCTACGCCATTTGACGATGCTCTTGAATCAGAAGACGAGTCAATTGAGCAGTATGAAGCACGACTGGAAGCTAGAAGACAGCAGCTGCAAGCCAGTGGAGCATCCGTTAAGAGCAATCCCGTTTCAAAGACAGGTAGCATGGCGGAAGCGTTTGAGATAACGCCTCAGACGGCCTTGGGGATCACAAGTATAATCAGCATTATCGCGTTAGTAGCTCCCTTTTTTATGAGCGCGTGGAACCCCGCAGCTTCGCCTCACATTAAGGGTCTCACCTACCTGACGCTGCTCTTGGGATTCTACATGGCTTGGAACATCGGCGCGAATGACGTGGCAAACGCAATGGGGACGTCAGTGGGTTCGGGAGCGCTTACCCTCCGCCAGGCGGTGCTGGCAGCGGCGATCCTGGAGTTCGGCGGGGCTTTCCTGGTGGGATCGCACGTGAGCCACACGATGCAGAATGGAATTATCAAGGCGAATGTGTTCGCCGGGAAGAACGCGATGTTGTTCACAGGAATGATCTCCTCTCTTGCTGCCGCGGGAACGTGGCTTCAGGTACGATTGTCTCATTTTTTTTACCAAGGTACGTGCCATTCTGAGTGTTATTGACATTGGGGTGTTAAGGAGAGTGCAGGTGAAGATTAGGGTGAAAAATGCTGATTTGACCTTCGGAGTAAGAATATATGTAAAATAAAAAAAATGAAGATCGACGTCAGGGATCCAAACCAATCTAAGCTGACCGACCCTTCTGTTTCTCCCGATGCACAGGTTGCTTCGTATTTCGGCTGGCCGGTGTCGACGACGCACTGCATTATCGGAGCCATGGTGGGGTTCGGCATCATCTTCGGCGGCTGGAATGCCGTGTACTGGTCGTCGCTGGCTCGCGTGGTGTCGTCTTGGGTCGTCTCGCCTCTTCTCGGTGCCAGCATCGCATACATCGTCTACAAGTGCATCCGAAACGTATGCATACCTATTAATAGCAATCCGGTTAACACTCAATTTTTGTTCAAACATTGGCAGCATCTCCTTCTTCGTCTACAAGTGAAAAGGAAAGATAGCCACGTATTTAAGCGATCTGGCTGTTTAAGGAGTGCCAGCATCGCTGCCCAGCATCAAACAATGCAATATGTTTTGAAGCCGTTAACTGCGTTTCCATTTTTGAAACACTGGGAAGAGCATAATCGACGCGAGGTGGAGAGGATTTTCACGATGGAGTAGAGAACGACCGATCAAGACGGCAGGCTTCGGTGAAAGTTTGTCTCGTAACTGGACATCAACACTAACTATATAAAGACGTTACCACCTAAGGTCCTCATCCCAGGGTTTTCTCCAAACTCTTCCACCCCCTCTTTCCTCTTCCCCCATTCGGCCCTTCCTCTTTTCTCCCCGCTTCCCCCTTCCGTTCCCTCTCTTCCCTCCACCACACTGGCACCACACACAGTTCGTCTACAGCTCGTCCAATCCGGGACAGTCTGCGTCCACGGCAGCGCCAATCCTCGTCTTCGCGGGCGTCTCAGCCTTCTCCTTCTTCTCGCTCTTCACCTCCCCCGGCGTCCTACTGCGCGCGTGCGCGCTCTCCCTGGCCGCGGGCGCTGCTTCCGCGGTGGCTATGTCGGCGGTGATCAAGAGGCAGATGGGCGAGCTGCTGGGGGAGTTCTGTGAGATTCCTCCCAAGCAGGTGGAGGAGCCGAAGCCGGAGAAGGGCCGCGGGCCCATGGGCACGCAGCTGCGCATCGTTTATGGCGTGTTTGGATACCTGCAGGTGTGTGGCCATGGGTGTGGTAGGGTGGAAGGATTGAGAGGGTGCGCGGTCCGGTCACAGGAGAGGAGGGTGTGTGGCTGAGTTGAGTGAAGTGCGGTGCGCCCATGAGCATTCAGCTGAGCATTTTGTATGGCATTGTGTGTTTGAATGCTTGCTTGAGAGAGGGATGGGTCATTGAGGTGCATGGCTATACAGGAGATTGATCGCTGTCATGTGTCATGTGTGATTTCAGCACATTGTATTTTCCAGTTCAGGCACTTACTGCGCAGTTGAATATTTCCAGCTTCTTGTTGAACCTCAGTGATTTATGCTCACCTGACTCCTGCTGTGTGTTGTTCCATGCAGGTGCTGTCTGCATGCTTCATGTCTTTTGCTCATGGTGCAAACGATGTGGCCAACGCCATCGGCCCCATCTCTGCTGCTCTAGCCATCCTTGCCTCCTCCTCCGCATCCATCCCCTCGTCATCCCTCGCTGCCGCTCCAGTGTCTGCCGGAGTTGCCACACAGGTTCTCGTGTGGGGTGGTTTTGGCATTGTGGCCGGTCTTATCATCTGGGGTTACCGTGTCATTGCAACGATCGGGAACAGGATCACTGAGCTCACTCCCACGCGAGGTTTTGCAGCAGAGTTCTCAGCAGCTACAGTGGTGGTGGTGGCATCCAGACTGGGCCTTCCCATCTCTGCCACACACACACTTGTTGGAGCAGTGATGGGAGTGGGCCTTGCACGCGGTATTGGGAGTGTACGGGCCGATGTGGTGAAGGAGATTGTGGCATCGTGGCTTGTCACCATCCCTATTGGAGCTGCGCTGTCGGTGATGTACGCCTTCTTGTTCTTGAGAATTGTTCCTGGATTTATGTAGGCTTGCATGTCTTTCTATGGACCCGTGCGATTTCTTTGTTTTGGCAGTATTGGCTGATGCTGTTGCCTGTATCACTAGGGATTTGAGTAATACCATAGTTGATGATAGGCCTTACAATAAATTGTTGGCATATTTATGAATGAGATTAGTAGTGTTTTCGGCTCCAATCGAAGTCATAACCCAACACCGATTCCAGAGGCAATACCGCGGTATCAGATGCTGCTGACCTGTAAATGCAAGCAACATCGCTGTAAAGAGGTGTATCTGGGTGTCACACGTTGCTCCAGCCACATGCTGGAGGTTCTGGATTACAGTACGATTGCGAAATTCCTCGTACTGTCAGTACTGGAACTTAACTAAAACCTGGACTGCACGCTGGAAATCCACTTCATGAAAATTCTGCTGCCTACCAGCTTCACAGACAGATAATGACCCGCGTGACAATAGACTCGCCATGAGCCATGTCTACCTACCCCTACCCACACCAGCAACACCCCAGCAACACACGACGCTTCCTAGCACCACTTTTCGGCTGAAGCTTATTAGTTCCACACGTATTGCTGACGTGGATCGAGCTTTAATGAGGCTATAATATCACGTTTGGTGAAGCTGTCGTAGTTGAGTAGCCGGACCGGGAGTAAGGTGTTGTCGATTTGTTGATCTAGGGAGACATTGCGTACTAATGGACGCAGCAGCAGCGAGCCGAGGGAAGCCGGCGAAACCCTCGACGAGCAGCGCCGCGGAGAATGAGAAGAAGCAGAGACAGCGCGTGAAGAAGGAAGTGTGTCAGGAGGTGGTGCGGAAGCTCCAGGAAGCTAATCATCCATGCATGCAGCAGCCTAACTTCGAGGAAGCCCTTCAGGCCCACTTTCTCCGCTTGCCGACGAGGTACAGTATGGTTTTTTTTCAAATTTATGCTTTTTTCGTCGTTTCGTTATTACGGTGTGTCATGTACCCGACATCCGCCAGTCACTTCGGTCAATCAGAGCGTTCCGCATACTTTTTTCCAAAGCTACGACCTTTGCCGACGCCTTGCGAAGCGATCGGTATTCATCATTTTAGCGGTTCTGCGTAATCCGTGTCATGAAAAAAAGTTTACATATATGCAATATCGTCCTTCCTCAATCTCCGTCAATAGATCGTTGCATTGGTCAGTAATTTTGCGTCGTTGATTATCATCACCCCGAAAGTTGACATTGTTCTCGCATCTTAAAATTCCATCAAGATCGTCGCCATTATCATTCCTTGACTTCCTTTCTCGCTGACTCCATCCATAATGCTTATGCTTTCTGTCAGCTGAACATGCTCTGGTGCTTGTTAACCTGTGCGACTGTTCCAATAACGCGTCCACATTATATTCTTGAATGTGACTGAAACCTTCATCATGATTACAAAATGTGATTGTAACCGTTTGATCTCAGATACGCCCTGGATGTGAACACGGAGCGAGCAGAGGACGTGCTAACGCACAAGCGGCTTCTGGAAGAAGCTGCAAAGATGCCGAGCCAGCCGGTGGTGCATGTCCGAGCCGTGCGGGTAGGTTTGGGAAGGGTTCAGGGCAGTCTGAGTACACTCAGAGGAAAGGGGAACGTCGTAAGTGTCGAGTGGCCAAAAACGTTTTTGGCCAAGGTTGAGGAACTGTACAGTCATCTACTTGAACTGGTGTCCTGTCTGTCATACACGCCATCTCACACAAAACACATTTTAAGAACACACAGCGATTTCATGCCATGCACCTGCATTGTTGCATACGGATCCTCCTTTGCTGGGCCCTGCTCCAGAACGGCTCATTGATCCCCTCAGCCTGTTCTGTGCCTTGGTCAGGTCAGACGGTGAAGCATCCGCTCACTGACACTGACTCCCCCTCTGGCATCTCTGGCAGGGACGCCTCGAGTCCTCACCACCCCTGCCGCTCATCCCTCCTTCTGTGCTCATGTCTCCGTCTGGATGCTGCACCACCCCTCCCTACTTCTCCCCCTCCCCCCCCCCCCCCCCCTCTCTTTGTCTTGTCCGTGTGCAGGTCACAGCGGCACTGCCAGGGGCGGCGGGGGGCGATGGTGCTGCAGGAGGGGCGACCATGGAGACTGACGAAGCGGCAGCTGAATTCAAGCGCCAAGGGTAGGGCTGTGAGGGTAGGGCTGTGAGGGGAGGGCTATGAGGGGAGGGGCAGTGAGTGGAGGGGATGCGAGGTTAGGGGCTGTGCGGGTAGGTTTTTCTGGTGGGACTCTGTGGTTAGGGTTCTGAGGGAGCCAATGGTGCTGCAGGGGGGGCGACCATGGAGACTGACGATGCAGCAACGGAGTTGAAGCGCCAAGGGTAGGGGCTGCGAGGAGATAGGGATGTGAGGGGGTAGGGGTTGTGAGCTGTGGAGGTTGGGATGTGGGGGCATTCATTCCCTTCTTCCCCTTCCCCATCTCCTTCCCCATCTCCTTCCCCATCTCCTTCCCCATCTCCTTCCCCATCTCCTTCCCCATCTCCTTCCCCATCTCCTTCCCCATCTCCTGTCCCATCTCCTTCCCCATCTCCTTCCCCATCTCCTTCCCCATCTCCTTCCCCATCTCCTTCCCCATCTCCTTCCCCATCTCCTTCCCCATCTCCTTCCCCATCTCCTTCCCCATCTCCTTCCCCATCTCCTTCCCCATCTCCTTCCCCATCTCCTTCCCCATCTCCTTCCCCATCTCCTTCCCCATCTCCTTCCCCATCTCCTTCCCCATCTCCTTCCCCATCTCCTTCCCCATCTCCTTCCCCATCTCCTTCCCCATCTCCTTCCCCATCTCCTTCCCCATCTCCTTCCCCATCTCCTTCCCCATCTCCTTCCCCATCTCCTTCCCCATCTCCTTCCCCATCTCCTTCCCCATCTCCTTCCCCATCTCCTTCCCCATCTCCTTCCCCATCTCCTTCCCCATCTCCTTCCCCATCCCTTCCCCATCTCCTTCCCCATCTCCTTCCCCATCTCCTTCCCCATCTCCTTCCCCATCTCCTTCCCCATCTCCTTCCCCATCTCCTTCCCCATCTCCTTCCCCATCTCCTTCCCCATCTCCTTCCCCATCTCCTCTCCTTCCCCATCTCCTTCCCCATCTCCTTCCCCATCTCCTTCCCCATCTCCTTCCCCATCTCCTTCCCCATCTCCTTACCCATCTCCTGCCGCATCTCCTGCCCCATCTCCTTCCCCATCTCCTTCCCCATCTCCTGCCCATCTCCTTCCCCATCTCCTTCCCCATCTCCTTCCCCATCTCCTTCCCCATCTCCTTCCCCATCTCCTTCCCCATCTCCTTCCCCATCTCCTTCCCCATCTCCTTCCCCATCTCCTTCCCCATCTCCTTCCCCATCTCCTTCCCCATCTCCTTCCCATCCCTTCCCCATCTCCTTCCCCATCTCCTTCCCCATCTCCTTCCCCATCTCCTTCCCCATCTCCTGCCCCATCTCCTGCCCCATCTCCTTCCCCATCTCCTGTCCCATCTCCTTCCCCATCTCCTTCCCCATCTCCTTCCCCATCTCCTTCCCCATCTCCTTCCCCATCTCCTTCCCCATCTCCTGTCCCATCTCCTTCCCCATCTCCTTCCCCATCTCCTTCCCCATCTCCTTCCCCATCTCCTTCCCCATCTCCTTCCCCATCTCCTTCCCCATCTCTTTCCCCATCTCCTGCCCCATCTCCTTCCCCATCTCCTTCCCCATCTCCTGTCCCATCTCCTGTCCCATCTCCTGTCCCATCTCCTGTCCCATCTCCTGTCCCATCTCCTGTCCCATCTCCTGTCCCATCTCCTGTCCCATCTCCTGTCCCATCACCTGTCCCATCTCCTGTCCCATCTCCTGTCCCATCTCCTGTCCCATCTCCTGTCTCATCTCCTTCCCCATCTCCTGTCCCATCACCTGTCCCATCTCCTGTCCCATCACCTGTCCCATCTCCTGTCCCATCACCTGTCCCATCTCCTGTCCCATCTCCTGTCCCATCTCCTGTCCCATCTCCTGTCCCATCTCCTTCCCCATCTCCTTCCCCATCTCCTGTCCCATCACCTGTCCCATCTCCTGTCCCATCACCTGTCCCATCTCCTGTCCCATCACCTGTCCCATCTCCTGTCCCATCACCTGTCCCATCTCCTGTCCCATCACCTGTCCCATCACCTGTCCCATCACCTGTCCCATCACCTGTCCCATCACCTGTCCCATCACCTGTCCCATCACCTGGCCCATCACCTGTCCCATCACCTGGCCCATCACCTGGCCCATCACCTGGCCCATCACCTGGCCCATCACCTGGCCCATCACCTGTCCCATCACCTGTCCCATCACCTGTCCCATCACCTGTCCCATCACCTGTCCCATCTCCTGTCCCATCTCCTGTCCCATCTCCTGTCCCATCTCCTGTCCCATCTCCTTCCCCATCTCCTTCCCCATCTCCTGTCCCATCACCTGTCCCATCTCCTGTCCCATCACCTGTCCCATCTCCTGTCCCATCACCTGTCCCATCTCCTGTCCCATCACCTGTCCCATCTCCTGTCCCATCTCCTTCCCCATCTCCTTCCCCATCTCCTTCCCCATCTCCTTCCCCATCTCCTTCCCCATCTCCTTCCCCATCTCCTTCCCCATCTCCTTCCCCATCTCCTTCCCATCTCCTTCCCCATCTCCTTCCCCATCTCCTTCCCCATCTCCTTCCCCATCTCCTTCCCCATCTCCTTCCCCATCTCCTTCCCCATCTCCTTCCCCATCTCCTTCCCCATCTCCTTCCCCATCTCCTTCCCCATCTCCTTCCCCATCTCCTTCCCCATCTCCTTCCCCATCTCCTTCCCCATCTCCTTCCCCATCTCCTTCCCCATCTCCTTCCCCATCTCCTTCCCCATCTCCTTCCCCATCTCCTTCCCCATCTCCTTCCCCATCTCCTTCCCCATCTCCTTCCCCATCTCCTGTCCCATCACCTGTCCCATCACCTGTCCCATCACCTGGCCCATCACCTGTCCCATCACCTGTCCCATCACCTGGCCCATCACCTGGCCCATCACCTTGCCCATCACCTTGCCCATCACCTGGCCCATCACCTGTCCCATCACCTGTCCCATCACCTGTCCCATCACCTGGCCCATCACCTGGCCCATCACCTGTCCCATCACCTGTCCCATCACCTGGCCCATCACCTGGCCCATCACCTGGCCCATCACCTGTCCCATCACCTGTCCCATCACCTGTCCCATCACCTGTCCCATCACCTGTCCCATCACCTGGCCCATCACCTGGCCCATCACCTGGGCCATCACCTGGGCCATCACCTGTCCCATCACCTGTCCCATCACCTGTCCCATCACCTGTCCCATCACCTGGCCCATCACCTGGCCCATCACCTGGCCCATCACCTGGCCCATCACCTGGCCCATCACCTGGCCCATCACCTGGCCCATCACCTGGCCCATCACCTGGCCCATCACCTGGCCCATCACCTGTCCCATCACCTGTCCCATCACCTGTCCCATCACCTGTCCCATCACCTGTGCCATCACCTGTGCCATCACCTGTGCCATCACCTGTCCCATCACCTGGCCCATCACCTGGCCCATCACCTGGCCCATCACCTGGCCCATCACCTGGCCCATCACCTGTCCCATCACCTGTCCCATCACCTGTCCCATCACCTGTCCCATCACCTGGCCCATCACCTGGCCCATCACCTGGCCCATCACCTGGCCCATCACCTGGCCCATCACCTGGCCCATCACCTGGCCCATCACCTGGCCCATCACCTGGCCCATCACCTGGCCCATCACCTGGCCCATCACCTGTCCCATCACCTGGCCCATCACCTGTCCCATCACCTGTCCCATCACCTGGCCCATCACCTGTCCCATCACCTGTCCCATCACCTGGCCCATCACCTGGCCCATCACCTGGCCCATCACCTGGCCCATCACCTGTCCCATCACCTGTCCCATCACCTGTCCCATCACCTGTCCCATCACCTGTCCCATCACCTGTCCCATCACCTGTCCCATCACCTGTCCCATCACCTGTCCCATCACCTGTCCCATCACCTGGCCCATCACCTGGCCCATCACCTGTCCCATCACCTGTCCCATCACCTGTCCCATCACCTGTCCCATCACCTGTCCCATCACCTGTCCCATCACCTGGCCCATCACCTGGCCCATCACCTGTCCCATCACCTGTCCCATCACCTGTCCCATCACCTGTCCCATCACCTGTCCCATCACCTGTCCCATCACCTGTCCCATCACCTGGCCCATCACCTGGCCCATCACCTGTCCCATCACCTGTCCCATCACCTGTCCCATCACCTGTCCCATCACCTGTCCCATCACCTGTCCCATCACCTGTCCCATCACCTGTCCCATCACCTGTCCCATCACCTGTCCCATCACCTGTCCCATCACCTGTCCCATCACCTGTCCCATCACCTGTCCCATCACCTGTCCCATCACCTGTCCCATCACCTGTCCCATCACCTGTCCCATCACCTGTCCCATCACCTGTCCCATCACCTGTCCCATCACCTGTCCCATCACCTGTCCCATCACCTGTCCCATCACCTGTCCCATCACCTGTCCCATCACCTGTCCCATCACCTGGCCCATCACCTGGCCCATCACCTGGCCCATCACCTGGCCCATCACCTGGCCCATCACCTGGCCCATCACCTGGCCCATCACCTGGCCCATCACCTGGCCCATCACCTGGCCCATCACCTGGCCCATCACCTGTCCCATCACCTGTCCCATCACCTGTCCCATCACCTGTCCCATCACCTGTCCCATCACCTGGCCCATCACCTGGCCCATCACCTGGCCCATCACCTGGCCCATCACCTGGCCCATCACCTGGCCCATCACCTGGCCCATCACCTGGCCCATCACCTGGCCCATCACCTGGCCCATCACCTGGCCCATCACCTGGCCCATCACCTGGCCCATCACCTGGCCCATCACCTGTCCCATCACCTGTCCCATCACCTGTCCATCACCTGTCCCATCACCTGTCCCATCACCTGTCCCATCACCTGGCCCATCACCTGGCCCATCACCTGGCCCATCACCTGGCCCATCACCTGGCCCATCACCTGGCCCATCACCTGGCCCATCACCTGGCCCATCACCTGGCCCATCACCTGGCCCATCACCTGGCCCATCACCTGGCCCATCACCTGGCCCATCACCTGGCCCATCACCTGGCCCATCACCTGGCCCATCACCTGTCCCATCACCTGTCCCATCACCTGTCCCATCACCTGTCCCATCACCTGTCCCATCACCTGTCCCATCACCTGTCCCATCACCTGGCCCATCACCTGGCCCATCACCTGGCCCATCACCTGGCCCATCACCTGGCCCATCACCTGGCCCATCACCTGGCCCATCACCTGGCCCATCACCTGGCCCATCACCTGGCCCATCACCTGTCCCATCACCTGTCCCATCACCTGGCCCATCACCTGGCCCATCACCTGGCCCATCACCTGGCCCATCACCTGGCCCATCACCTGGCCCATCACCTGGCCCATCACCTGGCCCATCACCTGTCCCATCACCTGTCCCATCACCTGTCCCATCACCTGTCCCATCACCTGTCCCATCACCTGTCCCATCACCTGTCCCATCACCTGTCCCATCACCTGTCCCATCACCTGGCCCATCACCTGGCCCATCACCTGGCCCATCACCTGGCCCATCACCTGGCCCATCACCTGGCCCATCACCTGGCCCATCACCTGGCCCATCACCTGGCCCATCACCTGGCCCATCACCTGGCCCATCACCTGGCCCATCACCTGGCCCATCACCTGGCCCATCACCTGTCCCATCACCTGTCCCATCACCTGTCCCATCACCTGTCCCATCACCTGTCCCATCACCTGTCCCATCACCTGGCCCATCACCTGGCCCATCACCTGTCCCATCACCTGTCCCATCACCTGTCCCATCACCTGTCCCATCACCTGGCCCATCACCTGGCCCATCACCTGGCCCATCACCTGTCCCATCACCTGTCCCATCACCTGTTCCATCACCTGTCCCATCACCTGTCCCATCACCTGTCCCATCACCTGGCCCATCACCTGGCCCATCACCTGTCCCATCACCTGTCCCATCACCTGTCCCATCACCTGTCCCATCACCTGGCCCATCACCTGGCCCATCACCTGGCCCATCACCTGTCCCATCACCTGTCCCATCACCTGTCCCATCACCTGTCCCATCACCTGTCCCATCACCTGTCCCATCACCTGTCCCATCACCTGTCCCATCACCTGTCCCATCACCTGTCCCATCACCTGTCCCATCACCTGTCCCATCACCTGTCCCATCACCTGGCCCATCACCTGGCCCATCACCTGGCCCATCACCTGGCCCATCACCTGGCCCATCACCTGGCCCATCACCTGGCCCATCACCTGGCCCATCACCTGGCCCATCACCTGGCCCATCACCTGGCCCATCACCTGGCCCATCACCTGGCCCATCACCTGTCCCATCACCTGTCCCATCACCTGTCCCATCACCTGTCCCATCACCTGTCCCATCACCTGTCCCATCACCTGGCCCATCACCTGGCCCATCACCTGGCCCATCACCTGGCCCATCACCTGGCCCATCACCTGGCCCATCACCTGGCCCATCACCTGGCCCATCACCTGGCCCATCACCTGGCCCATCACCTGGCCCATCACCTGGCCCATCACCTGGCCCATCACCTGTCCCATCACCTGTCCCATCACCTGTCCCATCACCTGTCCCATCACCTGTCCCATCACCTGGCCCATCACCTGGCCCATCACCTGGCCCATCACCTGGCCCATCACCTGGCCCATCACCTGGCCCATCACCTGGCCCATCACCTGGCCCATCACCTGGCCCATCACCTGGCCCATCACCTGGCCCATCACCTGGCCCATCACCTGGCCCATCACCTGGCCCATCACCTGTCCCATCACCTGTCCCATCACCTGTCCCATCACCTGTCCCATCACCTGTCCCATCACCTGTCCCATCACCTGTCCCATCACCTGTCCCATCACCTGGCCCATCACCTGGCCCATCACCTGGCCCATCACCTGGCCCATCACCTGGCCCATCACCTGGCCCATCACCTGGCCCATCACCTGGCCCATCACCTGGCCCATCACCTGGCCCATCACCTGGCCCATCACCTGGCCCATCACCTGGCCCATCACCTGGCCCATCACCTGGCCCATCACCTGTCCCATCACCTGTCCCATCACCTGTCCCATCACCTGTCCCATCACCTGTCCCATCACCTGTCCCATCACCTGGCCCATCACCTGGCCCATCACCTGGCCCATCACCTGGCCCATCACCTGGCCCATCACCTGGCCCATCACCTGGCCCATCACCTGGCCCATCACCTGGCCCATCACCTGGCCCATCACCTGGCCCATCACCTGGCCCATCACCTGGCCCATCACCTGTCCCATCACCTGTCCCATCACCTGTCCCATCACCTGGCCCATCACCTGGCCCATCACCTGGCCCATCACCTGGCCCATCACCTGGCCCATCACCTGGCCCATCACCTGGCCCATCACCTGTCCCATCACCTGTCCCATCACCTGTCCCATCACCTGGCCCATCACCTGGCCCATCACCTGGCCCATCACCTGGCCCATCACCTGGCCCATCACCTGGCCCATCACCTGGCCCATCACCTGGCCCATCACCTGGCCCATCACCTGGCCCATCACCTGGCCCATCACCTGGCCCATCACCTGGCCCATCACCTGGCCCATCACCTGGCCCATCACCTGGCCCATCACCTGGCCCATCACCTGGCCCATCACCTGGCCCATCACCTGTCCCATCACCTGTCCCATCACCTGTCCCATCACCTGTCCCATCACCTGTCCCATCACCTGTCCCATCACCTGGCCCATCACCTGGCCCATCACCTGGCCCATCACCTGTCCCATCACCTGTCCCATCACCTGTCCCATCACCTGGCCCATCACCTGGCCCATCACCTGGCCCATCACCTGGCCCATCACCTGGCCCATCACCTGGCCCATCACCTGGCCCATCACCTGGCCCATCACCTGGCCCATCACCTGGCCCATCACCTGGCCCATCACCTGGCCCATCACCTGGCCCATCACCTGTCCCATCACCTGTCCCATCACCTGTCCCATCACCTGTCCCATCACCTGTCCCATCACCTGTCCCATCACCTGGCCCATCACCTGGCCCATCACCTGGCCCATCACCTGGCCCATCACCTGGCCCATCACCTGGCCCATCACCTGGCCCATCACCTGGCCCATCACCTGGCCCATCACCTGGCCCATCACCTGGCCCATCACCTGGCCCATCACCTGGCCCATCACCTGGCCCATCACCTGGCCCATCACCTGGCCCATCACCTGGCCCATCACCTGGCCCATCACCTGTCCCATCACCTGTCCCATCACCTGTCCCATCACCTGTCCCATCACCTGGCCCATCACCTGGCCCATCACCTGTCCCATCACCTGTCCCATCACCTGGCCCATCACCTGGCCCATCACCTGTCCCATCACCTGGCCTGTCCCATCTCCCATGTCCCATCTCCTGTCCCATCTCCTGTCCCATCTCCTGTCCCATCTCCTTGTCCCATCTCCTTTATTCAAGACACTCGCTGCACCCTCCTTGTCAAGACTCCCTTAACCTCCGTCCTTCTCCGCCCCCTACTCCCTCCCCTTTTCCCCTCTTCTCCACCTCCCCTTTCCCCCCCGTTCGTCCCCCAGCATGCTAGCTCCGCCAGCGTTCGGGTCCTCCCCCAATCTGGACTCTCCAGTGCTGGCGGGGGGCGCCATAGGCGCGGACGCAGGGGGCGCGGGCGGAGTAGGGAGAGGGGGGATGGCGGAGGGTGCAGCTGCGAACGCGGATGGACATTCAGACGGAAAGGGCTCCTTTAGGTGTGTGGGGATGAGAGTACGAAGAAGGTGACTGTGAAGATAGTGAAGGGAAGGGGTCTGTGGGAGCCCATGCCTCCATTCATCCTCCCTGCTTCTGCTCCTCTCTCATCGCCTCATTCCAGCTTCAATGATTCCCGCTCCATTGCCTCATCGCGTTAGACTCCTTCCATGTTCCCCTTCCCACTCCACCCCCCTACCCTACCCACCTCCCCCCCTTTTTTCCTCTCCCTCCCCCATTCCATCCCCCCCCCCACCCCCCTCCTCCCCTCTACTCCCCCCCTCCTCCCTGCGCCTTCCCCGTCTTCCCGCATTCTCCCTCGCCAGTTCTCTCTCGCAGGTGCCCATGCATGAAGTCACCTTCTCCACTGTGGACCGACCTAAGCTGCTCAGTCAAGTGAGTCCAAGTCAAAAGTCAATGAAACCTGCCATTGGGAAATGACACAAAACCCTGTCCCCTTTCCCCACCTTTTCCCCACTCCCCCCTTCCCCCTCCCCCTCCGCCTCCCCCCCCTTCCTTCCCTCCCTTTCCGCATTCCACCCCATTTCTGAGAAGTCTCAAACCTCACCACTCTCCTTTCCAAACCTTCCCCTTGCCCCCTCCCCAACAACAGCTGTCGGCAGTGCTGGCGGACGTGGGGTTGAACATCCGAGAGGCGCATGTTTTCTCCACCTCTGATGGGCTCTCCCTCGACGTCTTTGTCGTTGACGGCTGGCCCTCCGAGGTGCGTGTGCGCACGTGTGTGTGTGTGGTGTGTGTGTGTGTGGGGGGTTGTGTGTGTATGTGTGTGTGTGTGTGTGTGTGTGTGTGTGTGTGTGTGTGTGTGTGTGTGTGTGTGTGTGTGATGCTGCGTGCTTGTATGTGCTCGTGTGTGAGTGTCCTCATGCATGTGACCTCTCTCATTTGCCACCTCCGATGGGCTCTCCCTTGACATCTGTGTCGTCGATGGCTGGCCCTCCGAGGTGCGTGCTTCATGTGTGTGCCCATGCATGTGCATGTGGATGTGCCCCTGCATGTGTGCTCATCATGTATGTATGTAAACTCTTTTATTGGCCACCTCCGATGGGCTCTCCCTCGACGTCTGTGTCGTCGACGGCTGGCCCTCTGAGGTGCGTGTTTCATGCATCGAACCGCTCATTTGCCTGCCTCCTCCATTTGCCACCTCCTCTCCCCTCTTTCAGCACCATTCTCCACACAACACTCTCTCCAACCTTTTCCGCCCGCCTTCTTCCACTTGTCATCACGACCCTTCCATGCTTTTCTCCCCAACCTTGATGCCCTCAGACCCTTTATGGTACCCACATTCCTCTATATCTTCACCCTGGTCCAATCCTCCCCTCCCTCTTCCCATGTGTACTGGGCGGCAGGATGTGGTGGAGATGCGGGCGGCACTCATGCGAGCAGCACAGGTGAGCAGCACAGCACAGCAGAGTGCTGCACCGCACAGTACCGCGCCGCACAGCCCTGCACAGCACAGCACTGCATAGAACTGCACTTCATTTGCGGCACGTGGCAAGCACAGGTTGTCTCGTCACTTTGCACAGCAGCCGAGTTTTGAAATGTCTCTTAAGTCCTTCACTCTGCGCAGCAACCTGTGCTGCGCTTCACTTGTGCATTCAGCAGCTCACACTATCACTATCACTATCACTATCACTATCACTATCACTATCACTATCACTATCACTATCACTATCACCTATCTCATCTCCCCCTCCTGCACTGCATTGCCGTTCCTTTCCTTATGTTCCCATGCTTCTTTTCTCCGCCGCTCCTCGCCCTTCCATCAGCAAGCGGGGGAAAATGGTGCGCAGTCAACCCTTCCAGAAGCATCCGGCCAATCGAACCCCGCCATGTCAGAATCCACAGGCGTGCCGGTGTCCACGTCAGCAGCCACAGCAGCAGCAGGACACGTGGCAGCCTCCAGTTTGTCCGGGGCGGACTCGCGTGTGCGCATCCCATCGGACGGGCGGGACGATTGGGAGATTGACAACGACCAGCTGAAGCTGCAGCACAAGATCGCCTCGGGGTCCTTTGGAGACCTGTGAGTGAATTGAGGTTGCTGTGGCCAGTGAATAACTTTTGATTCACATAGAGAGGCAGGCTGCTTGGGAGATTGACGACGACCAGCTGAAGCTGCAGCATAAGATTGCCTCGGGGTCCTTTGGAGACCTGTAAGTGGGTAGGAGGGGGATGGGGAGAAGGGAGGTGGGTAGGATGTGGCTCTTCCTTCACTTCAGAAAAAACTTCTGAGATGGCTAAATTCCAAGGGTGTTTGATAAGCCCGAAATCGTCACATGGTGTAAGCCGTCACCTCATATTACGTGCTGGCGAGTGCACTGTGTCTCAGGAGCATGTATATCCCCAAATGTATTGTTGACTCCAGTGGCGTCATACAGTCAATCTGCCTGTATCAGTATGTTCCCACAGTTATCAGCTACCATGGCACATACTGCAGGCACGACGTGAGGACTAAGATTCGTGTAGATGTGCATATGAATCCTAAGGCTAATCCTCATGTGTACGTGCATGAATGTATTCACGTGCAGCTGCCTGTGCCTATCCGCCCATTCCCACAGCTACCGCGGCACGTACTGTGGGCAGGACGTGGCAATCAAGATTCTCAAGGCCGAGCGGCTGAACGACACATTGCAGCAGGAGTTTGCTCAGGAGGTGTTCATCATGCGGTGAGTGGAGAGGCTTGAGCAGTGCAGCAAGTGCATGCCACGCGCTGCACAGGAGATCGCTCAGGGGGAGAGCATCACCTGGTGAGTGGGGAGAGAGAGGGTGAATGGGGAGGCTTTCGTAATGCACCAAGTGCTTGCAGTGTTCGCTCTGCTTAGGTGTTCACTCTGTTTAGGAGGTGTGGTGTGGTTTAGGCGCTGTGCGGGGTGAGGTGGCCTTAGTGTTGCAATGGGCTTTCTCACGAGATGATTTAACTGGCTATTCTTAGCATCACCGGTTGGTTGTGCATTATCACCCTCAAAATTGGCTGTTGCTCTAACAACCTCGTTTCTCCCCTCCATGCAGGAAGGTGCGGCACAAGAACGTGGTTCATTTTATTGGGGCCTGCACCAAGCCCCCAAACCTCTCCATTTTTTTAGTCGACTCAAAAACTGGTTGTTGCCCTCTCTGTTTCTTGTCCCCCCGCCATGCAGGAAAGTACGCCACAAGAATGTGGTTCAATTTATTGGGGCCTGCACCAAGCCTCCAAACCTCTCCATTGTCACCGGTGAGTTGCTTGTTCACTGCTAAATTTCAAGGCAAGGTGTAATTTGAGCTGCTTGCATGTGCATTCGTGGACCCTTGCCTCCATGCTCCCTTGATTGATCGTTTGCCCCATTGCCCACTCGCCCTCTCCTCTATCCAGAGTTCATGGTGGGCGGCAGTGTGTACGACTATCTACACAAGCACCGCGGCAGTATGAAGCTGCCCATGGTGCTGCGTGTGGGCATGGACGTGGCCAAGGGAATGGACTTTCTGCACAAGAACAACATCATTCACCGCGACCTTAAGGCTGCAAATTTGCTCATGGATGAAAACGATGTGAGTGGAAGGGTTGAGGGTGTGATGTGGTGTGGTGTGGTGCGTTGCTATGCTGTGCTGTGCTTTGTGATGTGATGTGGTGTGGTGTGGTGCGTTGCTATGCTGTGCTGTGCTTTTTGGTGTGGTGTGCGCTTGTTCTTATGAGGGCATGAGTGGGTGCTGCGCACGGGCAAGGACGTGGCACAAGGGAAGCACCGCGCTGTGCATGCAATCATGCCCAAATCTCCTGTACCGCACAGCGGTTCTTCTTGTATAGGAGTTGTTCTTCTTCCATGGCCCTGTGTCTGTAGGTGGTGAAGGTCGCAGGCTTTGGAGTGGCATGAGTGAAGACCATGCGTCATCATGACAGCAGAGACCAGCACACCCTCATCCCCACCAGCACAACCCAGACCCATTTACCCGCCCCCCCACACATATTTTGTATGTTTTGTACTTGTTTTTTTCTTCTCTCCATGGGTGTGCGCCGACCCTGTAGGTGGTGAAGGTGGCGGACTTTGGAGTGGCGCGAGTGAAAGCCAACAGTGGCGTCATGACAGCAGAGACTGGCACCTACCGCTGGATGGCACCTGAGGTAACACCTGAATGGCACCTGAGGTAGCACCTGGATGGCATTTGTGGTACATATGTATGACACCTGAGGTAACACCTGCAACCTCTAAGCTACTGAAATGCCTGGAACCGGAGCTTACAGTCGGAAGCTTTTTAGGCACCTCACACACACACGGCCTCTTATATTTTTGCTAAAAACACCGCCTCAGACACGAGCGCAAGGCAAGCATATGTGGCTTCCCTCTCATCCCCCCCTCACTGCACGGCAGGTGATTGAGCACCGGGCATATGACCACAAGGCGGATATTTTCAGCTTTGGCATCACGATGTGGGAGATGCTGACTGGCAAGGTGAGAGCGCGGAAGGGTTTGGTGAGGTGGGATGTTGGTGTGAGGATGGTTGAGGAGGCATGGTGGTGGTGTGGAATGTGCGATGGGATGCGAGATGGTGGCATGGAATGTGAGAAGGAGCAGGGATGGATAGCTATCGCCAGCCATTCATTCGTCGTATTACAGCCTATATCTATCGTTTCACAGTCCCTTATTGCCATCTAAGCTTGTCCTCGCACATTTCATCAACAGCCTATATCTATCGTTTCACAGCCCCTTATTCTCATCTGCTAACCCTCCGTATATTCACCCTCCCTTCTCCCCGCCCCTCCTCCTTTCACCCTACACCACCATGCGCCTCTCCCCCTTCCCCCCCCCCCCTCTCCTCCCCCCTCCGTCTCCCCCTCTCTCAGCTGCCCTATCCAGACCTCACACCGTTGCAAGCAGCAGTCAGCGTCGTTCAACGAGTAAGTCCCCACCCTCCTCCATCCATCCACTGCCAACCATCCATCCCTCCCGTCACTCTCGCCTTTCTTGCCCCCTTTCTTCCCTAGCCCCACCATGGCTTCACGCCTGTCGGGCCTTGCTCCCATGCCTCCCCATTACCCCAAGACTCCCTGCCTCTCCCGTCTGCCTCTCCTCCCTGCTCCCCTTTCCCTCCCACTTCTCACTTCACTCCCCCTTTCCCCCTCCCAGGGCCTGCTCCCACCCATTCCCAAGGGCATGCACCCCCTGCTGGCGGCTCTCTTTGAGCGCTGCTGGGCCACCAACCCTGCTGACCGCCCTGACTTCCCTTTCCTCCTGACTCACTCCCTCTCCTCCACTCCTTCCCCATCCTTTCCCATTCCCCCCTCCTTCCCCATCCTTCCCCATCCATCCCTCTTCTCCCTCCTTCCCCATTCCCCCCTCCCAGGGCCTGCGGCCACCCATCCCCAAGGGCACACACCCTCGGTTGGCAGATCTCTTTGAGCGCTGCTGGGCTACCAACCCCTCCGACCGGCCTGAGTTCTCCGAGATCATCCGAGTCATTGCCGAGATTGCACAGGAGGTGAGACCCCCTTGGGCTGACTTGCTTCCTTACTCATGGCATTGCTGGCTCAACCTGCCTTCGGATGCTTCATTTGCCATCCTGGGATGAAAGAAGTTACAGCTGAGCTCTGGTCGTGTGAAGCTGGCCCGGAGCTCTCCGCACTTCCCACGCTTGTCTCAATTTGTTGTCATTCCCACCCCCAACGACCTTTCCCCCCTCCCCACCCCCCACATATCAGCTGGAGGAGGATGGAGAGGCCGACCAACAGAGACGCGAGAAGCGCGGAGGGTTCTTTGCTTCATTCAAGAGAGCAGGGTCGGGACCTAGGTGATATGGCTCAATCAAAGGTTGTGAAACTGCAACATTCTAAATGGCAACAAATAATAGACCTGCAATTCTTATCGTTTGTGTATTGTTGCGAGCTGGATTTGTATCAATGGCATAGTACATTTTCAGCTTGTTATCTATTTTCCTTCAACCCAATCTCACCCTGCATTATATTTGGCCCCTTTTTACGCAAGCACCTTCGTTCAATGGATGAACAACAATCGTTGAATCGGGACTGCTGGTTGGGACTGCGAGGGGATCGAGGGAACGAATGCAGACACTACACATCATGAAACGCTGGTGCTGTTGACGTATGGGCAGCCCATGCCAGCAGACACCCACGTCAGCAATGCATAGATGAAACCTCGCAATTGTCAGCACGGAAAATGTGATTCCTGTCGCGCCTCGGGCTCCCGTTTCGCGTTGACTGGCACTTTCATATCCAGCTTAGCAGACCCAGCAGCAAACTGAGCAGCGCGGCAATCTCAAGAGTCCGACAGTCCAAAGGAAGTTTGGGACCATGCTTCCGCCGGCCATTCAGGAGAAAGTTGGGAGTCCCGAACCGCCAAGAAGTGAATTCTCGAGGCCTTGAAATTGGACTGCCTCTTTCTCATCTTACCAAATTTCCATTGTCCATTGAGAATTCCGCACAACCCTGAGTCTGTTTGATTTTTTCCCCGCACCTAGCTGTCCAAACTACTCGGAGATACTCATACCTCTTTGGATGCACAGTTGCTCAATCATTCCTTTTTTCATACCTGTTCACGTCATAAGGCAGACTTAATCCGCTTAAGTTATTGTCGGCGGACCGGAGGGGTCATGGGTATGGCTGCGCAATTAGTTCCGCCACGGCTTCTGTTCCGTCAGCTGTTTGAAAAGGAATCGAGCACCTACACCTTCCTGTTGGCCGACGAAACCGCACCGAAGCGACCCGGCGTGGTAAGCACGACCCTAGTAATGTCAGACGTCATGGCTTCCGAAACCAACATATTTCTACGCAGGCGTGTACATTACCATCACTCATGGCGGACAACTTCCTATCTTACCGTCTTTCCCGCCCTGTTTCCAGTTGATCGACCCTGTTAATTTGACCGTTGACCGCGACGTGCGGCTAGCAGAGGAGCTCGGAGTGACAATACGTTTCGCTCTCAATACTCATGCACACGCAGACCATGTGACTGGAACCGGCTTGCTCAAGGTAATTGCTAATATTTATTGCGCAACATTGCAAAATGTGTCGATGTAGTATAGTGGTGAGTATCCTCGCCTGTCACGCGAGAGACCCGGGTTCGATCCCCGGCATCGGCGCTGGCCTCTTTTTGGACTTCCGTGGAGCAGCGTTTCCATCATACAGACAGTTGTTTTGTTCATCAGCTCGAACTGCTTGCATACCACACTATTGTCCGTCGGACCAGCTCGCCTTTCCAGCTTTTATACTCCGTACTGTCTTCATCTGTGTATTTTCTTCGTGAAAACTCCCCTTATCACATCAATTTCCCACCACCACACATGCCCAACCTCCCCCTCTCCCTCTCCATTCCGGACACAGAAACGGGTACCTGGCATCAAGTCTGTCATTTCGGCTGCAAGCGGAGCTCGCGCTGACGTGTTGGTGGGCCACGGTGACGTCATACCCTTTGGAAGATTCGGTCTCCAGGTAAAAATAGTAGTAAACAATGTGTGGTTGTATGTATTCTTAGGTTGTGTGTAATCCCGACTAGGAACAGTTTGACAGAGTTTCCTTCGTTCGGCCTGATAACGTCCTTGGCTGAAACTAGACTTGCTAGCCCATTTTTGTAGCTGGGTGGGATCCGGACTACAAAGTGTGACTACCCTCTGCCTGGTTTCCGACCCTGACTTGCAGGTCCGGTCGACTCCAGGCCACACAAATGGGTGTGTGACTTACGTCTTGGTGGAGCGTGCCGAGACTGCAGCAGCCTTTTCAGCAGCACTAGAGGACTCTCCTGAAGGGAGTGTGTGGAGGGAAAGCACTCGGGGCCTGGATGGCCTGGGAACCGCTGGGTTTTCCTTTGACAAGCTTATAACGAGGATGGCGTTCACTGGGGATGCATTGCTTATCAGAGGATGTGGACGGACAGACTTTCAGGTGTGTGTTTCAGTGAAATCTCAGGGTCTGTTTAGCTCTTTCAATGCATGCTCTTGCCCCATCTTATCTTGGTGTCCCCAGTATCTCTCATTCCCGCCATTTTCTCATGCTTTCCTGTTCAGGAAGGAGATGCTGCTCAGCTGTACCGTTCAGTCCACAGTCAGGTGAGCTGGTAACTAGATGAAGGGAGTTGTATTATGGTTTCAAATCATGGTCATATAAGTAGGATCTACCTAATTTGACCCCTTTTCTGTCAATCCAGATATTGTCACTTCCACCGGACACGCTCCTGTTCCCAGCACACGACTACCAAGGCCGAACTGTAAGACCCAGTCAGCTTTTCCCTGCTATCCGCGAATCAACAAATGCCATGTAGATTCTAAGAGAATGTACAATGTTAGTGCTGACGTGGCTGAAATCCACTGCCTCGTTGCAGGTTACATCAGTGGAAGAGGAGCAAAAATACAATCCGAGGCTGACAAAGGGAGAGGTGAGAGAGATATGGGAGTTGTCCTGACAAGCGTTACTATTAGCATGCGCATATTTCCGGATAGCTGTTGTATTGCAAGGCTCCTTCAACATTCCCTTACTTCAATTCATGCACTCTCCGTGTCCCTATCCTTCTATGTGTGTGTACCCTTGAATTGAATGGTGATGTGTTCAGGAAGCATTCAAGGCTATCATGGATGGTAAGCTTTGAAACCATAGGCCATTTTATCCTTTTTGGATTTGTTTCTCTACCGGTCTTTTCACATTCTCTCATCAGTATGCTCTTCCGCTTTGAAGTACAGGGTCCTATTTTGCTCATCCATACCATGCGTATGTGTCCTGCTCTTCTTGTGTCCGTCCCTTGATGAATGGATGTCGTATGTCTCTACAGGCTTGGGGTTGGCACCACCAAAGAAGCTCAAGGAGGCAGTTCCAGCTAACATGGCTGATGGGGTGGTTGAAGAACAGAATACCACCATCCTTGCTGCTTGAATGTGTCTGCTTGTCAGCTCTAGAGATCGAAGGAGGCAGGCAGGACAATGGTACCATAGTGACACCAATATGTGATTCAGAGCATTATGTATATAAGCTTTTATTGCCGTGGTATTTCTTGTTTGTATGTATGTACCCTGGTAGCCATGTACCAACTGAAGACTCCATTTGCAATGAGAATAAACAGGCTCTACAGTACCGTATCACTTTTGGTTGCCTCCTGCATGCAAGCTACCCTCCTCTTCACTACTCTCCCTCTTGCTGCTCATGGAAGATTTGTTTCACAAGCAGGCTGCTGTGGCACAGACAACAATACTCAAGGAAGCGGATGGAATTCACCCCCCCTCCCATAGCATACGGTAGTTGACAACAATAACATTGACAGTTTTGAATAAGAAACGAGCCATGGAACAGGGTTATGGTGCGCAAAGGAATTGACCTGATCCAGAGAAGCGGGGAAACAGATGTACGATATGTGCAATAGTAGGGAAAGTAACCCTCCGAGACATGTTGGTAGGTGGTGAGGTGATTCATAATAAAGTTCTGCCCCAATCTATCACTAGATCTGCCGAAGCAGCGGAGGGGAATGTTGGAAACCACTGCACGGAGCGAGACATGCAGCAACATCAGAGACCGGACTGGAGCTTCCCTGTGCGAAGCAACAACTTGTGACCCCAATGTCACCAAGAATCGCAGTTCAGAGTTGGAGGCAGCTTCTGAGATTTTCCAGAAACCACTGGCAACTCCAGTCAAGCAGAGCAGAGTCTGACGAATGGCGGGGTTCTTTCTTGTGGGGATGGAAGAGAACGAAGTCAAGCTGGCTGCACTGAAACCAATGGGCATCTGCACATGGTTGGACTGATGAAGGGCTGTGGGTTGACTCCCATGGTACTTCATAACAGATGGTGCCTCGGTGGGTGAGGTGTCTAAGGTGGAGCAGGGGTTGACTTGTGACTGGTATGGATTGACTGGGTTGACTTGGGGTTGACTTGCGGTTGACTTCAGCTTGACTTGGGGGTGACTTGAGAGGCAACTCTGAGCTTGACTTGGAAAGGGAGCTGTGGAGTAGTTGACCTTGCATTGACGGCCTCCGAAGCTGTACCCTTTAGTAGCAGCCCCTCTAAGCGCGCACGACTTTGCGCTTGCGCACTTCTGAAGCCAGCGACTGCGCCACAAATGACCTCGCCCACTGCTCCACCTCCTTGCCGCCCATCGCCACGAGCTCCTGGGGGGGAAACAGAGGTGCAGATTGGGGGGCCAGGCAGGGGAACAGGAGAAGAGAGGGATATGGTATGGTGAGTGAGGTATGGCATATGGTATGGTGAGCAACTGAGCCACAAAGGACCTCGCCCACTGCTCCACCTCCTTACCGCCCATCGCCACGAGCTCCTGGAGAGAGGGAATAGACCGATGGGGAAAAATCGACGGAATGAGACGGATGGGATGTGGTGCAAAGGATGGCAATGAATGGCACCTCACAGCACCTCACAGCACCTCGCCCACTGCTCCACCTCCTTTCCCCCCATCGCCACCAGCTCCTGTGGGGTGGGGCAGAAGCGGGGAAACAGAAGGAAGATGGGGATGACAGGCAGAAAGATAAGGGGCAAAAGGCAGAGATGGGGTTGACATTCAGCTCCAAGGCTTCTCAAGAGCTGAAAAGCGACTGTTTCCTTGAGGCAGCTCAGCCACACGCACCCACCGATGGCAGCCCAATTAGACAGAAGCATCACCTCTCTCAAACAGCCTCAACTCAACGAAGAGACTGGAGGCTGCCTCACACTCAAAAGCGGTCTTTTGAGTGCCAATAGGCCATCCTTATGGTCATGGACACATCCACATAGAGAATAAGGACGGCCTATTGGCGCTGTGGATGGCTGACTGAGCCAATAAATAACTGCAACATAGGGTCCTCAAACAGCCTCACCTCTACAAAGAGGCTGGGGCCCGCTTCGCGCTCCGAAGCAGTCATGGACGCGTCCACATAGGCACTGCGGATGGTGCAATACAGCTCAAGGCCACCCAGCCAGTGACTGCAACTAGGAGGTGCCTAGCAAACTGCCTCATCTCGACAAATTCTCTCACCTCAACAAAGAGGCTTGTGCCGGCCTCGCGCTCCGAGGCAGTCATGGACGCGTCCACATAGGCACTGCGGATGGCCTGCGCGTACTGCTGCAACTCGTGTTGTGAACACTCGTGCTGGACAGAAGGGGCACAGAGAATAGTGTGGGTGGGAAGGAGGGTGGATGGTAGCTTGTGGTTCTGTCTTGCTGATTGCTCAGCAGCACAAGCAAGTATGTAAGGAGACACATTTACAGCCGCCAGAAAATATCAGCAACACAATCTAACGTGTGAGGAGACAGTTTTTTTGGTGCCTCACATTGCTGCAACGGAAACATACGTGTGAAGCAGAAGCACAGGGAGAAGGAGGCCCGGATGCCATGACAACAGCAAGAGGCTTGGGTGCAGTCAGGTTCGGCCGGAGCAGAGCTTCGGCGATGTAGCCTCGGGCCCAGTCTTCGCTGGCGCCATGTAGGACGAGCTCCCTGACCAATCCGTCCACTCCGTGCTGCTGCTGAGCTGGCGACGCTGACGTGTCAACGTACGACGGGAAGAGAGCCCGCGCGTACACCTTGAGGTAATTCTCTCGCTCCTCTGCCGAACGAGGTCGCCCGCCTGCCGCCCTCCTGCCTACAAACTTCGTGTTATAAGCAGATGGTGCTGCGGTTGCTGCTGCTGTTCCCGCTGCTGCTTCTGCTGCGACTGTTACTGTGGAGCGAACAGGTGCTGACGCTACAGCAGTGCCGGTTGCAGCGGCGATGGCAGGGGCAGGGGTGGCGGTGCGAGAGGGGCGGGAGCGAGGGGACTTTAGTGAAGCGAGAAAGGCAGAGAGAGTGTTAGAGGAGGAGGAGAGGGAGGCGACGGCAGGGGATGGTGAGGAGGATGGGGAGAGGGAGGGGGAAGAGGAGATGGAGGAGGAGGAGATGGGGGAGAGGGAGGGGGCTGAAGCGGAGGAGGCAGAGACGGGGGAGAGCGAGGGGAGGGCGGCCTTGATTGTGGCAGAGGGAGAAGAGGCGGCCATTGTTTCAAGTGTCTTCTGGATGTTGGCGAGCTGAGAGTGTGGAAGGAAGAGGACGTGGGAGGGGTGGGAGGGGGTGGGAAGAGGACGTGAGAGGGGTGGGAGGGGGTGGGAAGGGGTGTTGGGAAGGAGTTGAAGACAGGGCATGAAAAACGGAGGAGCATTGAGAGGGGAACACAGGGAGAAGAGGCGGCCACTGTTTCAAGGGTCTTCTGGATGCTGGCGAGCTGAGAGAGGGATATGTCGGAAGGGGTGAAAGAGGAGGGAAAGAGAGGGGGAGAGGGGGTGATGGAAGCCAGGGCATGAGAAATAGAGAAGTGGGAGGAAAAAATGGGTAACATGGGAAGAGAATGGGAGGAAAAAATTCCCACAATCGTTTCTGCGCCCTACCTTACTCATCATGTCGCCAATCCCTGCCATCGACCCCCCACTGCTGCTGCCACCACCATTGCCACCACCACTGCCACCACCTCCACTCATCACCCTCTTCCCCTCATCCCCCTCCCGCTCCCCCCTCCCCCCGTTTCCCGGGCCCCCCTCCGCGCCTTTCCCCATCTTTGCCCCTGCCTCCGCGGCCCTCCGCAGCCCCTCCTCCCTGCTGCGCCTCCTCTCCCCCGCGTCCGCGCCCACGCGTGCGCACAGCTGCGCCACGCGCGCAGCCTCCTCATCCGCGCGCTGCTCCGCGAACGCCAGTGAGGAGACGAGCTGCGCCTCCATGCTGAGAAGGGCGGCGGCGGAGGGGGAGGGCGCGGACGAGCGCAGGGAGTGCAGGCGCGCCTTGGTCCACGCAACTGCTTCCAAATACTTGTCCCATGACTCCTCCGCCTTGACCTGACGGGGAAACAAGTGGGGGGAGAGAGAGGGATGGGATAAGCATGCGTCAGGGCTTTAGAGGTGCCACAAACAGTGAGCTGCGCGAACGCCAGTGAGGAGACGAGCTGCGCCTCCATGCTGAGCAGCGCGGCGGCGGAGGGGGAGGGCGCGGATGAGCGCAGGGAGTGCAGGCGCGCCTTGGTCCACGCAACTGCTTCCAAATACTTGTCCCATGACTCCTCCGCCTTGACCTGACGGGGAAACAAGTGGGGGGAGAGAGAGGGATGGGATAAGCATGCGTCAGGGCTTTAGAGGTGCCACAAACAGTGAGCTGCGCGAACGCCAGTGAGGAGACGAGCTGCGCCTCCATGCTGAGCAGCGCGGCGGCGGAGGGGGAGGGCGCGGACGAGCGCAGAGAGTGCAGGCGGGCTTTTGTCCATGCCACTGCTTCCAAATACTTGTCCCAGGATTCCTCCGCCTTCATCTGGTGGGAAAAAGGTGAAGGGAGAGAGAGAGGGAGACGGAGAGAGCCGGGTGAGGGAGGAGACAAGGTGTGCCACGCGCGCAGCTGCCTTTGAGGCGCCTCAAAGCGCGCAGCCCCCTCGTCCGCGCGCTGCTGCGCGAACAATAGTGAGGAGACGAGCTGCGCCTCCATGCTCAGCAGCGCGGCGGCGGAGGGGGAGGGCGCGGAGGAGCGCAGGGAGTGCAGGCGGGCCTTGGACTGCTTCCAGGTACTTGTCCCATGACTCCTCCGCCTTGACCTGGTGGGAAGAGGGAACACACACAAGACATGAGGTGTGCAGAGTGGAGAGGAGAGAGGGCGCGGAGGAGCGGAGCGAGTGCAGGCGCGCCTTGGTCCACGCAACTGCTTCCAAATACTTGTCCCATGACTCCTCCGCCTTAAACTGTGGGAGGAGGAAGGGGAGAGAGCGAGAGCGAGTGAGGCAGTTGAGAATGAATGTTGGCAGACAAGTGGCAGAGGAGGGTGCACGTCAGCAGAGGGAGCATGGCAGGTGGTGTGGTCTCACCAGTTCTAGCTCCACAGGCGAGAGAGCTGCTGTGTCCATCACCACAGGCAACACCTGCTGCGGCTGCTGCTGCGGCTGCTGCTGCTGCTCCTCCCTTGCGACCTGCACTGGTTCGCCCTCCCGTGCAGTTACCGCCTGTCCAGTTGCGGTCTGCGCGACTGTGCTCTGCGCCAGCACACCGTGACGTTCTGCCAGCGAGCGGAGCACTGACAGACGCACCTGGCGAGGTCAGAGAAAGAGAATTGGGAGTAGGGAGTTGGGAGGATATGAGAGAGGAAGATAAAAACAAGCTGGAAAAAAGATTTGGCGAGATGAGAGAGGAGGGGAACCATGTCAGTGGCCATAGCCCTTTCCCCCTTTCACCATTCCTCCCGTGCTGTCTCCTTCTCTCCACGCCTGGTCGCTGCAGTTGCTCTCTCTGCCCACGCCTGTGGTCTCTCTGCTCATATTCTTTCCCATCAAAACCCAATACTCATTTCCCAACCCCATTCCCCCATCCTCACACCTAACACGCACCTGAGCGGCGTGCTGTCTCCTCTTCTCCACGCCTGGTCGCTGCAACCTCTCTCTCTGCCGAAGCTGCCCCGCCCGCAGCGCCTGCACAGACCCCGCCACCACCCCCTGCTGCGCGCCCCCCCTGCCCCTGCGCGCCCCCCTGCGCACCCCATGCGCGTCCCCCTGCCCCCGTCCCACATGACCCACCACAGACCTGAGCGGCGTGCTGTCTCCTTCTCTCCACGCCTGGTCGCTGCAGCCGCTCTCTCTGCCGCAGCCGCCCCGCCCGCAGCGCCTGCACCGACCCCGCCACCCCCCCCTGCTGCGCGCCCCCCTGCGCGCCCCCCTGCGCCAGCGCCTGCTCCTCCTCCGCCTCCTCCCACTCCTCCTGCGCCTCCGCCTCCGCGTCTGAACCGCCAGGAGCGTTAGACGGCGCGTTAGACGGAGAGGACGGCGCTACAGCCGTGGGGGTGGGGGTGACGGCACGTGGGGTGACTTTCCCCTCAACCACGTCCGTCACACGTTGGCGCAGCTGGGGGGAACGGGGGGAATAGTAATGGGGGAGGGGAGGAGACGGGTGAGAAGGAGAGAGTTAATAGTTACGGGAGGGGGAAAGAGCAACAAAGGGTGACTGCTGAGCACGCGTCACCCCACGCGTCAACCCAGGCCTCACCAGTCCACGCCCCAACCCACAGCGCCCACCTCCCCCTTCCCCTGCCCCAGCACCGAGACCCACCTCCGGGTGCGCGTGGAGCAGCTGCCCCCGGCGGCCATTAGACACCCTCTTTCGCCCGTCCCATCCCTTCTCAGCGCTCATCCCTTTCCCCTTTACCTCCCCCCCAAATGTCTCCCCCCCCACAGCCCCGGGACGCACCTCCGGGTGCGCGTGGAGCAGCTCCCCCCGGCGGCTCTTGGCGGCCTCCACCGCCGCGGACGCCGCGTCCATGCGCGCCTCCAGCGCCCGCAACTCCGCGCGCATTGCGCCGCGCTCCTCCCGCCCCTCCAGCACGTGCGCGCCCGCCTGCAAGAAAGTTAGTAAGAGTTAAAAAAAAAATTACATGCATAAACGGACGGAATAACACAAGGGAACTGAGACGCGGTATTGAAGGAATGAACGCGTAATCACTTAAGCAGTGACAAGAAGCGTGCACCATGCCCCATACACCCACATCCTCTGGTTTTGAGACGTCTCAAAACTGCCCCATCGACCCACATCCTCTGCGCTACATCACTACGACCAGCATTATCCGCAGACCCACCTTGCGCATTTCCAACGGCACCGAGGTAGGATCCGCGATAGCCGCCGTAGGAGCCGACTTTGGAGGCGCCTTGATGCTTTGCGCTAAGACCCAGCATTAACTGCACACGCACACGCACCTTGCGCATTTCCAATGGGACTGAGGTAGGATCCGCGATAGCCGCCGCAGGAGCAGGAGCAGAAGCGGAATCATCGTCGCCCAATGACGGGGATGTGAATGATGACGTCATCGGCGCCACGTTGGCAGGCTTGATGCTGACGTGGGCTACCACGTCATCCGACACCTCCCGCAGGTGATCTTCCGCCAGCTGCTGCGGAGCTGCTGCGCGCGGGGAGGCGGCGGAAGCGGCGGACGATCCGCTGGCGGAGGCACCAGGCGCTGGCGCACGGCGGAAGAGGAGAGGCGCGGAAAACGCGGAAGATTAGACTTGCGACGCAGGAGTGGGGGAAAGCTAAATGCGATCAGCAGCTACAGTAAAACTCGACAAGAAACTAACCTGTAAGGCGGTGAAAATATATTTAACGTGTAGTCAATGCGTCGAATCCATACGGCGGTGCGGGGCAATGAGACACTAAGTGTTGAAACGCAATATAACGTGATGATATAACGATGCTACACAAGCATACCGTGCGGGATGAGACTCGCGATCTGCGACAAGAGCGGCGACGCGGCTTCAATGGCCTGGCGGAAATCACACAAGAGAACGCGACAGGAAGACAGCCGGAGAGGATTACGATGTGAGGACGAATCCGGGAGAGGATGGAAGAAAGCATTTACACCCCCTCCTCCCCCCCCCCTCCCCCCTCCATTCCCCGCATTCCCCAACCTCCCCGCATTCCCCGCGTTCCCCGCGGCGCACCTTGTTGTGGTTCTCCAGGGTCGCTGCGGCCACCTTCGCCATTTCCTTCGACGCGCGCTCCGCGCCTCGCGCCATCTCTTCCGCCGCCTTCGCCATCCGCTCCATCCACGACCGCGCGCCCGCGCGCGTCTCGCCCGCGCTGCACAACGGGGGAAAACGCGCAGGTCAGCGGTGTTGCGCGAACGGGGAGGGATTAGAGAGCCAGGGGGAAGTGGTGGAGGGGGAGAAGGAAGGGGGAGAGGGACGGAGGGGAAGGGACGGCGGAAAAACAGTGCAGTGAGGAGCCTGAAAGTGAGGAGCCTGAACGTGAGGAGGGTGCCGGGTAGAGTAATGCGCGAGGGGGAAGGGAGGGGGGGATTGGGGGGAGGGGTGGGAAAGAAACGCGCAGAAAGGGGGGAAATGCGGAGGGGGAGGAATGCGATAGCTGCCGGCGGAAGTAATGCGGAGAATATAAGAACATAACCTGTGAAGTACTAATGCGAGCGCAAAGAACGTACCGCTGAGCGCAAAGAACGTACCGCTGAGCGCGGAAGATGGCGGAGATCGGGCGACGGCAGTTGCGCCTAAAGCTCACTGCGAGCAGCAGCCAGTCCAACAATGCCACGTGGACGAGAAGAAAACGAGAGAGGTCAGGCCAGTTCTACACCTTGCGACGTCTATAAAATGGTTCGCTGCAGTTTAAGGGTGACGCATAGAGTTCCGACGCAGTGCATTGAAGTATGGCATTGCTAGTCTCTTGGAACGCCGACAATGACTGATATCCCGCGTCGGTGACCAACCACCGTACATAAGCTGCATGTTGACACTTATGGTATATGACTAGCACGATTGAACGACGCGAAAGCTGGTGAAAGTCGCGAACCCTTTTCCCCCTTTCAGACTGCTGTTCCAACGAGCCTGTTCGACTAACCAGTATCAGATTTCAGGCATGGTATCATGTCGCTGGAAAAGGTCTGGTGTAAAGACGAGGTGGCAGACCAAGCGGACTTACGCGTTACGCGCTTCGGCCGCATGGGAACGACGAAGGCGGAGCTGAACTGCGGAGTATTGGGGGCCTTCCGCCACCGCGCGCCCATGTAGGGCGCAAGGGCGGGAGGCGCGCATACGCGCATCGCGACAATGGCTTGACTCGCCATTAAGGGGCTATTGGCGGATTTCACGGCAATAGGCGGATAAGGTCCTTGGATGGAGCTGCTAACATAGACTTTTTAATGTCCAGATTACAATCACTAAGTTAGCAAACCGGTATTATGAACAACAATATTTATTGGATGGAAGAGGCGACACGGATGCTCTCGATGCGCTACCCTACTAAGAGGCTGAGCCGGATGTTCGGTCAGCCTATCCTACAAACCGAGTCAGATCTGAAATGCTAACTAACAAGCAAGCCCCTCGACCTTGGTGGTTGTGGTGCGCTCGTTAGCTCGCGAAAATTGGAGTGGGGCGGGGGTAGGGGAAGGGGAAAGGGAAGGGGAAGGGATAGCGGAGGATAGGGTGAGAGGGGAAGTGGGGAAAGAAGCGAAATGAACGGGGAAGCGGGGAAGGTAGGGAGGGGGAGGAAGCGGGGTTGGGGGAAGAGTTGCGGAGCTTGCGAGCAGCAGGATGAGCACGAGCAGACGGCGGTGATGGGTGGGGAGAATGGGAAGTGTGTGCAGAGGTCGGAAGAGTGCAAGTGGGGGAAAACCCCATATTTGAAGTTCAAAATAAGGCGGGCGGAAATGCCCTCTGGCCCCAGCGTGCGCGCTCAGGTCGTTCAGATCGAGGATTCGAGGCCACCCTTGAAAGTTGCGCGATAAGTCTGTGCGTGTGAAGGGCCAATCGTGTCGGAGGATCTCTGAAAACTGTTGCAATCAGAAAGCCATTCTCTACCGTCAGATATAACAGCATGGCAGGGGATCGATGGGGCTGCTCGCACGGTCTCTGCATCCACGTCGGGCCGCATCAGCTTTTCCGTGCCCAAAAGCGGCTCGGGAAGAGGCCACTGTGGCACTGCCGTGGTTTTGAAAACCTTGGGGTTGCCCAAACATGATGGGATAAGGGGTTGAGGAAATACATTTTGGTGCTTCTGAACAAGGATCTGTACACCCTCTTATTCGATACAGCGATCTCTAATAGAGCTCCAAAACCATACAGTGGCAGAAGTTTTGGGCCCCCACTGACGGGTATGCGTTATAGTGGCGTGCAGATTCGGTATATCTACTGTTTCGGCAATGCAATCATCACATACTGCCGAGGGCGTGTAGCCCAGAAACTTCCTAGAACCGTAAGACAAGTTCGACTGCCGAATCGAGAGACTTCGTAAATTTTTGCGAAACCAGCTTTGGCGAATAAAGATCGGGGATTCCAAACCTGGGCACTTTCGCACGTTCTACCTAGTTACAAGCTCAGCAGATACGACACGAGAAATTATTGCACCAAATTCGGATTTGGTTGGGGCTACGCGGTTCGTCGATACAGTCGCAAAATGGGCTGGCCGAGGGGCGATGTGCTCCTATAACGTTAATATCGCCCGGCATAACAAACAACTGCCCCTGCCCAAAACGCGGCGCGATACTCAAAATAATATGAGGGTGTAATGTAAAGTGAAGATAAATCCTTACAAGAGGCCCCATTTTATGATATTTTCTTCGCAATTTTCCCGAAGGTGCCGAAAGTTCTGGTTGGCGTCCTCATTCATGGCGGCCTCCCGAGTGTGCACACCCTCGCTATCAGCTGCTTCATCAAAGACTTATTTGCGCTTGATTTTCACTAGCCATAAAGTGAACCCACTTTTCATCCCAACACAAATTCAGCAAATTACTGCCACACGCGTTAGTGCAAATTCCACCGTAATGTGCGGCATGCGTCGAAACAGCACCACGCCTGTGTGTAGGTGGATGAGCCTTGCGCGGCGTGGCGCCAGCCACGGGTGAGAGCTATCGAGTGGGCATGGGCGTGGGGGCGCTTCATGGCGCGCCGTTCGTTTGTGGATGCCCCATTCCTTCGCGTGACCACAGAGAACCAGACGCGATCGACAATGGACTGCCGCCGCTCTTGATCCATTGCGGTCTGAAGCACGTCTTTCGTGCTCTCGATACTTCTGCGGACGTCCTTCCAATTGGCGCGGCTTTCCTTCTTTCTTGCGGGCTACCTCACCCAGGTGACTTTCCAGTCAGACTCAAAAGCTACCTCATCCACATCACGTGCTCTCCGTTGGTGTTTCGCGCGAGCTGCTTCACTGCACCCCTCGCATCCCGCACTGAATCAGCAATGGCGGAAAACTCCGCGCAAGCCATTCCGCCAGCGCTTGTAGAGGAAGCTACAGTGGTGCGCTCTGTCTTCGCCGCGTGGGGGAGCGCGCCCGCGCAAGGTGCGGTGCCGCCTGTTGCGCCTGAAGTGCCTGAACCTGCTGTAGCGCGGACGCCGCCGCTGCGCACGCCCACGCCGGACGTCACCTACTCGCTGCCGCACGCCGTCGTCGCGACTCGCGCGCTCGCCGCGACGGTACGGCTGCGATGCAGGCGGCGAATCGCGTATCTGGAGAAAGGGATGGGCGCAGCGCAGGCGTCGCGGACGCTGCTGGTGCTGCACGGCCTGGGATCGTCGCGACTCGCCAACATGCCAGGTGAGAAAAGACTTGAAATCTTTGACACTCAGAATGACACCATGCAGATTCCTGGAACTTGGAATTTGATTTCCAAAATCTCCGACAAAATTTCCGCTGCAATGCGTCTTGCAATCTCCGCTCTCCCCACCTTCCTGCGCCCTTCTCACCAGGAGTGCCGGACGAGCTGCTCTGCTCTTTCGGGGTGCGCCTGGTGGCCATCGATCGCCCAGGGTATGGCCAGTCCGACCCTGCGCCTGACCTCTCGCTGCACTCCTTCTGTGAAGACCTCGAGGAGCTAGCAGATCTGCTCGCGCTGGGGCGCAAGTGAGTGGTTGACTAGGGAAAGTGGTGGTGAGTGAGCGTGGTTCCCATATGCTGTCAATATGTAACGATCGTGAGGAGCTGCAGTCCTGCTCGCTTCGAGGATCAAGTGGGTGGAGTGCGGGACAGGTAGATGACATGGCAGGTGGGTGCTTGCTGTCAGACACTACTGCCTCTTATTTCAGAGTGAACGTTCACCCTCTTCCACCCCCGTGTTCCTCACTCCTCAGGTTCTACCTTCTGGGGTACTCAGCAGGAGGCGCGTACTGCTGGGCAGCAGCGCACTACATTCCCCACCGCATCCTCGGGATTGCCATGTGGGCGCCTTTCAGCTCGTTCTACTGGCAGGTGTGACTATACTGAATAATAGGTGTGCCTGTGACAACCGGAGCAGAGCAGAGAAGCCATGTTCGCCTGCATGACGTTTTTTCCCCTTTCTCCCCTCACTCGCGCCCTCTGTCTTGGTGCGTTGACTGATGTGAGAATGTGGCTTCCCATTTCCTCCCACAGGGAATATCGGAGCAGGACAGGGAAGCCATGTTCGCCTGCATGACACCTCACTCCCGCCGCTCCCTCCGGCTTGGCCGCTACGCCCCTCTCTGGCTCATCCGCCTTTTCATTCGCAACTTTGTCGTTCCTTTTTCCGGTGAGTGTTGTTCCAGTGTGATTATAGATGCCAGGAGGGAACTTCTGGGCCCAGTGTTTAAGCACCCCTCTCTGGCTCATCCGCCTCTTCATCCGCAACTTCGTTGTTCCTTTCTCCGGTGAGTGTGTATCATAGAACTAGCCTCGGTATTCCCATGCACCAATTTAGCGTTTTTAACCGCCCTCTTTTCCTCTGCCCCACGCCCTCGTTCTCCCAGGTCCCTTGTGGCTGCAGCGTCTGCAGCACAGCCTCTCACACGCCGATCGACAGTACCTGCTGCACCCACAGGGGGCACAGGCGCTGCTTAACGACAATACCGAGTCCCACTTTCCCCCCGCCTTCTCCCCCCATAACCCCTGCCTCCTCCACCCATATTCCAGGTCCCTTACGGCTGCAGCGTCTGCAGCACAGCCTTTCACACGCCGACCGCCAGTACCTGCTGCACCCACACGGGGCACAGGCGCTGCTTAACGACAATACTGAGTCGCTCCTTATGGGATCGCACGGCGAGGGCATGGCCAAGGACGTTGAGCTTTTCAGCCGCCCCTGGCCCTTCCACATCCTCGATATTGGGTGCTTCAGTAATGCTCAAAGCGTCCGTGATCTTACAACTTCCAGTGATACCCGAAACCTTGGGGATACCGCCACTATCCAAGACTCCACGTGTGAACCATCCAAGATAACATCTTCTTCCTCCAGCACACATCCTCCTGCCAAAAACCTCCCCCCTCCGTTCCTGGTGCACATATGGCATGGCACAGAGGATGTCCTGGTGCCTCTCTCCCTGCAGCGCTGGCTGCAGCAGCAGCTGCCGCATCTGGTGAGGCTGTATGAACTGCCAGGGGAAGGTCATCTGTCCTGGTTCTGCCACCAGCCTCAGAACCACCACCAAGTGCTCTCCACACTCTTCTCGTGATGGTGTCAGGTGTTAGGAGCTCTAGGTTTACGGCTTGTGTGTCTACCTGCCTCCTGCAGCAGCTGCTGCACCTGGTGTGGCTGTATGAGCTGCCAGGCGAGTGTCATCTGCCCTGGTTCTGCCACCAGCCCCAGAAGAACCACCACCAAGTGCTTGCCACTCTCTTCTCCTAGAGTTCAATCAATACCTAGTTACCTACCGCCAAGTGGTTGCTGCTCTCTGCCTCTCGTGTGTAGTGCTGGGCGCTCAAGGCCCACCACTCATGCTTCCACCATCAGCCAAACAACTATAACCATATCAGGTGCTCATTACTCTCTTCTTTACCTGCTCCAGTAGCAGATGCCAGTTGCCGAGTGCTTCATATAAATTCGAATCTTTCGCATACCAGAATTGGTGTCAAATTAACAGACGCGCTATACTGACCACCTCTCAGCTAAACAAGATGTTTCAAGCAGGCATAATTAGAAGAATTATCAGCCATGTTGTAGAAAATGAAGTGATTTTAATATTGTACAGTTGTCTCAGAACTGTCTTCGGCAGGTGACCGCCTTACACGCATGGTCAAAATCATCAATCACCCACAATCGAGCCTCTCTCAGCAATGCAACCTTATCCTCCTTTTTACCCACAAAAGGAGGCACTATCACCGGCAGCAGCCACCCCTTCGGAACCCTCACCCCCTCCTGTGGCCCAAAGGGTATTGTCCCTGCTTCTTTGAAACTAACAGAATTACTTAGCACCTGTGCTGCTTGCTGCTGCTGCTGCCGGCTCCCCCCTCCCCCACATTCCACCTCCCCCACGTCAAAATTAACCACCATGCTGCCCGCAAGCACGTTGGTCAGCAACGGGGTCCGCGCGCAAAACTTTTCCAGCTGCCCCCACGCGGCGATGGTCGACGGCAAGGATCGCACAACGAGGAACGAGGAGCTGAAATCAACGGCATCCAGACGGCCCCACATATGGAAGCTGGGATCGACACGCGTGACTGTATCCGCTGCTAGGGGATCACCCCTCCATATAGTGTCAGCGTTCCCTATAGCCACGTTGAACCCGAGAGAAAGAGCGGTTAGAACTAACTGAACGTGTCTGGCTGTCCAATGGTTCCGCCCGCTCAATCTCCTCCTCCTACTCACTTCAACAGGGTCCTCCAACCCTCTCTTCCTCCTCACCTCATCCTCCTCCTCCTCTTCCTCCCCTCCGTAGCCAGTAACAGCCCCAGGATTACCCACTCCGTCACCATTACCATCCCCACTGCTGCTACTGCGGCCAAACAGACTATCCCCTTCCCCCTCCCAATCCTCCGCGTCGTCTGCTGTGTAATAGCCGCCTGACCCTGAATCATCCTTTAGATCATCCTTCCAAAATAGACTGTCAATGCCGATGCTGGTGATAGTGCCTACATCCCCGAAACTAGTCCCGCCTTCATCTGTACTGCTACTGCTGCTGCTAGTGGTGCTGCTGCTAGTGGTGGTGCTGGTGCCACTGCTACTGCTGTCACCAGCGCCTGCAGCTGCTGAGTCAGCAGCACCATTGGTCCGTGACAGGTGTCTCAAGATCCTGCGACGGGTGACAGGTGGCAGGTAGAAGACAGCATAGCCCCGTGCTGCCAGCTCAGCTGCCAGCCTGGCGCATGGAACGATGAGGATGATGTTGGAGACACCAGAGCCGTCGATGTGGCAGAGCCAGTTGTTGATGAGATCTCGGCCGTCGAATGGCACCACTATCAGAGACACGTATTTTTCCTGAAGAGACAAGAGGAAAAAACACAACGGAGAAAAAGGTGACAAGAGGGGTGAATGAGAAACAAGGGAGGGAATGTAGCGTGGGAAGAAGAATCTTTCGTTTCATATAAGATGCTGAGAGCCCATTCTGTGGCCAATCCATTAAACTCCTAAATCTCCCCTCCCTCTCTGCTCCTCGCCCTTGTCCCTCCCTCCCTTTCTCCCAACGCTTTCCACCCCCCTTCTCTCTCCCCCCCCACCGAGGCTCACCAAAGCAACAGCATTCAGCAGCGAATGAAATTCCAACAGCGTTTTCCCAGGCGGTAACCAGCGTAACTGCCAGAAATCACTTGTGAGGTGCCCCAAAACTCACCGGAGCAACAGCGTTCAGCAGCGAATGAAACTCCTCCAGCGTTCTCGCAGGTGGTAACCAGCGTAACTGTCGGAAACACAGGTCGTGCCGCTCCAACCTCCGTAGCGCCGGCAACGGCCGAACCCACCACGCCCTGATCGACCGCGCCCATGCTACATCCGCCCCTCCCGCTACAGCCCTCCCTGCTGCTGCCCCTCCGGCTGTAGCGCCAGCTGCACTCCTCCCTGCCGCCCCTCCTGCTGAGGCAGACGCAGCAGAAGAAGACGCAGCAGCCAGGGCGGCGGCTAGCTTTTGGGGAGTCAAAAGGGCGGCATCAGCACCCCGGTTCTTCGGCATATTAGACCCTTTCTCCCGGTGCGAGATCGAGAGAGAAAGATTCCCCGGCGGCGAGGGGTAAAGATTGAACATACCCTTGGCATACGCCCATTTGATGATCCAGGGTGTCCAGAGGCGATTACCCTTGGATTTGAACCAAACCGTGGTTTTTAGCCCGTCGAGTGAGGGTTCTCGCGTGGAGTTGTAGCGTCGCATGTCGTACCAGAGACGAAACTGTTTCCAGGGGCCTGGGAGGAGGAACTGGCCCCATGTGCCGACTAGCTGGTAGAGAAAGGGGTCCGGATGGTCGTACACGTTCAGCCCGCTGTTGAAGCCTGGGGAAAGGGGTTGGTGAGGGGGGGTGTGAACGGGAGAAGCGGGGAAGGGAGACGGATGGACTACACTAGCTGGTAGAGAAAGGGGTCCGGATGGTCGTACACGTTCAACCCGCTGTTGAAGCCTGAGAAGGAGAAGAGGGGGGGGGGGGGTTTGTGACGGGGTTGAGAAAAAGGGCACAAAAGGGGCCGTGGTTGCCCCATGTGCCGACTAGCTGGTAGAGAAAAGGGTCCGGATGGTCATACACGTTTAGCCCGCTGTTGAAGCCTGGGGATGGGGGTTGGGGACAGGGGTGTGAAGGGGGAATATAAATGAGGGGTGTGAAGGGGGGGTGGGAATGAGGGGTGTGAAGGGGGGGTGGGAATGAGGGGTGTGAAGGGAGGTTGTGATGTGGTCAAACGAGGAAAAGGTGAATTTAAGGTGACTCATAAGCGGCTACTGAGGACCCTGTTGAACTTGGTGAGGAGGGTTGTGATGGGTTGTACCAGGAAAGTGTTAAAGGGAAGGGGCAATGACACGGACAAGACAAGAAGAAAGGGGGTATCTCAATGCTCTGCTGATGGATTTGCCACCGTTTTCCACGCCTCATCCCCCATCACCCCCACTCCCCGGTTCCCCACACCATTCCCCCTTTCCCCACCACTCCGCCGCATCCCCCATCCCCCATACCCACCATACCCACCATCCCTCCCATGATCACCTCCATCATGCCAGCCCTCCCACCCTCCCCAAATGGCATACCTGCAATAAAGAACTGCCGTTGAAAGGACACCCCGTACACGTTCGGGTTGAAATTGGTCGCGTTGAAATAGTACACTCCAAGAAGCCTTTTCAAATATCGATAAAACAGCGGCGAAACCTCCATATCATCCTCCACCACGAATGCCACGTCATTCACGCTCTCAGGCCACCACGATTCCAACCACTGCGGCTGAATCCCCATATTTTGGGACCGGTACAGTACACTTCTCGGCCCATGCAGCCATGTGAATTTATCCAACAGTGACAGTAACGAATGAGCCACTGCAACCCGATCCGCCGCTCGTCTCGTCCAGGCTGACTTTCCCGAGCGGTTACCAAACGTGTGGTCGACGAAAATATCTAGGGTTACCACATCCCCGTCGTACTCTGCATTCGCTAAAGCCTTTAAGCATCGCGCTGCCACGTCAGGCCGATCGTAGACCAGCACTTTGATATGCAGCCGGAATTGCGAAGGATCCACCCTCGCGCCGTTCGGACCGGGGAATAATCTCGCGAGGTTTCGCGGAAGCTGCCACGAAGGTCCTATAAGCGGCGGCTCAGGTGCAAGTAGTCCCCGCGAGCGTACTGAAGAGGAGGAGGAAGAGGAGGATGAGCTTGATGGGTCCAATTGTCTAGAGCTCGTCTGCAACTTTATCGGTTCGTTACTTGGGTTAGCGCATGCCAATCGTCGGGTCTGCTCTTGACGCGTATGCTGGCGACCCGGTTGTCGCTGCAGCTCGAGCCATATTCGCAGCGCGGCCGAGGCGACGAGGGCGATCAGGAAGACGAACAGGAAGCGACCACGACCTGCGCTTCCCGCCATGATTCTTAAAAAATCCTTATGATTCCTGAGAACTCCTTCTGATCCCTGATGACTCCTGGTAATACCTGATGTTGCGTAATCGCAACTACACTACAGCCACTCTGTAGTTCGAGTCACGGAGTGATCAGGACGACGAGCAGGAAGATGCCTGTACCTGGAATGCCCGCCATGCTCCCATGACTCTCTATTCGACCTGGAAACCCGTCAGTTCTTACTCGCACGCACGCATGTGTTCAATGTTGATACGCGAAGCCTAGTTTATCTAAGGCGGAGTATCGACGCAAATGATCTTCGACCCTATTTTGGGCTAACCTTGATTCGATCTGATCTCGATAATCAAGCGCCATCCTAGACTGATTATCCTTGACATGGGTACTTCAAATAGGAACAATGCCTACAGGAAGGCTGCCGTACCAAGAGCTTTACGACGCTATTTTCGCGCTGGCAATGATGACCGATCAGACCTAGAGCGCAACCGACCAAGCCAGCAGGCCAACGAAACGGCTGATTGGGCAACCGAGTCCAGGCTCTAGTCGTTAGCTCTCCCCTGTCGCAATTTGGTGGAGCTCGATTGAGAGTCCAGTCCAGACAGCAGCCATAAATAACCACTAGATTCCTTCGCGCTGGCCTGCAAGTATCATCCTTCGAGAGGTAAGAAATGGTCTAGAACGGTGAATGAAGATAGCCACTTCAAAATGCAGACCACCGTACTCAGCCGTTACTTCCGAACAGAAGGTGAGCTTCTGCTTGCTTGGTGAAAATGAGACAGCATTAGCAGTTCTAATAATCCCTTGTGGTGTAACTGTGGTAGGTGAAGGTGGCTGGAGAAAAATCCTTGGGACTGTAGATGAAAAAAAATCGGACCAATTAGGAACAGAGTCTGATTTTCAGACCACGACTAGATTGGATACAGATGACATCAAACAACTACCGCTTCTTAGACGAATGCAATACACATGAAATATCCATAGAATCATAGGCATGCCTTTTGGAGCTTGGAAGGAATGTGGGTGGATGGAATGATGTGAGAAGGGGGGTGGCGGAGCTAGGTCATGGATGTAGGTACACAGCGGAACATAAAAAGGTGAAGCAGTGGGTAGTGGAAAGATGAAAAGACGAACAAATTTTATGGCTGCTCAATTCCTACCTCCATTAAATCCCTAAACTGCTCCCAAACTGCAAGTGTTTCACCCCGGCTTGCTCTCCAATTTGACGTATTGTTCGCCGCTTACTCGGCTCTGAGCACTTGGCGTGAGATGCTCAGTTGACAACGTCAACAATGACCCGGCGGGACTTGATGGGCGACCAGCGCCACCGCTTGTAGTAGATGGCCTGCAGCCACACGAGGGAGATGATGAAGATCCACTTCACGCCCATCTGCCATGGCAAGGGGTGAGGGAGAGGGCAGGGATGGACTTGAGGCACTTGGTTAACGGAGTGCACAATGTCCCAGCGTCGTCACTGGGACTCCGTGGCATTGAGGTCGTTTTTTAGGCGCCTCAAAAACGACCTCAATGCACGCGGGTGTGCCATCCTCATACTCCCGCTTGCACCACACATAAACACAGATTGCAGTTTCCACACATTTTCTGTCTACACCCTTCAAAGCACCCCCCACTCACCAGCTTGCGTTCGTCCATCTCAGGCTCGGCAGCCCATGCAAGGAAGGTGACAACGTCCTTGGCCTGCTGGGACTCCGTGGCGGGCGTACCGTCCTCGTACTCCCCACCACCACACATACACACAGACTGTAGTTTCCACACATTTTCTGTCTACACCCTTCCAAGCACAACCCGCTCACCAGCTTGCGTTCGTCCATCTCGGGTTCAGCGGCCCATGCGAGGAAAGTAACAACGTCCTTAGCCTGCTGGGACTCCGTGGCGGGTGTGCCGTCCTCGTACTCCACACCGCCGTCGTTGAGCATCTTGGGCATGGCGATGGCGCCGCCCGGGAAGTACGGATTGTAGTGCAGCCCCTCTCGCACCTGTGCATGCAGGGGGGGTTTGGTAATGAGGGTGGGGGGATGAGGGTGTAAGGATGAGGGTGGTGGTAGGGACAAGGTGATGGCATGGGGTCGACTCAAATATCCTCGTTGAGCATCTTGGGCATGGCAACGGCGCCACCCGGGAAGTACGGGTTGTAGTGCAGGCCCGCGTGCACCTGTGCACCCACACACCCAGGGTGGAGAGATGAGGTGGGACACACAAGGTGGAATTTTTGGGCCAACTCTAAAAATGTCATGGGGGGCTTGGGCATGGCGGGTGCCGCCGGGGAAGTACGGATTGTAGTGCAGCCCCTCCCGCACCTGCGCACCCAGGGGGGGGGGGGGGGGTGGTAATAATGAGGGTGGAGAAAAGCGGGTTTAGGATTGAGGATTGTGAGAGGTGGCGGCGATGAGGATGGATCTTGAGTCAACTCAAAGACCATAAAGGGGATGGGGTTGGGTGGAGGGGTGGTGGTGGGGGCTGGGGGAGGGGGTGTGTGTGGGGGGGGGGGGGGGAATGGGAGGAAAAGCGCTGAAGTCATGACAGGATGAGTGCTGCGGTCAGCATGATGGAACATGAAACATGTTACATTAGTGTTAGACGACTGCACTAACAGACAATATCACAATCACATGCTCCACATCACTCTACAATATTCCCTCAGCTGAATGTGCAGGGAGACAACACACACGTGGCACCACACAGCCCACTCACCGAGATGCCAGCAGGGGGGTCGCGGTAGCCGGAAAGGAGACTCATTATTTCAGGCGCCTAGAACAAAACAGTAGGCAGCACACAGCCCACTCACCGAGATACCAGCAGGGGGGTCGCGGAGGTGCTTACTGAAATACCAGCAGGGGGTTTATGGTGGCCCGAAAGGAAGGAGATTGTGTTAATGAGGCGCCTCGAAAACGTATTTTTTCTAGGCACCTAAAGCAAAAAAGTAGGCACCACACAGCCCACTCACCGAGATACCAGCAGGGGGTTCGCGGTAGCCTGTGAGGAGCGCATAGACGTAGTTCTGCCCGTCATGGCGCGCCTGCAGTCAGGGTTGACACGGTGCAGCAGAAAGGAGAGGGGGGAGGTGGGGGTTCGAGATGGATAGGGTGTTTGGTTCAGAGGCACCTCGCCTGTGAGGAGTGCATAGACGTAGTTCTGCCCGCCATGGCGCGCCTGAAATTGGGGTAGGGAGGCGGGCGGAGAGGGGTTGGGTGAGAGCACACGTGTCATTGAGCACGAGTCAGGCACGGTGGCGCGGTAGCAGGTGAGGGGAGCTTAAATGTATTTCTGCCCGTCATGGCACGCCTGAAGTAGTCAGGGTTGACACGGTGAGGCAGAGAGAACGAGGAAAGAGCCGCGGGAGAGAGGGGGGGGGGGGGGGAGGAGGTTCTAAAAAATACTCTGCATCGCCAGTATATCGTGTCACTGAGCACGATGAGTTGCCACGGTGGCACACACGGGGACGTGGGAATGTGAGTGGTGCGATGTATAGATGTAGCTCTGCCTGTCGTGGTGCGACTGAGTGAGGGTTGACGAGAACGAGAGCGCGGGGGAACAGGGGAGGAGGAGAGGATGGGTGGGTGGGGAAGGGACGGACATACCTTGGTGATCAGGCTGAGATCCGGCGGGTAGGCTCCGCCATTGGCAAACCGCGCAGCCTGCTCATTGGCGTACGGATTGGGGAGCTTATCCGAGGGCTTGCCCGGGCGCAGGAACATCTCGCCCTCGTCGTTAGGGCCGTCCTCCACCTCCACCTCAGCGGCGAGCGCCTTGACCTCGTCCTCCGTGTACGCTACGCCGATGAGGTCGCGGTAGGACACGAGCGACATGCTGTGGCACGTCGCGCACACCTGCTGGTACACCTGGTGCCCGCGCCGAATGCTGGCGGGGGAGGGGGGGGGAAGGGGGGGGGGGAGGGAGGGGGGGAGAGGGAGGGGGGGGGGGAGGGGGGGAGGGGGAGTGAGAGCGGGAGTGGGAGAGTGGAAAATGGCACCGGGGGTGGGGGAAAATGTGGGAAAATTGGGGCCGGAGGAGGAGGAACATGTCTCTCGCCCCCTCATCATCATTAGGCCCATCCTCCACCTCGACCTCAGCGGCGAGCGCCTTGACCTCGTCCTCCGTGTAGGCTACGCCGATGAGATCGCGGTAGGAGACCAGCGACATGCTGTGGCACGTCGCGCACACCTGCTGATACACCTGGTGCCCGCGCCGAATGCTGGCAAGGATAGGGTGGGGGAGAAATGAGATAATGTGGGTGCTAATAACGGGCATGTATAATAGTGCTCATAACAGGCGTCCTCACGATAGGCGTGGTTATGTGCGACACTCCTTACAAGGCAAGGACGTTTGGAGATGTGCTTACAGTAGGCGTGGTTATGTGCGAGACTACTCACGAGGCATGGTCGTAGGAGCTGAAGATGCCGTCGTGAGGCCACGGGTACGCAGGAGGGTGAAGTCCGTGCTCCGCCTCGTCAGCACGTGCCACGTCAGCGAGAGCCGCCACGCCCAGCACCGCGCCGCCCACTGCACCCGTGGCGCGCAGCAGCTTCCACGTCAGCGAGTCGTTGGTCGTGTTCTCATTGCCGGCTGCTGCCGCGGCGGCCACAGCCGGTGCGCTGGTGCTGAATGGCTGAAAGAACGGCGAGAGAGGTCAGGGCAACACGTTTGGGAAAAAAACGGGGAGGATATTACTTAAGATGAGCTGGATAAGGAGCTATATACGGCGGTAGGGTGAACGTAGTATCAGAGACGAGACAGAGGGCTAGGGGCGGGAGCCAAAAAGTCGATTTTCTGGTAGTCGGAGAAAGGTGGACAGGTCATCACCATAGGGTCGCACGAAACTTCCAAACTGGATCGCAATGCGCGTTGACAGTAACGAGCTTGGCGTTATAATGAACGCAGCAAGAAAAAATGAGCAAGATCAACGGCTAAGAACGATCGAGCAGTTGAAAGCGGATCTGGAGCTCAGATTGATCAGCGGGGATCCGTAGGTCGCAGAAGACGACGGGATGAACGGTTACTGGATGGATTCTTAAAACGCTTCAATGTCTGACAAACGGGCTGCTTGGTACGACTGTCTTATTGAGATGACTCAGAAGCCACGTGGCTTGTGAGCTTGTGGTGGGATCTGGGTGACAAAAACACGCAGATCCGAGCCGCGGATCCGAAACCGTGACGATCCCAATGCTGCATTTCGCGAGCTATGGAGTATAGTGGATACCAAGTGCTAATGAGTAGTAGATGTGCTCTTTCTTGCAGCGACGAGACGGAAAATACTCGCGCCGGTGTAACAAAGGACGATTAGCCGCGATGGGATCGGTACGTGTCGGCAAGCAAAATCTTCGCGCTGTTGCACGTTGTTGCGAAGTGGTTACCAAGTTACCTTGCGCGCCTTCTCGGCGATCGATCCTCCCTGGCCTCGGGCCAAGGAGCGCGCGAAAACCGCTGCTCGACCCAACATGCTGCGGTCCGAATATAACTCGCACCGCGGTGACTTGGTCGACGGAGTCGCGAGAGAGACTAGGGAGGAGGAACCCCTAAAGGTGGAAAGTACGGTGTGACTATGCTAGGGCACCACACGCCTAGGGAATAGGGTGAGGGGAAAGCAGGGAATGATAGTGGTGGAGGGGAGCGGGGAGCTTGCAATTTTTTCATAACTGGAAAGTATATCACTCTAGTCTGGAACGTCCGTGATGTTACTAAGGATAAGCTTTTGCTGCGAGAATCTGTATAACGGGTATTTTATAAACAGGTTTCCCCCTTCACATCCCAGCCGCCACGTATCCCCCATCCTGCCAGCCCCTGGGAACTACGCAGACGGGATTCGTGGAAAAAGGCAGTCCTGAAGGTGTGAACTTTTGTACGTCGGGACCGACACGCGTTGGCCCAAACTTCATCTGAACCACACTGAACCTCCTGTGACTGAGCGGCAACCGAACAGAGCTACGAGCAGACGGAGACGGTTTCAGTCAGCACATGGGGTGAAGCTGACGTTTCCAGTTTTTGCTCTCCCAAAACCAACTCCCCTCCCTGTTCTTCACCTTCCTCACTTCTGGATTCGTTCCAAGGCAAGGATTTCCTTCATTTATCTTCCCACACACGCATTTGTTCATCACTTTCGCTAGACGCATGTGTTCTTCTCGCACTTCCCGTGTGGCTCCTCTTTGATCATTTTCCTTTGTGGGATCTTCGCTCCGTTTCTCCCGACTTGACCTGCTCCCTTATCAATTTCCCGTTTTTCACGCACGTGATCGCGTTCACAGTTTGAGATCCCCTCCAAATTAGAAGCCATTATGGCTCGGCAGGCGAAGCGAGCGAAAGTGGAGCCGAGCGCGTCGGCTGGCGAAGACGAAGACTGCGTTGAGGTGGTAACTGTCGAGACTAGCTCGGCTCGCAGGCAATCCACGAGGCAGAGGCGACCGCCAGTGAAGCTAGAATACGGATTCGCGGGTTTTGAATTTTCAGGTACAAAGCGTGAGACTTTTACAGCGAAAGACAGCAATGGAGCTGGAAAGAAAGCAGTCCGGGCGACGGATCAAGAAGTAATGGAGGAGACTTTCGGGAAGAAGCAGGCGAATTTGGCGAAAACGAGAGGTGTTTCGGCAAAGTTGAAGGCGAAAAGTGAAGTTGTAACAACTTCGTCGTCATTTCGCTGGGCTAGTGACATGGTGGACGCGGATTTGAAATCCAGCGAATCAATGTCTGAAGTCGAAGAAGTAGCATCTGATTCGGACGACAGTTGGGCTGCCAGCGAACTGCAAGAGGACGAGGCGGATCAGGATCGCGTGTTTTCGAGAGTGAGGGAAGTTGATCCGTTAAATCTAAACGGCGTGGGTGAAGACAGTGATAGGTCATCTCGGGAGTATAAAGAGGTTGAGAACGGTGAGGAAAACGCGGATGGGTTTGATCTAGATCGGATGAAGCGGTGGTCAAAGGGTGTGACCACGCGAGCAGGGAAGAACAAGAGGAAGGAGGAGGAAGAAGAGGACGATGAGGAGCAAGAGGTTGCGAGTTTACCATCTGACGAGGTGGAGGAAGAAGAGGAGGAAGCTGATGAGGATGTGGCTCTGAGCACTCGAGCAAAGCGGGCGTGGAGAAACATGAAGAAACGCAGCAATGGCGATGGCAAGAAATCCCAAAAGCAGCAAAAACAGCAAGATAGGAAGCGGAAACGGGCGGCAAAGGCAGCGGCGTGGGTGCGGCCAGTGCATTTAGAGGGCGAGGAGGTGGAAGAAGAGCGAATGGCGGAGTGGGAGAGGGATCTAGCAGCGTGCAACAGACGCGAGGTGACGCCTCAGCAGCTGGTGGAGAAGAGGGAGAGGCCAAGAGAGCAGGAGCCTGCTCCGGATATTCTCATGCCGCTGCTGCCATTCCAAAAGGAGTGGCTTGCATGGAGCCTCAAGCAGGTATCAGTGATACCAAGCCTCTCTGCAGAGCTTTCCCTCAATTCTACCTTCTGTTTAATTATGTCATTGCATTTACTCTTGCTTTTGCCCATCTTTATCATATGTCGTCAGCACGTCTTGAACATGTTTCTATCATGTTTTCATCATGCCTGTATCAGGAGCAAGGCCCCATCAAGGGCGGCATCTTAGCGGACGAGATGGGCATGGGAAAGACCATCCAAGCCATCTCCCTTATAGTCACCAGCCGTCACCTACAGTCACACGCACCAGCTGTCACCCCAGTGCCGCTGCAGCCACTGCCACCACCATCAGCAGCAGCTGCAGCTGTAGCAGGAGCAGCATCAGCATCATCCACTGCCGCTGCTGCCGCTGTTCCTGCTGCCGGTACTGCTCCTGTGCCAGCCCCCACTGATGTAACCGCTACTGCTGCTGCCAGCGCACAGGCCACGGCTGGCAATCCAGGTCCATCCAGGGGAGGTGCATCTGAACCGGAGAGGCGAGCAGTGAAGGCAACGCTCGTGATCTGCCCGCTCATCGCAGTGCTGCAGTGGCGGCAGGAGATTGCTCGCTTCACTCGACCGGACAGTGTTAAGGTGGGTAGCGGGGCGGGGTTAAGTGGAGCCCTTCCTTTTCGTGAGTTTCCCTCGCTCGTACCTGACGTTCTAGCCCAAAGGAGGTGCATGATACAGAGGAGAGCAATCAGCGTGAAGGATTTAGAGGAGTATGACGTGGTTCTAATCACCTTCTCCGTTTTCCTTCCCCTATCCCCTATCACGGTCCGTTATCAGGTACTGGTGTATCACGGTCCCAGGCAAGCAATCAGTGTAAAAGATCTAGAGGAGTATGACGTGGTTCTAACCACGTTCTCCGTTTTCCTTCCCCTATCCCCTATCACGGTCCGTTATCAGGTGCTTGTGTATCACGGTCCCAAGCGAGCAATCAGCGTAAAAGATTTAGAGGAGTATGACGTGGTTCTGACCACCTTCTCCATTGTAGAGGCCGAAATGCGGGCAGCTGTGTTCCCCTCCAAGGTGCCCTGCCAGTGGTGCCAGAAAATGTTTTTTCCTGACCGGCTGGAGATCCACCAAAAGTATTTCTGCGGGCCGAATGCCAAGCGGACGGCCAAGCAGGCGAAGCAGCAGAAGAAGCTGCCGAGAAGCTTCAAGGGGGCAGGGCAAGGGGGGAAAGGGAAGGCGGGAAAAGACGGGAAGGGTGGGAAAGGTGGGAGCTTATTGAAAGGGAAGAAGGCGAAGTGGAAGGAGGAAGGTGAGAGTGACAGTGACTACGAGGAAGAAGAGGAGGAGGATGAGGACGAGGAGAGGGGCTGGAAGGGGAAAGGGAGAAATTTGGGGCGAGGAAAAGGGAAGGGAAAAGGAAAGGTTGTGGATGTGTCAGGCAAGGGCAAAGGGAAAGTTGCCGATGACAGTGATGATGATTCTGAAAATGGTGATGATGGTGATGGTGGTCGTGATAGTAATGGTGCCGGTGGCAGCAGCAGTGGTGCTGGTGCAAGCACAGCCCGGCAAGCAAATGCACCGACTCCCAGAGGGAACAAGAAGAAACCTTCAGGAAAGGCGTCACCAGCATCTGTGCTGCACTTGGTGAGATGGAGGAGAATCATCTTAGACGAAGCACACAGCATCAAGGACCGGCGCTGCAACACCGCGCGGGCTGTCTTTGGCCTCTGCTCTGACTTCAAGTGGGCTCTCAGCGGCACGCCCCTGCAGAACCGCGTGGGGGAGCTGTACTCGCTCATTCGGTTCCTGCAGATCAATCCTTACTCGTACTACTTCTGCCGACATTGCGACTGCCAGTCGCTCGACCACAAGTGAGTGGTGGAAGGGCTTATGGAGAGAACAGGCTCATTTGTAGAGTCCTTGTGCTTGCAGCATCCTGAGTTCCAGTTGCCATTTGTGCGCTGCATCCTGCTGCACACACCCGTAAGTGCGACTGATGCGACTTTTGAGTCGACTCAAAAGTTGCCTTAGTGCCCTTGTGCTTTGCAGCATCCTGACCTCTGGTTTCCGGTTCCCTGCACACAACCGCAAGTGCGACTGATGCGACTAATGCACACACCCACACACACATTCTAAGTCGACTCAAAAGTCGCCGTAGTGCCCTTGTGCTTTGCAGCATCCTGACCTCTGGTTTCCGGTTCCCTGCACACAACCGCAAGTGCGACTGATGCGTGATTCTGCTCATATCTGCAAGCCATGACTTGGTTTAATTCCCTTTTCTGGCTGCTCCTGCGGGCCTGCTCGTGCATTGATGTTGTATGTGCATGGCTGCTCGTGCATGGCTGTTGTATGCGCATGGCTGCTCGCGCATGGCTGTTTGTGCATGGCTGCTCGTGCATGGCTGTTTGTGCCTTCCCTAAAACCCTTTCGGGCAGGTTCTCTGCACACAATCGCAAGTGCGACCAGTGCGGCCACTCGCCATTGGTCCATTTCTGCTGGTGGAACAAGGTGAGGGGTTCTTCTCGGTTTTTTACCATTCGTGCGCAGATCACAAAACGCATTTCACACACGTAATCAGAAGGTGGCAGATGCCTGTGACTTTGTTGCGCATGCTCCTGTACTGAATTCCACTTGACCCAACGTCCACTTTGTGACCCTCCCAGTTCGTGGCGAACCCTATAATGAAGCATGGGTACGGGGGCGAGGGCAGGAGGGCCATGCTGCTGCTCAAGCACCGCGTGCTCGACCGTGTTCTCCTGCGCCGCACCAAGACTGAGCGGGCGGCAGATCTCACTTTGCCACCCAGAACGGTGAGTGCTGATTGCGTTTTTTTAGGCGCCTCAAAAGGCGTTCTGCTGCGCCGCACCAAGACCGAACGGGCGGAGGACCTCACTTTACCGCCCAGAACTGTGAGTACTGGCCACAAGATTATGTGAGAAACACACGTTTGTTTGTTTTTTTTCGACAAACCCATTGTTTATCGTGTTTTTTTCTCCCCCCCCCCCCTCCTCCCTCCCCCTCCTTTCTTCCCCAGTCCACGCTGCGGAGAGACAGATTCGACGCGCGGGAGGAGGATTTTTACGAGGCGCTCTACACCCAGAGCCAATCACAATTCGCCACGTCAGTCCCTACCCAACCACCCAGGTTCTGTGTTCTGTGATGTGTGCTGTTTGCTCGACCCGCATTCCTTACTTCCCATCTGTGCTTGTTCGCTGTTTGCTACGCATGGTCTTCAGAGATTTCTCAAAAGGGTAATGGGACATGGCAAGATGGGACAACGTTGTAGCGCACATTTCCCGCGTTGTCGCATCTTTCCGTGCATGGTGGTTGCAAAAGGGACTCCAAAGTGTTGCTGGGACTCTAAAGTGGTGGCCCACCATTGAACAGTGTTGCTGGGCACTCCCTGTGTGTCTCGTGGAATTTATACATAAACTTCCGTTTTTTCCAATGCTCCCTGCTGCCTGCCTCCCTGCTCCCTGCGGCCTGCCTCCCTGCTCCCGCCCTGCCTCCTGTCCCCCAGATACTCGGATACGGGCACGCTACTGAACAACTACGCGCACATATTCGATCTGCTCATCCGCCTGCGTCAGGCAGTGGACCATCCCTACCTTGACATGCCCCTATCCCCCTCGCTTGTCATCTGTGCCTCCTGCGGCTGGCTGCCCCCCCCTTTCCCCAGCTATGTGGACACAGGCACCCTTCTCAACAACTACGCGCACATATTCGATCTGCTCATCCGCCTGCGCCAAGCAGTGGACCATCCCTACCTCGTCGTGCACTCCGCCTCCCACAACACCGCTGCTGCTGTTGCTGCTGATGCTCCTCCTCCAGCTGCTGTTAACGCTGCTAATGCTGCTGCTGCTGCCTTTCCGGGCCCCCGTGCACCCCTCCCTCCCCCAGCTATGTGGACACAGGTACCCTTCTCAACAACTACGCGCACATATTCGATCTGCTCATCCGCCTGCGCCAAGCAGTGGACCATCCCTACCTCGTCGTGCACTCCGCCTCCCACAACACCGCTGCTGCTGCTGCCACCGCTGCTGCCGCTGCGACTGGTGCTGCTGCTGTGAATGCTGCTAATGCTCCTGCTGCTGCCTGCCTCCCTGTCCCCTCTGCCTCCCTCCCTACAGATACGTGGACACAGGAACCCTCCTGAACAACTACGCGCACATATTCGATCTGCTCATCCACCTGCGCCAGGCAGTCGACCATCCCTACCTTTACGTGCCCTATCCCCCTCACGTGCCGTCTGTGTCTTCTCCTCTCCCCTTGCTGCTACTTACCCTCCAGATACGTGGACACAGGAACCCTTCTCAACAACTACGCGCACATATTCGATCTGCTCATCCGCCTGCGCCAAGCAGTGGACCATCCCTACCTCGTCGTGCACTCCGCCTCCCACAACACCGCTGCTGCTGCTGCCACCGCTGCTGCCGCTGCGACTGGTGCTGCTGCTGTGAATGCTGCTAATGCTCCTGCTGCTGCCTGCCTCCCTGTCCCCTCTGCCTCCCTCCCTACAGATACGTGGACACAGGAACCCTCCTGAACAACTACGCGCACATATTCGATCTGCTCATCCGCCTGCGCCAGGCAGTCGACCATCCCTACCTTTACGTGCCCTATCCCCCTCACGTGCCGTCTGTGTCTTCTCCTCTCCCCTTGCTGCTACTTACCCTCCAGATACGTGGACACAGGAACCCTTCTCAACAACTACGCGCACATATTCGATCTGCTCATCCGCCTGCGCCAAGCAGTGGACCATCCCTACCTCGTCGTGCACTCCGCCTCCCACAACACCGCTGCTGCTGCCGCCGCTGCCACCGCTTCGACTGCTGCTGCCACTGCTGCTCCTTCAGCTGTTTCTGAGAGGACAGGACGAGGGGCGAGGGATGGGGCAGGTGAAGGAGGAGGGGGAGGGGGCGTGGGCTTTGGAGGAGAAGGGCAAAGGAAGGGGGAACGAGTGGAGGAAAGAGAGGAGGAGGCGAGTGTGTGTGGCATCTGTTGTGACTATGCAGAGGACCCCGTGGTATGTCGGTTGTTTAAGTGTTTGTTTCTCTCTATCGCACCTTGCATTCTCTACCCCGCATTAACCACCTCTCATCCACCTAACCGTGCACACGCTCATTGCATCCAGCACTTATTCTGCCATAATTGCATAACCGTCCCATTTTTGCAACAACTGTGCTTGCTTCGCCGTGTGCTTAGCCACCTTTCCTGATTGCAATGCTTTTCCCTCTCTCCCCCCCTCTCCACCCATCCCTGCCCTTTCATTCAACAGTCCTCGCGCTGCCAGCACACCTTCTGCCGTGGCTGCATCACAGATCTCATAGCAGCACACAGCAGCAGCGGCGGCGGCAGTGGCAGCAGCAATAACACCGGTGGCACCAGTGCCGGGAATGGCATAAGCAGCAGTGGCAGGGGGGTGTTGGAATGCCCTGTGTGCTCCTCCCCCCTCACTGTTGATCTCAGCTCGGCCTCTCCCCCTGAAAGCACTGCGAATGGGGAGAGAGCAGGCAGTGCAAGGGGGAAGGAGAGCGGGCCAGGGGGGGATGGTGGTGGTGTGTCCAGAGGAGGGAATGTGTGGGGCGGTGGGGATGGGGTGAAGGAGAAGGTGAGAGAGGGGGGGCGGTTGGCAGGAGGGGTGGTGCGGGCGAGAGGGAGCATTTTGAGTCGGCTGGATTTGTCGCGGTTTCAAAGCAGCACCAAGATTGAAGCACTGGTGAGGCTCTGATGTATTGTTATCTTCTTGCTCCGTTTGCTCCCCTTGCTTCCCTTGCTCCCCTTGCTCACCTTGCTGGGCTGCCCCCCCCCTCTCCCCTTCATCCTCATCTAAGGCACGGATTGTGGTTGAGATCCAGTTGTCTCTAATCATGGGGTATCGTGCGGTGTGATGTGGTTTCATGTGGTGAACAGCCACTCACTTTTTGCCGTCCCTCTGTCTTCCTTTGTGATTTGCGTGATTGCATTGGCATGGGCATCATGGCATGATGGCAGAGGGAGGAGCTGGATATGATGGTGGCGAGGGATCCAGGCGCCAAGGCACTCGTGTTCAGCCAGTTCACGTCCATGCTCGACCTCATTGCATACCGCCTGCACCAGGTGATCCTATACAAACCCTACCTTAGTGGCAGCGTCATTATCGACTCTTCCCAAATCCCCTTTATGGGTCGACTCAAAAGTCGTCCCACACACCCCCGTTTTCTGTACTTGTAACCTCCTCGCCCCTGTCATTCCTTCCTTGCTGCATGCAGGTGGGAGTGCGGTGTGTGAAGCTGGATGGAAGCATGACAATGGACGCTCGGGATCGCATCATTTCCACTTTCACTCGCGACGCGGACTGTCGGGTGAGATTTTCATTTTGCGTATGTTCCATTCTTCTGCTGTCAAGCTCGTTTGGTGCTGCTGGTAGTGTGATATTAGTATTATTAGTGAAGTATTAGTATAAGCTAGTAAGAAAAAAATGCTAAGAGTTGTGTCCAACCTTCCTCACCTTTTCATTATTGCTAGGAGTGCTGGTATTGCTCTTCCTTGTACCTGTTTTTTCCTGCCCTCCTCTTTCCTGATTTGTACGCCTTCTCGTCTCCTCTCTCCCCTCCCCCTGCCTACCATCAGGTGTTCCTCATGAGTCTCAAGGCAGGAGGGGTGGCTCTCAACCTTACAGTTGCCTCCCATGTGAGTCGCACCCTTGATTGTATCGACTGAGTAGCTTTTTTTCCTTTGTACGAACATGAAGGAACCAATAGCGAGGAATAAATGTTCAGTTAAGTCTCAAGAAAACATTTTGCCGCGCTGATGGAGGCAGGGCAATGCAAGTGCGCTGCGTTACACATGGTGCATCTGACGCTTTTCACCAGAAACATTGTTTCTGGCGCCTCAATAACATTTTTTTGTCGCCAAATCCCTCGCGATCCTTTTTCCCGCCCCCCCCCCCCCCCCCCCCCCTCTCTCCCCACATTCTCCTTTCCCCCATCTTACTCTCACGCAGGTCTTTCTGATGGGCCCCTGGTGGAACCCTGCCACGTAGCAACAAGCAACTGTTGAGGCAAATCAAATACACTGCTTTTTTCCACACCCTCGCATCTGTCCCCCTTCCCTTCTCCTCCTCCTGTATTGTACTCGCACGCAGGTCTTTCTGATGGACCCTTGGTGGAACCCTGCAGTGGAGCAGCAAGCACAGGACAGGATCCATAGGCTCGGGCAGTTCAAGCCTGTCAGGTAGGCTCGGCACTTGACAATTTCTGGAGGCAAGTACAGGGCATGTTCCTTACAACTTTGATGTGGTTGGGGTTGTTATATGCATATTCCACCATCCCATTATGAATTCGTTGCCTACTAAAACTTCACCACCCCAACCCCATTTGTCCTTTCCTCGACGCTGTCCCCTGTACAGGGTGACTCGTTTCGTGATAGCAGGCACTATAGAGGAGCGCATCATAAAGCTGCAAGAGAAGAAGCAGCTGGTGTTTGACGGGTAAGTTGATTGCCACACCGTAGTCAGATTCACCATGTCCTGTGGGGGGGTCTGTCTCGAGCCATTTTCTTTTTCATCTGCATTTCTCTTCCCGAACCTTGCTACGCCTGGATCCTCTCTGCCCCTCGATCACCACTCCCGTCCCTGTGCTCCCTCCCTGTTCTCCTCTCCTTGTTCTTCTGGTGCAGCACGGTGGGAGGATCATCAGAGGCATTGGGGCGGCTGACAGAGGACGATCTGCGCTTCCTCTTCACCAACTGAGTTGACTTTCAAGTCAACTCACAAGTCAACCAGGAATCCTTTCCATCACTGTGGGAGGATCATCAGAGGCGTTGGGGCGGCTGCCAGAGGATGATTTGCGCCGCCTCTTCACCAACTGATGCCTTTCTCTTCCCCATTCGGGCATCGGGACAATCTGTACAGGGGCTTCGAGCAATAAATAGTGGTACAATACCGTCAAGCTCGATTCCTTACAACCGAGTTTCCAAGGCTATTAGGAGTTACGGGTGTGAGCTTACTGGTTTTGAGCCTTCCCTATGCCATCATCTACAACTTCTATGGACTGCTGGCATTACTGCATGCCTTCCAACATGCCTGCCTGATATGAATGGTGCCCAAATGGAGCTCCCTTGCCATGTCAGTGAACAACAATTTAAGCGGCACAATACCTGTGCAAGGCTGCCTCACATGTTGTCATGTCACAATGAGCAACAAAATACACAGTGAAGAAGCTCTGGGAGCTTTTTTTCAATTCTCCTTGACAGAGGACATACAGTTGTTGAATCTGACACTGTATTGGAACACACACAATCACATGTTTTGCCAATCTGCCCACCAAATAAAACACATAAACACCACATAAAACACCATAAAATTGACCATGCTTCCTTGCACTGACTATTGTTTCGATCCATGGGGAGCAAGAGGCTTGGCTGAAAGGATAATGCCGTCATTATCAGCGTAGCACCAGTCACCTGGGTACACCATAACCCCCTGAACTTTCACCGGGACGTTCCTCTCCCCTTGCCCCTTTTTGACGCTTTTCACAGGACACGTGGCGAGCCCTCGCACGTCCACGTTGCACCCGCGAATCTCGTCCACGTCACGCACGCACCCGCTGACAAAAACTCCCGCCCAGCCGTTCTTAGCCGCCTCGACCGCCAGATTGCCGCCCAGTAACGCGCAGCGCCGGCTTCCTCCACCGTCGATTATTAAGATCTGCGACTCGCCGGGCTGTTCGACCTCGGAGCGCACTAATGTGTTGTCTTCGAAGAGCTTTAAGGTGACGACTCGGCCGCTTGACGCGGTTCGGCCGCCGTAAGAAACGAGGCCGGGTTCTAGAACGCGGATGTCGCCTCGCATGACGGAGTCGTGATTATCGTCGCACAGGTCGCACGTGGCTAAACTCATTGTCGCAGAGCGAGGAGGCGAAGCGCAACGCGAGAAACAAGAATTGAGGGTGAGTAACTTGGTAACCACGCCGCGTCTATAGACGACTCAGGCGAGAGGCAGAGGGGGTCGCAAGAGCTGACGTCGCCTCAAGCCAAGCGCGAAGACGAGAGCACACTAGCACTCAACACGACGAATGCGTAGTGTTACTACCGCAATTCGCGGTATATGTACAGCCGCGGTGACTGGACGTCAGGACGAAGAAGAGTTTCCTTGCACTCAGCTGATGTGCCTCGTAGAATGTGAAATACTGTGACAGTTGCTTACCGTGATTGGGATGGGCCCCATTTGTTGCTTGAAAGATGAGGACGGAATAGGAAGGGATTAAAAACTTTCCAGTAAGGTTAAGTGTGGTATATTCAGCAACCTGGTTGCAGAAAGTTTTGGGCAGGACGATGTGATATGAAGGGTGATTGGGGTGGTGTGGGTTGGGATGCGATGCGATGGGACCAGCTGGACTCTTTCTACCCCAATGAGGTGGAGTGAGTCAGCGCTGAGTCGACTGTCGGTGGTCCCCCACTGCCGGGAAATCCTTGCTATTAAGTTCACCGTTACATTACTGCATTTGCGTAGGTGTAGGCAAATTCCCCTGAGCTCGTTGTGTTCAGAAAGTACGTATGCACCCGATCGGCTTGCACTAGCATTTGAGCTGACCAATCAGACCCTCACATCCTGACAGTTGGCGTAAAACCCCCTTCTTTCCCCTCCCTACGAGGAAGCAAGCTTTGAATATTAGCGGGACTGATTGCGGGAAGTACACGCCAAGTATTTCCAGAAACTAACGACGCGACGCGACGGTCGATTGAAGTCAACATGTGGTAGCTTTTTACGGGCTCGCACAAACCGAGCTCTTAGGGCCTGAGGCGAGCAGCCGCAGCGTTGACACCATCCTAAGTGAACGTCCGCCCAGATTCAAGGACGAATACTGTCAGGTTCTAATTAGCCCCGCGCGTTTCTCACTTGCTCGCCGTAGCATTCTTAGCGTCCTTGCCTCGTCCGTCCGAGTAGAACAATATGGCGACTTCGATGAGTCACTCTGAGATGAGTAATCTAGATGTGGACTGTCTCGCGACTATCTTCTCGTTTCTAACTCCCGCGCAGATTTGCCGCATGGCTCACGTGTCTCGCACGTGGGCGGCAGCAGCGGCGTCTGACGTCAGCTGGGGCCGTCTCCTCCCCCCTCTTTGCGGCTCGACCTGCTTTCAAAAGGCCCTCGAGGCGCATCGCGTTGCGATGTGCACGGGCGTATGCCACCTGACGTCACCCTCTTGTGATGATGACGGCAGCAGCTCCGCCAGTAACGAAACTAGCAACAGCAATGATGACGTCACTAGAAGCAGTTTCATCCGCAGCAGTAGCGGCAGCAGCGGTGCCGGCAGCAGCAGTTGCAGCAGCGAGGGATGTAGGTGCCACGTCAGCACCATTACGCAGAGGTGGGTGTGCCAGAAGCTCTGCCAAGGCGTCTACGTGGACGACGGCCGTTTCCACGTCAGCATGGACCCATATACTGCTACAGTCACAACCTGTGTGAATGTAGCGAAGGTGCTTGAAGTGGTGGGGATGAGATCAAACGGAAATGAAAATAATGATGATGATAATGATGATACTGAATGGTTTCTTGAGACGGGTCATGCGGCACCTAATAACGGAAACCTTCCCTACAACGAGGGGCAGGGGTCGCGTCACAGGCAGCAGAACCGCCGAAATAGGCGGAACCGGGACAGGAGAAGACAGCAGCCTAACAGAGACGGGGAGGCCGAGGCTACAAGAAACAACCCTGTTGGGGAATCTTCTCATCAAGTTGATGGTTCAAACCCTAAGCTGGGGGAAGCTGGTATTCCGGGAGCGATCTTCCCCACGTCCGTCCCCCATCTGATCTCCGCCAACCGGTTTCTAATCAGGGGCGACATTGAACTCCCCTTCCCCCTTCGGCCTGGCGCCTACGAGGCGGAGTGGCGCATTGCGCGCGACCCCGCGGAGGGGGAGCGGAGGGAGGCGGAGGAGCGGCTGCTGCGAGAAGCGGAGTGGGCAGAGGGCGCGGAGGAGGAGGCTTGGCGGGACTTGGGGTTGGTGGCGGCCAGCGGGGACGTCGTGTGCGGAAAAGGGAGGGGAAAGGGTAAGGGGCGGAAAGGAAGGAAAACGGGTAAACCCGCGGATTTGGGGGACGCTCTGCGCGCCATCAGGGGAATTGGGCGGAGGGGGGCAAGCGCGCAAAGTACAGGCGGCAGGGCATTGGGAATTGGGGCATCAAATAAGGGCGCGGAATTTGATTTAGGGACAACGAGTGGTGGTGTAGTTAAGGACGAGCTTGAGGAGGAGCTGAATGACGTGGCAGCGAAGCTGGCGTTTTGGCGAAGCACTCAACAGCGAAGCGTATTCAAGTGCTGGGAGGAGTGGCCGCTTACGAGCGGGGCGCAGGTGGTAATCGGGGGAGCGGAGGAGCGGAGGGAGAACGAGAGGGTGGGGGAAGTTGGTGAGGAGGAAGAGGAGGATGAGGAAACGATAAGGGAGAGAGAGCTGGAATGGGAAGAGCACTACGGGAATTCTGTGGAGAAGCGGAATTTTGTGATGTGGAAGGATACGCTTTCTACACTACCGAACTGGACACATCTCGAAGCGGGTGTTATGCTTATAAAGGGGGACTTTCAAAAGGACGATGCTGTGGATGCGCGATTGCGGATGCGGCTTTGGGAGACGGAGAGCGGACGCGATATGAGCGGAATATTTGTGGATTGCCTTGTTCTCAGAGAGACAGGTTTACCTTGCGAGTGCTTATGGTAGTTTCACAAAACCACATAACGTGAAGCACTAAGGCCATGTTTAGATACGTTTCTTACTAATGAAAAACTACATCAACCGATAAACACTACCACTATTCCAAGTGTTGAAAAACGCTCTAAGAAGGAAGCTCCTCCTCCGTAGCCTCAAAAGAGGAAGGCAATTGCTCCTCAGTGGCCCCGGCACTCCTCCCTCCCATCTCCCTCCCATCTTCCCCCAATTCATTTCCTTGGGTGATCCCTTGCGTCTCGTTTTGGGTCGTCTCGTCTTGAGTCGTCTCATCTTGAGTCGCATCTTGGGTGTTCCCTTCCACTTGCGTTTCATCCTGAGTTGCATCAGGAGTACTTTCTTCCACTGTGCCTTGTGTAGCATTGTCCTCTTCTTCCCCTATTGCCTCCCCTCCTTGCTCACCACCTTCCAACGCCCTACCCCCTACTCCGACTGCTACAGCACCAGCTCGCTCCTCCAACCTATCGCCACCCCTCTCTTCTCTCCTCTTCATTCTCCTCTCCTCTCCCACCCCGTCCACCACCGAACCTCTCCTCTTCTTCCTCACATACTTCCTCTCGCCTCCCATTGGCTCAGCCTCCAACACGCCCCCTCCCACTGGCTGACTCAACCCTGGCTCTGAACCATCCTCCCTCCCCTCCGCTGTCCCTTCCTCCCCAACCTCCCCTTCCTCTTCTCCCCCTGACTCATCCTCCCCTCCCTCTCCATCACCTTCCTGCCTGGCAACTCCTTCTTCCTCCTCATCCAGCCCACCAGCAGCATCTGCACCAACAGCACCAGCAGTAGTAGCAGCAGCAGCAGTGGAGAAGGAGCATTTCTTGCGCTTGACAGCCGATTCACTCTCATCCACACCACCACCACGACGAGTCCGTCTCCTGCCTTCCCCGCTCCCTCCCACCCCCCCTCTCCCTTCCTCGCCCCCCTCAATGTGAATGTCTCCGTCTGCTTCTGCTTCACCTCCTGCCTCATCTGACACAGCACCTGAAGCATTACCTGCAGCACCATGTGCTGCCCTACCTGTCGGTCCATCTGCCGCCTTTTCCTTGGCTGCAGCTGGTGCTGGTGCAGGTGGCGGTGCTGTTGCTGCTCTCTCTTTCAGAACAGACGTGAAGGCCACCAAGGGCTCAGATGATGCCACGTCATCAGCAACATCTTCATCCACGGCTGACACCCTCTCCTCTACCGCGTTTAGACTGACCAGGGAAAAGGGAGAGGGGAGGAGGGAGCAAGGGGAGGAAGGAGCAAGAACCAAATCAGTCAATACATGAAGCAAGGAGGCATTAAAAAGCTGGAATAAAGACCAACACCGAAACCATCTTACACCACATCAAACCACACAACAATGTAGCATTCGCCATACACAGTGCCACATGCTGACGAACAACACTCACATGCTTCGAGCATCGTTTCCAGGAAGCTTCACAGCAAACGGTCGAAGCGCGCACTCAAGGAACGCCAGCCTGTCGGGCAGCGACTCGAACGCGAATGCCACCCCTTCCTGCACTAGCTGCCGAATCGCCGCCCGCTGCTCGGCCAATCGCTGCGCAGAGAACTGCGGGGCGGCTGCTGCAGCTGCCAGCCGGACTGCCAGGCTGGCACAGCGTGACACAGAAGCTGGGCTTGGCGAATGAGATGGTGACACGTCATCCTCTGTGTGCGAGTGGTTGGAGATGAGTGGTAGAGTGGGAATGAAGGTCTGATGTTGGGGGGGGGGGGGAGGGAGATGGAGGAGAGGGGAGGAGAGAACAGGAGAGGGAAGCCAAGGAAATGATTAGGAAAGTAAATCAGAAACTTCACTTTGAAGCAACTAGTACTACACACGCACATCCAAGCAACTTTTGAGGCACCTCAAAAGTTATCTGGTACGGCACACGTACATCCAAGCACCGCCCACTCACCATTTTGAGCGCCTGAAGGAAAATCCGCCACAGCTCAAACTTCCCTCCCTCGCTTGCCGCCCGCTTCTTCCTCTGCTGCAGATGAGACAAAAACAGCCGTGCCACCCCATCCTCCCTCTCCTCATCCTCCCTATCCTCCTCATCACCACCATCATCCATCTTCTCGCCCCTCCCCACCACCACAAGCCGTGACAGCACAGCAGGAGCGAGCAACTCAGGGTCCACAGCACCGCACAGCACCAGCTTGGCTGCTGCTGCAACCACTCTCTCTTCCCCTCTTTCTGACACCCTCTCATGCTGCCTCTTCTGCGTGCTCTCTCCCCTCTCTGCAGAGCAAGTGGGAAGCAGACGACTGCATGCCGCCCAGTAGGCGTTGACGTTTTCAGGTGTGACTGTAACGGAGAGTGGGTGAAGGAGAGAGTGGGCGAGCTTATAAGGAGAGAAGAGCACCCATAGGTCAGATATGTGCTCTAAGACCTCTATTGCCAACTGCTGCTGCTGCCGCCGCCGCTGCTGCTGCTCTCTCTGACCTTCCCTTTCCACTCCACTGCCTCCTCCCTCTTCCTCCTCTGATTGCTCATCGCCCTGCTCCTGCCCTCCTTCGTTCACTGCTATCCCTCCGTTCGCCCCCGCTTCCATGAGCCTCATTAGCACACCCATCAGCCGCCCCTGCCTCTCCCTCACCTCCTCCTCTTGCTCCCCCACCCCGTCACTCACGCCACCGGCACTCTGCCCTCTTTCCTCCCCTGACTCCCCATCAGCCTCAGCACCAGCTGCTTCCCTCCCTGCCGCATCTGCCCCATGGCCTGCCGTTCCCTTCCTGCCCACTGCAGCGACGAGTTCCTTGAAGCCCCACAGCAGCAGCAGCACCAGCGAGCGGAGCACGGGCGATGCCAGCTGGACATGGCAAGGGAGGAGACAAGGCAAGGGGGGATACAAGGCAAAGGGGAAGACAGAGCAAAGGGAGACAAGGCGAATTAAGAAGGACACAAGAGTCAGTGGGACAGGGCAAGGGGAGCACAAGCAACAGGGGAGCAGGGGGACAGGGGAAGATGGCTGCACAGGGCAAAGCCGGATAAGAGGAATGGATGATGATGATGACTCTCCGCATTGGGATGAATCCGTTGTGGAACGGGAGAAGACGGAGAAGTGTGGGGAGGAGCGTGCATGCCGAAACGTTTGCTCACCTGAGGGTGTTTGTAAGGAGGGAAACGGTCCAGCAACCGGAGGAGCAGAGCAAACAAGTCACCATTCCCAGCAGCAGCAGCAGGAGTGGCAGCAGCAGAATCAGTGCCACCAGCGGCAGCAGCAGGCGCGGGGAGGAAGGGCGTGGGGTCGGCCTGCAGGAGGAAGACAGCGAGGCGTGTAGCAGCCACTGATAGAGAAAAGGTGTCCACGTCAGCTGCTGGGGCGCCTGACGTGGCCTGGGGTGGGCGGAGGGGAATGGCAGCGAGAGGTGATGAGAGTGCATGAAAGGAATCGGGTGCATCAAAGTCTCCAACTCACCTCGAGAGTGGTGAGAGCACCGTGTGCATCCTCTTTCAGTCGCCCCACCACCGAACTCTGCACAACATCCCTCACTACCTGTATGAAGTTATGTTTTGAGACGTCTCAAACCATTACCTTCGTTACCTCCACCGCTTGCTTTCTCATGTCCCCCTGGGCGCCCCTTATGCACCGCAACTCACATCTCCGTGTTCCTCATGGAAATCACATGGAGAGGACAGTGTGCCTTCTCTCTCGATCGCCCCACCATCACACACCGCATGTCACCCCTTACAATCTCCTCCACCTGCTCCCCAATTCAATCGCCCCACCACCACACTGTGCACGGCATCCCTCACTACCTCCTCTGCTTGTTCCCGCATGTCCCCCTGGGCACGCCACATGCACCGCAGCAGCACATAGTGCGCGAACCTTGGAACTTACATTCAGAGCGCTGTGTGCCTCCTCTTTCAACTTCCCCACCACCACACTGCGCACGGCGCCCCTCACTACCTCCTCCGCCTGCTCGCGCATGTCCCCCTGGGCGCGCCACATGCACCGCAACTGCGTGACTCATGGAACTCGCATCTGTCTGTGCCTCAAAAACGTACATTGAGAGCGCTATGTGCTTCCTCCTTCAACTTCCCCACCACCACACTGCGCACGGCGCCCCTCACTGCCTCCTCTGCCTGCTCCCGCATGTCTCCCTGGGCTCGCCACATGCACCGCAGCAGCACACGTGTCGCTGCCGCCATCACCGCCGTGCTGACGTGGCGTGCCAGGCTGTCACGCGCCACTGAGAGGATCGCGAGAAGGGGCTGGCGGATGGGGGAGAGTGAGAGAGAAACGGAAATCGGGCTTCAAAATAACGTGTGGATGGGGGAGGGAAAGCCAAGAGGGGCTGGTGAATGGGGGAGGGAAAGCCAACACAGGAGGAGGAGGTGAGAGAAACGAAAAATGGAACCTAGAAAACACGTTTCCTTTCGGACTGCATGACATGTGTGTGTGTGTGTGTGTGTGTGTGTGTGTGTGTGTGTGTGTGTGTCCATACGTCGCGATACAGCCATATGCGTCCAGATGCGCATCTGTTCAGTGTGGGTGGAGCAGCAGCAGATGCGCAGCAGGCACTCTGCTGCTCCGCCCACATTGAACAACTCGCTACCAACATAGACGCGAGTGTAGCTCGCAATCGGCAGCCAGCTATGCCCACAGCCTCCCCCCCCCCCTCACCTCCTGTTGCTGCCTGTGTGCCAGCGCCCCCACGTCCAAACACTCCGCTGCCCCACTCCCACCATACAACTCAACCTGCTACCAAACGCCATCAACACCCCACTCACCTCCTTCCCCCCCCCCTCACCTCCTGTTGCTGCCTGTGTGCCAGCGCCCCCACGTCCAGACACTCTGCCGCCTCCAGCAGCCGCAGCAGCACACGCTCGTCCGCCACGTGGCGCCTCATCATTGGTGGAAGCACCTTCACCAGCAACCCCGTCATCTCCACCACTGCTGCTGCCTGCCGCTCCTGGTAAGTCCACAGGGAGAAGGGCGAGGGGGAGGAGAGAGGAGGTGGGCGCATATGACGTATATGACCAGTTGGGGAGAAGAGGGAAGCACGCATGGTTGCCTCGAGCACTAATGGATACTGCAACGGCCACCTTGCTTTTCACAACGCCAACAGTAGACAATCTCTCTCTCTCTTCAAGCAACCCCGCAGCCTTGAGAGCAGAGAAAGGGGGCGAAGCCGAGGACGAGATAGGTTGTAGGTGCATCACAACGGCTCACCTTTTTGGCCTTGGACACTGCAGCGGGCGCCTTTCTCTTCACATCCGCTGCACTCCTCGGCACAATCGGCAATCCCAGGGTCTTGCGAGCAGCGAGGGAGAGGAGAAGAGAGGAACGGAAGAGTGGAAGGATGGAGGAAAGAGAGGGTATGGGTGCGTCATCAACTCACCTTCTTGGCCTTGGACACTGCAGCGGGCGTCTTTCTCTTCACATCCGCTGCACTCCTCGGCACAATCGGCAGCGGTCTTGAGAGAGGCAAGAGAGAGGAGAAGGGCGAAGAGAGGGGGAGGAGGAAAGAGAGGGTATGGGTGCGTCATCAACTCACCTTCTTGGCCTTGGACACTGCAGCGGGCGTCTTTCTCTTCACATCCGCTGCACTCCTCGGCACAATCGGCAGCGGTCTTGAGAGAGGCAAGAGAGAGGAGAAGGGCGAAGAGAGGGGGAGGAGGAAAGAGAGGGTATGGGTGCGTCATCAACTCACCTTCTTGGCCTTGGACACTGCAGCGGGCGTCTTTCTCTTCACATCCGCTGCACTCCTCGGCACAATCGGCAGCGGTCTTGAGAGAGGCAAGAGAGAGGAGAAGGGCGAAGAGAGGGGGAGGAGGAAAGAGAGGGTATGGGTGCGTCATCAACTCACCTTCTTGGCCTTGGACACTGCAGCGGGCGTCTTTCTCTTCACATCCGCTGCACTCCTCGGCACAATCGGCAGCGGTCTTGAGAGAGGCAAGAGAGAGGAGAAGGGCGAAGAGAGGGGGAGGAGGAAAGAGAGGGTATGGGTGCGTGAACCAACTCACCTTCTTGGCCTTGGACACTGCAGCGGGCGCCTTTCTCTTCACATCCGCGCCACTCCTCGGCACAATCGGCAGCCCCATGGCCTTGCGAGCAGCGAGGGAGAGGAGGAGGGCGAGTGTGGGTGTGTCGGCTTCGGGAGGAGGAGGCGAGGAGGGGAAAGAGGGCGTGGAGGAGGAGGGGGGAGTGGGGGAGAGCGGCTGGGAAGAGGGGGTGAGAGGCGTGGCTTGAGTGTCGGACTGCAATAGCAGCTGCCCCATTGCCTTGAAGTCCTGAGGGAGGGATGGAAGAAGATGGAAGAGGGCGAAAGAAGGGGATGTGTGAGGCGAATATGAGAAGGAAGCTGTGAGAAGGAAGAGGGATTCTGGTCATCGTGGGTGGCAGTCCGGGCTAAAAGTGCACATTTTGCGAGCCACTGCATTACAGGTACTCACCTCGCTGTGGTGCATGAATACAAATGACCATTCCGGAGAGAGGGATATGAGGACTGCAAGGACTCACCACCAAGGCAGGTACTCGCTCCCACAGCGCATCCACCACGTACCCAGCCTGCACGGCATCCCCACACACCTGCAGCATGCAAAGCATTCGAATGCAGCGAGCTCACCGTTAATGCAGGCACTCGCTCCCACAGAGCGTCCACCACGTACCCAGCCTGCACCGCATCCCCACACGCCTGCACGCTGCAGCACTCCCAAATAGTGACCCCAAACTGTACCCAAGCATTAGAGAGTACATAGCTCACTCACCATCAGTGCAGGCACTCGCTCCCACAGAGCATCCACCACGTACCCAGCCTGCACCGCATCCCCACACGCCTGCAGCATCCGCACCACCACCACCACCTGCCTCCCTGCCCCCGCCTCCCCCTCCCCTCCCTGACCCCCCTTCCCTCCCTTCTCATCCGCCCTCTTGCCTTCCCCCTGGCGCTTTCCTTTGCGTGCTTCTGCTGCAGCAGCAGCAGCAGCAGCAGAGGGAGTGGCGGGAGGGGGGGAGGAGGCGAGGAGGAGGAGGAAGAGGGCGTGGCAGGCGGCGAGTCTGAGCGGAAGGCAGTCGTCTGTGAGGCGATCGGAGAGGAGAGCTGTGGCGCTGTTGTGTGGGAGGGTGTCGTTGCTGCAGCACACAAACAGGGGAGAAAGAATGGGGGACCGGAGAGAAGACTGGGAAAATGAGGAGAGTCTGAGCGGCAGGCAGTCGTCTGTGAGGCGATCGGAGAGGAGAGCTGTGGCGCTGTTGTGTTTCAGGGTGTCGTTGCTGGGGGAGGGAAGGAGGGATAGCCAAAAAAATAAATGGGGGAGCGGGGAAGGGTGAGTTGGGAGATGCAGGCATGGCAAGAGGGCATAGCAGGCGGCGAGTCTGAGTGGCTGACAGTCGTCTGTGAGGCGATCAGAGAGGAGAGCTGTGGCGCTGTCGTGTGGGAGTGTGTCGTTGCTGGGTGGGAACAACAGGGGAGAAGGACAGGCAATTGGGGGGAAGAGGAAGACAAGGGAAGATGAGGGCAGGGGGTGAGTCTGAGCGACAGGCCGTCGTCTGTGAGGCGATCGGAGAAAAGAGCTGTGGCGTAGGTGTGTGGAAGGGTGTCATTGCTGGGAGGGAACAACAGGGGAAATGGACGGGGGAGAAAAGGAGGGTGGGAGGGGGGGGGGAGGAGGAAGTTGGGGAGATGAGGGAGGCATGAGGGTGAAAGGAGAGAGGAAGAGGGCGTGACAGGAGGGTGACAGGAGGGGGAGTGTGACTAATGTGGTGCATAGCACATGGCATACCTGCTCACATGGATCAGGCCTGGCATACATGTGCATAGCACATGGCATATGTATGCACGTAAGCATCCACAGCGACCTACCTGGCAAGAAGCTGGACCAACGAGACAGCAGCCACTGCCACGTCAGCATCCACGTCATCCACCATCTGCTGCACACGTGGCACGAAGCGCTCCGAAAAGACGCCAAGCGCCGGGAGATTGTCCTCGTTGGCGTACAGCGATTGGAGCGCTGACAGCGCCGTGAGGCGCACAGATGCCACCTGGCAGAAAGAGATCGGAATCAATTATCAAACAGAAGTCAATGACTAATGACGTACTAAGACTATGCAGGGTTTAAACAACCTACTGCAGCAGGTTGAGGTAGACAACCTACTGCAGCACAGCGCGCACCTTGCCCACTTTGCCCAGCACCCACTGCCCACCTTGTCATTGAGCGAGAAGCCGAGGTACTTGAGATAGAGGTCATCCAGGAGGAGTGAGGGGTGTGAGCGGGCCTTGTGAAAACCCCTTGTGACCCTCACACTCACTGCCCAGTGCCCACCATCTAGGCTCTCACCTTGTCGTTGAGCGAGAAGCCGAGGTACTTGAGGTAAACATCATCCAGGAAGAGCGAGGGGTAGCGGCATGGCCGGGGTTGTGAGTAGACGAACAACATACAGCAGTCCTATAACCTTGCCCTGTGCACAGGCTCTCACCTTGTCATTAAGTGAGAAGCCCAGGTACTTGAGATACACATCATCCAGGAAGAGCGACGGGTAGCGAGTCACCCACTGGCCCAGCGCCGCCACGCACGCTGCTCTGATGGCTGGGTCCACGTCGCGATGGCGGTGCGTTATTATGCTGGAGTCGAGGGTGGGAAGGGCAAGGGGTGATGCAGAAGGGAGGGAGGTGCAAAGGGGATGTGTGGGAAGAGAGAGGAGCAGTGTGTCACCTACTGCCCCAGCGCCGCCACACACGCTGCTCTGATGGCCGGGTCCACATCGCGATGGCGGTGCGTTATTATGCTGGGGGGGGGGAGGATGCGATGCAAGGGGGGAAAGTGGGGGTAGGAAGGGATGCAAAAAGGAAGGGGTGGGAGAGTGCTGCCACGCATGCTGCTCTGATGGCCGGATCCACGTCGCGATGGCGGTGCGTTATGATGCTGGACGACACGAGGGGGGGTTACAGAGGGTAGGCAGAAGAACCGAGGGTGGGTCTATGACTCTACCAATGCTGCCACTTTCACCCTCACCCCTGTAGCCACTCTGTACCATTTATCACCCACAAATCACTCACCCTGTGAACCCTCGTCGCATCACCCCTTCAAGCATCGCCACCTGCCCATGAATCGCGTCCACCTTCGCTTGCAGCTCCACCGCTGCCCGACTGCTCGCCCCTCCCCTTCCGCCTCCCCCACCCGCCCCCTCAGACCCATCCCCCTCCCCCTCCCCCTCCCCCGCAACTTCTCCCCCCTCCGCTCCCCCTCTTTCCCCCCCTATTTCCCCCCCCCCACCCGTTGACGCCCTTCTCTTGCTCCTCCTCACTCCTGCTCGTCCGCTTTCTGCCGCTCCCCTTGCCCGCTGCTGCTCCTGCTCTTCTGACCGTCGGATCGCGGCCTGCAGCTGCCTCTGGGCCGTGGATTGCGAGTCAGAGAGCACGGAAGCGACGGTGATGATGGAGGAAATCAGCTGCAGAGCTACAAGTGTTGCCACGTGGCGGAATATGCGGGGCGATGAGCTGGGGAGAGGGGAGAAGTGGGGAGGAGAGTAGGGGGAGTGCAAAAGGGGGATGGTAGGGAGATGGGCTGCAACACCACAAGTGTTGCCACGTGGCGGAATATGCGGGGGGAAGAGCTGGGGGGGGAGGGACGGGGGAGAAGACGGTTTTAATTCAGCACTTTCTTTCACACGACAAACCATGTGGGAGAAGGACTCGAGGAAAGGAGGAGGGGTGGGCAGGGGGAGGGGTGGGCAGGGGGAATGCGGACACAAAACGCACAAAGAACACGTGACAGAAGAATTGGACGTACGGGAAAGGGAATAAAAGGACGTACGAGGAGAGGGCAACGAGGTAGTCAAGGAGGGTGGGCAGCAGCTGCGAGTCAAAGAGAGCGCCCTCTCGCCCCCCCGCCACCACCAGCGCATCCCAGAACCGCAGCAGCGACGTGCGGAACGACACCCCATCACCACCACCACCTTTGCCACTTCCGCCCTTTCCGCTGCCGCCCTTGCTGCCCTTGCCGTCCCTGCCGTCGTTGGCAGTGGGGTGGTGGTGGCTGTGGTGCGGTGGAGTGCGGTGCAGATGGTCGAGCAGGGGGACTTGGCGGGCGGAGTCGACAAGAGTTTGCACCACATCGTCCACCCCCACGCCCTCGGACATGATGGCATCGTCTCCCATCACCACCTGCACTCCACACGCCTGGTAGGGTTGTGGGTGGGAGGAGAGAGAAAGAGATATACACACACACGGCCCGAGGGTCCGCACGACGTCATCCACCCCCACTCCCTCTGACATGATGGCATCATCTCCCATCACCACCTGCACTCCACATGCCTGGTAGGGACGCGGGTGGGTGGGATGACACACAGACATATGTGTGATGGCGGCTGCCAAGCAGCAGCACATGAGGCGCAGCGAAATCAGAACCAGGAGTGTGCATCAATCAAGCGGGACATTGCTGCCGTATGACTGTGCCGAGCAGGTTTGAGAATTCTGAAAAGTGATTTCCACGCAGCGAAATCAGAACCAGATTGTGCATCAATCAAGTGGGACATTATTGCCGTGTGACTGTGCCGAGCAGTTCACCTGAAAGAGCAGCTTGAGCAGCTGGGCCGTGGCATGGGTGCGGTTGACCTCATACCCTTCCACCCAGTGCATCTTAAGGAGAAAAGCAACAGGAAGCTTGCCCTCAATGAAAAGGGTTCTTAGGGCTTACCTGAAAGAGCAGTTTGAGCAGCTGAGCCGTGGCATGGGTGCGGTTGAACTCATACCCCTCCATCCACCTAAACGCTGCTTCCTCCACGTCCTCTGCATTGCCTGCCTGGACTATGTCTGTGCAGGGGGGACAAGACAACGAGGGACAAGAGATGTCTGTGCAGGGTGGACGCAGCAACAAGGGACAAGAGCAATGAGCTCTTTGAGGAATCGGAGAAAATGGAAAGAAGACCGTCACTCCAAAGAGCCGGTGTTAGCAAAGTGGAGAAGGTGTTACCAAAGAGCAGTCACTCCCAGCCGTCACTCCCAGCCGTCTCTCCCAGCCGTCTCTCCCAGCCGTCTCTCCCAGCCGTCACTCCCAGCCGTCTCTCCCAGCCGTCTCTCCCAGCCGTCTCTCCCAGCCGTCACTCCCAGCCGTCTCTCCCAGCCGTCTCTCCCAGCCGTCACTCCCCAGCCGTCTCTCCCAGCCGTCTCTCCCAGCCGTCACTCCCAGCCGTCTCTCCCAGCCGTCTCTCCCAGCCGTCACTCCCAGCCGTCTCTCCCAGCCATCTCTCCCAGCCGTCTCTCCCAGCCGTCTCTCCCAGCCGTCTCTCCCAGCCGTCTCTCCCAGGCCAGGCCCACCAACTCACAGAACGTGCATCCCCCCATTCCAACAACCTACCAAACAGGCTTCGTTCACCAGCAGTGAGTTGACCATCACCCATTGGCACCTCCGCCCCTGCATGTTGCCTCTGCTTCCCTGCTCCCTTCCGCTGCCCCTCCTCCCGCACTCCCCCTACAACCCTCTCCCTCTCCTTCCTCCACGTGCTCCCTACCATCCGCCTCCGCCTCTCTCTCCTCTTCCACCTCCACCCCCTTCCCTTTCCTCCTCTTCTCCGCTTTCCTCGCCTTGGGTACAGCAACGGTGGGTCTGCCTTCTATAATGAAAGCCCCAGCAGCAGCGGCAGCAGCAGCAGCAGTGGACCGAGCCTGGCCGCGAGGCTTGGCAGGAGCCTTGAGCGCTGCCTTGGGAGGTTTGGGAGCAGGCTTGGGACGAGGTGCGGCGACAGGTTGCTGCTTATTCTTGACTTCCCCCCCCTCTGCACGAGGCTTCTTGGCCTTCTGTGAACTGGGCACATACTCCTCCTCTTCCTCCTCACTCTCCTCCTCACTCTCCTCCTCCTCCTCACTCTCCTCATCTGAGCCATTTTCATCCACACTATCATCTTCCTCCTCTTCATCTTCTCCCTCCTCTACCTCCGCTTCTGCTCGCCCCTTCTCCCCTTTCTCCTCCCCTTCCTCCTCCCCTCCCTCCACTTCACCGTCGCCCACAACCTCCCCTTCTTCCACCTCCATTCCTTCTCCACCCTCCTCCTCCTCCGCATCCTCCTCCTCCTCCGCACCCTCCTCCTCCTCCGCACCCTCCTCCTCCTCCGCACCCTCCTCCTCCTCCACACCCTCCTCTTCCTCTTGCTCTTCCTCCCTCCCCCTGCCCTTCTTCCCTCCCTTTCCCCTCCCTCTCCCGCCATCCCCCTTTCCTCTAGCCACACTCTCCTCCTCTCCCGCTCCTTCTTTCCTCCCTTCTCCCTCTCCACAACCCCACCCTTCTCGCCCTTCCCTCTCAACAGACTCACCCTTCTCTCACTCACCTTCACGCCTCCCTTCGTGCCTCCTTTCATACCTCCCTTCGCGCCCCTCCTCTCCCTCTCAGCCATACCTCCCTCCTCCTCTCTCTTACGAGCCCTTGTGCTCCTGCGCTCCACCACAGCCCCGCCCTTCTTCGCCTTAACCCCCTTTCCAGCTGCTCTTCCCACCTCTACTTCACCCTCTTCCTGCTCCTCATCCTGCTGCTCCTCCTGCTGCTCTTCTTCCTCCTCCTGCTCCTCCTCCTCCTCCTCCTCCTGCTGCTCTGTCATCTGCTGCCGTTTCATCTGCTTCTCTTATATCAGCCGTCACTTTATCTCCAGCTCCTGTCACTACTCTTCCTGACCTTGCTGCTTCGACCTCCCCTTTTTGCTTCCCCTTCCCGCCCGCTTCCACCTTCTTTTCCTTGTCCATCTCGCCTGCTTCCGCTCCACCCTTCCCCTTCCCCTTCTTCCCCGCCTTCTCCGCCTTCTCCCCCGCCTTCTCCCCCGCCTTCTCCCCCGCCTTCTCCCCCGCCTTCTCCCCCTTCTCCCCCGCCTTCTCCCCCTTCTCCCGCTTCTCCGCCTTCTCCCCCTTCCCCCCTTTCTCCTCCTTCTCCACCTTCTCCCGCTCCCCTTCCCCCCCGCCCTGCCTTTCCCCACAGAAGAAGCAGCAAGGGCAGCAGCAGCGCGCCGAGCAGCTCCCCTCCTCTCCCTCCCTCCAGGAGGGGTCGACAGAACTTCTAATCCTGGTGGAGTTGGAAGCACCCCCTCAACTGGAGGGGTAGAAAACACATCCTCGTCTGCCTCTGCCACCACTCCAGCTGCTGCTTTACTTCCCACTGCCGCAGCTGCAGCTCCTGTATCAACTGCTGCTGCACCTGGCGTCGCCAACGCGTCCCCTCCCATCTCTCCGCTTTCTCCACCTCTTCCACGCTTCCCCCCCTTCCCACTCTTCCTAGCATAAACCAAACTAGCACCCATCTTCCCACCAGCGCCGGCTTCTGCCTCTCGGCTGCCTGTGTCCGCCCTCTCCGTCCCCAACGATGCTCCCTCGGGCGAGACTCCTGCTGTTTCCTCTGCCTCTCCCTCCGCGCGTCCCTCTGCCTCTCCCTCTGCGCGTCCCTCTGCCTCTCCCTCCGTTCGTCCCCCCGCTCGTACCTCGGCTCGTCCTTCTGCTCGCCCCTCCGCTCGACCTTCGGCATCTCCTACCGACCGTTCTATCTCCTCACGTTCCTCTCGCTCCTTGTCCCCCTCCTCCGCCCCCGCCCTAGCACGCGAGTGCAGATCCTCTCCCCCTTTTCCCCTCGTCACTCCTCCCTTGTCCTTCCCATCTGCAATCAGCCCCTCTCCCGCCGCTCCTGCGGCTTCTGCCTCTCTTGTCGCTGCTGCATCCGGCCCGGCCTCTGCAACGTCAGCTTGTGGCCTTGAAACGTCAGCCTCTGGCCGTGCAACGTCAGCCTCAATTTCCTCCCTGAAAGTGTAAAGGAGGGAAAATGACAAGCGAGTAGGATAAGGTTGCAGTGAACTGAGGCACGCGGTGAAAATGGGAGAGGAGTCAAAGTAAGAAACACCGTGTTTCAAGCAGGAAACCACAGCAACGTGTTTGAAGCAGGAAACCACAGCAACGTAACAGCAAGCCCCACGAGCCAGCAGCAGAATCGCCCAGATGCAAAAATCCAGACCCCATATGTTCGAGCGAGCATGCGACTTGCCGAGACCCACCCTGCCTTTCTCCTCTTCTTGCCGCTCTGCCCATTTGCACCCGCCTCTCTCCCTTTCTCAACCTGTGCTTCCTTCTCCGTCTCCTCCTCTCGCTCCTCCTCCTCCTCCTCCACCTCCTCCTCCTCCCTTTCCTTCTTCCTCTTCCCTCGTGTCTTTGCACCCTTCTGCTTCCTCCCTCCCTTCGCCCTAACCTTCGCTCCTCCCTTCGTCCCTCCCTTGTTCTCCTCCTCTCGTTCCTCCTGCTCCACTTTTAGCGACTCCTCTCCATCTCCTTTCCCCTGCTGCACCAATTGTTGCTGCGTCTGCTGCTGCTTTTGCGGTTGCTGCTGCAGCAGCGGCGGCGGCGGCGGCGGCTGCTCTTGCTGATGCTGCTGCGGTCGCTCCTGCCTCTCCCCGCGCTCCTGCCTTTCTGCCCGCGCCTCCCTTCCCCCCTGCTGCCGTTGCGCCAGGAGCGCCAGCCGCGCCTCCTGCGCCAGGCACACGTCGAGCGCCGCCTTGTAGTCGGGCAGGCAGCTGCTGCGCCGGCTGCGCGCGATAGCCTTCTCCCGCGCCGCGCCCTCGAACCTGTCCAGCTCGTCCGGCCCGCAGAACCGACTGGCACAAGGGGGGACGGGCGGTGGGGGTGGCGGAAGGGGTTGCGCAGCGGGTGAGGGGGGTATTTGTTAGCGGGCGAGTGGGGTATTCATCCATAGCCTTCTCCCGCGCCGCACCCTCGAATCTGTCTAGCTCATTCGGCCCGCAGAACCGACTGGCACAAGGGGCGGAGGGGAGCAGAAGGGAACGGGAAGAGAATATGGAGAAAATGGGGTTGGACAAGTCAACCCGGTCTTTCAAGCACAGAAGCGGGGCGGGAACTAAGAAAAACTGGTCGAGAGCGATTGTTAAACAAAGCTTAGTTCGCACAAATGCAACGAAGGTTCAAAATAACGAGTCAGGAGGCATGACCACCGGGTTTTCACACACACTCGTCGTCGAGAGCCTCAAATCAGTCGCGATTGAGAAACTACATTTGTTGAGATCGGGAGACTCACATCTGTCGCGGCTGCAGAAACAGGACGAAGATCTTTCCTTCCTGCGGTTCTTTCTTGAACTTGTACGGATCCATGACCTGCTCCCAACCAACGCAAATGGAGACACACGACAATTATTAGAAACAGGATAACTCTAAAGTTCACTCAAAACTCTTCCTGCGGCTCTTTCTTGAACTTGTACGGATCCATGACCTGCTCCGAACCAACCCAACGAGACACGGCATATAATGGAAACAACTCTGCATTCAGCAATGGAACAAGAAAAGGTAGCAAAACCTCAAGCACGAACAACTGACAGAAGACGTGCATTACTTAAAAAGTTTTTTTATTTAGAAAAGGCATGTAAAGCACCTGAGCCGGCCATGGCGGATATCCCTGAACCTTAGCGAGAACCAACGAGCCCACAGGCCACGAGTCGGCCCCCGCGTCCATGGCTACCGCTGCTGCTCCGACCTAGCTGGTCGATTTTCGGGCCTAGTGCCAGGATACTACCAAGCTTTGAGACGTCCCGAGAGGCGGCTGAGAAGTCAACAGTTCTGCTCGGCTGCTCGGACTTTACACCTTAATTCAACGTTCCAATCTATAAGTCGGACGTCTTTAATCTACTGCTTGAATACGCGCGGTCAGGTACCTGACGGATCGCTTTACACGGGAAAGCTTAAAACAGGAAAGGAGGGCAATTAGTGGCTAACGTGGAAACACGTGAAGAACGTGATTGAAGGATGTCATGAAAAGGACACAGCGTGAGGGCTTGTAAGTCTTAAGACACCCTCAGTGCGTAAGGAGTCTTGTCGCCGTCCCAGCTACGACGAGCAGTAAGTAGTAGTTACTGGCAAGAGATGCATTCATCGGTGTGGAACTGGTGTGAGTGGAAAGCAAACTGGAAGAAAAGGAAAGCTGTCGCCCCAACGGAGCTGTGCGGGAGGATGGCAAACAACGGAGTCGTGCAGAAGAAGCAGCCGAGAGAGGCGTGAAAATTTTGGCGGGAAAGCAAATTTGAAACATTGAAGTTGACGTGGTCGAAATAAAGCGTAAAGTGTAGCAGCGTGTACGACTTGATGCTTATACGTTCTAAGGCCAGTTATGTCAATTAGTAATCAGAAATGCATTCCAAAAATAGTTCTCAACAACCTGCTCCCTGTGAACAAGAGAGCGAGTTACTCTTCATATCGGGCCTGGCCAAAGGCTACCAGGCTCCACTCAATGCGCCTCACTTTCAAAAAGAAATGCTGAGCCTTTTTTCTAGCCAAAAGCTCAGCCACCCTATTGTCCCACTAGATCACCTGCTCTAATTCACATCTACGCCAGAACCATGTGCATTCTGACAGACTTCTCTTCCCAAACCCCTGCCAGTGGACACCAACCATCCTATAATAAACCCCATATGCAAACCTTATCGGTCCACTCCTCCACTTCCCCCTCCTGTCGACATAGCACCCGCTCCTGAACCATTTTCAGCAGGCAGGGGCGGGCCCCATTTGCCATCAGGATCGGAGGGTTCTAACACATGCACTGAACCATCACTTAGACCCAAAGCGAACTGGTTTGGATCTTGCGGGTGTGCTGCGACCACCAGAGGCACCACAAGACCCGGGCTGCAATGCACCAAGGAATTGTGACCGCATGCACCAGAACACGAGGACAGGAACGATGGGTTAGAGAACGGAAAGAGAGAGAGAGCCAAGCTTCAGGCAGGTACATGCTGAAGAAATTAGACAAGGTACGGTGAGCCTTCTGCAAGGAGGAATGCGTGGGGCATGTGTGCCAAAGGAAGGGAGCACATGGTAAAAAGGAAAAAAGGCTCGGTGCAACGTGCATACCCGACAGACGGTGCATACGCCGAAGGAGCAACGCGGCACCGCGGCCTGAGGCTATCCCCATCAAACACACACACTGTCGCATCCGCGAACGCAGCAAGCACGAGCGACGAGTCACAGGAGTAAGCAGCGGCAGTGATGGGTGCGGAGAGCGGGCCGAGGTCGCGGGGCAGCCACTGGCGCAGGCGGTCGAGCTTGGCGGCGTCGTAGATGGCGAGCTGCGACTCGTGCACCACCAGCAGGCGCTGCTGGTCGTTGTGGAACTGCACCCTCGTGTCCGCCTGGCTTGTGGGGGATGAACGGGACGGCAGGGCGAGCGGACGGGATTTCCGCTTCTCCCACCCGTCCGTGCTCCAGAGAAAGAGCTGTGGGGTGGGGGAGGGGCGGAACGGGAGGGAGGGGAGAGAGGGGAGGGAAGGAAGAGGAAAGGGAGAGGTGAGAGCGGGGCGGGGACACGCAACAGCCACTGGCGCAGGCGGTCGAGCTTGGCGGCGTCGTAGATGGCGAGCTGCGACTCGTGCACCACCAGCAGGCGCTGCTGGTCGTTGTGGAACTGCACCCTCGTGTCCGCCTGGCTTGTCGGGGACGAGCGTGAAGGGAGGGCCAGCGGGCGGGATTCCGCTTCTCCCACCCATCGGTGCTCCAGAGGAACAGCTGGGGAGGGAAAAAGAGGACGAAGAAAGGGGAGGGGGAGGAAAGGAGAAAATGGGGGCGGGGGAAAGAGGGGGAGGCGTGGGAGCAGGAACTAAGATGAGGAGGACAAGGTGGGGAGAGAAGGAAATGGGGACGGTAGAAAAGCCAGAAGGATGCAAGAACTGAGGTCACTAGGGATTAGCCTATGAGGACAAGACTGAAAATGGGGACAGCCAGAAGTGAGAAGGGTAACTTTCCCAATCGACCCCCCTCCTCCTGCCCACCTGCGTGAGGAGGGTACACCTAACCAAAGAACCCGTCCTCTCCGTACCTGGGAGTCAGCCCCGGAAGAGACGAGGCTGTTGAGGGCGTTGGAGAAGGCCAGACCCGTGATGCGCTTGCTGTGCCCCTTGAGCTTGCTCTTTACCTGCCAGCATGAGAGAGAAGGAGGAGAGGGGAGAAGCAAGGACGGTGTTGGAAGATAGCGGGGGAAAGAGAGAGGCAGGAGGGGCCCCTGAGACTAGAGGAGAGCAGCAACCTCATCCGCACGTTGTAAACCTGGATGGTGACGTCGTCCATGCCGATGGCATTAATGTTGTTGTCCTGCGGGTGGAACGCTGCTGCTAAAGGAGGTGGATGCGGGCGCGCACCTGATAAGTGCTGTGACTACGACAAGCGCTCACCTCGTCAAGCCGCACGTTGTAGATCTGGATGGTGGCATCGTCCATGCCGATGGCAATGATGTTGTTGTCCTGGGGTTGGAACGCTGCTGCTGCGGGAGGTGCCTACTGAAGGAGGTGGCAGCTGCAAAGGTGCTGCTTTTGTCACAAGGGGCCCTGATACAGCACTACCACTCCCACCCGATTGAAGCGCTCACCTCGTCGAGGCGCACGTTGTAGATCTGGATGGTGGCATCGTCCATGCCAATGGCAATGATGTTGTTGTCCTGCGGGTGGAACGCCAGGAAGGTGGCTGCTGGGGGCGGCGCCATGAACGTCGTCATCACCTGGTCAACGGAGGTAAAAACAGCTCAGTACAGAGGGTCAACACAGATCAGCACAAGTAAACGCATGTCAGTACGTAGGGGTCGGACAGCGCAATGCACGCCAAAGGGTGCGCTCCCTCCCTCACTCCCTCACTTACCCACTCACTCACTCACTCACTCACTCACTCCCTCACTCCCTCACACACACTCCCACACACCCACACGCACCTTGAAGGTGAGCATGTTGAAGAGCGACACCTTGCCCCTCGAGGCGGACATGACATACGAGTCGTTCTTCGACAGCGCTATGCACGCCACCGGGTGCGCTCCCTCCCCCCTCCCTCCCTCCCTCCCTCCCTCCCTCCCTCCTCCCTCCCTCCCTCCCTCCCTCCCTCCCTCCCTCCCTCCCTCCCTCCCTCCCTCCCTCCCTCCCTCCCTCACTCACTCACTCACTCCCTCACTCCCTCCACACACCCACACGCACCTTGAAGGTGAGCATGTTGAAGAGCGACACCTTGCCCCCCGAGGCGGACATGACATACGAGTCGTTCTTCGACAGCGCTATGCACGCCACCGGGTGCGCTCCCTCCCTCCCTCCCTCCCTCCCTCCCTCCCTCCCTCCCTCCCTCCCTCCCTCCCTCCCTCCCTCCCTCCCTCCCTCCCTCCCTCCCTCCCTCCCTCCCTCCCTCCCTCCCTCCCTCACTCACTCACTCACTCCCTCACTCCCTCCACACACCCACACGCACCTTGAAGGTGAGCATGTTGAAGAGCGACACCTTGCCCCCCGAGGCGGACATGACATACGAGTCGTTCTTCGACAGCGCTATGCACGCCACCGGGTGCGCTCCCTCCCGGTCGTCCGAGCTCACATCGCCCGTGTCGTTCGTCATCATGATGCCGCTGGCCGGCTGCCACAGCTGCGGGACAGAGCTTGCAGTTGCCTGCGTGTGTGAAAGGAGGGGGGGAAGGGGGGTTAAGAGACGTTCGACGCTGTCAATCCGGTCGTCCGAGCTCACATCGCCCGTGTCGTTGGTCATCATGATGCCGCTTGCTGGCTGCCACAGCTGTGGGACAAAGCTCGCCGTGGCCTGCGGGTGCGAAGGAAATGAAAGAGAGGATCATTACAGACACTCAAAGTTACTGAAGCGTCAAACAAGAACCTTTTCGACCACTTGAAAACTGCATTGGGAGGGGGACAGAGAGGGATGTGAGCCTGCGCACGGCATTGGTCGAGAGCGCCAGCAGCGCCACACCTGAATTGGCTTTTGACGGGTCTCAGAATTAATGTTTTTCGTGCATACACAGAAACACTCACCAGTCCTTTGGTGTTGCGGTCAGAACACTGCCACTTCCACAGCTTGTGCACGGCAGTGGCTGACAGCGCACACTTTATCAAACACATGATATAGAATGATATATGCAAATCTAAATGTGGCACTCACCAGTCCTTTGGTGTTGCGGTCGGAGCGCTGCCACTTCCACAGCTTGTGCACGGCATTGGCAGAGAGGGCCAAGAGCGCCACGCCTGAGTTGGTGTAGATCAGACGCAGCACCTTGCTGGGCGGCAGACTGTCCGGCAGGCGGGCGGCCCGGACCTGGGAGGTTCGGAAGGATGGAGAGCACAGACAGGTTGGGATGGAGGGAGGGGACGAGAGCACAGGCGCGAAGGGGAAATGGTGAAGGCAAAACGTGTGGAGTGAGGGTAGACATGTGCGGAGAGAGCAGAGCAGTGAAAGCAGATGGTGACAGGCAGATGGTGACAGGCAGCAGCAGGAGTGGGAACACACGGGCCAAACGAGAAGACAAGGGCAAGGCGGGAGACAGGAGAGGAGATATGGTGGTAGAGTGAGAGAGAGAAGAGGATAGGGAAGAAGGGAAAGGGAGGGAAGAGGGGGAGGGCTACCTGTGATGGCTCGGAGAACTCAGTGAGCTTCCACCCCTTCTTGTCTGGCCCATCCTCCTGCATCCTCTGATGTGAGCAGAGCAGGGGCGGTAAAAAGAGAGGGAGGATGGGGAAGGGGAAGGGGAGTAAAGAGTGAGGTAAAGGACCCCAGAAAACGCGGGCAGCAGGACGGGTGGAGAAGGGGGGGAGAGGGGCAACGTGGATGCGCGGGAGAATTGAGATGGGACAGCGAGAAGACAAGAATGCTTGCACAAGAGTCTGTGAAAGTATAAAGCTGAAACACACCCTCTCCTATTTAGAAGGCTATGCACAAGAGAGGCCTCATGGCCTGTCATAGCTGCCTTTAAAGAAGATGGTTGGCGACTGCATCAAATGAACGTAGGACTGCAATAGAAGGTAGTTCTGGGACCGTACCGAAGCAGTAAGAGCCGAAGCAGGGGACGACCGATCAAGCTGCTGTGACTGCTGTTGCTGCTGCTGTTGCTGTTGTTGCTGCTGCTGCTGTTGTTGTTGCTGCTGCTGCTGCTGCTGCTGTTGCTGCTGCTGCTGCTGTTGCTGTTGCTGTTGCTGTTGCTGTTGTTGCTGCTGCTGCTGCTGTTGCTGCTGCTGCTGTTGCTGCTGCTGCTGCTGTTGCTGAGATGGCGCCTGGGGAGGGGGCGGTTGCTGAGACGCCTGAGCAGCAGCAGCAGCGGCAGCGGCGGCGGCTGCAGCTGCTGCTGCCTGCACGGCCTGCTGCTGCTGCGATGGGGGCTGGGGCAGGGCAGGTGGTGGCGGCTGCTGCGCACAGATGGAGGGCAAGCAAGAAAAAAACAGAGAAAGTGAGACAAGACACATTAGTCGAGGCTGCAGCCGCTGCTGCCTGCACAGCCTGCTGCTGCTGCTGCTGCGATGGGGGCTGGGGCAGGGCGGGTGGTGGCGGCTGCTGCCCACAGCCAGACGGTGAGAGGAGGGGAAACATGAAACAGGGAGACGCATTGTTAACGGAAAGGGGCAAGGAGGGCAGCAGGGCCATGGACGAAGCGGGAGGGTAGGGGAGCAGGTTCTCACATATCCACACACCTAAGCAAGACTGCCTAGCCCACAAACGACCCACCTTGGTGTCCACAGGTCTCTGAGCAGCAGCAAGCAGCCTATGCTCTATAATCGATGCACGTCAATGCGTCGCGTCATACATAGACTTGCCCAGAGTCAACCAGGCAAGACTGACTAGCCCACAGATGACCCACCCTGGTGTCCACAGGTCTCTGAGCAGCTGCAGCAACCTATGTTCTACACAAGCGCCTCACACATCACAACCACAGTCAACCAGGCACGACTGACTAGCCCACAAATGACCCACCTTAATGTCCACAGGTCTTTGGGCAGCTGCAAGCAGCCTATATCCTATAGCTCTAATCTATGCACGTCATACATAGACTCGTCCAGAGTCAACCAGGCACGACTCACTAGCCCACAAACGACCCACCTTGGTATCGACAGGTCTCTGGGCAGCTGCAGCAGCCGCAGCGGCAGCGGCGGCGGCTGCAGCGGTGGCGGCAGCGGCTTCGAGGTTGCGCAGGAGGCGCAGGCCCATGTCGTTGGCGAGGATCTTCACTGAGTTGTCCGCTGCTGTCACTGCTAGGAGAGAACCCTCCCTGTTGAACCTCACTCTTGGACTCGCCTGGTGGGGAGGAGGGAAAGAGGAGGGAAGGAAAGAGGGGAGACAGAGAGAGAAGAGTTGGTGAGTGTGCTCACGGCATACTCGGCGCGCCTGACAGCAGGGGGGTTGGGATAGGGAAGGGAGGAGAGCAGGAGGAGGCGCAGGCCCATGTCGTTGGCGAGGATCTTCACTGAGTTGTCCGCTGCTGTCACCGCTAGGAGGGAGCCTTCCCTGTTGAACTGCACTCTTGGACTCGCCTGGTGAGGAGGTGGACAGACGGAGGAGTGAAAGAAAGAAAAGGTATTGTCATTGCCATCTGCATCCAGTGCGCAAAGCACAGCAGTATTGTCCATGTCTCAGAACTTGATGAGATACTCGTCACCGGCATGGAGAGGTACGCTTGAAGCAAGGAGAAGGGAAGGACTCGAAAGGAGGTTGAGTTGAAGGGAAAGAGGAGAATGAGAAGCATTCACTGGCAGGCCACCATCAGCATCGAGTGTGCAGAGCACAGCAGTGTTGTCCATATCCCAGAACTTGATGAGGTACTCGTCACCGGCAAGAAGAAGTGCGCTCGCAAGAAGCAGACGACTCACCAGGAAAGAGGCACATCCACAAGTGGAGAACACAGGAAACACAACGCACAACACTCACCGGCAGGCCACCATCAGCGTCGAGCGTGCATAACACAGCGGTGTTGTCCATGTCCCAGAACTTGATGAGGTACTCGTCACCGGCAACCAGGAAGCGGTTGCGCGTGGTGTCAAACTGCACCACGCCCAGCGAGCGCTTGCGGAAGCCCAGGTAGCTGCGCTTGATGGCGCCCTCACTCTCGTTCCACTCCACCAGCGACGTCTCACCCTCCTTGCTCGTGCCACAGGAGAAGAGGCTGAGGGGGAGGAGGGCGGAAGGGCGGCCGGGGCAGGGGAGGGGAAGAGTGGAGGGGGAAGGGGAAGGGAGAAGATGGGGGAAGGGAGAAGACGGGGAATAGGGGGAAGGGAAGAGGGAAGCGGTGAGTTGTATGCACGAGGGAAGCGGAGGAAGCGGTTGCGCGTGGTGTCAAACTGCACCACGCCCAGCGAGCGCTTGCGGAAGCCCAGGTAGCTGCGCTTGATGGCACCCTCACTCTCGTTCCACTCCACCAGCGACGTCTCACCCTCCTTGCTCGTGCCACAGGAGAAGAGGCTGACAAGGGGGGAAGAAGGGCGGACAGGGCAGGGGAAGCGGAAGGGGGGGAGAGTAAAAGGGAAGGAAAAAGGGGTGAGCTACATGGACCAAGGAAGCCCAGGTAGCTGCGCTTGATGGCGCCCTCACTCTCGTTCCACTCCACCAAAGAGGTCTCGCCCTCCTTGCTCGTGCCACACGAGAAGAGGCTGAGGGGGAGGGGGCAGAAGGAAGGGGCAGGGAGAGGGGGGAGGAAGGGAGGGAAAGGAAGAAGAGAGCGGTGAGTTATATGCACCATGGAAGCCCAGGTAGCTGCGCTTGATGGCGCCCTCACTCTCGTTCCACTCCACCAGCGACGTCTCACCCTCCTTGCTCGTGCCACAAGAGAAGAGGCTGCAGGAAGGGCCGAGGAAGAGGGGCGAGGGTGGGTCGGGGAGAACGTGAGGTGCGGAAGTGGGTGGTGCACCACTCACTGTGTGCCAACGCAGAGAGGGTCCCATTTTCATGCAATGATCAACGCCCGGTGATAACAGCTTGTTGTTCATGCGTGAAAGGTGACATCTGTGAGGCAATGAATATGTGGCTCGAATTGATGGCTCGAATTGGTGGCACCACTTGCCGGGTGCGTCATGCACTCTCAACGACTGGTGACAGCTCGTTGCTCATGTATAGAAGGTAACACCTGTGAGCCAATGAATATGTGGCTCGAAAGCACTCATGACTCACCGCGTGCCATCAGCGGAGTACCCCATGGTACTGCACCACTTACCAGGCGCATCATAGTCCACTCTCGACCCCAGATGGTCATACAGCCATGCCTTGATCTTGCCGGGTAGAACATGTGCCTTGGTTAAAAACGTTCATGTTAATACATGTGACTCACCGCGTGCCATCAGCGGAGTACCCCATGGTACTGCACCACTTGCCAGGGGCGTCATAGTCCACCCTCGACCCCAGATGGTCGTACAGCCACGCCTTGATCTTGCCGGGTAGAACATGTGCCTTGGTTAAAAACGTTCATGTTAATACATGTGACTCACCGCGTGCCATCAGCGGAGTACCCCATGGTACTGCACCACTTGCCAGGGGCGTCATAGTCCACCCTCGACCCCAGATGGTCGTACAGCCACGCCTTGATCTTGCCGTCTATGGCCGTCGAGAATATGAACTGCAGCAGAAGGGAACGCAGGAGGATGGGGTGAGTGTTGAAAGGGAGTGGGTTAAGGGGGGGATGGGAAGAGTAAAGAGTAACGATCAAGTACAGATTGGGAGAACAGAATTGACATAGTTGTAATACATATAATATAATCCACGCACCTGAATGTTCTCCTTGTGGTGCGGGCACACGGAGTAGACGGGCGCCTCATGACCCTCAAACGTGTACAGCTTGCGCCCACTGCTCGCCTCCCACACCTGGTGTCATGTGATGGGGCATGGGGCAGGGGTTAGAGGAGAAGAGGCATGGGGCAGGGGTTAGAGGAGAAGAGGCATGGGGCAGGGGTTAGAGGAGAAGAGGCATGGGCATGGGGTGCGGGCACACGGAGTAGACGGGCGCCTCATGACCCTCAAACGTGTACAGCTTGCGCCCACTGCTCGCCTCCCACACCTGGTGCCATGTGGCGTGGGGTGTGCAACATGGGGTATGGGGTTATGGGGTATGAGGTATGAGCATGGGACATGGGGTATGGGGTATGGGGCATGGGCATGGGGCATGGAGCATAGGGCATGGGGCATGGGGCATGGTATGGGGTATGGGGTATGGGAAATGGGAAATAAAACATGTCTACATAAACACGCACTCGCACATCCACATGCACAGGAACAGGCGGACTGACCTTGATGGTCTTATCATCGCCGCATGTGATGATGCAGAGCTGCTTGTTGGGGTGAGAGAAGGCCAGGTCGTTCACTCCACCCACATGTGCATCGATCTGCACAACAAGCCGACAGGCAAGAACGCATGTGCTAGTGACATTACTGTCAACGTGACACTAACTTTTTAGGGGACTCAAGGCAAGAATACATAACAGACCTGTTGAGGCAACCTCAGGTGCTTGCAGCACAGAACAAGCCGTGGTAATGGCTGCAAATGCATGTCTTGTCCATCCTCACATGGTGCAGTAAGCAGCAAATGCATTTGCAAGCAGGGTAACCACAAGCAAGGAGCAGGTACCACAGTGACACCTCAAGTGCAGCCATCAATGCCTCAGGTGTCACTGTGTCACTGTGCCACTACAGCACGCTAACACACGCACCTCGAGGTGCTGGCCCATGCTGCTAGGGTTCTGGTACGTGTAGATGTGCACCATGTGCTTTGAGAACGCCGCACCTGCCATGCACCAGCAGCGCAAGCATGAGGGACAGCATCAGCACCAGCTCACACAGAGATGAGACGCAGGCGTTTGAAGCGTCTCAAACCACAAAGGGGCAAGAATAAGGAGAGGGGGGTCCAGAGGCAAGGATAGGAAACGAGGGGCTCAAAGGGTAAAGCGTCGAAAATAAGGAAGGAACAGAGGTGCAAGGAAAGCAGAAAGAGGGGATCAGAGGCACGAGGACTGACCAAAGAGTTGTCCATTTGGCTCCCAGATGACGCGATTCACAGCAATGGTCTGATCCTTCATCCATAGCGTCTGCATGAATGGGCAGTGAGAGGGAGGGCTGGCGACGTTGATTCGTTGCACCTGGACGACCTCGGATGGAGGTCAATAAAGCTGTGGATGGCACCGGGAGCTACAGCAAGCACCTGAAAGCTCACGTCAGCACCTGAGGGTATTGAGAACACTTGAGAGTGCTCTGAGCACCTGAGAATGTTGCGCGCACCTGGAACTGCGGCGAGCACTGCTGTGGGTCCCACAGCTTGAAAGGGCGGTCCACCACCTTCTCCCTCGACCCCACCTCCCATATGGCCACGTCCCCCGTGTTGCTGCCCACTGTGCACACACAGAGACATACACATACACACGAACCCACACACACGCGCGCGCGCACACACATGCACGCACACACACACGCGCGCACACACACACATCACCAATAGTGGCCAAACAGGCATGATGAAGGGTTGAGGATAATACAGGTTAGCACACAGACAACAGCACATCGCGACACATACAGCAGCAAATGTGACACACGTCTGATGTGGCCCACTGGCAAAGCCAGTAGGGCTGAAGGGCGAAATGAGGGCATAGCAGGAAAGACGTAGGGAGGGAATGGGACACGGGAGGCAGCAGAACAGTATACGCATGGAAAAGGCCGGCAGGCAGGCAGGAGGGCAGGTCGAAAGGGTTTGGAGGGGAAATTGTACCGAGCAGCAGGGTGGGCTGGTAGGGGTGGAAGTCCATGGTCATGACACACGAGCCCTGGTTCAGATTACCCGCCCGCCCCCCCCACCCCTGCTCCTAGCGCCACCGGCCCCTGTCCCCCCGCTGCATATCTTTTGAGTCAACTCAACAAGCAGGTAAACGGAAGACCTACCGAGCAGCAGTGTGGGCTGGTAGGGGTGGAAGTCCATGGTCATGACACACGAGCCCTGGTTCAGGTTCCTTGCAATCGTCTTGGGCAGATCCTCCACTGCATACCCGCCCGCCCCCCCCACCCCTGCTCCTAGCGCCACTGGGCCCTGTCCCCCCGCTGCTGCCGCTGCCGCTGCTGCAGCTGCTGCGGCGGCGGCGGCGGTCACGGCGCTTCCCAGGCCTGCCCCTGCTACGTTGCCTCCTATTGCTGGTACTGGCGGCCCTGGGATTGCTCCTGGGACAGGTGGCGGCTGCTGATTGGGCGGGACTTGGCCATACACCTGGTGGGGAGTGGGAGTGGGTGCGGTGGCAGGAGGTGGGGAATCGGGGTGAGGGAGGGAAATGGAAGCAGAGGCAATTGTGCCTTGTGCCCTGTGCCCTGTGCCCTGTGCCCTGTGCCCTGTGCCCTGCATCCTGCGCCCTGTGTCAAGATACCCTTGATGCCTGCTAAACACAACCACAACACCTCACCTCGCCCACACCCCTGTGCAGCCCCTCACCTCGTCCATGCCGCCCCTGGGGCGCTTGAGAACCATGTCAGAGTCCCCTGTGCCCGGATACTCCACCGCCACCGGGTTGCCTGGCAGGGTCTAAGTTGATTCACAAGGCACCTCGCCCACACTATTAATAGCACCTCACCTCACTGCGCCTCACCTCGTCCCTGCCTCAAGGGCACCTCACCTCGTCCATGCCGCCTCGGGGCCGTTTGAGCACCATGTCGGAGTCCCCTGTGCCCGGATACTCCACCGCCACTGGGTTGCCTGGCAGGGCTTTCCCTTTCAGTCTATTCAAAACTCACCTCACCCAAGCCTTTGGCAGCCCCTCACCTCGTCCATGCCACCCCTAGGGCGCTTCAGAACCATGTCCGAGTCCCCTGTGCCCGGATACTCCACCGCCACCGGGTTGCCTGGCGGCGTGCGCGGCCTCTTCAGCATCGCTGCAGAGGGGGCGACGACAGACACACGCCGCATGGATGGAGGAGGCGGTCAGGCAGAGGGGAAACATTGCACCGGGCGAAGGAGGGCAAAGGGTATGGAGGGAAAGAACAGGCAGCATGCAAACCGCACTTAAATCAGATGGCACAACGAGACTAGCCTCCACGCACCTGGGTTGGGCCCTGGGGGCAGGTTGGCAGGGGGGGGCGGCACCACAGCGTGGGGGGGAGGCGCAGCTGCAGGCGGCTGTCCGCCCATCCACCCCGCCAGGGCGGAGGCGGATGGGCCCCCGGGCTGGAAGGGCTGCAGTGGCTGCTGCAGGCGGGGGCACAAAGGACGTGGTGGAGAGGGGGGGTGCGCAGGGAGGGGAATAGAGAAGGGGGAGGAGGGGGGAAGGGGAGAGGAAGAGAAAGGTTGGAGAGGAGAAGAAGGGAGAGGGTTGAACATTGGATGCCTGTGGGCACAGTATTGAAGGCACGGGATAGGAGACACTTTTTTGTCTCTTCATCACCCTACCAGCTTCCAGCACCCGAACGTTCACAATACCAAACACCACGGCACCCTCACGGTCCCACCACACCACACCTCATCTCCAACCTCCCAGCCCCGCAGGGTCCTATTCCTATACTTACCGCATGCCCGCCCACGCCCACGCCCACGCCAACCGGCCCCAGGGGAAACGGATGGGCTTTGGGCGGCTGCTGCTGCTGCTGCTGCTGTTGCTGCTGCTGTTGTTGCTGCTGCTGCTGCTGTTGAACGGCGGAGAGGAGCGAGTTGGGCGGAGCAGGCTGCTGCGGCTGTGTGCGGCCGCCGTTGGGAGCGGGGCCACAGGTGTGGTCCACGAAGAGGGTCTTGATGTCGGGGTTGGGGCGCGGGTTCTTACACAGCTGGTGCTGCCAGTTTAGACTGGTGGGGATGGGGAGGGGGAGGGAGGGGATAATGGAAAGGAAGGGAGCGGGAGAGAGAGTGCAGGGGGGGGAAGTTGAAAGAGAGAGAGGGTGGGAGAGGGAGATCACTTCACGCAGTGATGACAATCCAGAAAGTGTACGTGAGTTCATTGAAAATCACTAACATCGTTTCAATAACGCGGAGTTCACCCTCTGAGCTATCATCAACAACATAAAGACGTAACGCATCAAGGATAGAAACGCAACCAACCGCACCTCTGGTTGATGAGCGTGCGCAGGCGCGAGTTCTTGAGGTTGGGGAACTGCAGGTCGTGCCTTTTGAGTTGAATAAAAACGCACCTCTGGTTGATGAGCGTGCGCAGGCGCGAGTTCTTGAGGTTGGGGAACTGCAGCTTGTCGCGGAAGAGCGGGTTGGCCTCGATGAGCTTCTTCAGCTCCAGCAGCATGATGTTGCGCGCCGACTTGGTGTCCCCGTACTTGCTCAGCTGCTCGTTCTCGCTACGCAACGCGGGCAATGCGGGATATGGGGCGAGAGGGGAAGGGGAAAGGAGGGGGGGGGGGGGGGGGGGGGGGGGAAGGGGGAAGGAGAGGGGGGGGGGATGGGGGAGGAATTGACGCGGCGAACGAGACGGGACGAAAATGTGTTTGTCGCGTGCAGTCATATGAATGGTGGAAAAGGCGAAAACTTGAGGAGAGACTTGGTTGCACAAAGCGCTGCACGGAAATGTACGCAAGCTACCAGAGTCAAGTACGGAAAGAAATACTGTTGACCAGCGTTGACAGAACAAAACGGACTTTGACCACGGCGCAATCCAACGAACCGCGTTACAGAACAGAACGGGTTTCGACCGACCCGATATGCGGAAACGCACCGGAAATTGTCCAAGGTCAGTAGCTGGGTGATCTCCTTATAGAGCTCCTCGTTAAACGACGCGAACACCTTGAGGTCCTTCACCAGGATCTCAACAGCCTTGGCTCGATCTTGCCTGAGACACAAAGGGCGAGCAGGGGAGGTTACAGTAGCGTAAAAGTAAGTTCAATGCAATAATTGCGGAGTCACAGGAGGGACAAAAGGCCAGCAGAAGCCACTGGTCGACGCGAAAACGAGCGCGAAGTGACGAACGGAAGCATCTGACATGACGGACCGCCGCGTTGTGACCCAAAAGCACAGTCCTGGTCTTAACTGTTACACGCCGGGCTCAGACATGGTGACGTCACCGCTGATGTCAGAGATGTCGTCCCCGCTCCGTCGCGACGCATATCGAAAGCATGATTACATTGAGCGTCCTTTATTCCGAAATACCCCTCACGACTCGTTTAACAGAAGCGACTATCTGAAAGGGGGATGACCAAAAACGGCACTTCGATGCACCGAGGGGCGGCAAACCACGCACTTATCCAGCGCTTCGAGGTACTTCTGCTTCCTGATCTCGAAGAAGATCTTCATGGAGTAGCGATTGTCGTCGACCTTGGTGAAACCCGCGAGATAACGCTCCACCTCCTCCCACTCCCCCGCCACCACCTGGTCTTCGAAATACTTCATGTTGAAGAAAAAACCCGATTCCTGCTCGAGCCTGGTTGAGTTAACCGATGGGAGTGTAGAAAGGGTGGAGGAAATATATTAACTGAAATGCCTACTCGCGAGAACTAAAAACGATGAATACTTTTCACATATATTCTTTGAATATAATGTAGAAACATTGAAGAAAAAAGTAAGTACTGTGCTCTGACTTCGGAAGGTAAGATCTTAAAACAGGTCACTAAGAGCTCTTACTTGTGAACGGTTTCTTTGAACTTTTCTTCATCGAGAAACTGTAGTATCAGAAACACAAGTTCTCGACTTAACGACGACATGGCTCAAACTCGAAGCGCCAAAACGGCGTGTCGCTCGCAAAAATCGGTCGAGCCACGTTGGTTGAAATAGCCTAAACTGCTGCAAATAGCCCAAGACCAACGACTTGAGAACGCCTAAAGTGGCAGACAGCAGAAATTACTGATCCACAGGTTTTGAACCAGCTAAAGATGAACGTATAGTCGTCTCAATTAGAGCGGAAGTTCATGCACGGAGGGCATCAGGCGATGTACGCAAAATGGTCTGCTTCATGGTATCTGTGCCTGGCTCTGATTCAGTCCAGGGGAGAGGTGGCTCCCCACAAGACCGCCATTCCTTGAAATTAAGGTGGTATGCGATCTGATGGGTTTTATTTAGTTCAAGTACGGTGGAACGCGGCGTTCTCTAGGTACCTTGACTTTCGCTTGACAAGGGAATGGGCAAGTGGGAGGTGGAGGGAAGAGGGAAGGGTGGAGGGAGGGAGGGAGCGAGAAAGGGACGGAGGCAAGGGTGCAAGGCGAATTGGGCGAGGCGGGAGGAATGGAATGTCACGCAACAAGGACATCCCGCAACCGCAACGCATTGTCGCTGCTGGTCCCGTGGTACACTGTTGCGACCCTGTGAAAATAGCTGACCCTCATTATCAGCGCAAGCCTTGATCCAAGTAATTTTCACAGCTGATAAAATAGTATAATAACACCTTAAGTGTATTTTCTGGCACTTAATCGAGCGAGTCCGGCAAATGCAGCTGCCCTGCCCTCAACTGAACCGCCGCGCCACCAACTTTCTCTACAGGGTGTTGGCGAAGCCATCGCAATGATCGCCGTACCCTCGACTCCGAAACTGGAGACTGTTGAGGGGGCCCATCCAACACCAACGTTCTGGTGGAAGGGACAGCACGGCCCAAACTGTCCAATGTCCGTCCGATAGAACCGTGATTTCCGTTGCGTTGCGTTCATAGCCCGAAAGGTTCCTTCCTCCGACCCCAAGCGTCAACTGGTTCTCCCTGTCTGGCATGGGTTCGGCGCAGCGCAGCAGAGCAGATGTGCTCTGCTCTGTGGTTTTCTTCATCCGCCCTCGGGATTGCTCAAAACAGAACTGTTTGTTGCAGGATGTGGACCACGACACCTGATGCGCTGTTGCTGATAAGCCGATCGGCTGACCAGGTTATCGAAACCAATCTAGGTACACTGATTTCTTTGATACAAACAGGTAGAGCGGGGTTCATGTCTCTATCCTTCCGTTTCCACCCAGAGCAATGTGTATTAAAATCAGCAGAAAAAACATAAAATGGTCACTTAAATACAGACATTCATAATATTTCTGCCTGCATCCCTTTGTTCATGTTATTCTAACTTGTCAAGTGTACATATAATATATCATGCATACTTAAATACCAAGATTATGGACTTTACCTATGGATCTTCACATTTCTATATAGAGAAAGGGAATTTACCACATTAACACTTTCGCATCCAATTGCATAATATTCCAAATAAAGAGGTTGTAACAATCATTTGCATTGTATGTTTGTGATTGTGGAGGATCGCAACTACTTACAACCGCTTGTGACGTGGATTTCTGAAGATGCGTCAGTATAAAAATGCACCTATTGGAGTCGTTCATTTGATGGAATATTTATGTCCATATTTGGAGGAAGTACAATGTTTGAGATGTGTGGTTGAATTTGATTCTGATTTGGATGCACCTGTATGATAAAGCAACAAGGCCCGACGATGAACGTCGTAAGGGTTGCGTAGGCGCTGTTATTATAGTATAATAAAATTATAGAAAATGCATTATATCATGTAAACAATGACAAACTATGCACTTCCTATTTAACACAGGCTTCTAAGTTCCTCATTAAAAAAATGCGCTTAGCATTCGTCTCCCTTGTGATTGAGTGACGGTTAATGGGGAACGATTTAAAGATTGACATTTTTGTTTAATACGAATTGTGTTTTTCCACCTAAAACTGATTAGCAATGTCACATTATTCTTAGTGGGTTTGTTAATTTGCGGCTCACCTTGATGTGTTGGATAGATGGCTCGCGTGGTCATGCGTGTGTGTGTTGCGTGTGTACTTCCAAATCTTGTGTGTGTGCTTTCTTTGTTCGAATTCTCCCGGGAATTTAGCTTGCAATCCGCCCAATCGTCAAGCCACTGTACGCTAAATCTAATTACCGATTTTTTCCCCGTTTTGTCCTGGCAGAATTTTTCCTTGCCAGCGCCACACATTCCCAACCACCCATTTTCTTGCCATGCCAGCACCACAGGCCCTCCCTTTCTTGCGCTGTCAACTCGAATTCCCCGCTGACTTGGTTTCTTGAATTTGGTTTCTACCCTGCTCCCTCTACCAGTCGCTTTGCTGCTGTGCGCATTCCGTTTCCCTTCTAATTCGAACTGCCTACTCGAATTCCTCCTGTTCCTGCTCTCTCTCCCGTTTTTTACCAACCCACAGTCGCCCATCCCGCAACTATCGCGTTTTACCACCACCTGTCGCCTCTCCCTCCTACCCCGCCGTCGCCATTCCCTCCCATCCCGCCTCCACCTCTCACCCCGTCGTCGCCTCTCACTCCCACCCCGTTGTCGCCTCTCCCTCGCTCCCCGCTATCGCCACTACCTCCCACCCCGCCGTCGCCACTCCCTCTTATCCCGCCGCCGCCTCTTCTCCAATCCCGCCGCCGTCACTCCGTCCTATCCCGCCGTCGCCTCTCCCTCCTCCCCGCCGTCGCCTCTCCCTCCTCCCCGCCGTCGCCTCTCCCTCCTCCCCGCCGTCGCCTCTCCCTCCTCCCCGCCGTCGCCTCTCCCTCCTCCCCCGTCACCTCTCCGTCCTCCCCGCCGTCGCCTCTCCCTCCTCCCCGCCGTCGCCTCTCCCTCCTCCCCGCATCGCCTCTCCCTCCTTCCTGCCGGTCGCCTCTGGCGACAGGTGCACGAGCGCAAGCGCGAGTTGGTGCGCGAGGGCGGGTCGGTGCGCGAGCTCGGGTGGGTGCGCGAGCGCGGGTTGGTGCGGCAGCGCGGGTCGTTTTCTGAGGCATTGTGATTACCAGGCATTGTGAAATTTCCCCTTATTTTTCTTCTTTCCTGCTCGCCTCGTAAATTTTGTTAGTCAATTCGTCTCCTCTTGCATTGCACTTTTATTGAAAGAAGAGAAGCGCGAGGGAGAGCGTGTGCACGGGAGCGCGTGAGAGTGCGCATGCGAGAGCGCGTGCGAGAGCGCGTGAAAGAGTGCGTGAGAGAGCGCGTGAGGGAGCGCGTGAGAGAGCGCGTGAGAATACGCGTGAGAGTGCGAGTGAGAGAGCGCGAGCGCGTGAGAGAGCGCGCGAGAGAGCGCGTGAGAGAGCGCGTGAGAGAGCGCGTGAGGGAGCGCGTGAGAGAGCGCGTGAGAGAGCGCGTGAGAGAGCGCGTGAGAGAGCGCGTGAGAGAGTGCGCATGAGAGCGCGTGAGAGAGCGCGTGAGAGAGCGCGTGAGAGAGCGCGTGAGAGAGCGCGTGAGAGAGCGCGTGAGAGTGCGCGTGAGAGAGCGCGAGCGCGTGAGAGAGCGCGTGAGAGAGCGCGTGAGAGTGCGCGTGAGAGAGCGTGAGGGAACGCGTGAGAGTGCGCGTGAGAGAGCGCGTGAGAGAGAGCGAGTGAGAGAGTGCGCGTGAGAGAGCGCGTGAGAGAGCGCGTGAGAGAGCGCGTGAGAGAGCGCGTGAGAGAGCGCGTGAGAGAGTGCGTCAGAGAGCGCGTGAGAGAGCACGTGAGAGAGTGCGAGAGTGCGCGCGAGAGAGCGCGTGAGAGAGCGTGTGTGAGAGTGCGCGTGAGGGAGTGCGTGAGGGAACACGTGAGAGAGCGCGTGAGAGATCTCGTGAGGGAGCGCGTGAGAGAGCGAGTGTGTGTGAGAGTGCGCGTGAGAGAGCGCGTGAGAGAGCGCGTGAGAGAGCGCGTGAGAGAGCGCGTGAGAGAGCGCGTGAGAGAGCGCGTGAGAGAGCGCGTGCGTCAAAGAGCACGTGAGAGAGCGCGTGAGAGCGCGTGAAAGAGCGCGTGAGAGAGGGAATGCGCAAGAGAGTGCGCGAGAGAGAGCACGTTAGGAAGTGCGTGAGAGCCTGTGAGAGAGCACGTGAGAGAGCGCGTGAGAGAGTGTGTGAGAGAGCACGTGGGAGAGCGCGTGTCAGAGAGCGCGTGAGAGTGCGCGAGAGAGCGCGCTGTGCGAGAGAGTGCGCGAGAGAGGGCGCGTGAGGCAGTGCGTGAGAGCCCGTGAGAGAGCGCGTGAGAGCGCATGAGGGAGCGCGTGAGAGAGCGCTTGAGAGAGCGTGTGATAGAGTGCGTGAGAGAGCGTGTGAGAGATTGCATCAAAGAGCGCGTGAGAGAGCGCGTGAGAGTGTGCGAGTGAGTGTGCATGAGAGAGTGCGTGAGAGAGAATGCGCGAGAGAGTGTGCGAGAAGGAGCGGGACGGAATGCGTGAGAGCCCATGAGAGATTGCGTGAGAGAGCGTGTGAGAGAGAGCGTGGGAGTTTGCGTGAGAGTGCGCGTGAGAGAGCGCGTGAGAGGGCGAGTGAGAGTGCGAGCGAGAGAGCGCGTGAGAGAGCACGCGAGAGAGAGCGTGAGAGAGCGTGTGAGAGAGAGAATGCGCGAGAGAGTGTGCGAGAGAGAGCGTGTGAGGGAGCGCGTGAGAGTGCGCTTGAGAGAGCACGTGAGATAGCGTGAGAGAGCGTGTGCGAGAGTGCGTCAGAGAGCGCAGGAGAAAGCGCGTGAGAGTGCACGTGAGTGCGCGTGAGAGTGCACGTGAGAGAGCTCGTGAGAGCGCGCGTGAGAGAGCGCGTGACAATGCGCGTGAGAGCGCGCGTGAGAGAGCGCATGAGAGAGCGTGTGAGAGAGCGCGTGAGTAAGCGAGTGAGAGTGCATGAGTGTGCGCATGAGAGAGCATGTCAGAGAGTGTCAGAGAGCGCGTGAGAGTCGTGAGAGAGCGTGTGAGAGGCGTGTGAGAGAGCGCATGAGAGAGCGTGTGAGAGAGCGTGAAAGAGAGCGTGTGAGTGTTGACTTCTCTGTTTTTGCTTTGTGCAGGGCATTTGTTGACTTCTCTGTTTTTGCTTTGTGCAGGGCGTGTATGTGTTGACTTCCCTGGTTTTGCTTTGTGCAGGGCGTGTGTGTGTTGACTTCTCTGATTTTGCTTTGTGCAGGGCGCATGAGCTGAGAAGGGAGATGAGGGAGGGAGTGGGATGGAGATGAAGGAGGGAGGGAGGGGAAGGTGGGATAGGCCAGCAATCATTTCTGCATTTCTGAATTATATTCATGACGGTTGCGTCTTTATTACGGTCTCTGTATCTATCTATGCTTGTTTGCGTGTGTTTTAGTGTGTGTTCTGCATGTGCTTATGCGTGTGTGTACGTGCTCGTGTGAGCCAATGTGAGATGTGTGTTTGTCTGTTTGCACCTGTCTGTCTCGAGGTGTGTTGTGTGATGTTAAAGTGTGTCGGGTCTGCATTTGAGGTGGGGATCGTTGTTGGGGCAGCGTTGCTCGCCTTAGCATACCGGATCCACCTTTGATGTAGCTCCGATGCATTTTAGCATTCACTCACAATTGTTTGTGTTGTTTTTGCACGTGTTATGCAACTGAGGTGTGATGTTAAAATGTGTCGGGTCTGCATTTGAGGTGGGGATCGTTTTGTCAAACATATATGCTGCATATTGTCTAGGCTGTAGTGGGGTAGCCCATATGGGGTACAGCCCAATTAGGGTTTACTACTTGTACTCCTGCATGTTGCTAGTTCATCCATTCCTGCTGCTAGATTCTGACACGGTTTCAGAGCACTAAGGTCCGTAGGACCGTTTTTTTTTCGGGCCCACCTACCGCTGCGGTTACCGCGCTACCCCACGTACCTGCCTGCCTTGCCTTGCCTTGTGACGTGCTGCACTATGTGCGCCGTCCAGCAGCCCTAGCGCTGCCTCCTGCTGCCCTAGGCCAGCGCGCTGCCCCTAGAGGCCCGTAAGGCCCACGCGCCGCCCCTAGAGGCCCGTAAGGCCCGCGCAGCCGCGCGCAGCCCGCACAGAGCCCGCGCAGCCCGCGCCGAGCCGCGCGCAGCCCGCTGCAGCCGCGCGCAGCCCGCACAGAGCCCACGCAGCCCGCGCCGAGCCGCGCGCAGCCCGCTGCAGCCGCGCGCAGCCCGCTGCAGCCGCGCGCAGCCCGCAGCTGCCGCGCGCAGCCCGCGCCGAGCCCACGCAGCCCGCGTCGAGCCGCGCGCGGCCTGCTACGGCCGCGCGCGGCCCGCAACAGCCCGCGCCGAGCCGCGCGCGGCCCGCTACTGCCTAGCGCGGCCGCGCGCGGCCTGCAGCAGCTCAGCGCGCTGTCAGCGCAGCCCGCGCCGAGCCGCGCGCGGCCCTCTGCCTCGGCCACGACCTGCCGCTGATGCGGACCCGCCCTGCAGCTACCACGGCCCCGACCTGCCGCTGATGCGGCCCCGCCCTGCAGCTGCCACGGCCCCGACCTGCCGCTGACGCGGCCCCGCCCTGCAGCTGCTTCGGCCCTGCTCTGCAGCCGGTTTTGCGGCCCCGACGTCGCCGCTGTCGTGCGCCTACTCGGCCGCCGCCCGTCGAGCGCCGGCCCTGCTCGCCCGGTGAGCGCCTGCTCTTCCAGCCTTTGGTGAGCGCCTGCCTGCCTGCCTGACGGCCTGCCTGTCTGCCTGCCTGCCTGCCGGCCTGGCTGCCTGCCTGCCTGCCGGCCTACCTGCCTGCCTGCCTGCCTGCCTGCCTGCCTGGCTGCCTGCCTGCCTGCCTGCCGGCCTGCCTGTCTGTCTGCTTGCCTGCCGGCCTGCCTGCCTGTCTGCCTGCCTGCCTGCCTGCCTGCCTGCCTGCCTGCCTGCCTGCCTGCCTGCCTGCCTGCCTGCCGGCCTGCCTGCCTGCCTGCTTGCCTGCCTGCCTGCCGCGCCTGCCTTGCCCGCGCTACTGCTGCTGCTACTGCTACTGGCAGGTGGCCAGATGCAGCTCCAGCGACGTTCACGCGAGCCTCTGACGCCCCAGCAGCTTAGTGAGTGGTATACTAGCTGGGGTTGTCGCAGTAGCCGTCGTAGCTGTCGCCCTGGAGCTGGTCAGTTGGGAGCGTCTGGCAGTGGCCAGCTGCAGCTGCAGGGGCGTCCACGTGAGACACTTACGCCCCGGCAGCTCCAGGAGTGGTACGCTCAGTGTAGCAGGTCTACGCGTACAGTTCGCTGCCCGTACGTCATTCGCACAGGTGCTAGGACTGGTCAGCCTTGTGGGACGCTTGGTCACACACAGTCCCGCTGCTTCGCCCGTCTGAGCGACGACTGGCGCACAGTGTTTGGCGACGAGGCTGAGCTCCCCACCTGGCTGGAGCTGCATGGACAGAGGGTAGATATCTTTGCGCTTGACTATGATGCTATTCTCACTGCCATGTATGCATTGCCTACTAGTGCTGATCGTGCCTGTTATCTGTGCGTACCGCCTGACCCTGGTGAGGCTGCTGCTCTAGGTGCTAGTGCGTCTCCTGCTCTAGGTGCTGGTGAGGCTGCTGCTCTCGGTGCTAGTACGTCTACTGCTCTAGGTACTGGTGAGGCCGTGGCTTCAGGTGCTGGTGAGTCTGCTCTCTCTGGTACTGCGCCCACTACGGTCTCGCACACCTTCACCCTTGACTCAGGAGCTTCTCGCTCCTTCTTTCGCGACTGCACCACACTCACGCCGCTTAGTCGGCCAGTTCCAGTCTCCCTGGCGGACCCCTCCGGGGGTCCAGTCCTTGCCCACTACTCCACGGTTCTGCCGTGTCCGGCCGTCCCGTCCGGCTCGCTGTCAGGTCTTTACCTCCCCTCGTTCTCTACGAACTTGGTGAGTGGAGCTGACCTCCAGGATCGGGAGGTTGACCAGTTCACTCCTGCGAGTCAGCGAGTGACTCACTGTACGTGTGCTAGGACGGGCCGGCACTTGGCCACGTTCACCCGTGCACCTGGCTCGAGTCTGTACACACTGACCACTGAGTCCCCTCAGGTAGCTGCGTCTGCGTCTACGTCTGGTCAGCTGGCGGCCCCCTGCGAGTGTCGCGCTTTGTCGCACGACAC